ATATTATAAGGTTAATAATATTATTATACTTTATATACCTCCTTATTTTTTATATTTACTATAGCTACTTAATATTAGGTGCTTTAGGCCGCTAAAAAAGGCATATAGTTAAGAAATAAAGCAACTAATTAGACAGTCTATAACCTATGTTTCTAAGACTGAGTTCTTCCTGGCCTTTTATACTGCCTTTTAAAAGACTATAACTAAGTTAAATATTAAGGGGGGTTTTAGAGGAGCTAGACTTGCTCCTTTTAACCCTAAAGTTATAATCTTAAAGCTTAATATATAGCTATAGACTCTAACGCCTATTAAAGAGGTGGCCTAATAAGCTTAAGCTTAGACTTTAAGGACCCTAGTAACAGTCCTTAAGGCCGGATTATAATCTAAATACCTTTAAGGCTAAATTAGAAGATATTATAATAGCTCCCTAAAGTCAATCCTTAAAGCTCTTTAGTCTCTTATAAAGGCAGTTATAAGGAATATATAGAAGACTGCCTTATTAGAGGCTAAGAACTAAGAGCTTTATAAGGCAAATAATATACTTAGCTAGTAATATAGGGCAAAAAGAATATACCTATAGAATAGAAGGAGCTTAACTATATAGGAAGGTCAGGATTTAATTAATTAGATAGATATAAGTATATAGGTATTAGCCGAATTATTAAGAAGTAGTAGTTAAGGAAGGTCAGGGCAGCTAAGGGTTTAGCACTGCAGGACTTGCGGTAAGACTAGATATAATATAAAAACCTATTAGAAGGGAATTAAGGCCTCTAGAAATAAGTATAATACTTAATTTTAATTAATTAGATAGTCTGTTATGTTTTTATTAGACTTTATCTTAAAATAGTTAAGATTTTTATGCCACTTAGTTATCTATACTACTTGCTTATTATATATATTAGCTAACTTATAATTATATTAAGTAATAAGGGCATTAAAGTTAATTTTATAAATATATATTTAAAACTCTTTATATAAGTAATAGATAATAAAACTAAATATAAATTATTTATTATTATTATTATAATAACTAACCTTAGTATTATAAATCTTAGACTTAGTATAGGTTTAAACTATAAAGCATTAGTATAATAGTTAGGGTTTCTAAATAAGTAGACTAATCTATACTAGGTTTTATATTTACAGGATTATAAGGCGTTATACTAAGCGATAGTAAAGTATTATATCTCTTAATAGTTAATAATGCAGTTTAGGCTTATTAAGGTAAAGAAGTCTTATTAATAGCTAGTAAGCTAAGTTCTATTTACTATTAAATAAATATATATATATAATATAGTAGCTTATAGTATTATAAATTAGGCTTATAATAAGTTATAAGTTAATATTATAAGCTATATTACAAGGCTTATAGGTATTATAGGGTTTATTTATAAGTTATTATATAATTAGCTAGATTATTAGTAGGTTATATATAACATAAGCGCTTCCCCTTATTAAGTCATAATACAATCTCTCTCCCTTTATTAGTCTTATCCTTAAGACCTATATATCTGCCCTTCTTTCTATATTATCCTAGTATATGCTAACTTAGACTTATAATTATCTATATAAGTTGCTAATACTATATTAAAGTCTAAAGCTACTTATAATTATTAAGCATAAGCTATTTTAATTAAAAATACTAGTTTTCTTATTATATTATATAGTTACTGTAAACCTTGGGGTTTAAAATATTAGGCTAAGGAAGGCCATTCTAAGTATATATAATATACTTATTGCAGTTATTAATATAATAATAAGGGTATTTTAATTCTTAAAGGTTTATTACTTATTTCCTATCTTTCTTTTATATATTAAGTCTAATTCTTTTATAGCTAATTGCTTTATTATAGAGAAGCATCGTTTAGGATATAAAGAGGAGGTAGCTAAAACTAAATTATTATAATTATAATAGTAAATAAATAAGTATTTAAATTATCTAATATATCTTTATTATTAGAAATAATAGTTATAAGAACGTAGTAATAAGATACTTTATTATAATATTAAGACTATAGATAATCTCGAGGTTTTAGATAATATAAAGTCTTTTACTGCTATTAAGGCTTAATTATTAGGAGCTGTTAATATTATTAATTAGGGTAAGGTTTTTTTTATTAATATTAATAGAAATTCTTTAGGAGTTATTAGGCATTAGTAAGGTGTTTAGATGGTTTTTATATGTTTTTGTTTTTTAGGTAGTCTTTTTATTTAATAAGGTATTTTATTTATTTATTAATTCTCTTTATATTTCTAATTACTTTTGCTTTATAGACTTCTAGTCCTTTAATTTCTTCTGGTTTATTGCTAGTCTTAATATATATTATATTAGCTACTAATTTAAATAATATAATATAAAAGATTAGATAGAGCCTAACTTTTAGTAATAAGTCTAGTTTATAGTTATTTTCTAAGATTTTCTTTTTAACTTTATAAAATCTAATATACTTATAGTCTAATTTATAACTTAGTTATTTTATTATAATATTTTTTATAGTTAAGTAAACTATATCTCCCTCTAAAAAGGTTAGTCTCTTAATCCTTTTTATATTATAGTATTTTTTTATTTATTTTCTAATAAATTCTAATTTTTTCTTTATTTCTTTATATAGAGCTTTTAGGTCTTTACTTTTAATTATAGCAGCTAGGTTAACTGCTTTTAGTTCTTATACTATATAATATAGGTCTAGGGTAAATTTAAAATTTACTATAGTAAGTATTATTTTTATACTTTTATTATATATTATATTATAGGCAAGTTAGGCACTTAGTAGCTTTTTTACCTAATTATTTTATTTATAGTTAATATAGTATTATAGGTATTATTTTAATACTTAATTTATTTATTTAGTCTATTTATCTATTTATAATCTAAATGCTATTAATAATTAGTAGTTTAGTCTTATATATACTATAAGTGCTTGCTAGAACTTGCTTATAAATGTAATTCCTCTATCTATTAGGATTTTATATAATAACCTATATTCTCTAACTATCCTATTATAAAAGATATAAGTAAGTTATTCTGCATTTATATCCTCTCTATAAGGTATATAGTAAGAGAATTTAGTAAGTTAATCTATTATAACTAAGATACTGTTATAAAAGATTCCAGTTAAAGGTTCTTCTAATAAGGGTAATTTAGTTATAAAATCTATTATAATTAAACTTTATAGTTTCTCTGCTATTTCTAGTAGTTATAGTAGCCTATAAGGCTTATATCTTTATACTTTAGTTTTTATATATAAGTTATATTATTTAATAATTTTTTCTACTATTTTCTTAATTCCTTCCTAATTATAATATATCTAGATGCGTTTTAGGGTTTTTATAATACCTTAGTAGCTATATAGGGGGTGTCTATATATATCCTGTATTAGTTCTTCTCTAAACTGTTTAGGTATCTATAACTTGTTATTATAGGTAGGCATCTCTGCTCTGCTTCTAATAGGGTCTTAGATATTATATCCTATAGTAGCGTTTTGGATTTTTCCTAGCCATTCTTCCCAGTTTGTAGGTTTATTGTTATTCGTGAGTCCTAAAGTTTCTGCTTATTAGGTGAATTGGTATTCTCCTTTGTTGTTTTTTCTTAAGAGTTGTTCTTTTGCTTTTATCGTGCCAGTATTATTGTCGTTATATCGCTGATTAGGGTAATACGGGTTAAAGTCATTGCCCCGTTTGTGGTTGGCTTTCTCTCTTCTGCGTTCATACTGTCGTTTGTCTATCTTGATTGCTATAGTAATGTATACTGCTAGACCTTCTTCGGGCCTATCGGCTAGGTATAGTTTATCCTTAACTTCTTCCTTTAGTCCTCTATAGTAGATTTCCATCAAGGCTTTATTATCCTATTTAGTCTTAAATGCAAGCTATTAGAACTTGGCAGAGTAGGCGGCATATAACTTAGTTTATTTAAGTATAAGTAACTCTGCTGCAGCTTGCCGTTCTTTATTAACTACTTTAAAGTTATCTTTAAGGGTTTATTTAAAATTTCCCTAATTTCTAAAGATATTCTAGGTATCCTAGTCCTGCTATTCTTCTTTATTTTTAAGGAAGTCTCTTAGGATAGGTTTAAACTAATCCTTTATATCTCCTTAAATTAAGCTTATAATATATAGGAGTTTCTTTATAGGGGTATTTAGCTTATTCTTATAGAGGCAGAAGTAAGCCTTTATTTAGGTTAGGAATAGGATTATATTAGCAGCTTGGCCTCTAAAGGGTTCTAGCTTAGGAGGCTTAAGCGCTTTGCCTAGGTCTTGTTTATTACTGCCTTTACTAATAGTTATAGCAAGATATATATTTACCTAAGCCTATAAAGTATAGATAGTATTATAAAGTTATTAGACTTTAGCTATTATTTTAGTAGTGCTAGGTAGTACTTTAGTATAAGGAGGTACTAGGCCGGTATTGCTAGATATCTTAATAGTATAATATTACTTAGTTATTAATATAGTATATTTTAAATAAGAGCTATTAATATATAATAATTAAGGTTTTTAAATAAGTAAACTAGTTTATATTAGGTTTTATATTTATAAGATTATAAGGCATTATACTAAGTAATAGTAAAGTATTATATCTTTTAATAATTAATAATATAGTTTAGGCTTATTAAGGTAAAGAAGTCTTATTAATAACTAGTAAGCTAAGTTCTATTTACTACTAAATAAATATATATATATAATATAGTAGCTTATAGTATTATAAGTCAGGCTTATAGTAAGTTATAAGTTAATATTATGAGCCGCATTGCGAGGCTTATGGGTATTATGGGGTTTATTTGTAAGTCGTTGTGTGATTGGCTGGATTGTTGGTGGGTCACACGTGACGTAAGCGCTTCCCCTCGTTAGGTCGTAACAGTTAGGTAAGTAGTATAATTAAGGAGTAAAAGATACCTACTGCTATTAGCGTCAGTAGTATAGCAGAACTGAGTTCCTTAAGAACAGGCATTGTCCTGCTGAGTAGCAGGGGGAGCTAGGCAGTTCGTGCGATTAATATCCCTTTTAGTTACTTCTAAGCATACATCAAGTTAGAGATGCTGTTAGATACACTAAAAAGAACTTACGACGGAGGGCCGGCATTGTGGGGCCAGGGAAAGTCACCGAAATTCGGGACACTAGGGTCCATGTCTCGAGTCTCAACCTCTGCAGCCGGTTCGGCAATAGGCGATGCCAAAGCGCCTTGCAGTAGAGAGTGGAAATTTGCATGGTGATAGTGCATAACTTAAGTGCAGGGCGGGTAGCTAAAGAAGGGGTGTAGTAGAAAGGGAGTGTGTGCTAAAGTAGCTAAGGGAGTAGCGAGATGTAGAGTGACCGAGATGGTTGAAAGGTTGAAAGGTGAAAGGGACGAACAGGACAGACTGGTATCTGTACAGAGTCTTTTACAGTACTTTGTTCATTAATGGCACTCCATCGAGGAAATAACTGAGCGTAAAAGGTCAATTCGCACCCGTTTCAACGCTGTGCATCTCTCACCATTGGTTATTGTTAGTTATGACTACTTGGGTAGGGCCTAGAGACCGGCCACCCCGTGCTTTCCTTCACACCATAGGTGCCCGTGCGTCAAGCACGGGGGGTAGCTTAACTAGGCAAAGGGTCGGTTAATAAGGAAATAAATAAGCTACTTTTAATTTATATGTAGCCCCACTAAGAAAATAGGTTACTTATTTAATTAAATTATTACCATTTGCTGCACTAATAATGCCCGCAATATGTCATTACCCCTTATAAACGTTATAACGAAATCACTACTTAAACATCCTCAATACCAACATAACTACTTTACTCAGTCATAATAATTGCAATTTTTATTTAATTGAGCTAATAAGTATATTAATTGAAAGCCCTTAGCCTGCTCTTTCTGCAATATAAAGATAGATCGATCCTGATACCGGAAACCCTAATATCTTGCGGTATACTGATCATAACCTTGAGATGCGTACTATCGCGGCTGTCGAGCTTCTTTAGGAAGGATATTACTCCTCAGCTATTAAAGCTACTGCGGCATAGAGGGTATCATATAAAAGGTTGCTTTCTTAATAAAAAGGAAAACATCCTATCTCTGAGAATGGCGGCAATTATACCCTTTTTTCGCCAGAAGAAGAGAAGGCGATCCTAGCTTGGTGCTGGCGCCGTATTACTCAAGGACATCATATTTAACAGCGCACTCTTCGATAGCATGCTAATTCTGTTTTAAAAGCTATAAGGAGAGCCCCTACTGCATCTAGATACTGGGCAAGGCGCTTCTTATGCCATCATTCTTCTGTTTTTTATAGAAGGAAGACTTTAATGCTTGAAGCATAAAGAAAGGCGATAGAAGACCAAGCAAATATCAAAGAGTGGTTTAAAAAGTGGCATAATTACACCAAAAAAGGCATAGATTATGAGGGTCTTTAGAACATCAATAAGATAGGCTTCTAGATTAGATATCTTAGAAACGGGATTATCATATAGACTTTTTAAGCTATTAACCGGCCTATCTTAATCAATGCATATAAGATAATAAGCATTACGGTTATTAAGTCGATATCAGCAATAGGAGCTATTATTCCCGCCTTTATTATTATGCTGGGGGTATAGTTACCATCTCGGTAGGTTGATAATGCATTAGAAAAAGGCATAACGATTATCACAATACCAAAAGGCTATATTAACGATATCGCCGCGCTAGAATTCTTCGATCACTTTGAACGGCATACGCGGTCTCAAAAAAATCCACAAAAAAGAATAATATTACTAGATGGCTGTAAGAATCATTTTACTAAAGAGCTTTTCTAAAAAGCCCAAGATACAGGCATAAAGCTCTTCCCTTTCCCTCCTCACTTAACGCATATTCTTTAGCCGCTAGATATTGGGCTATTTAGCTTATATAAGCACTGGCATCAAGAAGTCCTTTCTTATAAGATTGCAGATAGCGCTATAGACTTCAATAAAGCTAACTTCCTGTTTCATTTACAGGAAATCCGCCGTAAGACTGCTAAGAAAAGCACTATCATCTCATCTTGGAAGAAGACCGGCATCTATCCTTATAATCCTGCGGCCGTGATCGACCATATAATCAACCCCTTATCATCACTATCTTTAGAGGTAGCTAAGGAGTCATTACCCGGCTACATATTACAGGGGTTATCTTCTACCTACAGCAGCGATAATAACTCCAAATCCGATGAGGTTTCTAAAGTCTAATCGTCTCGAGAGCTATACCATTCGATTCCTTTCGATCAGGAGATTCGATTAATATCAACGCCGCCTCCGCACGTCAACTGGATCGAAATAAACACGCTACAGCTGAATTTGCGGAAGATCCGTTAGTACGAGGAATATATGGCCCTCAGGATCGAATGCTTAGTGGCCTCGGGCATGCCCCTGACTCCCTTAGTGTCATATATTAATAAGAAGGTGCAAAAGGCATACTCAACTCTTGCTTTAAATGGCATTACAGCGACTTAGGAGATGCGCCTGCTTAAGGAGAAGAACCTTAGACGCTCTGCCCGGGATCAGGGGATAACGATTATAGCAAATTACAGGCTAATTACTATCTATAATGCCAGACTTCGCGTCATAAAGGATCAGCATAACCGACTAGCCGGTCAGGCAGCAGAGGAATCGCGCCTCCATAATAAGGAAGTAAAAGATGAAGTCATCTATCTATGACGATGGATTACAGCAGTCAGGAAGCAATTGAGAATAAGTCTAAAGCTATTACAGGTTGCTGACCTTCATAGCAGCCAGCCAAGCTATTCTCAGAAGAAGAAGCTATTCACAGCAGGTGATTTCTATATAAAGTTACAACACCAAGAGTTTCTGAAGTTAACTGCATTACTAGGCTTAAGATACCGGCTTCTCTACAAGCTTAATAATAAAATAAAGCAATCTAAGGAGAGAGCAAAGCAGGCAGTAGAATTAGGAAGTCAGGAAGTCATTAAGGTCTTCAGATTTCACTGGAATCCCCCATTCCTTCTTCCATTTGACTATAACTTCAATATCGTGAAGGAGGCACTGGAATTCCTCGTTACAGATGAGGAAAAACGCCGCTCTAATCGGAAGAAGATGTCATTAGAAGCTGATGGCTTGGAAATCGTTGAAGATAACGAGGAATTAATTAATAAAGAAGATAATGACTCTGAAAATGATGAAATAGTCGTTAGGGGAAGTATTGAAGTCGATCAGGGCGAATTCGTTGTCCCAAGGGATAAAGAAAATACCGAATAGTTATAACAGTTGCTTGGTGTTATTGCGATATGCATTTTTGGTAATGGTTGCAAATGGAGGGGTTGGTCCGGTCACAATCATGTAATTAACAGTGAAAAAGGAGGTACTTTGTAATTTGGTAGGGCACACATATGAATTCAAGGTAGCTTTTTTTCCCTAGTCAACCGACCCTTTCCCCAGTCAACGCACCCCCCGTGCTATAGGCACCGTCACTGGTGACTGACTAAAAGCTAAGGGGTGGCCGGTCTCTAGGCCCTACCCAAGTAGATATGATATAAGTGTAGCCTGTGCTAAATTGTTGAGACATTATGGTGTAAAGTCTAAATTATAAGCTAGATGTGTTATTGGTGGATGAGACCTGTGGCTAAAAGCTTATCTTTAACTATTAGGTTTGCATCTCGTGCCAGATTGGCGGACGTTGGTGGTTAGGTCAATGTATATGCAAGGTCATCCCGACATATGACAATAACCATTAATTAGCCAGTTATGAGGCCACTTCACATTGTGTAGTCAGTGGGCTTGTCGTTTCAGAAGAGAACGATTAAATGTAACTGAGGCTTGTCTTATTGCCTTTGTCCAGGACTGCTTTCAACGTCTATTATTACATGTGATATGAAGTAATTGCACTTTGCTAGTTTGAAGTTCTCTACTATTGGTCTGGCTTTAATTTCACCGTCCTTTGCCTATTAGATAAAAGTATTTATTTATTTGTAAGGCCTGAGATTTTTAACTCATCCTTAAGTATCCGTGCTGCTATATTTGTTAAGTCATTATATTATCTTATTTACTGTTAGTTTTTAAACATTAACTGACTGCTTAGTATAGTATTTATACACTGCTATGCACTCAGCCTGCCGCATTCCAAATCGCATCAGCCACCTCAAAGCGGTGGTTCAGTAGGGTAGAGTGCCATACAATATGCATCTAAAAAGGTCGCCGATAAAAGCTATCTTGCGACTACAGGTTTGCGCTGAGGGCTGCCCTTGTGCATCAGAACGACATCACAGGTGGTATACAAGTCTGTAGCTGAACTTACTGAGATCCTTCTTAGGAGCCTGATATGTTGGGTGGATGTTGAGTTGAGTAATTTGCCTGATATGTAGCCATCTATTTGGGTGGCGTCGTTGGTCCTAGGAAAGCAGTGGTAAGTATTGTTTCATTGCATGGGAATGATGATTGAATTTTACGCGGATCATAGAGCCTGGCCAACAAAGTCAAAACTCGGCTCAACAATGTGACCCCAACCAGAAGTATGCAAGTAGCGCTTTGGTGGGTTTTGTAGACCTCCAATCTAGTTACCGCTCCTCGCCCGGAGATAACCTCACAATGGTACAAGGAGATAGTGTAACAACAACCTGTCTATATATAGGCTGTTCCCCTCGGCGGTTGACGAGCGGTTATGCCCTATCTTAGAGTTAGGCCTTAAGTTGATTCACAGCACTCGTTCAAGAACCAAAACCAACTTTACATCACACGTCACAGCCTATTAATTTATCCTGCAAAATGAAGTTCTTCGTTCTCGCACCCTTCTTTTCCATGCCACTGGTTCTCGCAGCTCCTGGCGGTTACTACCCGCCGGGCCAAACTGTCACGGTCATCAAGCCGGTCACGGTCATCAAGCCGGTCACGTTCACCAAACCTAGGTTCACGTTCACCAAACCAGCGGACACGGTCACGATCACCGAAACAGCACACGCGGTCACGATCACCGAAACAGCACACGCGGTCACGATCACTGAAACAGCACACGCGGTCACGATCACCGAAACAGCGCACGCGGTCACGATCACCGAAACAGCACACGCGGTCACGATCACTAAAACAGCACACGCGGTCACGTTCACCAAACCTTGTAAGCCAACCAAGACACACCACGGTGATGATGGCCACGGTGATGATGGCCACGGCGATGATGGCCATGGCCATAGTGGCTCCAAGGATGGTGGCTCCAAGGATGGTGGCTCCAAGGATGGTGGCTCCAAGGATGGTGGCTCCAAGGATGATGGCTCCAAGGATGGTGGCTCCAAGGATGGTGGCTCCAAGGATGGTGGCCACGGCGATTCTGGCTGGTGAACGTGCCAAGTTGGGCAACAAGAACCAGCGCAACAAGTACGGAGGTATGTAACTCACGGACCATATTAACTCATAGCAGTGGCTGACATATCAGGGGTATTCGCATTTGGATGAGGTAACTGTCACGAGTTGGCAGGACTGAGGACATTGAGTGTTAGCCCTAGCGGTACTTAAGTAACTCGGATTTGAATGCTTTTGGATTGCCGGATTACAAGACAGCTTGTTTTTTCACTTCTCTTAAACTCGCTTACTCTATGGCTTAGTATGCTCTTTTTGTTATAGCTTAAGTCAAGTCACTTTATTATTGGCTTAGGTGAGGGCTTAGGCCAATGAGTTGGGTGTCTGATTGCTTGATGGTGATCTTTTAAATTGTGCTTTTTTGCTGCAGTTATTAAATTATAGTTAGTTGCAGCGTATTAACTGGTGTCCAGCCGCCTCTGGATCAAAATCAAACCACATTCCTTATGATTACCCCTCGCCCTTTTTCTAGTCCCTTTCCGTGCCTGCGGAAACCGTCAGCTTGTCCGGGCGTGCCCTCAGTGGCGCCATCAGCATCACGATTTTTACATGCGTCTATCACAACAAGATGGGATACGGACTACCAAAGGCTGTTGGGCTCGGTTCTTGCGGCTCAGGCCTGATTCAACACGTGCTGAGCGCCATCGATAGCGGAAACCCAGCTGCCATTTGTCTGGCCTGCTAGCATCGCTGATCCCGGCAGTCCAAGCCGCAAGCGATCATGCCAATACGTACTCGTAGAGATTCGTGTGGATTGCTATCGCCGTTGTGCTGGCGCCATATGCACTGGCTGCGTGCTTTCTCATGTCGGTTGCTGGTCAGATGAATAGCCATGTTGAGTCTGATTTGGGAACATTCGGATGTTCGCCGGCAGCAGATGGGCAATAACTAAGTTCATCAAACTGGTACCAGAAACTGAAGTATCAGCTTCCTACTACGTAGGCATACTTCGCGGGGCCAATGGCTTTGGCCTTTCTTTGTTTAGTTAGTCTGGAGAACCTCAGTAATCTTTCAAGGAAAGTCATAGGACTTATCTGCATTTGACCTTTCTAAGTCTTTCTAGTCTTGCTTCCTCGTTCTCCTGCTTTAGCTGCGGTTGCCCGGTCTTTCTCTGAGTGTGTATAAGTATGCGTCAAAGCGGCTTCTTCAAGCTCTCGGCTGTATGCACGATGGTCTTAGACAATACATACGCTCTGTTCAATACCCAACATACAGAAAAGAGCACCGATGTGAGCAGATTTCTTAGGATATGGCTTGGAAGCTATAGCTTGAAGAGCTTTCAACTAGGCACAGCTTTCTTTTTTCACATTCTATCAAGTGGCAGCTGAGGTCTAATGTAAAGCTGTTTATTGATTCTGCGACATCATTTCTGTAGCCTACTGCTCACCTTCTGGTCTCCTAATACGCATAAAGTCCCCAGTCTGATAAAGGAGAGACGGGGTAATCCTTGCGATCTTCCACAGGCCCCCAGCTCGGATGAATTGATGCTGCATGTGGCTCCTCCCGTCACTGGTCTCGTTGATCCTTGTGGCAGACGCGTCCCTCGCGCTCCCACCGTCGGCTTGCAACCGCCCGTGACTCGCCAATTGCTGCCACTCTACCACAATTTCATCGGCGGTGACCTTCTTGAAATATGGCTGCGCCAGGAGGTGCTGTGTCACTAAGGGCTTAAGGCCTAGGTGCTCCTCTGAGAGCCAAAGGGCCGCGAACTCGGCCGCCTTGTACTGCTTTACTCCCCACACTGGCACGATTAGCGTGTAGTCGACAGAAACCTCTGGTGCTAAAGCGGCGAGGAGTCGCTCTTCACTCTTGATTTAGAGAAAAAGGAATCGACGTTAGTTTCTCCATTTGTTCATTTGAGAATAAAAAGAAGTAATATGTTCATACCTTTGTGTCATAACCGTCAGCCCAAACCCTTGCTGTTTGGATAACAGCAATATAGTCTTGGAAAGTCAGATTGTCTGGAATGTAAATTTCGAAAGGCATTTTTAAAGGTTTTTTTTTCAGTGGTGTCTGCACCCAATTCTGTATTTTGGGCTAGGGATGTTCTGACGTTGGATAATATTAGACGCTATTTATCAAGTAACAAGACCCTCACGCTTATCACGGGAATCCCGATGGTATTAATATAGGTGCATTGGAAGCGTACGCGTCGGTAGATGATGGCGTCCGAAAATCCCGCTCGGGAAGTCCACTCGGGAAGTCCACCCGGCAAGTCTTATCCGAGAAGCTTCCCCATGGGCCTGCCAGTGTAATATCCAACCTGATTGATATATCATATAACTCCAGTGCCAGCAAATAAACAATTAATTTATTTTATTAATACTTAAAAGTGTTTTCGTACCTAACATTATGCAGTCACCATACAGCCTCCGCACCGGCATTTATCCCGAGATTGACCCAAATCAACTCACGGGCTCACTATCAGGCAAGAATGTCCTGATAACGGGTTCTGGCAGGGGTATCGGCCGGGAGATTGCCCTCGCAATGGCGCGAGCCGGGGCTAACGTTTGCGTGACGGCACGAACACGCAGCCAGGTCGAGGAAACAAAAGCCGAAATTGTGAGCTTAGGTCTCGATGGCAATGTCGTTGGCATCGCGGCAGACGTGCTTAAACTGGAGGATCAGGAACGCCTTGTACGCAAATTCCGCGAACAGCTCGGCCCCGTCGACGTGTTGGTGTGCAATGCCGGCAGTAACATCTTCCAGCCCTTCCACTTGACGAATGCAACTGATTGGTGGGACATCATGGAGCTGAACGTGCGGGCACCAGTTGAGCTCACCCGACTTGTCCTCCCGGAAATGCGTGAGAGGAACCAAGGGGTCATAATCTACACTTCGTCATGGGCTGCCAAGGCGAACCTCCCATGGACCACGGCATACAACTGTGCCAAGACGTCTATCACCAGATTTGCGGGCACTCTGCAGGTCGAGCTAGATCAAGTGCAGAGGGTCGAGAAGGGGGTGGACAACAACATAGCTGTCTTCAGCATTCACCCGGGCGAGATAGAGACCAATCTTCACGAAACGGCGTTCCCGGAAAGGACAAAGCGAGAGGCCCCATACGTTATGGATAATTTGGCTAAAATAGGAGCCAAGAGACCTCATTTTGAGGCTGCTTTGCCCGCATGGACTTGCGTGTGGCTTAGTTCTGGAAAAGGTTCAGGCCTCAGGGGGAAGTTTGTAGATTGCACGCGAGATGTCGGCGAACAAGCTAAGGAGGCATCAGAGGCACCCAAGATACATTAGCTTAATATAAGCCAAGTTGGTGTCTTAGAATTATTCCACACTTGCTATTACTTGGCCGGTTTTATTTTACATAAAACTGATAATTAATAAATTATATTATAGAAATTAAATTTAAGAGTTGTTTCTCTTGTTAACAGAGTCAGTTAAACCCTCCTTATCAGTGGTTTTATGGTTCTATGCTCTTGTTATAAAAGACATAGGCGCTAATTTGACAATATTAAGTAGATTTTCAATAGGGAGATTGTTCCCTGGAAATACCACGACGCTCATGACCCGTTATTACTACTCAGCTATGATCAACTAGATATCATTTGCATAGATCCTGTTCCCACCTGCAAAGACACACTCAAGACTCTACATTCTTTCGGAGAAAATGAAGTGGCAGGAATGATTATTGCCGCAAGTTGGTGGGGTATTGCAAGCCAGTGACAAAGAAATATGACTCGTTGATGTACAACTAGGGATGACCTCTCTAACGGCATAATGTCTTTACAGATAGATCAGCAATTCTCGCCGATCAGACCATATTTCGCCAAGGATCAGATCATACAATTGTGTGGAGTTAAGGGCTATGGCAGGGATTAGCTAAAGGGCTTAAACGAAGCCTTACAATAAAGCTGTAGACTGGAAGGTTAGTTACCACAACGGCCAAGAAACCTGTCTGTGTGGCCTTGGGCATAAACGCTAGTCTATTGGAAAGTTTTGGTGACAATTGAAGACGATGTGTTCAGTCAAAGAAAACTTCGCTGATTGAAGCATTTAAAGGGTTTGAACCAACAGGTGGAGTGGACATGGATTTAAACGATGTATCGAATCCTTGCCCTGAGGGCTACCCATGCCAACCCTAAACCTTCCCCCAACAGTTTAAATAATCATGTCATACAATAATGAGGGATAAAAGGGTTCCTTTGCACCATGATCCAAGATTTTTGAAAGTCCCTGATAACATCCATTAGACTATATCTTTACGCTTGATTCCCAAACACAATATTTGCCAGCATGTACCCTCTCGACCTTAAAACATCTGCTGCTGATAGCCACTGCGCCGTGGCTATCTGTCTTGGAGAGACTCCTCTTTGTTCCCCAGACAATGTCTGCGATCTTGTCAATACTCTTCAGCAAAAATTCAACGATATCATCTTCCTCATTTGTGACGAAATCCACAAGTATGAGATGATGATACCACGAACTATGACCATTACGAGAGCTCAACGAGCGGCGGTTAAGAAGGGGGATGAAATGGAAGCGATCCTCAACGACGAATTCGAGCGCCTGAGACAAAATAGCCAGCTTTCAGCCAACTTGACTATTCTACGCTGGTCTGAGATCGAAGACCAAGATTATCACAAGCTTCTGGACATTGTGTACCAATACCGGAAGCGCTTCGAACAGAATCTTCGGTCAAGCTCCGAATTCTATATCAAGCGCCGCTTGGCTGTCGCCACGTTGACCGAGGAACGAATTGAGAATTTCACGAAATACACTCTTGCTGAGCTTCCTGTGCAAATCATGGGACTGAATTACAACAATCGCCAGTATACCACCATTTTCCATCCCGTGTACCCACGGAAGAATCCTGATGGGTCAACGGGCAACGTCAACTCCGCGTATGTCTCGCCTATCGACAACGTAGTGCAGGCCTACCGCAACAATCCGGATGTCGTAGGCGACATCTCCCGCTCGGTCCCGCACATGGAAACTGGAAATGTGACACGAGTCTTCTTTGAAAGGCCCATTCAAAAAGAAATAAAGGGGATGCCGTGTGTTTATAGCCCGGAAGCGCCTCTGAAAAAGTCCGGGGTCATATCCTGAAGTGGGAGCAGATTTAAAATGTCTTTGAGGATCTTTGCTATTTGGAACATCACATATACCATGCCTACTAGGTACCAGATCATCCCAGAGCTGAGAATAGACCTTAAAGCTTTGCAATGAGCCTTGTCGCATATAGGCCTAACAGATAGTTGGCAAAGAACAGATGCACGGCAGGCTGGGGGCATATACATCTAGAATAGTGTAGGGCGAAATCGCCCAATGGCGCAGGTAGCTGAATAGATCGCAATTACATCTATAATAGATCTTGGAGTTCTCTGATAATTACATGAGGATATACAAATTATTATTTACAGGCGCCTAAGGAATGGTGTGATTGACCTTCAGATTAAGAACATCATCTTTAACTTAGGTAACAATTGCATCCCGACTCAAACCATCGGTATCACCATAACTAGTTGCAGCGCCCAAAACCACGTTGACTAGCCAATTAGTATTATGTTCAGAGTCAGCAGAAAGGAGATTACTTACCACCCAGAGCCGCAATGAGTGCTCGTTCCGCAGTAGCCTGCAGCGCTGCAGCACTGGCCGTTGAATGGACCACCAGCGCAGGTAAGACCGACTTTGCTGCCACATGAGCCATCTAGAGTCGGAATGTCCTTCGTCAAACAGGCACTGGAGGAGCCCTTCTGGCTGGACGGGAATGTTAGCCACAGTATTGTAAAAGAAGAGGAAAATAACTTACCAGCCCTGACCGCAGTGAGTCGAAGTGCTCCCACAGAATCCATTGGCAGAGCAGCAGTTTCCTAGGCCAGAGCCTACACAAGTCTTTCCGTTCCTCGAACCGCACTCAGCATCAGTGGAAATGCCAGTGCAGAGACCATAGGCTGTCTGGCATCCATCACGGCAGTAGTCATCGCCCTTGCCACAGAAACCATTCTTGGAGCAGCAATCACCCCACTTGCTGCCCTTGCAAATCTTGCCATTCTTACCACAGTTTCCATCAGTAGAGATGTTACCAGCTGAGGCATCACAAGTGCCAAAACCTGACTGACAACCTGTACCGCAATGATCCTTCTCCTTGCCGCACCAGCCTTGAGGAGAACAACAGTCGCCGAACGTACTACCCTTGCAAGTCTTTCCATTCTTGCCACATTGACCATCCGTGGAGATGTTGCCAGCAGCATTGTTGCAGCTGCCGAAAGCGCTCTGGCATCCTGCGTCACAATGACCCGTTTCCTTGCCGCAGTAGCCCTGGGCAGAACAGCAGTCACCGTACGTGCTTCCTTTGCAGACCTTGCCATTCTTACCACAAAACCCGTCGGTAGAGATGTTGGTCTCAGCGGCGCATGTGCCGAACTTGGGCTGGCAGCCTGCACCACAATGGCCGTCTTCTTTGCCACAGTATCCTTCCGCGGAACAGCAATCTCCGTATTTGCTGCCTTTGCATACCTTTCCGTTCTTGCCACAGAAGCCATCAGTGGAAACATCAGTTTCGGCAGCACAGGTTCCAAACTTGGACTGACAACCAGCAGCACAGAAGTCATCGGTCTTACCGCAGTATCCTTCGGCAGAGCAGCAGTCACCAAAGGCACTTCCTTTGCAGGTCTTGCCATTCTTTCCGCAAGAGCCGTCAGTTGAGACATCTCCCGAGTCGCCGCCAGTACATGTGCCAAAGCCACTTTGACATCCAGCACCGCAGTGATCGGTCTTGTCGCCACACCATCCGGAGCCAGAGCAGCAGTCTCCAAAGCCAGAATCTAAACAGATCTTGCCGTTGGCACCACATTGGCCATCGAAGGTGATGTTACTGGGAGGACCGCATGTTCCAAAGTCGGGAAGGCAATTGTTTCCGCAGTGGGAGGTAGAGTTACCGCACCAACCTTGGGCGGAACAACAGTCTCCGAAGGGGCTTCCGCCACATACGAACTTGTTTGTACCGCCGCAAGAACCATCTGGAGAGACACTTCCAGGACCTGGGGGAGCTTCAGGAGGAGGTGCAGCAGCATTGCAGTTGCCAGCAGAAGGTTGACTAATTCCAGCGTGAGCGGTGTCCTTGGGAGGGATATGAGTGTGACTTACCATCCTTCGCCACAGTATTTGCTCGACCGACCACAAATGCCATCCCCGGAGCAGCAAGCACCCCAGACAGGACTGCAGACAAAGCCCGTGCCCTCTCCGCAAGTCCCATCAGGAGTGACTTCTCCGGTCTGCCATGGCGATAGTGTAACAGTCTTTGACTGAGCAGCAACAAGTGCAGGCAGAAGCCAGAAGAGTCCAGCGACCTTCATGTTCAACGAATGATTGGAAGAAAAGCTCGTAGAGTTGGCAGTGCTGATGCTGGGTCATTGTCACGATAGAAGCCGTTACACAACTTATATACCAATTTAGACATGTAGTCAGGAAATCGTACAATGTCATTTGTCGTCCCTTCGTCGAAAATTTCGGAAGGATCATCCCAATTAGGCTATAAATCCATGTCGTGGGGAAACTCATCTGGGAAGGGAAGACGTTTTCCGCGACCCACGCCTCTTCAATCCTTGTCCATGCTGCTCAAATTTCTCTCTTCGGGAGGGTCCGTTAGGCAGACTCGAGATTTAATTCGCGCAGGAGAACCCCTGTGATCGGGAGATATACCCACCAGCATGCAACATAGGGCTTAGACTACGGACCGGGTCGGCCGCCCGAGCTTGATGGTTCTGAGTGGCTTTGTTAAGGTTATTTCTCAGAACTTTAACAGTTCAAGAGCGATTACGTCTGTTAAACTTGGGGGTTGAAAAAATATTCACGACTTCATCTCACATTCTTTCAGGTTTTGGCCAAGGCCAGAGTCATTAAACACCTCCCATCAATAATCAAGATCCAGTAGTTACCTGTGAAGTCCAAGATGCTCGCTCATCACGGTGAACTGGCCACCTGAAAATCCTCTTCAGTTGGCCCTAGAACTCATTGAGAAGGTCACTGCATCTGCATCCCGGCTCGTCGGCTCATGCCGCTCGCATGTGACGGGTAATTTAAACGCCACCCGCTCCCGGCATCCCTGCCAAGCCACGGGATTCCGCTGTTTCCACTATTACCGGCTCTTCATAGCCTTACGCCAAGGCTTAGAACTGCATGCATTTGGATCCTAAAGGCTCGTTCCTGAACTATTTTCTGCACGTCGAGGCCGAGATCCGCTTGGCAAATGAAATGTCGTCGGACAGGCCCTTCTATGATTCGCTTATAAACGTTAAACCTATGAACTAGAACTTTTCAAGATGGGATGACTTGATCCGTCTGATGTCCGCTGCATGGTTTGTTCGAGATGCAGCATGGTTGGAATCCATCATCGAGGCTGAGTCTAATCGACTTTGCCCTTTCAAGACTCTATTCCGAGAGGAAAACAGGCAATGCTCCAACGTAGTAGTAATATTGGTGAACGAGTTTATTACGCAAATGACTCAAAATGGTTTTCCAAAATATGGGCCGAGCTGCATGCTATCTTCACGGACTTTCGGAAAACACATAAGACCGATATATATACCTAGTTTCATGTCTAGGTGATAGTCATTGTTAGACCGACCGAGAGGTATCGTTCATCGCTACATTACTCGTGATCATGGTGTTGCGACTCTCGAGCATCGCCTTTACGGCGGTTGCTATTCTCTTCCTTTGTCTTTCAACGTTCGCCAATGCCGAAAACACTCGCCAACATCACGGCAGCCGTGCTCGGTATCACCGTCGTTCCAATGTAATCAGTAAGTTTACTACACAGCTACCAAGCTCATCTCTCCCACGCAATGGTGAAAAGAGTCTTCATACTGACAACTACGAAAGCCAAGGCTCCTGCATGGGCCAAGGAGATCACCAACAGCCCGGGTCACCAGAACCCTGCCATGGCACCTCCGGACCCAACTGTCGAACTTGAGCTTTCTGATGATTCTGCTACCAGCCTGGATCAGTACTATAAGGACGCTGAAAATGCTACCGAGTCTTCTGATGTGACCCCTAACAAGTCTCATCTTTCACGCCGATCATTGGAGAAGCGTGGAAGTGGCCCTCTGTACTGCAAGGATGGCCCTTGTGCCGATGATAGGTGAGTAAACTACGAACCAGAGGATGGCGGAGATCACTGACCCTGCGTAGTTGCTGCGGCCCCAAGGGCATCTGCGGTTATGGTCCAGACTATTGCGGTGATGGATGCTCATCCAACTGCGATGCTACAGCCATGTGCGGAGAGTACAGTGAAGAGGGCGAGATGCCTTGCGGCATGAACCTCTGCTGTTCTGCTTCGGGATGGTGCGGTGTGAGTTTCCGTTCTATCTTTATCACTCAGAACTTGCGAAACTGATAATACCTAGACTACTGAAGTCTTTTGCGACAATGCCGATCCTCTCCATAAAACTCTTCCCTGCCAAGCCGGCTACGGATCTTGCAACATCGCCTCCTCCCCTTCATGCGCCAAGGGCGGCGGCAGCACCAATGGCCGGACTATCGGCTACTACCAGTCCTGGAACGTGCGAGCCCGCAAATGTGACACCAAGACCCCGAAGCAGCTTAACACCAAAGGTTTCACTCATCTCTTTTACTCTTTCGCCTTCATTGATCCTGTTTCCTTCAAGGTCACCCCCGCCCATGACGATGATGTCAAGCAGATGCGCGAGTTCACTGACCTATCCAAGGACGGTAAGTTGCAAACTTGGATCGCTATCGGTGGGTTTGACTTCAGCAATGAGAACACATCTACTCACACCACTTGGAGCGACATGGTGTCTACCAAGGAAAACAGAGCTGCTTTTATTGAGTCAGTTCGTGCTTACATGGATGAATATGGCTTCCAGGGCGTTGATCTCGATTGGGAGTATCCTGGTGAGCCCAAGCGCGGTGGTCGAAAGCTTGCTGATACTCGCAACTTCTCCATGCTGCTCAAGGAAATGCGTGCAGCATATGGTAGCAAATATGGTATCAGCTTGACCTTGGCTCCTGATTACTGGTACCTTCGTTGGTTCGATGCAAAGGCTATGGAGCCTTATGTGGACTTCTTTGGCTTCATGGCTTATGGTAGGTGTCACCCTTCTGCGGCCTGTGTTCCTATTACTAACATCCACGATAGATCTCCACGGCTACTGGGATGAAGATGTCAAGACTCTCGGCAAGATCATCCGCGGTCAAGCTGACATCCGAGAAATTGGCAACAACACCATTCCTCTGTGGTTCGGTGGACTTGATCCGAAGAAGATCAACTTCGGCCTAGCTCTGTACGGTCGCGGCTACACTGTCGCTGACAAGAGCTGCAATAGTCTTGGCTGCTCCTTCGTTGGTCCCAGCAAGAAGGGCGAGTGCACTGACTCTGATGGTGTCATGTCTCTTGGAGAGATCAAGAATCTCATCAAGAAGGGCGTCAAGTCTGTTTATCTCAAGGACTCCATGATGAAGCAGATCACTTTCGACGATCAGTGGATTGGATATGATGGCAAGTTGCGCCTGCTTTCTGAGCACTTCTTATTACTAACAAGACCTAGATGAAGAGACCTTTGCTGATAAGAAGGCATGGGCTGATGGATATTGCTTTGGCGGTACCATGATCTGGAGTATTGACTTCCAGCCTAGCAACAGCTCTTCGTAAGTGACCTGTTAAAAGCTTTTTTTCTCGGCCACTAACATTACTCAGTGGTGGCGGTGATGTGCCAGCGCTTCCAGACCTCGATGGCATTGGCGCGATTCCCAAGGACCTTCAAGACAAGGTCCTCAAGAAGTGCGACACCGGCTTCTCTTACGACAACTATGGCGACTTGCCAAGACTCTGGTATGACTCTGGAGCTGAGCAGTGGGCTGATGCCTACATCAAGTCTCAGAAGGATCACACGAACTGGGCCCAGAACCTTTACCGAAATCTCTTTGAGAAGAAGGACCATACCAAGTTCTCTTGTGTTACGCCTAACTCCAGATGTGACTTTGAAGCTTCTTGCGGTAAGTTGGCCCTTTCATCATAGCTCCGAGACATGTGGCTGACCTTTGTAACTAGCTGAGTTCAACAAGATTGGCAAGGGTGGACTATACTACCTCTTCCAGTCCATGTCCAGTTTCCATACCTTCATGAAGGCTCTGAACCAACAGTTCGACAGCAAGATCACTCTGACTCTTGCCACCGTCTCCGAGATGAGACTTATCCTCGACATCAAGAGTGGTCTTCCCCAAACAACCATCAACATCGGTAGCGTTCTCGGTTCAGCCTTTAGCATGGCGAGCGCTGTTGCTGCGCCTATTCCCGCTGTCGGTGGCCCCCTTGCTGGTATCTCCGGCCTTGCTAGCTTGATTGGAACCTTCACCAGTACAGTGTAAGTGGCTGAGGGCCTCGTGATGGCTTTATGGAGACTAACACATTGCTCACAGTGGTGGTAACGACAATGCCGTTGACGCGACCGACACTTTGACTTTCGCAGTCAAGACCGCTGCAGTGGAGGGCAAGAGAAAAATCGCCAGCATTGTCTCCTCAGTATACGGTGACTTTGGACATGCGCAGGCCGAAGTCCATGCTGGTTGGAGGCGCTGATAACCCTGCCATCAAGGTCTTCGGCTATGGTTCCTGGTTGAGAGATAACGATCTCACTGACCTGAGTGGTGCCGTGGAGAGAATGTCGGACAAGATGGTAAGCTACTCTACATACCCTTGCGGCAAGGATACATACTGACCTTCAGCAGAACCAAGCTCTTCTGTGGCAGATGGCGAGACTCTTCAAGGGTTTCTACGTGGTGATTCGAGACGATCTACCTATCAACAAGTGCATCCATCCCAACAACGCATGGGACGACAGGACCGGCCGCTGTCTCGACATCCTCTCTTGGTGGCCCAAGACAGCATCCGGTCGTGTTGGCGGTGATCTCGCCATGGAGAAAGTCTGGGATAAGTGGAACATGTCTCCTCTCTGGACTCTGCGCAACGCCGTCGAATGCTGGGAGAACAACGGCGGCAAAATCGGCGATGCAAAGGTCAAGGCTCTTCAGAGCGAGTGGAACAACGGTGTCCCTCCTCCTTGCTTCTTCGCTATGCCTGTTCTCAAGGGTAACTGGTCCAAGGATGCTGCTTCTGATGGTGCAATCTGGCTTGCTGGTGACTTTGTTGGGCAGGAAGGTCAGGCTGGTAGACTTTGGCCGAAGGATAAGTGCGACAAGGCGAATAGGGAACTTGATCCGATTACTGGTGGTCAGGTGAAGAAGTGCAGCAGTCTCAACAAGGTTGGAGGGGAGAAATAGGTCTTGCATGTTTAGTATTGAGTTACTCCTACGAAAATCGCTGTCAAGGGCGGTGGCACTTTGTTCATTTGTATATATTCTTTCTCTTTACACTATTTCTTGCTTGTAAATTCACTGAAAAATGCTTGATTCTATTCCATGGTTTCTTTCTATGTCTGAATATCTTGTAACTTAATATCTCCGGGCTACCTCCTCTTGCGTTATCATTCAAGAGACATCTCATCACTGCTGCAGATGACAATACCCAAGATGGCCGATTACAGACAAGAACGTTGTCGATCCAACAGCATGAACAGAACGATAGCCAGTCACTGTGAAGGGAGTTACCAGCAAAGCTACTGAGTATAACTATCTACTCCATATCTACTGAAGAGGCCAAACAATCATCCACCGTAACCTGGTAGACATTACCTCAAATCCTTCAACCTATCCGTGATAAGACTTCCCCCAATACTCTCCTTCCGTATCACCTCCCTCTCGTCTAGTCCTTGCGTCAAAGCTTTCCCTCCGTTGACATCCATAGTTCCACTTTGGGACCCAAGTACACTCTCATTACTTCTTGGCGTTAGCCTTCACTGCCTTCTTTGCCATCTTCTTGGCCATCTTCTTCATCTTCTTGCGGCTGGCCTTCACGGTCTCGTTCGTCTTCGGGTTTTCAACCTCCTAGATGTCGTTCACCTTCTGCTCAAACTCGTGTTTCTCCTCCTCAAGCTGAGTAACCATCTTCTTACGCTCATACAAGAAAGCTTCGAAGCGCTCAACAGTCAAGTCCGCCATGAACGAAGCGTTCTCTGCCTTCTGGAGATCCTTGATCTGGGCGACAAACTTGTCGTTTCCCTTCTTCAAGTTTATAATGATCTTTTCATGGCCCTCAATCATAGCCTTGAGTCGTTCGTGGTTGACGTCGACCGGGGTAGCGGATTCGTGCTCCTTCGCCTTATTCTTTTCGAAATCCTCATCGATCTTCTGCTCCACCTGAGTCTTCCAGTCGTGCATCATATGCTTCAGCTGCTGGACGTGCTGGTGGGTCGTAAGCGAGAACTGGAGGCGGACATGGGCCTGGAGGGCGGTGTTCTTCTCTTTGAGCGCGTGGAGCTCGTCTTGCGCAGCGGCCTGAAGTTGGACCGAGTTCAGGCGCTCCCGAACTCGTCCCAGCTCAGCACCCTTGGCAGATGCTTCGAGTTCGGCGGAGTGCCAGTTGCGGTTGGCCTCGTCCAGGCTCTTCGAAAAATGCTCCTTGAAGGCTTTCTCATAACGAATCTCTGCCTTGAGTTCTTCGTTTTCCGACTCGAGGGCTTGGACTTTGGCGCGCAGCTCGTTCAGCTCGGCGTCCTTGGCGTTCTGTTCCATGATGAGCTTTGGTTCCTTGAGCTCATGATCCTTGGTTTCAGATTCGAGGCTTACCTTTTCAGTGTTGTCAACGTCAGCCCCAACAGAGCTAGCATTGGAATACTCCGCCATGGCGGGAGCAGGGGGGGTCAGAACAAGAAATTTGTTGTCCTTGACAGGGGTAGTAGGGGAAGACTCCACGATGGGAGAAGCAGGAGCTGTGAGTTCAAGAAACATCTTGGTAGATTCCTGACTGGTTAATGTCTTGGTGGTTTCGGCCGGTGATTGCGGTTGAGTGTGAGGATGTCTCTGTTGAGTGCGGCTGGTGGTAAGGTCGATCGATGATTGATGATCGATGATGGGTTGATAGTTGATAGTTGAAGGTCGATGGTCGATGAAGAAGGTGAGATAGATGATGAAAGATGTGAAGATGGTTGATGAAGAAGAAGAAGATGGAGTTGGAAGTTGGTGAAGAAGTTAAAGTTTGAGAGATGGAGCAAACCAGGTATTTATTTGGGCATCCTGTAGTGTTCATGATTAACCACTGGCAGCTTCGTGTAATCCTATTCTGCACTGCCCAGTGACCATTTGCAGTGGCAGAAGTATGTATTGTTTACAGTTGATGCGCATTTCGCGCACCCTCCCCTTGTGGCAGTGGCAGAAGATATGTTCACCATGATCGTTGAGCATGAGCTTCAACACAATCATGAACACAGCACGCGCAGTGACGAGGCACTGCTAAAGATATGAACACGTCTATTATGAGAGAGCCTCAAGCAGTGTTCTCGCTGTCCGTTACGTAAATACCACTTCTGTTCTAATTATACAAGTTGCAGCATGTAGTATTATTCTAACGCGACTGATTTGCAGTGGATTTACGATCTTAATTAACATCAAATTGAACTAAGCCTGCAGTTCTGTTCTACATATCTTTTCACCTTAGTCAGAACTTCCACCAAGAAGATACTCCACAACAACTTGTCCCCAATAGACTGATGCTTTGTACCACGCGATTGCAGGTACACTACCGTCCTTAATCCCCCTTATTGCTTCAGCCAATGCCGGTCCTCCACCTTCGTCTCGAATCTGCCTGAGAGGGTATTGGTATGTCTTGAATGCAAACACCAACGTGTCCTCACTTTCAATCAACCTATGGAGTGTCTGCCTCTCACATCGAACGTTCATTTGCTCGGGGTCCAGATCAGCACTCTTCATCTTCAGCACCTCTATACCTAGCCACTCAAGAACCATTTTAATCCAACCCATCAACCACAAGGGCAAAACTGTCAAAGGATTCTCCCGCGGAGCAAAAAGGTCACGATCGAGGGCTATGTTCCAGTTGTGCCGTTTAACTATTTTACCCTTTGGTAAGGAGGCGAAGTAGCGGTTCATGGGTCTCTCAAGCTTTTCTTTATAGCCAGGAACGGGTCCATGAATCTCGGCCAAGGTTTTATTCAACTTGAGGGATGGATTGAACGAGAAGGCATAGCAAAGTATAAGTGCTTTTGCAACGTAAGTGTCACCTTGCCGCTGAAGAAAGAAAAGCTCTGCGTCGATGTTCTCGGCAAGCAGGTGGAGCATTGTCTTGACGTCGTTCGGCGGATTGAGGGGTAGTTTAGTTGACGCTGGGCCGAAAAGCGTGTCCCCTTTGGAATGGTAGATGGACGGATATCTTCGAGGTAGGTATGTTCTAACCATCCAGACATAAAACTCTTTCACAGCAGTCTCCGAACAGGGTTCAGAGGCAATGACCATGTCGGAATGCTCATTCACAATTTTCCGTCGAAGAGCAAGCCTCTCCTCTAGAGTTCTGTCAATAGGCATCACGTCTGAGAAAGTGGTTTTCTCAAGACCCATCGTAAGGTGATACTTGGGTTTCCATGGCCGCGTCTGTACTGGCTCGGCTTTGTCCAAGTCAAAGTCTTCCAGAGGCTGGATGTCGTTGTAATCGCTCGGCAACTCTTGATGATGGTGCTGGCTACCCTGTGGGAGTGCATGTTTCTGATGTGAACATATTAGCACTTTGTTGCTACAATATCCCTCCATGCTCATGACCGCCATTTTGTCTGCAGAGACGTACCAGTTCATTTTTCTTCTTATTATTCCACCATACCAGGGTCGCGGTTAGCGCGGTCAATATTAGGGAAAACCAATAGTACAAGTCTGCCATTGCAAGAAGCTCGATAAGATCAAATGTAATAATACCAGATAAAATTCAAATTTTATACAAATTTTATAATTATCTGTCTACTTAAAAGCCAGGTTTACACAGCAAGTAATTGATAGCTTGATTGACTTTCTGTCCTGGAGATTCATGGATATTAATCGCGGGGTAAATCAATTGAGGCACACGGACGCCGCGGCGCCCGAAATGTCGAGGTACCTACCCGGTACTTGTCAACTTCTATACTTGCCTAAACTCATCACATGAGATGATACTGATCTACAATCTGCAGGTGGTGGTTGTAGCATGCACCGGCAATTTCTAATACGCGCAGAAACCGCGGGCCCGCGGCCTCCGTGGTAAGAATGAAGGCTAGTGGCTTACAAACCGAGGTGATCAACATTCTTTCCTTGCAGATGAGCATGTGAACCCAACTTGAGGATGGTTGAAGTGTGAATGCTCAGTCTAAAAACTTGGGCTCGAGCTTATAGTAGTCACTATCAACCTAGGAAAGGAGTATCAGTAATGGCCTCTGACTATACCTTACCCATTGACGAGTTTAACGTCACCACCTTTAATTACAAAAAGATTCAAGAGCAGTCCATTCTTCTAGATTTACTTATTCCTAAGAGTCTGCTATCTGGTAAACGTCTAGTTCTTATTCGATTCCACGGCGGTTTTCTTATATACGGCAGTCATAATAACCTATAACTTACGCCACCTAGGATTCTTAAATATGCTCTTTAGAGCAACTTAATCCTGGTCTCGTGTGATTACCGACTACTTCCAGAGAGTAATAGAAGAGAGATTCTAGAAGACATCGATAATATATAGTCCTGGGCTCAGAATAGCTTAAATGAGGCTATTAGAACTATGACGAATGGGAAGAGTCATACAGATATGCGGAGGGTTCTTCTCGCTGGCGAGAGTGCAGGTAAGTAAGCCATCTTCATTGTCATTAGAGGCAATGAATAATAAAACTGTATTCACAGGTGGTTACCTTGCGTTGCAATTGGCTTTACGTCATCCAAGTGATTTCCGAGCTATTATTGCAAGCTACCTAATGATCGACATGCAAAGCGACTATTTCTGTAAAGCCTATATGAAATAAATGGGAGAGTATCTACAAATCGATTATGAGGTCGTATTTCAGCATCTTAAGCAGCTTCTAGCCAGGAGTCAGCCGATAACAAGGGCGGTCTTAAATCTACTAATCGCGATAGTACAGCACGGTACATACACCAGCTTCTTAGGTGACCACCAAAGCCTGTCTCCGCTTGAACAATTGGAGGATAATCCCCAGTCGGCGCTTAGACTCCTATTGATTTGGTTGCATTATAGTACCAATGACAGTGAAGTCCCGATCAATGGTAGTAGGAAGTTTGTTGAGAAGCTACGAGAGCTTAACCTAGAGGCCAAGTTATGATATACGGAGCTAGAGGAGGCGGAACACGGAGTTTCAAGCGAGATATACCTGATTCAACCCGGCGAATGGGAAAAAGGAGTGAAAGTTCTAAATAGATATCTTAGTAGTTAAACTAGCTTCTGGAATACATATGTTAAAAAATATTCTAAGATATAATTCAATGCCTAGTTATTACTCATCTATTTCATTCACCTTTAATACGATACATCAAGGTACCGTGACCAAAGACATCAAAGCCACCTGAATTAGGACCATAATCTCCTCCCCCACCCTCAACATTGACAGTCAAATTGGCATTGACATAGTCGCGGAACTCCTTCGACCAGGACGCATCAAGTCTTTTGACCTCAGCATAATGTGAGTATATGGCCTCGAATCCGGGCCGGACATTGAAACGGGCCTTGGTTGCTACTTCTGGCAGGATACCTTCCCAGCTGCGGTATGGCGTATATGGCACGGAGTGATTGGTGTTGTACTTGGCGGCGTATTCAGCACTGTATAAGGTTAGTTTCCATGATTGACTTCTCTCTTGACTTGTAAGAAGGGTTGGAGATGAGGAACATACGCATTGAGAATCTCATTACCGTATACGGCGTAGAGGTCTACGCCTTGGTTATATCCTTGCTGTCCTATGACTCCAAGTAATGCAAAGTCCAACAGGGCATGCCCTTGGTCACGACCAGCTTCCTGGCCCTGCATCAGGATCTTGCCAGTACCATCTTCGGTGAAGTTGGCAATAGAGAAGAACGGAAGAGCGCCGTTAGCGACGACACCGCCTGGTGGCCCGTATTTGAAATAGTCAACTGCAAAGTTGTACATGGTGTGATTGTCGTTAAAAATGCCAATGGCCAAGAGTGAAGCGATGTTGCAAAAGTCCCAGTTGGCATAATAGAAGTCTGGCTTGTTGTTATGCTCGTCAAGGAACAGGCGGTTTTGCGTGGCGAAAACATCATTAAGCATGGTACCAAATGCCTTCTGCTTCTTCTTGGACCAGCCGGGAAAGCCACGAATGAGTTCAGCTGCGTTTGCGAATTGGTAGCCATACAAGCCCGCAGCGAGAAACTTGTCCTCGCTGCCTTCAATATCCGTAAGAGTCTCAGCCCAGCTGTCCAAAATAACTACAGCAGCGTCTGCATACGTCGTGTTGCCAGTGATGAGCCAACGCAAGGCCAACTGATATGCTGAGTGGGCATCGCGGTAGGCGTAGCCGTAGTTCTGTGTATAGTCCGGATTGGCGCCACGGACGAGGACCTTTTGTGGGGTTGGAACCCAGGTAGTCTGGGCGAGCTTACTAGCCTCGAGGTGCTTGAAGGCCCTTGCCCATGGTTCATGTTGGCGTTCCACATGCGACTTGACTCTCTGTATATCACGAGCGGTATGTAGCGCCCCAGGGTGTATGAAATTCTGTTTGGGATAATTGTTGTCGGTGATATGTCTTGCTTGGATAAGACCGCTGAAACTCCATAGGGATAGAACGGAGAGCGACAAAGAAAGACGCATGATGGATGATGGGTGAAATTGCTGTGTCAAGTAACAGTGCGAAATATAGAGTGAGTGATAATGCCCACTATGAGCTGGATTAACTTTAAACACGCACCGACCGAGTGAGTGGTTTAATGGTTTAATCAAGCTAAGTCCTGTAGCACAAATTTCCCGTATTTGAAGCCCCACGTCCGACGGCAATTAGCTTCAATGCTCCGAAACCTGGAGTTTTCCTTGGTGAGAACCGTAAGACGATCTTCTCTCTATTCCTGGTGTTCACGGATATCGGAGTTTGTGCCGGGCCGCCTCCGTTTCACACCCCGCCAGGTTCTGAAGACTTGTGGAGTTGGCAAAGAGGATTGTCTTCGTCTGTATCACACCCGAAAAATATCCCCGCGGATCGTTGATCTGGACTTTGCTCTGAAGATATGTACCTTCAGCAGGGTCGATACTTTGACCAAAGACAATATGCGAGTGGCGCCAACAAATGCAAGATGACTCCGAAAATCGGCTGACTCAGTCGGATAACATGGTTGTCGACGGAATGAGTTTTGGCTCTCGGTGTCGGAATAGGTTTCGGCCAAGTCTCCGCCGGGGCAATCCGAACCCAAATTTAACGCAGCACAAAGTTGGGCTCATTGGCGCTCAAAATAGTCTTTGCCATTGCTATCAACCTAATCATACTACGTCACTTGCTATCTTTCATTACAGCAACACCCGGTGCATAAGGACAAGCATTATCATTCATACTCTTACGCTAAAGCAGTTTATTAAACTGGCCGCTAGAAAACAGAGGGATAAATTATAAGATTTCTACTTGAATAATATACAGGCGCTCTTACAATGGTCGCTGACTATCATCGCGTTCTTTACAACTGCAACGTAGCAGACTGTAGTGGGCAGATAATGTCCTAATACAGCACACAACTCCCCACGGCGTCAGGCATGAGGATAACAGCATCTTTCTATTGTGTTGTTATCTAAGGCTTGATGTTTAACTGGCTTTCACTTGGTCAAAATAAACTTGACGTTTGTGACATGCTCATTAACGAACATGGGAACAAGGTCAGCCACCATATACCACCTTGGCTTCTCCATACCATCATGAATATATTGGCCTCCGACCTTCAGATTCTCAAAGACAATATTTTCCACTTTTCTTGTGCTATCGAATCCCAAGATTTGTGACGGATTCACTATCTGTGAATTTGTTGTATCAACGCTGATGTCCTTGAGAGTAACATTTCGTACCCCACGACCAGGCGCTGTTGTCCACATCTCGTTCTTCATAACTCGCAGATTCACGAGCTGGCCCTTTGAAATCTTTTCTACTCGTACATCTTGGATATGCACGTTTTCAATCAAGTTCTCGTCGCCTGCGTTTATAGAAATGCAGCCTTGGTACCACATCTGATTCTCATGGTGGTCCAAAATGTCGATGTTGCTAATACGGATGTTGCTGAAGGTTTCTGGCTTTTCCGGGTTCCCATGAGTGCCCATATGAATTGGGTGCGCGATATCTGGAAGAAGCGTGCAGTTCCGTATTACAATGTTGCTTGAGTCGCCGTAGTAATCCCAACGATGGCCATAGATGGCGATTGTATCATCAGAGTTGCGCAGAAAGCAGTTCTCTACCAGAATGTCTGAAGAGCAGAAAAAGTCGACACCGTCACCGTTTCCATGAGACGAGAAGGATCGATAGCCACTAATGCGTACACCGTTCGCTTCCCCAGTTGTCAGACTGAAACCGGTAGCGCCCAGTGAAGTGACGTTTTCGACGACAATGTTCTCCGACCGTTCAATCAAGATGGCGCCGCCGTTGGGTCCATTGTAGATGAAGCCATGTCCTCGAACTCCAGAGTTGCAAACTTTGATGAAGTTCAGTTTAAAGGTGACGAATGCGCCTCCCGCCAGGTATACCGTAGTGTTGGAGGGTACAAAAAGATTCCCGTCAGTGACCTTGCCGTACGCCGGCCCATTGTTGATGCCAGGGCCAAAGTACCAGATTTCCTTAGAGTCGCTGGTAGGCGCATCGTGATCAATACTATTTGTGAGAATGTGAAGAGCTTGCCACTTGTCATTGTTGATTTCTAGCATCACATCCTGAGGTCGGTCCAGGCTGAAGCTGATGGTGTTATCACCGTCAATCACAGGCTGGATACCTAGAGATTTTGGCCGGATGACAGCGCTTTTCACTTTACTCAACGTGTATTTGACTTTAATTTGGACTGTGCCATCTATGTCGAAGGATGCAAGTGAAATGGGGTGTTTGTCAAATTCATTGCAGGTGGTGTTGACCTCAGCAACGTCAACGGCGTAGGTGGACACTGGAATCCATGGTTCGGAATCCACAGAACGGACATGGACTAAGAAAGCATCAGCTACCGCTACCCCTTGAGGGGCGGCGTAGGTCCTGATTTGGCTTGCGTTGGTAGACATGAGTGAGATTAGCAGCGAAGTTGAACTCAGCATGGAGACTCAGGTAGGGTATATATGTTTTTTGGCATGTTATCTTGGCAATGCTCGGATTAATAAATATTTCCAAAGACTTAGTGCACCATCTCTGGATGTCCGCTGACGGGTAACGGAGTATGTCGCGGACCATCTCCGAGAACACCCCAAGATTCAATAGCCTCCACATATATTCCCCATGTCTCTCACTCGCAGGCGGTCATGAGCGAATTACTGATCAATAAATCAGCCTATATTCTATAAGTGTGGCATGGCAAACTATGTTTCCATAAGAATACTTCTATCACCAGACTACCTGTGGTTTATAGGTTGAGACTGGGATAGTCATGCGAGCCTTGGTAAATAGCCAAATTGTACTTAACCACATGTATTAACTCATTCTCACCCTAGCCTTCAGAAGGCCAGTATTGATAAAGCAGATACATTCTTTACTTATTAGAGAGGACTTAAATTATATTAGTAGCTCTTTACCAAGGGTCTATGCAGTACACAAGCGAGGCATAGATGCTGGGATAATACCGGCTACAAAATAGTCTTGGAAGTTCCAAAGCAAACACAGTTTTCCGCTATTTGAAGAAAGTATTAGCGACTATATAAGGAAGACTTTCTCCAGTTTCTTGTATGAACTATTTAATGAGGGTAAAAAACACCTACTTCAAGATGCTTCCTGTGGTCTCCTAAGGGATGTCGGGCTGCTATAGAAGGAAAGGTTTACTTACTATCTGACCGTTACGGCGTGATAAGTATTTATTGGGCATGGTTAATTATTCTCCGACTTTAAAGTAAAGCGAAGCCGCGTTCTTGAATTACATTGATCCCCCGCCTTCTGCTCGGTCCAGGCGGCTCTGACTTGCCGAGGTTAGGGAACAGGGCTGGGTGTAGACGCAGGAAAGCTTAAATTCGGATGAGATGCTGGATTTCCTGACCGTTTCAAAGAGTGATCCATGTACGGAGTACTGTGGGACTGCCATACCGGTTCGGAGTCCGTTGGTGGCCCGAGTCACAGCGGCAATAGGCAAAAGACCGGGTCCGCAACCTCTATTGGTTCTGTTTCCTGAGATACCCGGACTCCAAATCTGGCAACCTTAGTTTGTCTGACTTCGCACCGATAGAGTCAAACGAGCTAGTGTTTCTCTCTATCTTAGTAATAACTTATTTTAACTTATATAGTCTCTTATTATTATTATTATTATTATTATATCTATAAAAGAAGAACACTAATATATAATGAATAGAAATATTTAATTAAAATAAGATAATTATTTAATTATATATTTTATAGAAGTTATGGTAACGGCTTGTCCTGCTATCCATATGCCTCTGCTGATAAGGCATTACATGCCAAAATTGTGGATACATTAGTCACATTGGTTAGAATTCGACTTCGGGGCTGTAATCCTTACATGATAAATATCATGGCAGGTTTGCGCCCGCTAAATTCGGAAGGCGCGGCAATGGGGTAGATTATATACTTAACGCTCTGTTGGAGGAATATTTAAGCTTTGAACTAACAGGCTTGCATGTCGCATTTGATATTGATAGTAGCCCGCAAGCTATATAGAGTACTTTCTAACATTTAGTAGGGTTATTAGCTATTCTCAACTGTAGGCAAGTGACCATAAGAATACAAGACCGGATAATAAAGATATTTATTAAGGCTATCACAAGCTACCATTGTATATCAGTAGCTGCCTAACTCCCTTCTCTATGACTATCATTTCTGTAGGATTACCTTTACATATAGAGTTTATCCTTGGTCAGTAGATCTGCATGCGCATACAACTGCCTGTTTTAGCATAGCATGGTACCTATGCCGCTATCACATGAGCTCTTGCAATGGTCTATAATTATAAAGACTACAACATTCAACTACTTATGAGTATAACCTTTCCTCTACACGGCATTAAATCGACTTTTACCTTTTTTAATCATGGCCCACGGTCAGAAAAAGTTCCAAGTTGCCATTATTGGCGGCGGTATTGCGGGAATTGTCCTCGCAATCTCGCTTCTTAAAAGGAACATTCCTTGCAAAATCTATGAGAAAGCGCATGCGTTTAGCGACATCGGTGCCGGCCTGGGAATAAGTCCCAATGCACAAAGCGCCATGGTAGCTTGCGATCCAAGCGTGCATAATGCTTTCAAAAAGGTCGCCAGTGGTAACATCTGGGAGTCCAAGAAAAACGTTTTGTTTGAGTTTCTTGACGGCATGGACGCAGCGACTACCGACACCCCTCTGTTCAATATCAAGAATCGTACGGGACTGCAGGGTTGTCACAGGGGCTCCTTTGTAAACGAACTTCTCAAGCTCTTGCCTAGCGGTGTGGTTCACTTCAAAAAGCAACTTCAGAGAGTGGAGGAAGGCAGCAGTGGTGAAATTCGCCTTGTCTTCCAGGATGGGGCAATTGAGGAAGCTGACGCTGTTGTCGGCTGTGACGGCATTAAGTCCAAAGTTCGAGAAATTCTAGTTGGCCCAGATCATCCGTCGTCAAAGTGCTCTTACACATACAAATATGCGTACAGAGGTATGATCCCCATGCAACAAGCAATTGAGGTGTTGGGGGAGGAGAGAGCTCTCAATGCCACTATCTGGGTGAGTTGTTCTCGAAAAGTCACCTTCCAATCACGGGATAAGGTCTGACATCACTGAAATGAAACAAATAGATGGGGAAGGACAAGCATCTACTGAGCTATCCGGTCGCACACGGGACTATCTTGAATGTTGTGGCATATTGTTCAAGCTCTTGCCCGTGGCCAAGTGAAAGCCAACTGGTGCTTCCGGCCACAAAGGAGGATCTTGTCCGTGATTTCGAAGGCTTCCGGCCATCTGTGTTGAAGGTTCTTGACTATATTGAAATGCTTGACCGTGTGAGTCCACATCTGATATTCGACTCAATCACTGATATCTGTACTGATAGCGAACAGTGGGCTATCTTCGACTTAGGGGATAATCCAGTTCCGAGCTTTGCAAAAGGCCAAATATGTATCATCGGAGATGCAGCCCATGCTTCATCTCCACATCATGGCGCGGGAGCGGCTTTGTGTATCGAAGATGCTGCTGTGTTGGCCTCCATATTATCGCATGACACAGTCCAAGTAGGAGCCGATATCAAAGCTGCGTTTGTCGCGTTTGGCAGAAGTAGACGAGAAAGAGCTCGATGGGTCGTTCAGAAGTCTAGACGAGCGGGTCAACTATATGAACAGCAAACTGAGATCGGTAGTGATGTTAGTAAGATGTCTGAGGAGTTGAGGGACACATTATCTACTATCTGGGAGTTTGATACCAGGGAAGCTATAAAGAGAGCCTTAGACGACTTATCAGAAGCGTAATATAGCACTTTTAGCTCCAAGTATTATTCCAAGCCTTCTAATACTAAATACCTTCCTCGCTGACCTTTGAGGTAAACTTAGGCATACTAAATATCTGTTTTCAATACTTGACTGACGACAAGTATATCAAGACGTTTAAAGCTTATGCTCACGGCTTGCAACTGCTCCTAGAGTATAAGGATCATCAATCGTCCAGGGAATGTCCTGGTCTCGGATGAACGGAGCAAGATCAACATCAACCCCGTCTTCGGCCAGTTCTTCAATCTGAGTGCGACCATTACCCAGGAAAGCCCACATATTGTCGTTTCTGTATGTAATGTTGAAATCCTCGAACCTAGGCGTCTTCATAGTCTTGAGCAGATGAAGCATGCTACCAGGCCATATATACACTCGTCCGCTTGACTTGTTCGCTTTATACCAAGAACGGCAGTTACCAGCCCAGACAGAGTACTTGGTGTGCCAATTGTCGAGGTGCTCATTCCACTGTGTAGTGGGTAGTTGCTTCACCTCCATGGCTTTGATGCCCTCGTTCTGGATCTTGATGCAGCACTGCATAGCATACTCAATCTGAACCTCATGCTAATTTTAACAGGGAAGTTAGATCTGAGGTTTGATAGTTGAGCGTAGGGCCTTAACTGACCGAAGGAAGCACGCATCCCTGGCCCCAGTTGGCCGTTGGGCCATTGATGACAAAATAGTTGGGGAACTTGGGCCCAGTGATACCGAGATAGATATTGGGGTTCTGTTGATGCGGATAAGTCAGACATCACTAGCTAATTGCAAGCACCCGCCGAGATGGGGATGAGCAGATATAACATACCTCTGACCATTCGTCCTTCATCGTAACTCCATTGGTACCGGTGATTTGGCTACAACACTCAGCTTAGTGAAGTTCCTGTGATGAGGAATTGGTTCCGAGAGACAGATGTACTTACAAATGCGGAGTATATGAGATGTCAAACCCTGTAGCACAGGCAATGAGGTCGAAATCGAACTCCTTTCCTTCGCTTGTGACAAGGCCATTGACAGTGAATCTTGAAACGCCTTCGAAGATGACCTTTACATCTGGGCCATAGTAAGTACAATAGTTAATACTAGGGGACTTAGACTTACGATCTTGGACCAAACTTTCGAGATAGTCGTTGCCAGGCTAAAAAGGGAGTGTCAGTTTTCAGCAGAAACTTCTACCAGGTTTGACAATGACTTAGGTTCACTTACCGTGATTCGCCGACATCCCGGGGGCCAGGATGGAATGAGCTTTTGTTTCAGCTCCTCATCGGCACCTTCAAGCTTCTTGAGCATATCCTGTCGTATGGCAGCAGTGGCCCACTGACTCATTGGAGAGTCTCTGAGAAAGAATGGAAAGTTGCGTGTCAGGGTTGCTTCAAGACCTTTCCGGTACTTTAGATGTGCCTCAGGGTCTTTGCGAAATTCCTCCTTGTCCTTTTCGGAATACTGCTGTGTGCCTTGTTCTTCGGAAGCATTGTGACCCTCCTCATTGGCCTTGCTGAGATCTGTGCCTAGTGAAGGCACTATCCATATCGAGTTTCTCGCAAAAACGTGAAGGCTTTTTGAACCTGAAGCGTAAGACCGTATCAGTATAAAACCGAAGCCTGGAGAGTTTATTGCAGCAAACTGACCCTTGGCAAGACGTGGTAGCATCTGTACAGAGCTTGATCCGGTTCCGATGAGCGCAACGCGTTTGTCTTCCCAACTAATTGCGGGGTCCCAGGTCGCACTGTGAGCTATGACTCCGTTGTAGGAGAATAAGCCAGGAACGTTAGGCCCTACTAGACTGTGAGAAACCAGATGAGAGTTTGCGCTGACTGGGAATACACGGACATTTCGCTTTATTAACCACTCCTGATCCATTCATCAATACGTCGCAGTAGTCCATTCTTTGCTCGCCCTTTTGAGATAATGCGACAGCCCCTGCCAAGAGGTGTCAGCACCTGTAACTTGGCAAGATGAGTTGTATAACTTACATTTTCCTTCATCAGCATCCCAAGTCGCGCTGATTACTGTAGTTCTCAGCTGGACATATTTCTCGAGATCATACTTCTTCGCAAATCTGAGGAAATAGTCATGGATTTCCCCCGAGTTTGCATAGTAGCAAGACCATTCTGTGTTTGGTTCGAAAGAATACGTATAAATATGCGCAGGTACGTCGCAAGCACATCCTGTGATATTATTCATAAGGAGCGTTTAGCGGGCAAAAGCTTTCTTGACATACCTGGGTAGCGATTCTCATACCACGTTCCGCCTATAACTGGGTTTCTAAACACAGAGCGTTAAAAGACGATTATTGAACAAAGGGAGTGACTAGAACTGACTTATCGTAGCAGACAAGCTCATAGTTCTGCAGCAAGCGCTCAGCCTTGTAAGCAGTTAGAAGACCTGAGGCTCCCGCACCGACGTGTATAATCTTCAACTTCTCGGGCTTAGAGTGTGCTTGAGTGGACATCTTGGAATAAAAGGTTGATTTCAACGACTATTATCAGTTTATGCCAGTGATAATTGAATGACTTTCAAGATTCTTCAAATTTCTCTTTGCTATATATGGTAGAGCCTCAGACCTTGCGTAAAGCTAGTACATGACCAGTTCTTGCATCAAATCTGCTACAATAATAGGGGACTTACACTTCCGGCACTGCATGAGACATTGAGGCTAGATCTGGTCGCCTGGCTGAGGCTGCCAACGTTATGATCTAGCTCCGCACTCTTTCGGTCCCGCGGGTGTGTCGCCCCGCGGGGCGACATATGATGCGGAGAGAGCGGAAAGCGGGACTGCTAGACCCCGCAGTTTGGTACAAACCCCATGGGGAAATAGTTGAGTTGGCTGAACCTTATTTTCTACTCGGCAATGGTCGCCTGAGTATTATTAAAATCACATTGATATACTGCGTTGATACATACTAGCGCTACAGACTGCCAAGACTACATCGATCTTGATTGCTTTTGCTACTGAAAATAAATTCTTGTTGCTGTTCTTTAGAGAAAATAAGACATGGCACAGACAATGCAGGCAGTTGTGTTCCACGGCAAGGGCGACCTCAGACTTGAGGAAGTCAAGGTCCCAAAGCCTGGTGCCAAGGAAGTTCAGGTCAGTTATCCCTCCATAGGCCAAAATGTTCAGTATGGGGACGTTAACTTGAGACACAGCTTAAACCAGCCTTCGTTGGAATATGCGGGACAGGTAGATCTGCCAAAACACCTGATGAATCCCATTACTAATATGCAGATGTAGATCTTCATGAATATGTTGAGGGTGCTTATCTGATCCCGACAGCACCCCACCCTGTGACTGGCAAAAAGGCTCCAGTCATTATTGGCCATGAGTATAGTGGTGTTGTTTCGGATGTCGGTGAAGAGGTTGATGACCTCAAACCAGGCGATAGAATAGTTGTACAGCCTATCATTTTTGATGGAACATGCAGCTCTTGTCAGAGGGGTCTGATCAATTGTTGCTCGAACTCTGGATTTATCGGCTTGAGTGGTAAGGTGTCTCTCAAGGACACACATGAGCATCCCACCGCTGACAACAAATAGGAATTGGAGGGGGCTTGGCCGAGTACACAACTGTACCACGGTATGCGGTCTTCAAGATTCCTGATAACATATCCCTGGAGGTTGCAGGTATGCAGATCCAATCCTCGCCGTTGATGATATTCTACTAATGGTATAAGCTCTGGTGGAACCATTGGCAGTGGCCTGGAACGCTGTGCAGCTGAGCGACTTTCAACCTGGTGATACAGCTCTCGTTCTCGGTGCTGGCCCAATTGGCTTAGCTATTCTTCAAGTTCTCAAGAGCAAAGGGGCAAGCCAGATAATCGTTTCCGAGACTGCAGACAAACGACGAGACTTCGCAACCAAATTTGGGGCTACCACCGTCCTAGACCCTACAAAGACAAACGTGGGCGAGCAGTGCAAGGAGCTTTGCGCAGGAGGAGGCGTTCAAGTCGTCTTCGACTGTGCCGGCGTCCAGAGTACTCTTGAAACTGCACTTGCGGCGTCCAGACCCCGATCCGTCATTGTGAATGTAGCCCTCTGGGCTACTGAGGCAACAATCTCACCAAACTATTTCATGTTGAACGAGAGAACTTACAAAGGTTCAGCAACGTATACGGCATCAGTATTCCAAGATGTTATTGATGCTCTTGGTCGTGGTAAGGCCTCTTACCTATTACTGTCAATTCACAGATTACTAACGGAAGATAGGTGAGCTAAATCCGGAGCCAATGATTACTAGTCTTATTGAGATGGATCAAATTGAAGAAAAGGGTTTCAAAGCGTTGATCAACTTCAAAGACACTCAAGTCAAGATATTGGTTCGGGTCTAGTTATATAGAGGGTAGATTTATCTAGAAAACACATTAAAAAACCGTATTGCTCTCTAACTCTATAATTACCTTTCATTGCCACTTTTCATTCATGATAATAGTTGTTGGGTATGTCGAGCCTTATCACGTTGCTCTATGCAAAGCCATTGCCAGTGCTACTCATACATGCCGGTTTTAGGTTAGAGTAAATCTTATCCGTATCTAGATAGGGGAAAATTAAATGGAATCCGCGGGCCGAAGCCAACGTATCTTCCAATATTAAAAAAGACCTGGTAGCTTCGCGTTACCCAAATTACTACAGTAACAGCACGAACCATACCCGACCACCAATCTACTTCAATAATGGCGTTTACACCACAATCACTTCCTGATCTTTCGGGGCAGGTTTACATCGTAACCGGAGGCAATGCCGGAATGTATGTTGACTCCTCATTTCCAGCATGTGTATGCAGGGGGAATAAATATTGGCTAACGGCTTGACCAGTGGTTTCAATACCGTACTGGAATTGGCAGCTCACAAAGCCAAAGTGTACATGGGTGCACGATCTGAGGCCAAAGCCAACGGTGCAATCGCCGAGATCAAAAGCCAATATCCTCATGCCGATGTATCCATCTTGGTGATGGACATGATGAGCCTTAAGACCGTCAAAGAAGCGGCCGACGAGTTTGCACGGTACGTATAGCAGGAATCAGTACCCGTTGCGACCGTGTTTGACATCAACATCGACGTGGGTAGGAAGGAATCGAGGCTTCATGGCCTAGTCAACAACGCCGGGATAATGGCAACGCCTTATGAGGAATCTGTAGATCATTACGAAGCTCAATTCCAGGTCAGTTATAATTTGAGGAAGGCTATGATCTAGACTGACGCTTGAATCCACGCTACCCAGACAAACTACCTCTCCCACTGGCTGTTGACCTACAGTTTATTGCCTATCCTCACCAAGTCTGCGCGTTCAACCAGCCCGGGGACAGTCAGGGTTGTCAATGTTAGCTCTGATGGTCATCTCTTGTTTTCCCCCGCAGCAGGAATCGATTTTAACGACATAAATCAAGCCAAGGGCAGTGCGTGGTCACGTTATGGTATGTCTAAGCTAGCCAACATCCTGCATGCCAAAGAATTACATCGCAGACATGGCCCGTCAGCTGAGAATGACGGGCAGGAAGAGATTTGGACCGCAAGTCTGCATCCAGGTACCATCGACACGTGAGTTACCTTTTCATTTGCAATCTATCTGCTTTATGCCATGGTCTGACGAGATGCCCAAGTGGTCTAGGCCGTAATGCCACCGGTTCACGGGCTTGGCAAGTACTTGTTCCTGTGATGCGACTTTTCAGGCTCTACAGTCCAATTGAGACCGCCGCATATACATCTCTCTTCGCAATCGCGGGCCCAGACTTTCATCGGGACATGAGTGGAGAGTATTTGAAGCCTGTCGGTATCGTGGGGAAAACAACTCAGACTGCCCAAGACTCCAAGCTGGCACAGGATCTATGGTATTGGACGGAGAATGAGATGCGAAAGAAGGGACTCATTAGCTGAGTGTCTATGAGCTAGTTTGGATCAAATTGCCAAGGCTATGGATAGATGGATTCGTTCATTCTTTAAACTTTTATGCACCGTACCCTGATATTTTGCCTTAGAACTGCCAGTAGTTGAAGTAAAATATGAATTTTATAATTCTTGGAAAATTATCAAGGCCTATTGATGCGCTCCGAGAGTAGTAGTAGACTTATGCCACGTCATTTCATCTTCAAAACAGGAACATGATCATGCAGTCAGCTGCTTCTCCTGTCCTGGTATAGCAATGAACATGCGCTACACAAACAAAGGAGACATAAGAGTAGGACCCCGCGTAGAAACAAAGAACATTGTATTCGCAAACTGCATATCGTCACTACCGGCTGAGACCGTGCCTCGGCGAAATGTTACCATGAAACCTGCATTAGGCACATGAATCTCACGGGGCCCTTACTTAGTCAGTCGAGTGTGCGGGACCCCAAAGGCTAACATCAACAATTGATAGGAGATAGTGGATTGCAGGATAACGGACGCGATGGATCGCGCCGCGGGCCGCACTGATATCGGGTATTGCCAGATAGTGAACTCCGGAAACATTGGTCGCGCCGCGGGCCACACCCATGGAATTTTTTATCAAATCGGGGTCCGCGGGGGATGATAGCTTGCGAGCAGCTGCTTTGTGTCACTCACGGGGTGTTCAGGTGATACAGTCGCTGGCGGTAAGGGTTCTGAGCAAAGGTCAGGTAGTAATAGAAGTTATAGCTGGCATAAAATAAAAGAAGATGTGATGATTCTCTCACAGTTGCCATACAAATCCGTAACACACAACAATACAACATTTGAACACGGTAAACGAAAACACTATGACTGCTCAAGCTCAACGCACCCATCCCCTTCACGCTTTAAGCGAGAAGGAGATGCTTCAAGCTGCGGATTTAGTAAGAGCACTCGTCAAGGCGAAGTCTGATGGCAAGGAAGAGGTCAGGTTCAAACACACAACGCTCTACGAACCTCCCAAGTCCTTACTGCTTCCATACTTGGATGCTGAGAGCGAAGGTGTCCCTATCTCTGCCCGGCCATTCGTACCTAGATGTGCTCAGGTCATCTATACCTTCCCTGGCAAGCCAGGTTTCACCGAAAGCATCGTCAGTCTAGACACTGGGACCGAGGTCAAATCGACCTTATCCAAGCCTGGAGATCATGCCGGCTTCGACAGGTCCGTATCAGCTGTTATCGAGTATGAGAAGACTACTGACACTGATGGAACAGAGACGAGGTCATCGCGTTCAACTATGCCATTCTATCTCACCCTGAGGTCCTGGCAGCTATCGAAAAGTTAGGTCTGGACCCCAACGTGACGGTTCAATGCGACACTTGGCCATTCGGCGCTGACAAAGACTCTTCATTGGAGACCCCGAGGCTGGTTCAGGCTATGCTTTACGCCCGCGCCCCGCATAACCACCCGGAGAGTAACATGTACTCTTACCCACTTCCCATTTCTCCTGTCATTGACTCCGTTGATCTGAAACTTGTTCGAATCGACCCTCTGCCAACAGGCGGCAAGGAGGACGGAGCAGCAATCTCAACGGCACCAAAGGCTCCCCTTGCTCATTGCACTGAGAACGAATATCACCCGGATCTTCTGAGCGTCAACCTTCGGGACGACCTCAAGCCCCTTGTCATTCAACAGCCTGAAGGACCCAGCTATAAAGTCCAAGATGGGAACTCTGTATCTTGGCAGAAATGGCGATTTCGCATTGGCTTCAACTGGCGAGAGGGCATGACCATTCATGATGTCAGGTATGACGGGCGAAAGGTCTTCTATCGCTTGAGCATGAGTGAGATGACGGTACCATATGGAGGTAAAAGAGCGCCTGAAGACCCGTGAATTTCGACTAATCAGCGTTCAACAGACCCTAGATACCCATATCATCGCCGACAAGCCTTTGATCTCGGCGATGCAGGTGCAGGACTGACAGCTAATAACCTGAAGCTCGGTTGTGATTGCTTGGGGCATATCAGCTATTTTGATGCGTTGCTCACAGCTTCTGACGGAAAGCCCTACGAGGCATCTAACGTGATTTGTCTGCACGAACAGGTATGACTGCATTCCCATTGTGAAGACTAACTTTCTTCCTAACTATTGAACTAGGACGCTGGCATCGGATGGAAGCATACTAATGCCAGGACTGACGTCGCTGCCGTTACCCGAGCGCGAACTCTCGTGGTCCAGAGCATCATTACCGTCGGAAACTATGAGTACGCATTTTCCTGGCACTTCTGGCAAAACGGAACTATCGAGTTCGAGACGAGGGCCACTGGAATCCTTGCAACAAGTCTAATCGCTGAGGGAAAGACGAGCCACTGGGGCAATGTCGTTTCTCCCGGTGTTCTAGCCGCTAATCACCAGCACCTCTTCAGCCTCCGCATTGACCCAATGATTGATGGTGTTGAGAATACAGTCATACAGGAAGACTCGATTGGCTTGCCCATATCAGAGGAGAACCCCTACGGCAATGCCTGGAAGCTGCACAAGACCTTTGTCGAAAAGAGCTGTGCCTTGGATGCCGATCCGCAGAAGAACCGAGTATTCAAGATCGTCAACGAGAAGAAATTGAACCCCATATCCAAGAACCCAGTCGGCTTCAAGGTAGTAGCGCCACCAGCACAGCTCCTCATGGCTGATCAGGCCTCCCTTGTTCGCAAGCGTGCTCGCTTTGCAGAGCACCATATCTGGGTAACACGATACAAGGACGACGATCTGTGGGCGGGAGGCAAGTGGACCAACCAGAGCATGATAGAAAAGGACGGTGTGGCGGATTATGCGGCGCGGAACGATAATGTCCGAGGAGAGGATCTGGTCGTGTGGGCGACCTATGGACTCACGCACAATCCGCGAGTTGAGGATTACCCGGTTATGCCTGCTGAGGCAATCACGGTTGCGCTGAAGCCTGCAGACTTTTTTGATCGCAATCCAGCTCTTGACGTACCCCCTAGCACCCAGGCCGTCAACAAGAGTGTGCTAGTTCCCGCGAACGGCGCTAGCGAGGGGAACGAACAAGAAGTTTGCTGTCGATGATAGTCCTTTTTGGGCGTAGCTATTTGTAGTACATCAGTGCATCTTACATGCGACGTTGGTACAATGTTCAATTGGCCTTTGACGACCTTTTACATGCTCATGACAACAATTGGACATCATGAGCTACAGCCCCTCAAATTCTTCTACTGCTTCATCTTGGTCTCTCCTACATCATCAACAATAAATGCCACTGATCCGTTCCATACCGAGGTGACTCTGGGCTACTACGACAATTGCTGGTATCGGGGAGGTAATGTTATAGCCGAATGGCAACCAACAGGGGCCTTTTGAGTAACTCCCATAATCCCATTCTGGCAGTGATCGCTTATCACTCGGCAAGCTTACTGCAGAGCGGGGTCGGGCTCCGCGGCCACATGCAGCCGTTTGTTGATCTTCATCGGTCTCGTCCGTGGATAGACAACTCGCATGCTGTTTACTAGCTGTATATCACATCTTGGGCCACATTGCGCTTTCCACTCTGTGGTTTTATATTTATCTTAGTTGAAGTTATGCATATGCGATTTGATATGTGATATAGAGCTGCCTGTAGAATGTATCGACCGAAAGCCTTTCAGCTATGACCGAGCTTGAGCCTCCGACACGTCATGTTCCATATATTATCTCATGGTAGAGATATAAAAAACCAAGTCAAAGTTTCCTCGACGGCTTCACCTGAAGGAAATACTTATTATATGTAGATACTGTTGGGTTTTCTACACCGTCCAGTGTTGGTATTTACAGTACCTAATCTATTGCAATTGTGCCAAGAACTCAGAGAAGTCTTCTTGTGAAACGTCCATCCAATGCATATTTCCGGAAATCCAGTCCCTAACCTGCGACACATGGCTGCTTAGTTGAGGTACTGGAATACTCGACCCCGTTGAGAAAGTATCGAAATAGCTGCTACTAAACGACACCGCCCCTTGCGTGCTCTTTAATTGAGCTCCAAATCCATCTTCGACCATTTTATCGAGGCCTCCTTGGCTTTGTGATTTCGCTTCGACATATGAGATTGCCAGATTGTACAAAACTTGACAAAGGTCGTGCAGCTCCTGAATGGCCTCGAATATACCGCAAAGCGGTTTCAACGATTCGCAAAACTCTCCAAGTATACGAATGTCCCCGGGATTGGAGGTCTCAATGACATTGCAGAATACAACGATCAACGGCACAAACGGGGTGTAAATAATCGTCCTGCATACAGAAGCGCTCGTTAGAATCTTTCCAGTACTTGGGCGGTAAGGGATAGATGATCATGCAACGGTACCATAACAAGTATATAGCCTTTGTGTCAGAGCTAGGCTCAGTCATTCTCATGCACTCCCCATGTGCTTCAAAAGCCATCCTAGCAGATTCCAAACACGCAGGGCTAACACCACCGTGTCCGCTCTCTGTTGACGGAGCAGCCCTACGTATAAACGTTAGAGTCGTCCAGTACCATACCTCATCGGCCTTCAAAACCGTCTTGACCATTCTATTAGGCGCGGATCCGAAATCCACAGTCCTGCTCTCGATTAAATGCGCCTGTCCCAGTGGCATCAACGAGTCATCCATGATACGTTTGAGGGCAGCAATTAAGTTCTTTGCGCGATCGCCACGCTCCTGTATTGGCTTCCGAAGCGCTGACGGACTGTATAGATCTTGATAAGCCTTACCAACAAGTCGAGAATGACGGATCCATTGTCCAAGCAAATCCCTCCATCCTCCTGGTATGTCAACCTTGTCAAGCCGTTCCGGCAGCGTAATCTCGTCATCGTGTATAACAGCCGGTCGACCAAGGCGCAAGGAGAGGCCTTTGTCAAGGAGGTAAGTTAGCCAGAAAAGAGAGATCTTGCGATCAGTAGTGCTGTCGCTGTTGGGAACAAGTTGGTGCCAACCCAAGGTCTGGCATATTCCTCCTGCGGCAGATACGAGTTGCCAAGAAAGCATTGGCTGTGACACCTCTATGGCATAGATCGCCTAGTTCGAATATCTCAGCACTGTTCTTGAAGTTATATAAGCCAAGTATGAAAACTCACCCCCAAGAGAAAAGCCTCTACGTTTTCCAAGCTCGGCGGCGCGAGGAGGCCGAACTTGTTCATCGCTGTCTCGAGGTTGTCTCGGCACAGCTGAGACAGGTTTCGATTCTCCTCGCGAGAGGACTGATGTTCTGTCACTTGAGCTTTCTCTTGGAACAGGTAGCGCAAGGTCGCGTTTGCGACTAAAAAGGTCGACAGTGAGAAATTGTCAACTGCAAAATATATCTCTCGGCAACAATCGATCAGTCTGTCTTTGGAGATGAAGAGACTAATTACAGTCAATGTGGCCAGTTTTGTTTCTGCAGACATGTCAGTCCATACCATTTGCCTATACCGAGAGAATCGGCTTCATTCTAAAGCCTACCTTTCAATTCCCGCAGAATCGTGAGAACGGACTGCATAGGGGGCATTTCAAGATCCCTTATCCCATCTCCCGGGGTTTCTCTTCGGTTAGGCATTCGATCCCCGAGAGACCGGTAGCTATTTATCTCGATCATTTGTTTCAGTGACGACAAGGCAGCGTTCACACGCGGGCTTGAGTCGGCAGTTGGCGAATGTCCGAGGACAGTCTGGAAGAAGTCGCTCGCGTACAGTGTAGCAGCTTTCATTGAGCTGCTGCCCTCCAATGCCATCTCTGAATCGGCATTGTTTTGGCCATCCTGAGTCTTGTCTGCAAAGTCCCTGGATAGATTGAAAGATTCCGCAGGTAACGACTCGGAAGGCCTTTGAACAGTTCTGGTAGCAGGATTATCAATGACTTTGCGCAGGAGCTGTTCTATACCCTCAAGATGATGCTCTATGCGATCTATCTTTTGCTCGCTGTGATGGAGTTAAGTCGGCTCCTTGCTCAATAAGTATATAGTTGATCGAAGCTCTTACTATTGTGAGGAAATGAGGACTCTTTGTTTGGATTGTCGCATCCCTTGCGTTGATCCAACTAAGCTACAGGCCTTTTGAACTGCTCGACAGTTGGAACATGGAAACAGTCTATCGCATCGAATCTTCATTTTGGTTCCATGTTAGTCACGATGCATATGGCATGAGGGCAGTGTGCAACCCACCTTTCGGAGACGGCATCGGTCGCACTATGTCAACATCAAGACCATGATTAGATAACAATTCTGAAGGCTGACTAAATCACCTAGCCTGGGCATGGCATGCAGTAGACGAGATCTTACCACTCGGCCAATTACTGGCTCTGGCGAATGTTCCTCGGCCATTGTCGCTAGTCCGAGGGCGGTTAAAAGTGAATTGTTGATGAATAGCTGAGCCTGCGCACCAAAAAGGAGGTGTAGAACAAGACTTGGAACCCCAGTGAGCATTATGATCGCAGTGTCGGAGGGTTGTCGTGGCGGGCCAGTGCGCAACCGGGCTTAATGTTGAAAAGGAGGCGGGCCACGCAGCCCGCGGATCGCGACCCGCGGGCCCGTTCTCTGATAAGTTAGTCAAGTTGGATTGTCGATCTCAGCACATCTAAGATAAATGCTACGATTGCGGGGTAAGCAGGGATAAAGATCTTCTGACTCGGGTATCACAACATTACGCGGTTGGATATTGAGTAGATAGAGATAACCAGCCATGTCAGGCTCCCGCTGTATTTATTTCCACGGAGCTTTTCAAATGTTCTGATCCCATTTACTGAAGATAACTGATTGATTGACAGTCTGCACCTTACAGTAGACAAACAGCAGACGACGCAGGCAGCGAAAATGGCGACAACATCTCAGAATTCCGTATTCGAAGCAGTTCCAGCTTCTCAGGCTACAGGTCCCGGTGCTGATATGGACAAGAAGAGACCAAACGCTCCGTCTTCCGTCTTAGCCCCGGATGATTCGACCTCTTCTGTCAGACGTGGCAGTATTGAACAACCGTACAGAACATACAAGATCCGTTGGTTCGGGCTTGTGGTGTTGACACTGCTAAACGTCATGGTTAGCTGGTCGGTATGTCGTTCCTTTCGTCATTCTTTTATCGAACGTCTTACCCATCTCCGTATGATGGCTTCCCTAACACTACACCAGTCTAGTGGCTAGTGCTCTCTTGCGCAGCACATAGAAAACACCATATACTAACAATGACCCCAGTGGCTCACATTTGCGCCTGTCACTTCATCTACCGCCCAATTCTATGGAGTCGATGAGACAATGGTGAACTGGCTGAGTAGTATATTCGTCTTTGCAAACTTCGCCATGACGTTCGTCACCATCAAGCTTCTTGACTGGGGCCTGCGTCCTACCCTCATCAGCGGCAGCGCTCTCCTCCTGATTGGCAACTGGGTTCGCTATGCCGGATCTTACTCCTCCGATGGCAACACCGTCTCCGTCGTCGCCGTGGCTCAAGCTCTCTTGGGCATGTCACAATCTCTTGTCCTGAGCGCCCCGACGCGCTTCTCTGAAACATGGTACACGAGCAAAGGGCGTGTGACGGCGACAGCTGTTATGAGCCTGGCCAACCCAACTGGAGCAGCGATTGGATCCATCGTTGTTCCATTGTGGGCGGATGACCCTAGCGATATCTCTTCCGTAGTCTTATATGTGGCCATCATTGTGAGTCTTGAAACCCTGATTCTCTATCCTGTGCCGACCTTTCAGAAGCTTATGATGACAGTCATCCGCGGTGGCCATTCCAGGCTTTTTTATTCCAGGCGCGCCGCCAACTCCCCCGTCGCTGTCTCACCATACAGAACGACCAAAGGTTCTGCCATCGTTACGAGTATTGATTCGCTCGCTAGAGTGTTACCTGATTATCATCCCATTCTGGGTTTACACTGGTCTCTTCGTCTCCACGACGTCTCTGATCAACCAGATCGTCACGCCGTATGGGTTTTCCGATACCGAGGCCGGCATTGGAGGCGGCCTCCTCATTGTTCTAGGGTTAATATTCTCTGCTATCACGGCGCCGATAATCGACCGAACTAAAAAGTTCCTGCTCGTCATCAAATGTGGAGTGGTTGTCGGAGGGTTTTGCTATCTCGCATTGGTATGGGTTCCAAGCACAAAAGAGGTCGGGGCACTATACGCTGTTCTCGGTTGCATTGGTATCTCGTCGCTTTCTCTTATTCCTGTTGTCTTGGAGGTTTTGACAGAGTTTTCGTATCCCGCGGGCGCCGAGATTACCAGCACTACTGCCTGGGCTGGCGGGCAGCTACTTGGTGGCTGCTTCATCATACTCGGTAATGGTATGAAGGCTGCTGAGAGCGCTGACCCGCCTCGCAATATGAAGGATTTCACTGTCTTTCAGGCGGTGTTGGCAATGGTAATGGCACCTTTGCCCCTCATGTTAGGGATGTTTGGGCGCAGTGACAAGGTAGCTCTTAAGCGTACGAATGTACACTAAAGCACATGAACACGTCTCAATATAAGATAAAACATAAATTGATAGGATATTATTTTTCAAGACATTTTCCTTTGTCCATTCCCTCGCTTTCATTTCAAATGCTAGGATGCCGCCTACTTATATACTTCAGACCCCTGCGCAACTAAACCTTTAGCTTCAAGTTTAGCTTCAACTACCGCTTCTCTTTTCGGCGTCCCGCGGGACAGCGTCTAAGGTTTCAATGTAATCTTAAACGCGGCTCTGCATGAAAGACGTAAGCATAGTTCTCAGCCCCTTTTGCGGTTACATCGCCGTCGGTGTCATTATTAGATAAATTCCTTCTTGTCCTCGTCTCTTCGTTTGAGCTCCACTATCGTCCTCAACACATGTTTTCATCATGCCATCCCACATTCAACAACTGCTTCTTCTGGCCTGGTCTGTGCCAGCATTTCTCTCAGGTCGGATCAACAGTGTCGCGGCGCACAACCTCGACTATGTAAATGGCGAGACCGTACCAAGCATCGGGAGCTATCTTACACCAATATCAAAGTCGCAACAAATAAATTTACCGAGATCAGATGAAGAATCACGCCGGCTGCAATGCTTTGGGACAATACAGAACGAGCTTTACGTTACCGACTTCTTACAAAGCAACTTGGATGTTTTAACAGGACATTCGACTTGTTGGCTGAACAGAGGTGTCGCCGGTCTAAGAACCTCACTGGAACGAAACCTCACGGCGGCACGTCCTTCGGGCATGGAGGTTCCGAAATGCCCCATCAACATAACGAGCTCAGGGAACACCTACCTAATCGACTTCGCCAAGAACACCTATCATGTTAATACCATTTCAAAATCTCTCTTGATAATACTGACAAGTATACACGGTATGTCGTTAGCTTCTACAGTTTAAGCATTGCTAAGAGATCTAGTGGCTGCCATGACAGTGGCTTTCTTTTTCGTATACCCTACCATCCTGATCTTTTCGACACTAATCGCTCTTGGCGAACTGATCGAGCGACCTTTGTTTAAAGCTCGGATTGAAAAATGGCAAAAGATACTTTTCTGCGTCTTCTTCCTCCCTCTCCTGGCCATTGGAATGCTATGCGGGTTGACTGGGATGGGATCGTCAGACCATTTCCGAACAGAACACGGGGTAAGTGCATGATGCAATCGAAACATCAGTCCTAACTATGAATCCTCCAGATCATCGGGTTGGTCACAACAGTCTTGGCGACCTTGGCAGTAGGAGTTTACCTTATCGAGAACAGCCTCAGACCAAGGCTTTCGATAAGCAGGAGATGGCGCCGGGTACATAAGATGGTCAACTACGCCGATATCTTCATTTGCCAGACTGTTCTCCTCCTATCTGGCTTTGCTCTACCCGACGGTATCGACGACTTCCAAGTTATGAGTCTTTGCGGGACAAGAAGCATATCCACATCGTTGTCGTTCTCGGTGGGCATGATGGTAGCTTTTATATGGAACAGTGCTATGGCCGCCATGACTCTTCAGTGGTGGCTTGTTCGCAGGGCAAGTGAAGACAAGCCTCCGGGCAAGATGTGGCTATTAATATCACGCGTCTTTCGGCGGAACTCTGACAGCTGCGAAGAAGACGGGTAGGAGGGTGAAAGGCTGAAAGCTCATCAAAGCCGATTGAAAGGGGAAATTATGAGAACGCGCTGATGTATGTTGTCAAGTACTATTCTGCTATTACTCTGGACTCGCAGGCCAGTCCCAACTTCAAGTCAGTTGAACCACTGGCAGTCTGCCCCGGCATTTATCCATCACTAAATCGAGTATAAAGCGAGTCAGTATAGTCTATTATTTATGAAAGGATATTCTATCATGCCACACATGTAAAGGATTGCATCGTTGCTTCAATGTATTCCGGGATGTCTGAAGGCAGCCTCGACAGTGCCTACGCCACAGTGATACCCACAAACGCACCGGATTCTTCGTACAACTTCTTTCTGTTCCCACCATCCAAATCGAACTGGTACACCGAGCCTCCCAAGTCAGTGGCGAAGATTCGACGGTTCTTCGAGTCCAGCTTGACGCCGATAGCTTCGTGCAATCCCCGAGCAACAACCTCATAGTCTTTGCTTGACTGACTTGAACCATCGTGATTCACCCTTGTAATTCCATCGAGCTTAGCACGGTTGATGGTGTTGCCATCCGGCAGCTCGCCCCGATCCGTCCAGTAGAGAACATTCTCATCCTCATCGATCTCCAAATCGATAGGCTCTGGCAAACCCTGGAACAGTACCTCGATATCCTTCCTGCTCTGTGCATCTTCGCCAGGTTGGAAATCGATGTTGGCTTGAAGAATGCGACCCTGTCCGCCCTTGGATGGACCCTTCTGCGACCAGTAAAACTTTCCAGTGGAAGGTGATACTGTGATGCCGACACACCACCTTGTAGGGTTTAGCATATGCGAATCAACCTGCCAATCACCAGTTTGGACAAGGAGTTCGAGCTCAGAGCCGTCAAAGTTGCATCTCATAATCCTCATCCCCTCGCGATCAGCGAAGTACAGCTTCGAGTTCGTGCTATCGACAGTCAGCTGCTTTGGTGTATGTACCGAGCCTCGAGGGACAATCTCCTTGAGATCTGTTCCGTCTAGATTGCAACTGTAGACAGCACCGTCGTTTGCGGGAGGATTGCCCATGCAGGTCCAGAAAAGCTTTCCCGCAGACTTCGAAATGTCAATACCATCAGGCATGTGTTGACCTGAGACAAGCGTCTTCATCGGCATTCCATCGCTAGAGCCAACTAGTACACGACCAGCAGAAGCATAGCCTTTTGGGTTTCCACTTGACAGCCCAATGTCTAAGAAGTAGAGCAAAGATTCATGATCTGAGTCAAAAGGCTGCTTTGGAGGGAGCAGTCCACCCTTGTCGGACTTGGCTCCCAACTTGCCTTGATCAATGAACTTCTGAAGGAACTTGACTGGCGTATCGGGCAATCCACGCTCCGCAATGTAGTGCTGTTCAATAAAAGACACAGTATCAAGGCCAACTGCATCCATCATAGCAACTGGTCCCTTCTCTTTGGCATACCACATCTCCTTCCAGAGCTTCTCAATCTCCTCTGGGGTAGAGACTTCTTCGGCGAGGATGTTTAGGACCTCACGCTTGATAGCAGCCCAGAGACGGTTGTAGATGAAGCCGGTTGACTCTTTGCGTGCGATATATGGGTGAAACTTGATCTCTTCGAGTTTTTCATATAGGAATGGAAAGATGGTCTCATCGGTTTCGCCGTCGGTCATGAGCTCGACGACGCGGTAGTCAGGTGGCATGTAATAGTGCATATTCAGAACGCGTCGTTTCGTTTCCGGCTTGAGGCCCTCGACCATCTCCCTTGACTTGTAAGAAGATGAGTTGCTGCAGAGGATAGTGTCGTGGGATGTGAGCTTTTCCAAGTCTGCAAAAGTTGACATCTTGAGTGGAAGCTTCTCGGGGACAGCCTCGATGACGAGCCATGCCTTTTCAACAGCCTCAGCGAGATCATTGACAGCTGTGACAGTTCCTCGGGTCTCTGAGTCTGAGTATTGAGACATGCTGGTGTTGCAGTATTCTACGGCAGCAGCCCTTTGTTCAGGGCTTGGGTCACGGATGACAACGTCGAATCCGCTTGCAACCCAGCCACATGCAATGCGGCGGCCGAGTACGCCTCCGCCAAGTACGGCGACAGTGCGACCTTCGGCTGAAGGAAGAGTAAAAGCACTCATACTGTTATCGTTGAGCAACGATTGTGAGATGCTGAAGGAGGTAGAGATTGTATGAAACAGGTTAATGTTCGCAGGATAATAGTGATATGAAGTAGTTATGAGACAATAGAACTCGACCGAAATGCGAGTTTTGGGGAGTTTCGCAGACAATCTATCTTATACATAGTCTTGAAGCGATTTCCGGTCCAAATCGATCCGGATTGTCGGTGCATGGCACCTCCGATCGGAACCGGCTGGTATGGCATGACGGAAGATACGGGACACAATGATGAGGCTCAACTTGCCTGAAGTTCGAGCCCCGAAAAGGTGACACCGACTAAAACGTGGGGCGGCCGAGGTCATCAATGACTTGTACGCGCAATAGCCCAAGACGACATTTTTTATCAATGTTGGTGTATTACGGCTCCGTTATGACGCAAAAACGGCATTTATTCCGCATTGCTTCCGCTAACAAGATCTGACCGCATGAATCTGACCCACAACATCCTTGCCTTGAGCCTCAAGGCTCCACTCCTCGGCACATCTAAATATGGGGCTGCCCTGGCTTTAGAATCTTCGAAGAACAGCACATTCCCACCTCAGAAGGCTTAGCATATGGCTTCGATTCTTCCTTACCACTTCAAGCGTGGTATTTGAACCAATCAAACGTCTTGCTGACTCACACATTTCGGTATTTCGAATTAGTCTTCTTGAATGCCTATAGCATCTCTCTAAGACTGACATCATGGATGAAATTAACTACCCTGAACCTCTCCTGGATACAGAATGGTTTCACAGATAAAGCGAATTAAAGACACTTTATAACTATATTTTAAGGGCGAATAACAGAACACAGTGGCATAGTACTTAAATTGAGTTGATTTGTTATTTATAAGTGAGTTAATTACTTCACCGAATGTAAACTGCCCTAAGCTGAGAAAAAATGACCAGTCGCAATATCATGAAATTGAGTTCAGAAGGGATTGCAAACTAGTCACGATCAATCACTCCCAAGAGGCTACCAGCATATTGCTAAATACTTAATTGCCCCAGACTGTTCCGCAATCTCTCAATAATCGAAGGTATTCCAGCCACCGCCGTGGGTTTCCAAGTTTTATTAAAGTCTGGCTCCTCTGTGCAAGTCTCAAGGGCCCTGGCTAGCTCATGCATCTCAACAATATCGCGACTGTCCAAAAGACCTTCACGACGATCCAATCGCCAGAGCAGATCAAGCGCTTGTACTTTGGTTTCATCATCGGTCGTAGTCGATGCGACGAAAGCTAGACCGGAGATCAGATCCCCATCGAGCGAAAATGTCGGCTGGCGGAGAGCAATGAAAGGCGCTGCTGCTTCTCTAGCTGCCGCCAAGAATGGCTCAAAGGCTTTGGGGTTAGCTGCCGCTTCTTCTGAGGAGTATGAATCGATCGCCATTTGCCAATATCTCTGACGTAGACGCAGGTTGCGGTACTGCTGCTCCCCCTCAATCAATATGTCCTCTTTTCTGAGCTCATAGAGGGCGTCAAGGCGCGCGGTCCATTGATCGAGAGCACCCTGCAGCTTTTCGTTTGCTTCCTTCGCGAGGCTAGCTTTATTCGGGTCATCACTTCCCTCATAGTGCCAAGGCTTTCCGTCATGGAGAACGTCTAAGTGCCGCAATGCAGATGATGCCTCGTCGAGATTGCTGAACGGTTTCGGAGATTGGGAGTGCTGTGCTGTACGATACCACTTTTGCATCCCCGAGACACTGGGATCACCTTCCATAAAGTTGGATGACTCTACTCCAAGTCGACAGAACATCTCAGCAAGTTTTGTAGTCATCATGCGCTCTTCATCGGTTGATGACGGTAAAGGCGAATGGAATAGCGAGATTCCTGCGCTGAGATGTTGCAGAAGTTCATCATAACGACCAGTCAGGCCTTCGAATGAGATGAAAAGAAGACAGCAGATCATGATAATGTGCAAGTCTTGCGATGCTGTCATGCTCGGTATGATGGTAGCAATAGCCTTATTGTACTGGTGAGTGGCGAAGCTCTTCAATTCGTCCTGGTCTGAGTGACCGAGTGATTTCGCCATGAATAGTCGGTGCGAGGCGCCAACTGCAACCATGCTGTATTGAATTGATTCGAACTGATAGCCTATGGGCAAAGCGTATCGGAGCCAAAAGTTGGTTGAGTCCGAAGAGAGTGATAGCTGCGTGGTTGTAAACTTCAGGAAGTGTTGGAAGTATAGACGCTCTGAACTTGTCAATGAGGGAATGTCGTCAATCGTTAAGCACAAAGAAATTGCATCCGAGCTCGTTGGTACAGCATTTTTTCGGTGCTTTCGCCGGGTTGCTTTGGGTTTAGGCATCGCGTAGCCGTCGCATTTGATCTTGTCCTCGCAGCAACGGTTACATGTCGGTTTCGCCTCGTCACATTTTAGGTGTCGAACCCTATATAAATAAGTAGTCGAAAATAAGAAAGTCATAACGCCACTTACTTGCTGCAGACGGACTCCGGATCAGCCACTGGACTTGGGTGGTAAAGGATCTGGGCAAACGTACCATGTGATGCAGCCATTGCGGCTTTTTGGGGCAGATGCACGCTTATACTTGATCTTGGCAGTCACGATTCCTTGGATAGCCATTGTTGCACGTAGAATGCCGTTGACGGTAAACACGAGGGAACCTATAGGAAGAACGACGCTTCTGGGCGAGGTGAGTTTTTCTAAGCAGGAGATGAATATCATGCCCCACTTGCAATCGGGCATCGCGAACGAATTTTACGGGAAAGCCAATCACAATGACTGGATGAGTCAGTCTAAACTCACTTGAGACGGTCAGATCGTACCCACTTCACTGTCATAATTGTCTAGCGCTTTTGAGTTAGCTTCGGTCAGGGTGGTATCGCTGGTAATAAGTCTAAGATTGATTGCAGATCCATAGTTAAGGGAAATTCTGTTATGTTATGTTTGGTTATAATGATAAATAGGCGATATGGAGTTGCTCCGTCTCCCTGCGTGAGGTAGGATCTAGACCTTTGCAAACTCAATATCAAAGACGTTCTCATATGGTCTCTTTAACGCGTGAGGAACCCGACTATAGCGATTCTCAGGACAAGAAATGGGAAATACATGAAGTTTCCCGAAGTGCGCGCAAAGAAAAGCGCGTAGTAGCTCTTTAATAAATAAAATACCACTGGTGAATATCCTTGAATAAATATAATAATGCGCCTTGAAGCATTTTGCCAAAGGCACCTCCTTTTATGCCCTTCGCAGCGCCTAATATTTCAGAATGATGTATAAGGCATGAATGAGACCAGGAACGAAGACTGTCTAAATTAGCATGTAATAGCCTCGTGGATTGTGACAACATACATAGAATTGTCAGAAACAAATTCATCCAAAAATCACCTCCGCATCCTCGCTCCATAAAAACACCAACAGGAGGGAGAATGATCGCGAAAATGATCTTGCAAATGTCCCTGGTAGAGGTTGGAAACTGTATCTGTAGTACATAATTACGGGAAAGGTAGGAAAGGATAAGACTTACCCAGCAGTGAACGGCATCTTGGCGGCTGTAGTAAGGAACGGATTGGCTTAGAAGGAGTGGCAGGAGAAGCAAATTATTGCCAAGCTGATATGTAAAAGAATGTCTTGGAAGCTTGAAATCTCTAGGAGGATGGGAATTCTCTTTTTATAAATGCTCGGCTTATTCTTTAGATCAGGCTCTGGATTATGTTGAATTATTCTGCGGGCTGTGATCGTCCTGTCGTAAAGTCGGACTTCCCGCCAGTGCATGCTAGCAACGACACCATTCAGAGACCATCTCACAAAAATTGATCATTCCAAACCAATAATTCTAGACAATCTCATAGTGCTTGATATCTGGATCCATGACAGTAAGCCGGCCTGGAGTTTTGATCCATAAGGCGAGGCATATGATTGGTTGTCTCGTGTTAAAGTGAAATGGCATTATCCGTAGCGCATCATTCCCGCCTTACCATTTGCGAACAGGTACAACTTATGGGGCGGGAAGTATGAGAATTATGGGTCAGATTTTGCCATTTGAGACCAAAGGGAAATGCTTCTCCTCTAATTATTCGTTCGAATGTTTGTTTATTTTATTGGATTTATTGTGATTGGAATTTGAGAGTCGTCTGTTTCGGGAAAATGCACATCAACTCGAAACATTCTAAATACGACAATGAAAGAATTTTGTCACGTCTAAAATGCAAAAACCTGGTCCGAGATCTTAGCTGATGCTCCGGGTTGTTCAAAACCCAGGTCAACCAGTGCCTTCTTCGACGCGTTCACCATCCCCGGTGGACCACAAAGGAACACCTTTGAATCCACGCTCGGCGATGGAAGCTTCTCCTTCATTAACTCACGAGTCATATAGCCAGACCCAAACTTCCAGTTTGCTGGCGGCTGATCCAAGAGGTAATAGACCTTGAAGTTCTTGGGATATCTCCTTGCAAACCTATCCAGCTCTTCCCGAAGTAAAATATCCTGTTCTGTTCTGTTGGCGTAGAGAAGGGAGACTTCTGTTGTGTCACGGTCATGCTCGCAGATAGCACGAATGACCTGGAACATCGGAGTAATACCAGTGCCACCTGCGATCATGCCAATCTTCTTGCAAAGGTTTGGTTGATACTTCATCGCTCCCTTGGGTCCTCTGAAAAGAACCTCGTCTCCAACCTCGAGCTTTGCCAGATACTTGCTTGTCAGCTTGCCGTCTGGGTATGCCTTGATGACCAGTTCCAGAACGCCAAGGTCGGCATTGTTGGATACCGGTGTATATGATCGTGCGACGCTTTCACCGTCGACCTCTGCTTTGATGGTGACATGCTGCCCGATTGGTAGGCCAAGAATGGTGCTCGTTGTCGGAAGGCTGAACGTCAAGCGGTAAACATTTGGGGCAATGAGTGTCTTTTGCTTGAGAGGAAGTGGCGAGTAGGTGACTGGATCCAAAAGCCCTCGTTGCAGCAATGTATCTTCTTGAGCTCGTTTGGGCACCTTCATATGAGCAGGATAGCTCGTGAAAGGCTTGCTCTTCATCGCCATAGTGGTAAATCGTTGTGCAGCAACAGCATTGGCGGTTGCGAGGGATCCACCTCCGACAATGATACCCTTGATGAAACTTGAGCCTGCCGAATCACTGCGTAGAGATGAAAGCAGCCAGTTTGGTACCGTGAGTCCTTGGCGGCGACCAAAGTAGTAAGCTCCCGCACCAGCGCAGACAATGAAGCCCAAGTTGACCAACGCCGAGACAGATGAGGATCCACCAGTCTGGATCTTCACTGCCTTCACAGGTGCAAGTGGTTTAAGCTTGGGTTTCTTCTTCTCGAAACCCTGAATCTTGCCAACGCAGCAGTCTTTCATGATCTCGAAGGCATCTTCGGAGTGTCCAGCGTTGTCAAAGTCTTCACTGGCGTCTGTACCGGCTGCTTCTGTGAGGACATCGGCACCGCCAGGATGATCTGCGAGATATTTTGTGACATCGTAGACTGGCTTTGTTAGCGAGTGCTCCATCTGGAATTGTTGTAGCGTACCTTGGCCATGGATGATTAGCCATGCATCCTCAGGGCTGTTGTGCTCAGCGACCTGCTTGATCGTATATTCCTCCATTGATGCTTGTAAGACACGAAAAGAATTTGGTTGAGTTAATCCAAGACTAGATATTTGGCAAAGAGCTCAAAGCATTCGGATACGAACAACAGAGACTGGGTCTACTGCGGACTGTTCTCTTAAACAGCTCAGTACACACGTATCAGGCGGTCACAATGTGGCCACAAACTGTACAACCCACAAGCAAAGGATCACTGGACCGTCCAGGATTATGCCACCATTTGCATGTGTCCACAGCGGGCCGGAGTGCAGCTCCGTAGTGGGCCTTGAAAAATGCCGAGGTTTCAGGCCCGTTGTGGACCCACAGGACCGAGGACGACCCGCTTCGTTGATCCACTCCGACCGACCCAAGTCGGTGAAACAATGCGAATTCCGCTGTTGATGTAACAAATAACACTTTATTGGCCGAAGAATGATCTTTGACCCAGGAACCCCTATGGTATTGCCCTTATTTCCGTCTTCGCGATTATACTAAACGCGAGTACCGACACTGCACGGGTCCTTCCGATATTGCCGTTTACATCATCCAATCGTAACAAACATTGTAATCAGACCCAGATATCTGCGGACACGGATATGCCGAGAGATTAACGGATGCAACGATAAAATTTCTACGATGCAGGACTTTAACGTCATTCATGTTGCAGTCCGCGGCGACAGACATGTTGTCTCCACGCTGGGTTTCGTATCCTTGCCTGCGGTGTAGTCGTAGAAGGCGAGAATGGGTATTTGCATGTGCCATGCGTGATCACCTTTCGCCTTGTGGAATTTTCGCATATAACATCTAAATGTTCACTTTTGAATACACAGTCTTGGCTTTTCATTCAATTTATTGTTATCATTATGGCGACAAAACATTTTTATCTCTTGGGCGAGTCACCGTCAACCGCCAGAGAAGTTGAGCTGCCGCCGGCTGTGGAATTTGAGGAGCTTCAGAACATTGTCGCGTCTCACTTTGCCATTGTCAAGCCAAATGGTAAGTTTGACCGAGCTGCGTTAGCAACGCAAGTGATTGACGCGAACCTTTAGGCGTTGGCTTTGTTTACGACGACCGAAGACTCACTGCAGTATCCGAAGTCTTAGACAATGACGAGCCAATCGCCGTCTCCATCAACGGCAATTCTGTTCGAGATGTACCCGGTCCAGCTGGTATTCCATACTTTGGTAATTACCTCGAGATTTACCCCGACCACCTCGGCAACCATCAGCGACTGTTTGAGAAATATGGGCCATTATTCGTCACAAACAGCATGGGCAACCGCCTCTACCAGACCAACAGTGCCGAACTTTCCAACATCTTCCTGGCCGAAGACCACTACTTCACAAAGGACATCGTCCCCGGCCATCCCCTCCACCCAATCAAGAACCAAGAAGCAGGCGTCTTTCTAGCAGATACAGACACAGAACAATGGCGTCTTGCTCACAAATTCCTCCCGCCGGCGCTTGGGCCAAAGGCAGTTCGTCACTACGCTCCAACGATGCAGAGAACAGTAGAGCAATCCTTCAAAGTCTTTGATGAGCTTGACGAAAAGGGCGAAGCGTGGAACGTCTACCAGTATATGCTGAAGCTTGGCTCGCAAGCAGTTGGTAAGCTTGTTCTAGGGATGGACTTTGCGCATTTTGAGGAAGTCGACTCGCCGCTGCATGAGATGGTCCTCAAGATTGCTGAGAACTTGGAGCTGAATAAGCGTGTGTCGTCTATGGGAGCGTGGTATGCCAAAATGCCGTTCGGTGATCCCAAGAAGGTGAGAGATACGATGGCTAGGATCATGGAGATGATGACGGAGTCGATTGCCAGAGCTTCAAAGGGGCAGGAGGATCTGGAGCTCCAAGATGCAGCGCTCAAGGCTGAAAATGTTGTTGGTAAGTTGTAAACTTGTACACGGACTGGTTGCAGACCCGGCTGACTGTCTAGATTACTTCCTCCGGGCCAAGGACAACAAGGGCAGCAAGCTTCCGCCCTCCCAATTCGCTCCGACCCTGCTTGTAGCTACAGCCGCCGGCTTCACCACCACGTCGTCCTTGCTATCCTGGCTGATATACAGTCTTGTCAAATACCCAGGAAACCAAGACCGCCTTCTTCAGGAACTCATCGACAATGACTGGGATGACAATACCCAAGTCACAGCCGAGACAACCAGCAAGCTCAGCTTCCTAGATAAGTTCATCAAGGAAACCCAACGCTTGCACAATCCCTCCTTTCAGCCTGGCCGCACCGCCAAAGTTGATATGATCTTACCAGGAGGCTACAGATTGCCTAAAGGCGCAGTAGTTATCTCAGCACTGCATCACATGCATAACAACAAAGACGTATGGGAGAACCCGGGGCGTTTTGACCCTGATCGCTGGGATACAGAACAAGTTAAGAATCGACCCCCAGGCTCCTATATCCCGTTCGCCACAGGCCCAAGGATGTGCGTCGGTTTCAACTTCGCGTTACAGGAGATCAAGGTGTTTTTACCGAAACTTGTTTATCGGTACAAGTTCAGCTTGGCGCAGGATGGGCCTATTGAGTATGATCCTTATTTTCAGCTGATTCGACCGAACAATTTGTATGTACAGGCGGAGAAGAGGGTGAAGTGGCCACCAAAGTCTGAGTGATGGGCATTGAGTTAGTGGTTAGTGAGTTAATAATTTGGGAATGCTTGGAAAATAGAGAATTGAGAACGGTATCGTGTTTTGTTTTGATGTCATGAAGTCTTCGGACAAATTCCGCGGACAAGCTCCGATATAATTGTGGTTCACTTCACCGTTTGGGAATAGCCGAAGGCGAACTTGCGAAGAGTCATAATACCTCAATTGACTCAGAAATCTGATCTTGAACTTATTTTTTATTACATGCTCCAATGCAGAAGACAAAATGGTACTCACTACAGACGAGAAGGCTCTTCACGACCAAGTCAACCTCTTGCCTCGACGTCAACTGGGCATCGCCCTCGCTACACTCTCGGCATCTTTACTACTCGTCATAATCGATCAGAATGGAATATCAGTAACTCTCCCCACCATCGCGAAAGATCTAAACGCCGAAGCCACCATCTCATGGGCTGGTACTTCCAGTCTTATCGCCAATACTTGCTTTCAGATGCTCTATGGTAGACTATCTGATGTTTTTGGTCGGAAGGTCGTTTTCGTGTCTGCAGCTTTGTTACTCTGTGTTGCAGATCTGCTTTGCTCGCTGAGTCAGAATGCGATTATGTTTTATGTCTTTCGAGCCCTCGCCGGTATCGGCGGCGGTGGTGTTCAGAACCTTGTCAACATCATCATCTCGGACATCGTCACTCTTGAGCAGAGAGGAAAGATTCAAGGTGTTGTTGGAGGCACTGTTGGATTAGGCAATGTCATTGGGCCATTTATTGCAGCGGCAATCATGCAGAAGTCGTCTTGGAGAGCGTTCTTCTGGCTTTTGACACCGCTATCATTTATCACTGCTGCCCTGGCCTATTTCTTTCTCCCCTCCAAACCTCCAACGATTGGCTTTTGGGAAGGAATTTCCAAGATTGATTGGGTTGGTTCATTGGTATCAGGCGCTGGTATTGTCCTTCTTCTGATCCCCATCTCCGGAGGTAAGACTTGAAACGCCATGAAAGCTGAATGCCACTAATACTGCTTGGCATTAAGGAGGCTCGTACTTCTCATGGGACTCGCCACTTTCCATTAGCTTCCTTACCGTTGGTGGCGCTTTGTTCATCGCCTTTATAGGATGGGAATGGAAGATGGCAAAGCTTCCAATGATGCCCAGTAAGAGACCCTGCCCGAAATCCATTTCCAAGATAATCATGACTCATCATCCCAATTCAGTTGATATCTACAAGAACTCAAGTCTGGCTATTATGCTTGCGCAGAATTGCCTGCTCGGCGCTGTCTATCAGTCCTACCTCTACTACGTTCCTCTATATCTCCAAAACCCCCACCAGTACAGTGCCATCAAATCAGCAGCAGTTTACACCCCATTGGTGGCAGCTCAAATGATTGCTTCTATTGCTTCAGGACAGTACATTAGTAGACGTCTTAGATACGGTGAGGTAATCATATTCGGCTTTGCTATCTGGACGCTGTAAGCTCTTCGCGATTTCCTCCATGTTCTGATTCTCTTGCTGACGTATTAATTAGAGGAGCAGGCCTTGCTCTACTGTTTACGAGACATACCAGCCCTGCCGTTATTACTGTTATACTGGCCATCGTTGGGACCGGTGTCGGGTGTATCTTTCAACCAACCTTGATCGCATTACAAGCACATTCACCCAAGAGCCGTCGTGCAGTCATCATATCTAACAGAAACTTTTATCGTTGCATCGGAGGAGCATGTGGCCTTGCTGTCTCTGCGGCAGTCCTCCAAGCTCAATTACGCGCTACTCTGCCAACTGAGTACAAGAGCCTCGCCAGTTCCACATACGTTCTTCCTGAGCCAATGCGCAAAGTTCCGGGCGTTCTGGATGCATACATGTCGGCGAGTCACAGCGTTTTCATATTACAGGTTCCTTTGATCGGGTTGTGCTTACTTGGCACGGCTTTTATCCGAGACCGAGGGCTCGATCCGGTAAAGGATACGTAAAGCAGTAAGATGCAAAACTTGCTAGAGGTGAATCGTATCAGTCACCCTCCATTGTCCTGGAAAAGGCTCTTGCAAGCCAGTCGGCAGGGACGTGAAGAATCAATATTAAAAGCTTGAAAAGGTATTGCTGGGGGCTTGAGACCCTAACATGTACCCTGCGTATCCAGCATAATTGAGCAGATATTGACCTGGGATGTTTCATTTCGATGGTAGGGCAGTATTCTAAGTCTTCTTCCGATCCCTAGGATATGCTTATGTCTTTCGTCTTTGGCACAAGTTTCCATGTTTTATTCTATGGACTGAGACTAATTCTATATATGTCCAATATTGTTGTAAGTGAACCGTATTGGCTGTCTTTATTGGAGCCATTTGATGTTGATCTTGACGAGCAATTTCTGTTTACTTAAAAGCCCTCCCTCGTCGTCATATAGCGGAATAAGTCGGTATCCTCGATTTAGACGATCCAGCCGGAGACAGGTCCAAGCCATTACATCGTCGCCAGATAAGTAATTCGCAAATTTTAACCTGGATAATAATGTCAGTTTTATTTATGTAGGCAGTAGGCTTGCTCACCTGAGGATGCTAAGTTTAGGAATGATGCGGAGTCCTAGGCTGTCCATATCAAGCTTGTGCTCGTAGCCCAAGGCACCGGAGTCCTCATCTTTGACTAGTAGCGATCCTGCTGATAACTCGAGGCTATCACCAGCTAGATGTAGTGTGGCTCTAGTCAATGATGAGAGGCCTCTGGTTTGACTGTTTGCGCGATCCTTACTCGTCAGCTCGACTTCCTGCTTTGCAAAAATAAGGATAGATAACTCGGTAAGGTCTTTTGAAGCTGCTTCGTAATGAGTTAAGGTATTCTTATCTGAACTTCGATAGCCGTCGGGTTTCAGAACCCATCCTGATTCATCAGCGAACATTCCTTCATTCAACATCATGCCCTCGTCCACGTTATGCCAGTTGATGGCAGCCATTTGGATGCCATGTTGCCAAAACTGCAAGGGCCCAAGGTTTGAAGAGTCCTGTCTCGCGGGGCTTGGAGTGACATGAAGGAAGTAATTTTTGTTGTCACTGAAAAGGTAGGTTTGTGAGGAAGAGATGACTTCCTGTAGCCTCTCCTCCTGTAGAGAGAAAACATGAGACGGAACTTTTGTCCGTGGAGTGTCGAAGCCTTGAAACGACTCTGTTCGCATGTATATTTCGAGGTCGGCCAACGGCCGTATAATCGGGATATAACCCTGATCATCTTCTCTCTCCCCGCGCCGAACCTTGTCGAGCTTATCAAGGTTGGGGAGACCACGGCCTGAGGCTTCTGATAGTGTAACAAGTATGCGGTTCCGAAGGTCTTCCAAATTTGGTAGTCGAAACCTTGGGTCACAAGCTTCTAGTGGCTCATCAACCAGATAACCATCCCACTCTTCCTTCATGATTTGAACCATCATCTCTTGCTGATCAGAGGTTGCGTGAACTGAAATATTGACTATGACAGGTAGATCGTTATTGTAAAATGCAAAAGCTTTGATCACTTCACAAGCTTCTCTGAAGCTGAAGCCTGACACAAAACTCAAGCCATCTGTAACGACTGGTTCTACACGGAGGTTCGATTGGCGTGGCTTGAGGAGTGTGATCTTGGACGCCTCGGGCTTCAGTGCAGTGTTATCCCTGGCAGGACTGAAGAGACGGTTGAATCTCTTCGTGGTAGACACGGCCTCACCATTAGGCCTCTGATCAAACACATTCATGACTCTCTGTCTATCAGGCACGGAATCCTCATCACCATCCCAAACATCGATATCTATGTATCGATACCCAGCAAGAAGCGCCTGTTAATAGTCAGAGTACGTCAAATTGGATAGGCTGGATAATCTTACATCTCGAATTGAATCAGAAGAGAGTGGAGAAATATCAAATGTTCCAGGTAGGAGGGTCCGATGGCTACTCTTAATGAAGTAGTTGGAAATAGGTTTTGCGAGGTCTTTTGGTGGTAGGCCTCTGAGTGGATCCAGATACAAAGTCATCATCGCTGCCAAAAAGATGTCCAGCCTGGAAACATGGTAATCAGTTAGCCGTCCATCCTCACCCTGGACATCTCTAACAAAGTTTGAGAACGTATTTTCCTTTTTTATAAAGGTGTCTATGCGGCGTTGATAAAGCTGGACGAAGATGCTATAAGACCTTGGGCTGAGAGATGGAAATTGGCTGATGATATTAGCTAGTATTGGGTCCTCTTCGGGCTCGATATCATCCGTCTTCTTGCGGGAGAAGAGACGGTTGGCAATTCGTCGAAAGCCGGACGTGGATTCACGGGCGCTTGACTTCGAGGCCGAGTCAGCCTTGGCATGTTCATTGTCTTCAACGGCCCCTTGAGCATCTGGACTGGAAGGGCGTGGCCCAGGTGAGACAGAAGTATTAGTGCGGTGGGTCAAATCGGGATGATCAGTTTTGGGATGAAACTGGTCATTATAGTTAGGATGAGAAGATCAAGTAGAAGCAAAGAACATACAATCTCAACAACCTCGCTGTGACACTCGGGGCACGGCAATCCATGCTCATCTCGATACCATTCAGCAGAGCATTGATGGCAATAGACCAGTTCACGGTCCTCCTTAGGCTCTTCCACTGACTCAAGAGTATCTTGAGTAAGCTGGGACATTTCAGTCTCCGCCTCGGCAGACTCGTCACCATGCTCGTCAGCAAAGCCTATGTCAAGACCAAGCTTGTCTTCTTTCTGTGATTTGATCTGTTCAGCGATAATCGCCAACCTCCCATAGTCACAAGTCGATAGCTTCAGAGTAGGATCGACATATCCCATCTCGTGTTCATATCCGTCTAACCATTGAGTGACAGCAGCAGCCTCATCACCCTCCGGGTTGAAAGACCCAACTTCACCGCCAAGCTCAACCTCGGAAGATTCAGGCCAGGGAAGAGACCGGAGTGAAAAGTCGTGGACATGCTCAAGGACGTGGTCTATCAGCTCTAGAGAATCGGTATCGCCCTTGACTTCGCAGAGGGGACAGCTCTCTATACCCATCCTTGTCTGGGCAGAAGATGATATGCTCGATGAGATGTCCTCCCCAATGGCTTGTGCATGAGTATTATGAAGATGATCCATCATTTCAGTCATGGTGGAATAAACTGATCCTTGATCACACAAAGGACATATCCAAACTGGCGGATGGTCCTGTCGAAAGTGCTGTTCCAGCATCGACCTACTGCTATAGTACACGTCTGGCGCTGGACACCGATCAAATATGCAGGTATATGGGCGTATATCTTCTGCCAAGTGTTTTCTGCGAGATGAAACGGATATCAGAAACAAGTAGTAAAAGGAAACACTACCGGCGTATCCTTACCTCCAACGGTTGTTGTTTTTGGCTTCTGATACCGGCAAAGTCTGACAACAACAAGGACATTGAACCACTTTCTGCTCATTATCAGATACTCTTGGGCGAGGATATCGAGCAGATGCAGTGATTTGAGTAATAACTGTCATGGGCGTCGACTCTGTTCTGTTATAAATGGGTTCCTTATACTCGAGCTTACTCTCGGGGATCGAAGCTGAGGTGACTGACATAGGTGCTGGTAGCGGTTTGCTAGGCTGGTGAGACGTATGAGTAGATATAGACACTGTAGCGTGTTCCAACTTATTTTCTAAACTGAGAGCTGATGCAGTAGCTTGATCTACAACTCCAGGAGCCGGTAATTCAAAACCAACACTTCTCTTCTTCAGGCCCAAAGAGTGTAAATGAGCTTGTATGAACCGATTTCTTCGCTTCAAGTTGGATGTCACAAGGTGACTTTGTAGCGCCGTCAAGGAATCTATCTTCTTTTGAAACTCGTCCTCGTCACACGGACCAGGCCCGGGGCGAAGAAGAATGATGGCTTCCAAGTGTTTCCTCAACTCAGCGTGTTCTTCTGGCTTGAACAGACGGTCTGCTTTGTGAAGTCGTGACCGCCGTCCTGTCCTACGAATAGCTAATGAAAGTGAGACGAGACTTTCCAAAGCCGAATCGATATCTAACAGAGCATCTTCAAGCGGTTGGTTAGTTGTAAGGAGATTCAGACAGTCTTCCAGTGATTGAAACAGCATGATAAGGTTTCCTTTGACTAAAGAAAGATCAATCTGTCGCTCATTTGGCCTGGAATCGAGTGAGGCTTTTGAAGGAGCTAATGCGCCAATACCGTCGATCCATAGATTGAAGTCGGCCAAGCGGTACTCAAACCGCTCATCACGAGACGTTTCTTGACTGGGGAGACCGGGGTTTGTCGAGCGGAAAGTCAAACATTGTTGGAAGGTGTCAAGACACTTGCTCGAAATGTCTCGAGCACTCAACCTCATAAGATCCATAATTTAGAAGCACAGAAATAAACGCGCGCACTTTCCGCGCTTGCCCAAAAAATCGAGTGGGTGAGAAGAGGTGAGGATGAGGCAGCAGGAAAAGGGCGAAGGCGGAGGATTTGCTGTCAATTATTGTCACGTGACCTCAGCACCAGGGATGTTCAGCCGCACGACCCAAACAGATCATCTAACGTTAACCTCCACTTGACATACCTAGCTCAGCCCTACGGAGATCAAAACATGCGACGGTCGAGATGGCACCTGAACGCTTCAGCGCGTGCGAACTGGTCCCCAAAGTTGCCAAGGAAGTCTACGCTTTGGTGATGGAATGCGGCATTCGCCAGCGACAACGGCTTGCGGGGGAAGTTGGAACGAGGCTGGGGCAAATTGCTCAAGAATCATTCGCAGGTTATGAGCTTGACGATACGGCTGAAGAAGCCGCCTCCAAGCTGTTGCATACTCTGCTTGAGATCTGCATGGTAGGTGGTTTGCATCAAAGCTGAGACATTAACTGAAACGTTTTAGTTTCCTATTCCAGTGGCGAGCCAGATTATTCCTGGGCAGGACTATATGAGCATTGTGACGCTGGCAAGACCAGATAACAGGTCACGGTTGAAGAAATCTATATCTCTGTCCTTCATCACCGACAAAACACTCCCATCTAAAGCCAAGGAGCAATGCGACGCATTTCTAGCTAAGCTCAGCCAGGATGAACCAAAGAAAAAAACTGGTGTCGATCAAATTACGGCAGGATCGAGGTTACCAGAGCCGGATGACTATCCTCAACATGTCAGCAAGAATCTTTTCAAGGCGCTTCACCAACATGCATTTTGCCATCACGCTCAAAAGCCTCAGCAGAAGTCTTGGCTAAATAAAACCAAGAGAATCACTGATCATCATCATAAGCTCGCTCATCCCATGAGGCTTCACCTTGATGCAATGCCACAGATAGAGAGTAAACATGCAAAATTTGAGGTTGTCATATCTTCTGAGAACATGAGTTACTGGCAGCATTTGTGGCTTGGTATTCCCATGTGAGTCTAATTCTCTCAACGCAATTGGTATCTGACTAATAAAGCCAGGCAAACAAAAGGCCGCCGCGGCGTCGTTAAGTTCGCAAATGTTTCCAGTGACGAGGAGGGAGATAGCAAGATTTCAAGCCTGAAGCGCATCAACTCGGATTACTTCTGTCAAGTGTTGAAACATCAGCTATTTGCCAAAGTCAATCTCAACTTCGTCAAAGGCGTTGGCCTGGTATCCCTACCACCACCTGCTCCTCTCGAGAGATTTCTATGCCCAGGCCAGGGACTTCCACTATCAATAGTCATTCAAAGCTACAAACTCACTGACAAAGACAAGATCTTACTTGCTCATGCCATCGCACATTCCTTCTGGCAGTTCTATGGGTCCGATTTGATGAGGAATCGTTGGACGAGCGAAGACATCTGGTTCATGCATGAGATGGATCACCAGCAATCACCGAAAGATCAACTTGCATTGCGGGTATATATGTCACTTGACTTTGTGGATCAGCAGAGGACGTCCGAGGACGATGACAAATCAATGCTGACGCACCCATTTCCGCACATTCTCGGGTTGGGACTTATACTTCTCCAGATTGGTCTTGCGCGGCCTTTTCAATCAATGACGCACTTACCGCTTACATCTCGACTGAACAGAGACCATGGTGCCGCACGACAGCTACTAGGTGAACTAGAAAAAGCCCAATGGGCGCGACCAACACATCGCGATATCTTTGCAAGAGCCGTGTCAAATTGCTTGGATCCTAGAACATTCACCGCTTTCAACCAGAAACCCAAGACAACAAAGAGTTCGCCAACCAATAACCCTGCCACCGACGAAAGTGAAGATGGCAGAAGGCGGAAAGTGTATACTGAAATAGTCGAACCACTGGCAAAGTTGGTCAACATTGCCTTCAAAACCGACGCGAAATACGTATCTTACTTAGCAAGATGCAAAGAGGTCGAAGCATCACAAAACAAACTCCGCTCTCAAGTGGCCTCATTCCATACGGGAAAGACAGTCGTCCCTGAAGAATGGCTTGACAACTTGAAACACATTAGCATGCACATCGTGAATCTATGGGAGGAAAAGCCGGACCACGACTTCAAGCCTGTGAAGATAGCGATTTTAGATACAGGGTGCGATGCAGACTTGCCGTTTTGCAAGATACCAAGGAGGAAGAAGTCCATAAGGGCCTGGAAGGATTTCACAAATGATGCGAGCGGGGACATGCCTGAATCAGACTCCATGGAAGATGAATATGGTCATGGCAGCCTGATGACTCGATTGGTCATGGAAGCTGCTCCACTAGCTCATGTTTACGTGGCCCGAGTTGCCAGGAACACTGATGAACTCGAGTTCAGCAGTGATCAAATAGCACAGGTAAGAATTGTATTAGGGAATACTATTTCAGGTGCTGATCTCGAAATAGGCAATTCGATGGGCTGGATTCGAAGCGGAAGTGGACATCATCTCCATGTCCTTCGGCTTTCCCCACGACGACGACGCCATCTCTACAGCTATAGAAGATGTTGAGCGAAGTCGCGACATCATATTTGTAGCTAGTGCGGGTAACAATGCAGCTTACCAAAAAGAAGCCTTCCCTGCGAGGCACAGATCGGTCATCTCGGTCAGAGCAACAGATTGCCAGGGTACGTTTAGTGCCAGTAACCCTCCAATAATTGACCGAAACACTGTTGCTCTCGGCACATTCGGGGACAACCTGCCACCTCGCCTCAACAACGAGATTACCAAACGTTTTGGTCCTCATATCTGCCATCCTGGATCATCAATAGCGACAGCGGTGGCTGCTGGTATAGCAGCATCAACGATAGCTTACGCAGAAGTTCTTTCCACAGTTCTTCCAATACCAACAGATCAAAGTCCAGTAAAGTGCTTGAAGAGAACTGAGGGTATGAGAAGGCTGCTGGAAAAGATGGCACCGGATCAGACAGGACATCATAGGTTCATAAACCCGATATGGTTCTGGAGTGAAAAGGCGGATGCTTGGAGGGCATGGGCTGCTATGTATGATGGAGTGTCACCATTTATGTACAGATGAGAAGACAAAAAAGCAATACCAGCATTCGTTCCTTATTTGAGACTCGTGATCGGGATAAAGAGGCGCAGATCTATGGCTTTGCTAACAGGCAGTATTCTCCATCTCCAAGATCTTCCATCGCATACTTTGGCGCATCCTCCTCCTCCTTATCACCCTTCAACACTTCAGCGGTGACGTCAACAACTTCGAAGGGCTCAGGATCAGGCCCGGGTCTGCCAGACATGAAGGCCTTTTTGTTGGAGAACATCTCCGAGCCGACGGTGCCGCTGCCTCGAACACGTATGGCATGAAGACGGTAGGCAAAGATGATGCCCGGAGCAGTTTCGTAAGAATCAGTCTTGGAACTCTCTTTTCCACCGGAAATGCCGGCGCCAACTTCCACGGGAACCGGTCCCGCTGGGCCAGAAGCTGAAAGTGAGGTATTATGTCCACTTCCTTTTTCTTTGGTGACTGTGAAGGGGGAATTGGTAACTCTGAGTCCGGAAACGAAGTAAACTGTTCGCTTTCCAAACATGGCAGAGTCAATATGCTCTCTAACTGCCTCCGTATTGACAATACTCTGCAAAAACTCCTTCGTGAATGGCGCCACTAATGATCGAACTTCATGGTCAACCGTCCCATACTCAAGAGCGTTGCGACGACTGGTTTCATAGCCGATAGATGCAGAAGCAAGCTCTGCAAATTTGGCAAAGAGATTAACACCCGCCGTTCGCGTGACATCATTTGAATGAGAATGGTTCGTCTCAATCAGAGTTTGGACTTCAGGAAGCGTGATTGAGTCGGTGCGGGGTGATGCAAGGGTCTGAGTCGGACGACTAGGATGAGGGATGACGGCGCCAAGCTGGAGGGGTCCGTCAGGAGTGAAGGTAAAGTCAGGGGCAAGGAACCAAGACTTCATGGTGGAGGTCGTTATTTTAAGCTTAGGAGATTATTGAATCGGTAAACTCAAAAAAGTAAGAAGGCTTTGCTTATGAGATGGTTAGGCTGCGAGCTGAGTAAACCCCGCATTCTACCTGACGAGAATCCATTGGCCAACAAACCAATAGTTTCCTTGTTGATGTCCAGCCTCCGTATCTCGACACTGGTCAATATACGCTTCAGAGGGACATTTCATCAATAATTCCCTTCAAATTTCCCAGATCTGATCGACAGTCTCAATACGGGATTTCAGATGAAATTCACCCTTTAATGTCTTGGCAATGACAATTGCATGAAGTTACCCTATGGCCCGTGTGCCCTGACTAGTCCAAAGGTGGCGTGGTATCCCGCCCTCCAACCCCTGTCCTCGATCTCAATCGCTATAAAAAGATTTTATCAGGGATTCAAGAACCCGCTAAGGGTTTCAACGTGATGCATTTGGTGGGAAATCCGCCCAAGGCCCTGAAATTCTAATTCTTAGCGACGACTGAAATCGCTCTTGGCTTCTAGAAGGAGGAGATGACCGAACATGCCAAAGTTCGTATTTATGGATTCTTGCAACCGGTTCAACGGGTTTACTCCACTTTCTCGATTACCTCCTTTCTTAGTGGACGGCATCTCCCGTATGCTGGCATTATCAGATGCCGCTAAACGGTAGCTCCGGACAGGAGAATAACCCATGATATGCCGGTACAGGGGACGAGACTCGTATCTGGTTGCTATTTAAGTTCTTGGGTAGTCCTCTAAGAAGTTCAGTCTACCAGCCAAGCTCGTCCTTCGTTACCCTCCGATCTCAATCAGTCATTCGTTCAAGACACTCGCTTACAAACAAAATGCTCGCTCACTCATTCCTCGCCAGCCTGGTTCTCGCAGCCGTGTCTCTCGCTAGTCCCCTAGCCCGTGCAGAAGGCTCATGCTCCGACCCCGTCGTTCGCAAAGAATGGCGCGAACTCACCAGCGCCGAAAAGACAGAATATCTCCGCGCTGCAGTCTGCCTTCGCAACCTCCCCAAAAAGGCATACAAAGACGTTGACGACGTCACAACACGCATGGATGATCTCGTCTACACCCATTTCAGTCTCAACACAGAGATCCACTTTGTCGCGAATTTCCTCCCCTGGCACCGTTGGTATGTGCAGCTTCATGAGGACATGCTCCGCGATGAGTGCAATTACAAGGGCGTTCAGCCATACTGGGACTGGACCATTGACGCTGATAAGAACGACGTGGTCAACTCTCCTCTCTTCGACCCCAAGACTGGATTTGGTGGTGATGCAAAACTCACTGGCAGTGACGTTCCTGGCTTCAAGCGATGTGTCGTCGATGGACCTTTCGCCAACACGAATCTTACTTTGGCTATGGGATGGCCTGACATGAACACCCCGGGTAACCGTCTCCACTGCTTCACTCGCGAGTTCAACGGTGGTCTTGGCAAGGATGAAGACGGCAACCAGATTCTTGGGGATATGCAAGCTACTGCCTACAATTCTCGGGTCATGGATACTATCTACAGCTTTGACAACTATCACTCCATGTCCGATATGCTTGAGGGTTTGCCTCATGCTCAGAGTAAGTGATCTCCATGCCAACCTTTGATCCTTGATAACTAACAAGCAATAGTTCACAGCATCATTTTTGGTGACATGGGTCCCGCCACCTCACCTAACGAGCCTCTCTTCTTCCTTCATCACGCCAACGTCGACCGAGTCTGGGCTAAGGTAAGATCTTCCTCTCTGCTTCTGCAAATATTGTGTTTACTAACTGTGCTTCAGTGGCAAGGTCGCAATGCCACTCGTCTGACTGACTATACTGGCTTCAACGATCCAAACAAGTGGAACACTGCCCAGATCACCGACAAAATGCCTGTTATGCGTCTGGCTGATGAAGGGCCCGTTGTTAAGGACTACATGGATACCCGAGCTGGCCCTCTCTGCTATACTTACTCATCCATGTAAAGTTGCGATTAGTAGTAATACCTAAGACCATGTCGGAAAACCATACTTTGATCAAATGATGTCTAATTTTGATGAGCATTATGAGCGGCAATTGTTGTCAATTATGAGGTGGCAGTCATTTGTGAAACTAAACTCCCTAGACGTCAAGTCATGGCATGGTGACCAGCAATACACTTTGACCCAGACCTGCTTATCTAAGCTAGCAAACTGAACAATACTTGGAAACGCCTCGAGATACACCTCTTATTTCTCCGCGTCGAAGATGACCTTTTGAACCTTCATCGAGTCGAACAGCTCATAGCCCTCAAGAGCATTGCTCAACGGCATTACCGTCGCGGTCATGAAGCTAGACATGTTAGTTTAGTCACATCAAATTGCATGGGGACTTACTCAAGGAGATGTTGCTTTTTAGCCAGCAGCTTCAAAGAGTCTTCGAAGATACCTGAAGACAGTCGTCAGAGATTGACTTTCAACGTTCGCGATGTGAACTTACTCCGAACGGGACATCTGCCCATCTTGATAGTCAGGTTCTTCCCGTAAGCCTGATTCCCAGTCCATGGAATCTCTCCATTATGAACACCAACACTAGAGATGACGCCCCATGGCCGAAGAAGTTTGAAACCCATATCTAGAGCCGAGCTATGTCCAACCACTTCAATGATCACATCAGCGCCGCGACCGCCACTCAGTTCCTTTACTCGCTTTTCCAATTCATCTTTCTGGGTAAGGTAATTCCATGGCTCGGCTCCAAGACTCTTGGCAAGTAATAGTCTGGACTCGATACCGTCAACTGCCAGAATGGCCTTAGGCTTATACTCTAACGCGGCAATAAGCGCACAGATACCCACTGGTCCGCAACCGATTAAGACGACAATACTATCCTCCACCTGCTCTTTACCCAAGTCCTTCAGACCATTAGATGCAGCATAGCAGCCAGTTGGAAAGATATCAGCCATCAAGCAGAGTTTCAGGTCATCAATCTCCTTGGGGGCTTTCACAACAGTGCTTTCAGCATAGGGAATTCTCACGTATTCAGCCTGTGCTCCATCAAGAGGAACTGTACCAAAAAGGAGACTTTTGTCACATCGTGACGAGAAGCCGCGCTTGCAGAAGAAGCACTCTCCGCAGCTCACGGTGAAAGGACTTACGATAGAATCGCCAGGTTGAAGCTTCGTGACAGCAGAGCCAATCTCATCGACTACGCCCGTGAATTCGTGGCCCATAATGAAGCCGGTTCCGGAGGGTTGGTGCCCACGGAAGACATGAAGCTCGCTGTGAGATGGTAAGCATGTGATAAATTGTATCGTTTCAGAATCTGGATCTGACCTTCCACACAAAGCTGTGTACTTGACCTTCACAATGATGTCGGTCGGGTCTTGAATAGTGGGCTTTGGCCGATCTTCAAGAGCCACCTGTTTGACCCCTTTGAACACGACTGACTTCATGGCGGCTAGGCGAGGGGTCGTAAATGGCTTGCTTGTTGTTAAGCAACCGCTTTTTGTGACTTCCGGGAAGACTTTGATGATTTGCTGATTATTCTTCGGATGTATGTGATTATTGTTAGGGTAAGGTAGTCATGGGATGTCTACCCCGCTGTCGAACTGTCGGCCGAGGTTCCCGGCTTACCGTTTATGGACCGGCAACCGCCACATGTTGTCATAGCTCATAACTCATTGACTTCACAAAATTTACTGAAGGGCAAATTCCCAACAATCAGAAATGGTTTTCATCTATCAAGGACGCAGGAAGGAAGACAACTACATTTACTGTAGTTACCCCAACTACTAGAGGTTTGTCGTCTCTAGACCTTGGCTCCATGGTCTCCGCGACACCAAATAAAGCTATAAAATCCATGTCACGACCCGTCGCCTTCGCCCACTCTTTCACGTGTTTATCTATGATATCGGAGTCTTTTCTGCCTTGTTGTATTAGTTCCTCCGCTTTAAGCCAGAATACCTGCGACACGCTCTGCCATGGTTCTCCTAATAGCGAAGACTCTGTATGCAGAGCGAATGCAATAATGGTGACTGCAAGCGTGATAAAATGTAGGGGCATTATCAGCAAGACAATGCTAAGCCCAATCCATCGGCTAGGAAGCTGTAGCGTTGGCCTATTGACTTGCTCGATGGTATCGTAGTTCGGCTGCCAGTAGTAAAAGTACATTTGGTAGATCCGGTAGGTAAGCTCTGAAAGGGCTATTGCTGGGTTGTTTGTTCTTTGTAACATCTCTTGGAAGAAAGCGGTTGATCCGGGTGGATGAACCAAGTCCTCAGCACCTGTGGGTATGATCACCAACACCATATATTCTCAGGCTCTAGCTATCATAACGCGTCTAACTTGACCTTCCGCGAAGCCGCAGTCAGGCTAGGAACCGTGGCTAGTACACCCTTAGCATCCTCTTTAGCAACCTGAGCACCACCCTCAATCGCCAATTTCGCGCTGGTGTCTATGTCAAGACCCTTCTTAGTCATGATAGCTTCGATTGCTTTCGACGACTCGATGGCTGCACGAGCGCGGTCTTTTAGACCGGTCATGATCTCATCTTGTTTCTGTGCACATATTAGCATGGGCTTTACACGGAATAAATGCACAAACCTTCTGGATCAATAACCTCAAAGCTTTTCCAGACTTTTCGTTGTAAGCCCGAAGCCTCTCCTGCAGCTGTTCAACAGGGGTGCCTTTGTGCAACGCACCAGAGAACTCGTTGCACATCAAGAGTCCTGGCGTAATGTGATCTCGGTCCATCTCAATGTACATATATGTGATATCGTAGAGCATGGAAAAGTAGGCTTTTGACTGTAGCGTGGAGGTGTAGATGGTCTGAGTTGCGATCTCGGTCATTGTGAGTGCCTTCTTGCGGTAAGACCTCTCGGCAACTACACTCATCTCTTCGGCAAGCAGATCTGTCTTCTTCAAGATGATGCTCTCAATAAGGCTGCAGAGGAGAGAGAAGAACTTCTCCAATTTGCTGACCTGAATCGAAAGATCGACAAGAACCGAGATACAGTCACTCAGTACTGCTTTGACATTCTCCTGCGTTCTGACGTCAGCCATCTGTTGTGTGTTGAGAATTCTGAGTACCTACTAGAAGTTTGGCCTTGTCATTCAGAGTCTTCAACTTTTGCTCAACTGCCAGCATAGCAGCCGCTGCTTCCTCTTGTTTCTTGATGGCACTATCATAGTTTGCCTGGGCAGCATCGACGGCATTTTGAGCGACTTGAACGCCCTGCATTGCGCCGTTCAATTGGGCAGTTTCTTTTCCGATTGTCAGCAACGTGGCCTGTTGGTGACCTTTTGTTATTAGTTTAACTTACGAGCAGACAAATCAGGTTTTGGGACATCAACATTGAGCCTGGTAAATGGGTTTGGAGAATTGACGGAGGCTGTACTGCCGGAAGCGGCACTGAGAGTAAGAACGTCGTTTTTGGCAGCCTTAACCGCCGCTTTCCACTTGTTAATAGCTTCTGCACTGGCCTTTTCGGAGTTGAGCGAGGAACCCTTCTCAAGATGCTGCCTGATCTCATTTGCGACCTAGTTATATGTCAGCCAAGACCTTGGGACTGGGGTCTCTCCTTGGGGTGCTGACCGAAATGGCACGAGTGAAGGCTGACGCAAGTTTCTTGGTGGCTTCAGTTTCCGTTTTTGGCACATCTGCCAGTTCACCTTGAAGTTGTCCAAGCAGCCAGACAACCCCACTTTGCTCTGTGGGCGCACCTTTACCTTCAGCATTTGCCTCAGTCACCTCAAATTTCTTCCAGTCTATGTCCTTATCATCTCCCCCGAGAAAGGCAAAGAACGCCGTGAAAAGGTAGGCAGACTGATATGCTGCAGCGCTGGCCGGGTCATTTGCCAAAGGTTGAGACGAAGGTTGTACTCCATTTGTGACACTGGAGCCTGCAGGATTATTTGGCTGAACTGTAATCGGCGCTCGTGTTTGCCCTAAGACACCACCGGCAGCGGCGCCCAGCGGATTTGCGGAGGCGAGTGCAAGGGGCAGTGCAGCCGCAGTGATGGCGGGCAACGCCTGAGCCTAGGCACGAGTTAGTCGAGACCGAGGAATCTCGTGAAGTTGGCAGGTTTCTCACAAAGGATGATGCGGCGCTCTGGAGAACAGTAGCCCAAGGTCCAGGAACATTGTCAAGTGCACGATCTATCCTCCAAGTTAGCCCATAAAGTTTTCAAATATTGTCGTATGGACCTACCAAGTCTTTTCTCGGCCCTTTCTAGAGACTTTTCCATCTGTTTGACTTCCTCGTCGCTTGATTTAGTTCTCTTGTCAGCAAATGTCTTCTCAATGTCCGCCAGCTGTTTGTCCAACTCGGTTTTTGAAGCTTTACGGGCAGTTGTTCCAGACTCCTGCTCAGTTGTGATGTGTAATTCCATGACCATCTTGCTCCACCTATTGAATGCAAGGTGAATCTCTGCGGCATACTTAGCGCAAGAGTTCGTGGTGGACCCAAATCTCTTCAGAGCTCGCCTCATATCATCGAGGTTATCTTCGCTCTCGGTACATTGTTCCAAGTGTCCAAATAAACCAGGGATCTAGCTGTGACATTAGTGAAAATCCCGCGACTTATGTCAAAGCAGCAAGGTCTTAGTGGAACTTACGTGTTCGTTCAAGATTGAAAAGCTCAACTGCTTCAAGTTCTCCATTCTGTTACTGGCGATTCCGAAGGCTTCCTGGCCCCCCGAATTGCAGACTATTGTTAGATTAGTTCACACAGACCCTGGCAGAGAGTTCAGGAATACCAACCATCAAGGAGGGAAGCCCTCAAAGTAGGATCGGGGCGGTTGATAAGGTACTGAAAACCATTGGTCGGCATGGAATCCTTGAGAGAGATCTTTTTAGCTTCTTCATTAGAAGCTGCCACATAACAGGCACACATCATCGAGATGGCAGTAGGAGCGGCACCGAGCAACTCGCCCCAGTTGAACTGGAAGAGAGCTGCTCCTTTGACCTCATCAACGAATTGGTTCGACATACGCCCTCCATACTGAGACAATCGAAGGCTTTTCTGAGCAGCCTCTATGTCTTGGAGAGCGGAGAGTTGTGCGGTTGCCATACTGTTGGATTGACTTCTTGCTATCGTGAATGTTCTTAGTATTCAATGAGCTGACTGAAGATCTACAAACTGGGAACGGCAGCCCGACGGGCTTAAGTACGTCTTATGGTGGACCTGAGCAAAGGCATCAGAAAACCCTTTTACTCATGTTAAAAGCTCATCTTCCCCCGATGTGCATTGTTGAGTTCTCAGAATAGCAGGACAAACCCTGTTGCGCAGCCAAGCGCTTAGTGCATCGCTTGGCACATATAGGTCAGGTGTTCGTCCATGGCTTAGCTGAAATATCCCAATAGACATTTGGCACCATTAGTTTGAGCTGAAATACCAGTCAGGATAGTTGATAGTTATGTGATAAAGACTATATGCAGCCATCCTTATCGTCACACTTCCGAATACGAGTGTCGTTCGTAGAAACGCCACTTTGCGCTTGTACTTTCAGCTCAGCCACTTCAAATAGATCGTATAATCTATTTAAATGGCAACTCTGAACTAATTGGCAAGATCTCCACATCGCTTGCAGTACGTCCTGTTTGGGCAGACAACGAGACGCAAAAGTTTGCAAGTAATAACTCTGTTGATCGTAACAGTACAGAACTTGGAACCAAGGAATGCAAATAGATCCTTTGCTGAGCTTCAGCCCGCCTCTAGAACGCCTCGGCGCGTATTGTTCATTAACCTTCAATCTGTGGCTTTACGTTGGCAGGCTGCGGCCCTTGGCGCATTTCTCCCTGTTCATTGGCGCTCCAATCAAACCCTGGATTCTTCCCTCATAACGTGCCTTAAATTATTCTACCTATCACACGTTAAAATTATATCCCTTCAGAAGTTCCCTTCTGTACAGACTAACATTTCGCCCATCACCACGAACTCATACAATAGATTAGGCCAGACCAGCAACAACTTTTCAAAAATGGTCAGCAACAGCGACGCTGAAGAGAAAATAAGTATGACCTCAAGGGTGATAGAAAGTTGTGCCATATTGATAAATCGACAGCTATAATACAAAAAAGGGTCTCCCGGCTCCACAGAGACACAGATGTTCTGTTCTCGCAAGGACAGCAGACGAAGGCATCCGTCCTTAAGCAGGAAGCTGAAGACCGGCAACAGGTCAAAGCTGCTGGAGATAGTGCGTACGCTGCCCTGGAACGGGCTGTCCAAAGACTAGTTGAGCTGCCAAGCAGCCGTGACGAAGTCTCCGAGCAAGATCCAAGTATCGTGGCCATTTTTCACCACGCCATTGAGCAATTCCAAGGGCTCAGCAAGACATCGCAGACCAACACGTACCAGTTGGGAACAGCGGCGGCAAACTATGAGAGCTTCATCAGCGTTATTTCTTTGCACAATAGCAAACTGGACAGCCAGTCTTCCAGCTGGAATCAAGAACAAAAAGCGGCCCATGATTCAATGTTGGCCTGGCAAAAGAAAAAGAGCGAATATGACAGAAAACACCGCGAACTCTCCAAGCAGCTTAGTGACGCGCGAGACGAGCGTAGTGTAGGAAGATACCGTCCCAACGATCAGAGATACTAAGACTAATAGTGCCTAACTTAGTCATTTGGTGGCTGGGTGTCATCAGGCTTCAGCACTAATCTTGACGACAAGATCTACACAATTGAGAAGAAGATCGAAGAAAACAAGAAAAGGTATGATGAAGCTGAAGAAAATGAGAAATGGAACAAGAAATTGCGCACAGAAGCGAATTATGGTCGAAAAGTCTGCAGGGATCTCAAAGTCCGTATCAAAGCTTTAGACAAAGAGTTTGCTACCGAGCTACTCCGCGTCAATGAGAGTCAGCTGGTTGAGTCTTCTCTTTGGCGAGGTCTTCTCGAACTCAGCAGCATGGTGGAAGACCCCAAGTTCTTATCAAGCCGTGATAATAGTCTTCGGCTTGTGTTGAAGATTCTCAAAGCTGATGATGATAAGTTTGGCTCGGGAGATCGTTACGTACATATTGAGGAAAGGATCAAGTTAGCTATCATCGGGAGATGGGGAGAGGATGGTTTCAAGAAGCTCCTGGTTCCCGGAGAGCGACGAGGCCCACGAGGCTTCCTCGCCAATGAATAGGCATGTAATAAAGTGACGATACAACTATAAGAATTTTAACTCAGTTCGATCAGCTTCTCTGCAGATGCGCCCGCCAATGGATAGTATTGTCTGGTGTTCTTCACTGTAATAATTATCTATAATTAAATTTACATATAGCTAAGAACAGGTCAATGGGACAATGATGTAAATAGTATTGCTTTTATAATAGTATATTCCGGACTTAGTTTTATGGTGGTTATATTATGTGAAGCTTTTAAATCTGGTTTCTTCTTGGTATCGATATGCCTGCCCGCATCACAGATACAAAGAGAAATGGCATAGCCAGCCCACTCATGTTCCGATGCCGTAAAGCGCTGGCAAGTTGTTAGCGGACGACAGGACAAGGCCTAGCTAGCCCGCTTTCCCCACGCCAAAGTTGTGATATCACACGCTAGTACGTTGATGCTTGGAAACATTGAAGATGAGGCTTCTGCCAAGACTTTGGGGCTGGCTGAAATGCATGACATGCCACGAGATATAACCAGTACATCTGTAGCATACCATGTGGCTAGACCTTCAAATGCACTATGCCATGACTCCTTCCTGCCAAGTGTCGGTCGAACCCTGCCAGACTGGATTCGCATTCTGCTTGCGCGTTTCGCGAAACTGTTATGGCGTTCTGGGCAGTGAGTGAACTTACGAATCAGGCATTTCGAATATTACATGGAGAGAGGCGTGTTTGAGTTCTTAGATTAATAGTCCCCTATATTAATCAAATATAGAATTAACTTGTTTAAAAGGGCAATAGGGTGCCTAAGAGTACAATCTATAAATAAAATAAGATACTATATACCAAGTTACTTCAACCTTTATAAGATAAATTGTAATAAAATAGGACAGCTAAATCTCATTTAATACTATAGGGAGATTGTATAAATACAGGGTAGGAGGTTAAGTGATAATATCACGTGCTTTCGAGAAGTTGTCCCCATTAATGTATGTGCCTTAGCGGGTATAAATAAAACATCATTCCCGCTATTTCCGATACCGATGCCGTTTCCCGATCCTAACTCCGTCCTCTAAGCATCACCACTACGTATGAGTTATTAACTCATACTGGCCAAGCACTAATGTCTCACAGATATAAATTTACCAAGTATCAAAGAGTTATATCAATTTCGTAAACCGGGAGCCATATTCACCTTATCACTTCGGTCGTGCATTTTCAGACTCATCATGTCAGCTCACGATTCTTCCTTGCGTGAAACTAACTGGCCCACTCTGGCTAGCTACGTCTCTACGCATAACGATACTTATCCTTTCATTGATCCAGGCGAAGCCGACCTGACAGGCAAATCAGTCTTAATCACTGGCGCATCCAAAGGAATTGGGAGGGCGACGGCAATTCGTTTTGCCATGGCAGGCTGCTCGAAAATTATTCTCGCCGCTCGCTCTGACATGGCCGATGTTGAAGCGGCTGTCAAAGATGCCGCCAAGAAGGCAAGTCGGCCCCAGCCACTCATTCGTTCTATCAAACTGGATATCACGTCAGAAGAGTCGGTGAAAGCGACCGCAGAGACCGCCAAAGATATACTCGGCGGCAGCCTAGACATCTTGATCAACAATGCTGGTTGTCTAGAGGAGTGGAAGCCCATCACTGAGTCTGACCCATCTGAATGGTGGTGGACTTGGGAGGTCACCATGAAGGGCACCTATCTCTCCGCTCGCTATTTCATCCCAATACTGCTCAAGTCATCCACCAAAACGATCATCAATATCAGCAGTGTTGGTGCCCAAATTATCGTTCCCGGAGCATCAGCGTACCAGACCAGCAAGTTCGCTCTCTGCCGCTTTACCGAGTTCATAGACAAGGAATATTACGAGCAGGGATTAATCTCCATATTAATTCATCCGGGTGGGATCAAGACCGAGCTAGCTTTGAACATGCCCCCAGCGATGCATTCTCATTTGAATGATACCGTAGAATTGGCTGCTGATACAATGGTCTGGTTATCTCGTGAGAGGCGAGACTGGCTGTCGGGCAGATTCATCACTGTGAACTGGGATATGGAGGAATTGGAAAACAAGAGGCAGGAAATCCTTCGAGGAAACTTGCTCAAGTTTCGTATGACGATCTGAGTCAACGGCGCAATTTGAGAGAAATTGATGTTCGTTTCTATGTCTCATGATGACCTCACTAGATTTGTTCTGAGTACTGTGCAATGGTCAGTTCGTGGGCACCGGATTTAATTTTGGTCTTGCGAGTGTGATAACGGATCTCAACATGGGAATAGCAACTGATTTTCTGGTTTAAAAAAACACCAAATGATCCGATTGACGTGTTTATATTTCGCCGGTTATGCGATAACTTCAGTGCCTCAGGCCTTGGGTTTGTGCTTGATCTGCAGTTAACTATGCTCCATTCCATTGTACGTAATTTGAGCTCGGACTGTGACTCTTCGCCGTACCTTAGTTTTACTTCATTGGTTATAAAATCTGTGCTAAAACTCCACCTGTAGGAAATCGAATATCCACCCAGTTTCATAAATAAGTGCCAACAATGAGCCCACGCATCTTGTAATCTCCATTCATCCCTCTTATTATTCTTCTACTCAGCCATCCGTCTACAACCATGACTTCGCTTCTCCACGCAGAAACCGAATCGTCTTATTGCAGGTTTGTTGACGACCCAAACACTGATTACGAAAAAGAAGGGCTTGGACGTCGTTGCGCTATCCCCATGACGATGGTTGATAGAGATGGTTCAATTCTATATGAGACGCCAACCTTTGACCTTCTGTATGTGATCATTTCGGAAAATGATACGAAGGCTCTTCAGCAATATCTCACGATTGCACCTTGGGCCGTCTCAATAGAGCCTATCCCCTCGGATGAGCTTTGGGCCATCCCGAGGCCCCATCCGCTTTCAGACTATGGCGGCTCGGATGGCGGTTTACACGAAAATTACTTCCTCTATGCGGCCCGATGGGGAGGTCTCGGTGTACTCCAAATGCTTCTGGACCATTGCACGAAAGGCAGGGATGTCACTCAACAAATCAGATTCAAATCGGAAAGATTTGAGTTATTGACCGAGGCGGCCCAGTGGGGCCAGCTCGAAATGGTCCAATTCCTACTCGACAACCAGCCTCGATACGCCAGCATCCACGAGCGAGACCCCAACGGTTACACTGCGTTAGCATCAGCTGCCTCTTACTACGAATATGGCCGGCAATCTTCCAAGGAAGGGGAAGGAGTTACCCCTGCCAAAAGCGAAGCAATTATGAATTTGCTGTTAGATCGGGGTGCCTGTGCGTCTGATATCGCTCTCCCAATGTATGGGGATAAGAAATTACGTAACACTGTCTTGACCTTAGCTGTAGAGTGGGCAGGCTCGCAGTTAATCAAGAGACTCATCGATGGTGGCGCTGATGTCTATGCTAAGGTAACAAGAGGCCCATGGGATGAGAGTTTCTGGGATCAGTATGGCTCCACTTTCGAAGTCAACGCACTATATGTTGCCTGCACGCACGCAAACTTCGAAGCTTTGAAGACTCTTATTGATTGCCGAGGTTCTGGGGTTGATATGACAGATGTGATATGGGAGCGAGACAGTCGTGGAAGCCTTCCTCTCCACTGGGCGACTCAAAATGACTTGCCAAGGGAGATTTATGGGTACCCAGTAGCGATCATTCAAGAGAAGGCACGAAATATAGCAAACATCGTTGAACTTCTCTTAGACTTGGACCCCACAACAATCAACGTTCCAGATAACGATGGAAATACACCTTTACACTACGCTACCCGGTCATTGAGTCGACACGACAAGCTATACACTCCTATCTTCCAACTCCTATGCGCTAGGGGTGCGGATGCCAGCATACGTAATAACGAAGGTCAAACGCCTCTACATACCTTGTTTCGCCTCAATGATAATGGTAGATCCTTTACCCACAAGACTCCCATCGACAGAGCTACTATATCCACCTTGCTCGCCCACGGTGCAACTCCCACCGACGCCGATAATGTCGGGGATACACCATTGCATATTGCAGCTGCAAATTTACGTTGGACCGATGCCGTATCATATCTTCTTCAGCACGGCGCTGATCCCGCTCGACAAAACTTGAGAGAGGAGACAGCTCTTCACCGGGCTGCTGGTGGTAGTTACATGGGACGTTACTTTATGATCAAAGCGCCGGAAAGGATTAGAGCACAAGATGATATGCTGGCAAGACTAGTCAAGGCTGGAGGAATGGAGTTGATGGACTTGGCAGATGCGAAGGGAATGAATCCAAGAAAGATATGCCACAAAACAAGGCAGGAATGGAAGGAGCTCGATGGCCCACCAAAGCAAAACGGATATGGGAGGGGTCGAGGAAGGGGTCGAGGAGCAGTTCGTAGGATGCATAAGATTTAAAGTATTGCAAGAAGCTAGAATCCAGATTTACTGTTTAATCGATAAAGTTCCTACTTATAGATAAGGATAGAATTAGGATCCCCCATATGCCAGCTATGGGGGAAGTTAATAATAAATATATATATATGTTAAGTGATATTTAAGTAAACTGTTTATAGTAATTTTATAACCTTAGTAGTAATTTAAGTAAAGACAGCATAATAATATATATCTAGTTATTAGTTACGCCCTTCCTTCTTTCTGTTTTATTCCACTCCACATTAGCCTATATTGGGAAATCTCGAGTTCGGATCGACCTGACCATGCTATCTTAGCGTGATTTCCCTTATCTAAAGTGAGTCAACCAACGTAAATTGGTCTCGCTTCAGCCATATCATCTTAGCCAATTCAAGGTCTCTTAAAACCTCATTCTAAAGCTCACATCGGTGCACTTAGCTGGTCATCAGAGCCCATTATTCTACATTTTTGACATCTCAAAAACTACAACCCTCATCGGCCGTACCCTCATAATCGAGCTCTGTCAAGATATCTGATGTTATTAAATAGATAATTCGTCAGGTTTGGCAGACCCCACGCGGGACCAAGCTAGGACCTAAAGGGAGGATAAACCCTAATAATTTCCAGTACTACCGCAAATAGGGCTTTACTATCTACTGCACCTATTACGGTAAAGAGTCTAATAAGCATTAGCAAACGCTTCTATACTCTTTAAGGCATCAGACTAAGCTAGCATTTAGAGCTTTTAAGGACAACGAGGATACAGACCAAGATAATAGGCAACGAATTCAGGAATTATTCTATCTCGATATCTATTAGGATCCCTCAGTACTTGACGGACTTGATGTTCGCGGTCTTTAGGAATTCTGCAATGCCGAAAAGCTTAAGGAGACTGAAGTTATAGAGAAAGGCCATCGGAAACTCTGCGTGAGCACGAGGCCCCACGAGAGTCGAGCTATGGCAGATTACCTGTTCGATTTTGTTTTACTTGCTGATAAAGCTGTTTTAAAAGATATAGAAAAAGGCGAATTCGTTGTCAAGGCCGTCTCATTATCGTAGGATGGTTACTCGGGATGGGGATAGGTGAGGATCCCGATAGGCTATCTGTTAGAGTTGTGGACATTTCTGATATAGAATAAACACCGGACCGAGTCCTGTCTTCGCTTCGACAGACCTAAAGGAGATCTCGCGGATAGTATCTGGCCTGGGGATATGGCACTTCTCGATACTGGAAGATGTTCGGAAATTCGCCGATGGCGGTACTACAGTAACCAAAAGGATTATATGTACTAAGGAAGCATGAATGTCCACAGATATTAACAAACCTCCAAAAACAAAAGGCCGATGCTAATGGCATGACGAAGTGGGTCAAAAGCGGATCAACACTGATCCGCGAATGTTCAGACATTATAAGCTGGCCCTCACCAGTGAATCACCTGTCATCTTGTCGTTTTAAATCTCTTACAAGGGCCAACAAGGCACGCAAGTCTCAAACAGCTCTTGGCCAACACAACTGCCATATCCATTTTTTTCCAACGCAATATGAATCCCCCATCGAAGAACTGATTGACCTTGTTTGGTCGCCCCCGCGAGGGGTCCAGCGGCAACACAAAAGCAGGAAGCATCCTGATAACTTCTAATATTACTGTCAATGGGGCTTCACCATCTACCGCACGTACTATGGCCCTGAATCCGATAGGTACTGGAATATGCTTTTGAGTTCCTTAAGCAGCAAACTAGGCTGGCATTTGGATACTTTGAGGGTAAAGAGGATATAGACCAAAGCGACGTGCAGCTACTCAAGAAACTTTTCCACCTTGACGCACGCGAAGACGCGTCGCTGCTCGAGGGTCTTGACATCAGAGGCATCCGAGAACTGTGCCAACGCCAGGACTTGGATGATAAACGAGCCATGGCTGGTCACCTCTACGAGTTTGTTTTAGTCGCTGATGAGTCGGTGTTGAAGGATATTGCAAATGGCGAATCGATTGTCAAGGCGGTCTCCCTGGGTTGGCATGAGGGGTTTTTGGGGTGGGGTTGGATGAGGATACCAACAAGCTATCTTTTAGAGCTATGGCTATTTCTCAGCATGCATGTTTACAGTACCGAGTCAGCTCTTAGGTTCAACGGGCCTGAGCAAGATCTGGATACCTATTTGTGGCCCGGGGATGTTTCTCTTCAAGGTACAGGACGGTTCTCTGAAGTTCGTCCATTGCTTTTCCACTACAGAGGACAAAGACGGAATGTAATGGTGTATTCTAAGGAAAATACAAAGATTCTATCAACTATGTAGATTCCAGTATCTGTCGACGGATCAGGTCCCTCCCATATGTATGTCTTCGTCTTTCGAAAAACCGCTGGTGTCGATAAAGGTTAACGGCTCATTCCTTGCTTAATTCTTCGAGGACCGCATGCAGACGCGCATCGCATTAGTATATGGCTCCTTTATGTACTTTACTTCTGCCCGCACCTCCGACGCCATAGCCAACACGTTTCCCCTGAACTTCTTCGACACAAGCGCATGGTAATCCGTAATTCCCTCTATCCAAAAATCGGCAAGCTGTAACTTCTCCTTTGGATCCTTCTTGTTGTAGACTGACTCGGAACACTTGAGCTGCACTCAGGTAATCCTAACGATCTTTTCAATTTCTCCTTTATTTTATCCAGTTTCTGTACCAAAATACGCTGAAGTCTGCCCAAATGCAGAAGAGTACCTTGCTCTTGCTGCTTTAAAATTTATCTTTGATCTTATTAGTACTGCTAAGTAAAGTTAGAATTTAGTTCTCTGCAATCTTTATATGGAATTGCATTACCTGCATATACTAGTTATGTCTTTTAGGGGATAGCTATAATGTTAACTAATACTAAAAGAAAGTAAAGAGTAGGGAAAGAAGAAAACCTTTAAATAGACAAAAGAGAAAATAAACGCATTAGCAGACTTATAACTGTATTAAATTATGGATATTTGCACAGTACTCCTTTGTCCACTAGATCAAGTAGTCAGCAAACTATACCTTATCATTCTTATGGGCCACTTCTTTTGTCCTAATAAATCTGGATTTCAGATAGGGATACTTTGCAGCCTTGTCGAAATCGGCTCTGGCTTGGCCTGGTTTTCCATACTGGAATATACCAATACTTACACAAATTTACAAGACTATAATCTCTCCCTTGTCCTTTATCGTGGCCATCGACTTGTTATCCATTCTTAGATGATTTCCCTTCACAAACTGTTATACAAGAACCACTATGCCAGAAGGCAGCCAGGAACATAGAGACCTTACACTTAGGCAAGAGGGCTTATATTTATTCAACGTGAAATACACAAGTAAAACCTCAAGAAGTATTTAGTGGGGATACTCATGCCCGTGATGTAGCTGGATGTTGCCTGGAAGCTTAAAAGGCCACGTCTCCAGTCTTCGGAAGTACTCTAATTATTCTTTTGAAATATATTAGCCACCACCATTTTGCATAATCAATTGTCATGGCTACCGTCGCTGAAATGATTAAGGGTTTGTGGAAGCCACCTCGTGTCCCCAGTATCCGACTTGAGAAAGACCGATTAGATCGGACGCTTCCTGAGAACTTCATATATTACAAGTATTGGGGCTTTAATATATACCGTACTTACTACGGTGAAGGGTCTGATAAGTATTGGGCTATGCTCCTGGATGCGTTAAAACGACAGACCTACCTTGCGCTTCGGTACTACAAACAGGATTGCGAGTACGAGAATAATACCAAGAGGTGTAGGTATAGTATCTATCAACATGCCAACAAAGAGGAGTATATGGAGGACCCGGAACGATTGCGGAAGCTGTTTCATCTTGAGCTTCGTGAAGACCCGCAACTTGACGGTCTTAATATACACCAAGTTCGGAAGATATGCGCTGAGGAGCACAATCAAGGGAAGACAATAACAGCGGGAGCGCGGGTTCACTATGTTCTTGTTGCAGACAAAGCTGTCTTGAGGGACATCGCTTAGGGCGAATTTGTGGTCAAAGCAGTGTCTTATAAGTAGGATAGGTCTAAGAATCGGGGCTGGATGAGGATTCTGACCGGGTACTTGCTGGAGCTTTGGCAATCACTTGTGATGTCCAATAATATCGATCAGGATACTGTTTGGTTCCTCGGGCCTGAGGAAGACCTCGAAAAATACATCTGGCCCGGGGAATACTCACTGTCACAAACTGGTTGTTGTTCTGAAGTACGATCTGGACTCTATCATTACAGTGGTCAAGCCCTTTGGCACAAGAGTGAAGAGATTCGGGAGGCCCGCGCGGCGTGGAGGCGGGAGCAATCAAGAACAACAAAGACGTAGCTTTAGTTATGTTTCAAGCTCACCAAGTAATTGGCTCAATGCAGTTAGCTATATTAATCGTTGGGAAATACGGCATGTCATACAAAAAGGTACTATAAATTCGAAACCCATGTTTCCCAGGCGGTTCAAACGCTATTCTCATTCTCCTCTGTCTTGAGTTCCCGGAACAGGATCTAGCTGCTCCAGAATTGGTTAACAAGGCTGACATACAACTGAGAATAAATATTCTATACCGTCTGTTGTTCTTACCTATCTCAATTTACAATTTCGAGATTCGCCAAATCCGCCACTACCTTGGTCTGTGCCCAGACTGCACGATTCTGCATACTAAGGCGGCAGGGAAAGTCAAACGACTCAAGGAATCCACTGAGCTATCCAAGTCAAAATACACGCCCCGTCTTAGCTCCCTCCTACCTCCGTGTCACTATTTCCAACAGTAGCACAACCTCTGGTATTGGCCATGATCTTCTGTAGCTAGTTCCAATAGCAAATTAACATTGTTGATAGACAGTGGGTCAAGAGTAGTAACTGAAATATAACTATAAGCACGATAACGACTGAAGCGGGAACCTTGTAATAAAATCCCTGTTGGTGTATCACCCGCTTTCCTCTTCTGTTAAAACCAGCAGTTTTCTGTTAGAACTTCTACAATCCTTCAAACAACACCACACAGAAACATTTGAATCATCGAAATGACGTCGATCTCAGAGATGATTGATTTCTTATGGCGGCCCCCACAGAAAGAACCTGGAGTCAAGAGTCGTCTACTTGATAGGAAAGATTCAGAGAACTTCCAGTATTATCATAACTGGGGTTTTACTGTTTACCGTATGCATTATGATCCTGACTCAGATAAGCATTGGGAGACACTTATCGATGCTATGACTCGATAAACTTACCTCGCACTCGGCTACTATGAGGCTGAAAGAATATTCTAAAACGACCGGAAATAGAAGTGGGGTTTATATGCCAACAAAAGCAAGTATGTGGACGATATAAACCAATTAAAGAAGCTATTCCGTCTTCTAGTGCGAGAAGACTTATCATTACTTGACGGTCTTGACATTACTCAAATTCAAGAGCTGTATCGTGAGGAGCTTCCGGAGGCCAGAAAAAATATAGAAGGGACTAAATCCTGCTTTATATTTGTTGCCGATGAGAGTGTCTTGAGAGATATCGCTCGTGGAGTGTTTGTAATTAAAGTTGTTGGTTATGATTGGGACGAGGATCGAGCCGGCCAGGGTTGGATGAGAATCCCAACGGGCGATGTCCTGAGCCTTTGGGAGACCCTTTTACTTTATGACTATATGGGTTCTGACGTATACGAGGAGATTGATTATCTCTGGTTTGGAGAGGAGTTGGAAAAGTACACTTGGCCAGGCGATGCCTCCATTTATCCAACTGGCGGTTGTTCCGAAGCTCGAACTGCATATCCACGTAGTAGGCCTGGATATTCTCAGTTCAGGCTTGATTATTAGCTGGGATTGGCTTGGAGATTGAATGACTGCATTTGTAATCTACATGTCTGCTAAATGTTATAAATACAGAATTCCAATCTTAACCTGATAGCTCTCAACCTGACCCGGTACTCATTTACCTTCAAGTCGGCACTGAGTTCTACGGCCCATTGTGTTAAACCAGAAGTGTATTTGCTAACCTTATAATTGACTCATAAACTCAATACCGCCACGACCTTCTGATTGCCCCAAACCTTCTTTCCAACTCTCCCTCGCAGCCCATATAATACCGACATACGTGTCATCTCGAAACCTTCAATCAACCTTATCTCATACATCAGTATTTCTCGACAAATCTGACAGCTGTGCGCCTTACCTCGAAGCCGAATACGCATCGTCTACACAACCTTCGACTGACTCATACTGCCAGTCCGTCAAAGTTTTCCCCGCAGCCTCCATATCAGTCATCCTCTGCAAATCTCCATCCACACATCAATCAGGGACACGATCTAAGCTTGATTTCTTCTTCTGATAGACTTGAACTTCCTCCTTGCCTCTCGGCCGTCTTTCAGGAGGGCTTTTAGGGCATTTCTTTCTTGCCTAATGACTTATTTAACCTCTTAAGGAAGGTCTTTGATAGTTCAAGTAAGAGCATAAGTGCCAAGGATGGCCAGTTACGAGGTAACTAGGGAGCCTTTTATATTCCTGTATATCAATGATTTTCTCTATTTAAGAACTTGCAGCTTCGAGGACATTAAAGCTAGCTTCATAACAGAGAGTTATTCTATATCTTCTAATATCTTCTAGGTTAAGGGGCAGTTAGTTGATATATTGGTCCTGGAACTGGTTGGGGTAGTTTATATAGATAAGCTTTCTTTTTAGTATATATGCTGCTATCTTGCTTCCTTGTTGTCTGGTAAGATCCTTGGTTTTTATGCTGAGTTGGATTGTCTTGGCAGATATACTAGAGGCATCTTCTTATACCCCCTAAAGTCAGGCAAAAGAGTCATAATCTAGGTTTTCCTCTTATTAGTATTTATACTGTAGCAATTGGTTAGGCATTATGGTATAATATCTAAATAGTGAGCTAGATGTGTTATTTGCAGTTGCGACCTGTGGCTGAGAGCTTATAATCACCACACAGAACTTAGTTCATACACGAGGCGCAGGAGAAAGGGGCTAGGAAATCAACAGGATCTTTCTCAAGTAGAGTCTAGATCAAAGGCTTTGTATTTCATATATCCGCCTCATCTGCTCTTAGACGTTGGCAGACACGTTCCTGGAACTATTTATCTTGCAAAGGCATAATAGTATATAGATAAGAAACGGGCGACTGATTTAATATGCTTACTGAGTATTAAGTGTATCTTACCGATGAATCAGAGTATACGTATGGTCAGGATTGTTAACACTTGTTGAGAATGCCCTTTGCTATTGCAGAGAACATGATCATAGTCGGTATTAGGGGTACCCTTACAGTAAGTCAGTACAGATCCTGTAAGAGTCTAACTCTAACTAAGACTGAAAAGGCACATGAGAGATCTGGTGTTTCTCCTTTCATTGAGACAATGCGAATTTTACAAGCCCGTAGCGATGGTGGGGAAAGGCCTTCAGAGGCCCCTGTGCCCTGGCCTCACGAGGGGTCTTGTTGGAATGCGGCGAACTGCATGTTTAAAAACATCATCTCACCGCATGATGACCTTCGTCTCAAGCATTGCAAAGGTCGTGTTCGTAACAATAAGCGTTGGCACAGTCTTGTTCCGCTCAACACCCTGGTTCTCGCTGATGATATAAACCAACTATTGCAAGTATGCAGCATTTCTGCGTACCTGATATAAGACAAGCTTTGCTTAAATGGCTGGCATAATTATTGCTGTGATGTGGGTAACTTCCGCATTATAACGGATGTGGAGACTTGCTACCTACGGGATATGGACGACGACGGTTCGATTTGGCCTGAAGAATGGTGGGATATGTTTGAAATAGATGGTCTAGGCGGTGAGATAATTGAAGAAGTTATAGTCTACCATGCCTTCTATCGAGACCCTTTACCCAAAGCAATCGAAGTAAGTTAATAGGGGCCAAGGCAATTTGATCTAACACGTAAGACAGATCCATACAAATTGGGGCCGCTCAGTACTCTGGGGCGTCGATATGAAACGTGGTGAGGATAAAGAGGAAACAAATGAGCCTGCTGCTCTTGTTTCAAGCATTAATCAACCGACTTATTTGCGTGCAGACGACGGATACGCTATCGTTGGGTTCGTTATGGGGTGCGGGAAGGTTTTTGGTCGTTGGCACTCGGACGAGTATCATGTTGAACGAAGGAGGACTCCCTATTGTCATTCGCCCTCGGGGAGATTGAACTCTTGGGGCGAGGATTATATAGACGAGGAGGATTCAAGGGGGCCTTGGACGAAGGGACAGTATAACAGACGCAACGAGTCAACTATACATACAGGCATGAGCAAGTTTGGCATTATCACGAAAAGGAATACAGACGAGCAAGAAAATAGTATCTAGAAAGCTGAAGATGTGTGTATTAGAAAGCCAAGAATGCATTCTCCTCCGCTATTGAGACCCGTGAAAGACTGACGGCATAGGGGTTGAGTGCCTATAGTCATAGCAAGTTGAGAATTGTCCTTCTGTCCATGTCGGAACCCTTTTGTTGTCGTCCACTAACAACCTATCATGGCAGTAATGATAGATCCAAAAAAGGAACCGCCGATACCTCCAAGCGCGCCAGCAACCTCTTTGAGAACATTCAGTGTGAAACAGGGCGCTATTACCATATTAATTGAGCGTTTTAATATTCGGGGTTAAAGAACTTACTGTTACTAGTCTGAAGTGTGACGTCGATTTCGATATAGATCTCGTCGCCAAAGTTCTTGCGTATCTTAATGTAGTTGCTAAACTTGGATATCTTGTACTTCTGGGCCTGGAAGTTCGGGTTCGTTGGGAGATAGTATCATGTGGCTGGGATGGCAGTCTTGGGGGTAACCGATTGCTGAATGGCAGAAGCCATGTAACCTCGTGTATGTCGTCTATAGTATTCGCCTCTGACTGCGATCTAGAGCCAGGCGTCCTTTTTGCGGTTGCCATTCGCCATGTGCACGACCTTGCGGGTGTAGACGACGCTCTTATCGCAATCTCTATTTCCGCAGATGGAGTGGATGGCTTCGCCGAGGGGCTTTCTGATGGAGGCGTCGCAGCCATAGTCAACTTGAGTCTTACCGAAGAATACTTTGGTCTCCTTTGGTGCACGAGTATCGAGATCGAACTCGGTGGTGATGTTGCCTAACTCAGGAGCGAGAGGTTCCTCCAAGGCTGCAACGTCGCGGAGGTTCAGAGAAGAAAGCGAGATCATGGGAGTAGAATCATACTGTTTAATGGAAACGTTGGCAGGGACCAGAAAGCCGTGTCCAAAGTCGAAAGGCTCATCAAAGTCGATGTCCCGTGGGCTCGTTGCAGGTATCGCCAGCACAGGGGCCAGGGAGATAAGAATGATCTTGAGAGAATGCATAGTGATCGGGTTAAAGAAGAATTGGAAAGCGATGGAGAAATTGTTGTGAATAATGCTGTCAAAGTCGCATACCATTACCAGCGCGGTCTGCCTTACTTATACATCTTCATCATATTGTCTTCTGGTACTCAAATACACTTGATGACTCGAAAATTATCTCATTTTGGGGCCGGGAGCTATCGCATGATAGCGGAACACTGTTTCCAGAATCTTGGGGGCCATAAACTATCGCATGTTCGTTGACCTTTAGGCAATATCCTATTAACGTGATTCCGTCATGTTGTGCAACGTAGAACCAGAACCGACCTTCTCGTTCAAGACTTCTGAATCCTTCGGAGTGATAACTTAGCTCTGATAATTAGGTTCTTGAACCTTGCGGACTCTAAATGCTGCGCAATGCTTTGATAATAACTTATGACCTGACTTATTAAGCCATACCTGCGATGCATTGTGATTTAGACCTTAGTATATAACTGTAAGTTAAGGCCTCTGAGACTATATTGAGATATAAAAGTATAAATATATGGTAGTCTAGAAGGTAATGAGTCTAAGACCTAGTGATGATAGGGGTTAGAGTATGCCATGTAACCTGCCAAGACTGCCGGACCTGCCGAGTTCCTTTCTGCGAGATCTAGACTCCATGTGCATATTGGGGGCCTGAAATCACTGCAGAATACGGACAGCAAGTACTCTTGGCAATGGCTGGGATTGTCGTTGCCCAAGACCTTATCTTATCAGAGCTTGCCAAGAGCTGGAGCTCATGAAGCGTCCTTTGTCTCATCTAAGCAGCATGGTCCGTCAGTAAGACTTCCCAGCTGATAGATAGAATCACAAATAAGCCAGAAAATTACAACGTACGATAGAAAAGACGAGGCTATGGCGCAGAAAGCCTTCTGAGATTGAGGGCTTCGGTGTATTATCGGCCCTTAGGTATGGATGTAAATGAAGAGTATCGTTCCCGAAGAGTCTGCAACCAGCAATTCAGTGACTCCCTTATCAGAGCATTACAAAAGAGCAGGGTTTTCAACCAGCGAAAACAAAGGCTATATTGTTTTAAGGTTTCTTTTGTATCAAATACACGTATCGTAACCTCCACTCAGATCAATCTAAGAGCATGATAAGCGAGTTTAATCGGGCGGACTTAAAAAGGATAACCCATTCCTGAGGAACTACGAATTGACTGTAGTTTTGCATACCTAATCACAGAGCAAGAAAGCATCCGAAGTCTATAGTTAAACTGCCAATCACTGCTCAAAAAAAAAAAAAAGTCGCTCTTAATTAGCCCCGGCCCTTACCTCGCTATTTACATCTCCGCTCAAAATTCGCCTCGATTGAACTTGGTTAGATGAGGTCCGTGAACACATGACAGAAACAAGGGTCAAGAGTCGCCCGAAAAGGCTTTTGTCATAATCTACACCAAGAACTTTCTCGTCGTATCAAAATGCTCATTCAAAATTAGTCGTAGTCCAAGCGGCCCGGGATCCACGGGAAGATCTATCTGATCTATTTCGGCTCAGATTCAGCTCCTCCCCATAGCGCCAGAGATCTTAGGGGCGAAACCGCGGAACGAAGACCTGTAAGTGGACGTGGCGTGCAGATCATCTAACGTCAAAACATTTTCCCGTCGCTGACGAGTAGTATTGGACAGTGCATACGCGATTGGAGCTCATGAACTTTTAGCTCAGCTATGGCTTACAGTAGGACAGAAAAGCGGGCAAGAGATTGGACATGATTCACTTCTGGATCAGGCAACTTGCATTAAGTCACAGTCGAGATCTTGGCTTTGAATGGGCCGCCAGGGCCGGGTATCTGAGACATTATCCATTGATCACAGCTGGAACATCTCAAAGACGTCACAAACGCTACCAAGCGTAGTCAAGTATCTGTTTAGCTGCAATTAGTCGCCCAGCGTGACCCCTCCATGGATCTAGAAGTAGCCACTTCTCATTATCTTCCATCGATCACATAAAACAAACATTACTCTTCCCAGTCATTGCAACATTAAAGAAAATCTTCAACATGTCCTGTCTAAGCTATACCACAGTTGTCCTCCATTTGGGCCGAGTGCTCGTCAACTACACCACCAAAAACACCGTCGGCTTATCGTCAAGCCAAATTGCCAGCGCTCTGGACTCACCTGGCTGGCATGACTATGAACGAGGCAAAATCTCTGAGCGAGAGGCTTACGACAGAGTTACGAGAGACTCCAAGATCGATTTGGAGACCTGGATACAGGTCTTGGAGCAAATGAGATATGGTAAGAGGGCAAACCAGGCCCTCATATCCGCCGTCAAGGAAATGAAGCAGACTTACCCCAATGTCAAGATCTTTTGTCTTTCAAATATCCCGAGGCCTGAACTTGAGCTTCTGAAAGATGACATTGACAGTTGGGGTATCATCGATCAGGTTTTTGCATCTTCAAACCTGGGAGAGCGAAAGCCAGACCTGGCTATTTACAAGGAGTTCTTGAAGCAAGCTCAGGTGTCCACATCATCGTGCATCTTTGTTGATGACAAGGTTGACAATGTCATTGCGGCTCAGACATTGGGATTCAAAGGAATTGTCTTCAAGGATAACCAGTCACTGATCAGAGTACTTCACAACGCACTGGGCGACCCTGTTCTCCGGGCCAAAAGGTTCCTCAATCAGAATGCAAAGAACATGTTCTGCACACTTAGTACAGGGCAGATGCAGCCTGATAATTACTCACAGCTAATAATTCTGCAAAATACGGGAGATCAGTATGTTTCAATGTTTACTTTTGGCGTTCCTCCAACTAACGGGGTTTACAGGGACTTGGTAGTACTGGAAAACGAGCGGTATACTTGGAACTACTTTCAGGGAAAACCAACGTTTGCAGGGACGACATACCCTGACGATTCAGACACGACATCTCTAGCCATGACAATCTTGGAGGGTATCCCAATGGCTGACAAGGTGCGAGCGAGAGATAAGATCCTCTCGAACTTGAGTCCTGGTGGATTGCCATACGTAAGTCCCTGCATTTATACTTTACTCCGCCATACTCATTGCGCTTTAGTGCTGGTTCAGCAAGACGAGACCTCGATTCTGTCACTGTATCTGCGCCACTGTTTTCCGCTTCTTTGTCATCAACGAGTGGCAATTTAAGCTTCCCGGAGTCTACGAGTTCCTTTGTCAGCTCCTCGAAACAAGGGCCTATCTCCACGGCAGTCGTTACTACGAAAGCCCAGATTGGCTGCTTTACATTCTGTCTGATCTTTGCGCTCGTCGACCTTCAGATCCAAACCTTGAGAAGATGCGAGAACTACTTGTCGGATGTATACAAGAGCGCATGGGCTGTAATGGTAACATTCTCAGTGCTGCTATGAGAGTTTTGAGTGCCCAGTCTCTAGGTTTGACAAATGGCAGAGATCTTGAGATTGTGCTTGAAGCTCAACAGCTCGATGGTGGGTGGGAATTGGCATGGCTGTGGGGTTACGGTACGAAACCGCTCAAGATTGGGAGCCGAGGCGTTGTCACGGCTATGGCCATGAATGCGATTCGGCGTGCACGGGCCTAATTGCAGGAAGCTGAGTTTTAGGAACAAGAGTGGTGCTTTATTGGGTTAGAGTAAGGATGTGAAATGAAGCAATTCACAAAGTCGGTCTTCTCGCCGATTTCCAAACCTATCGTGGTAAACGTCATTCAAAAGCCCTGTCAAATGAGGGGAGAAACACATGCCAAGACCTTGGAGGCCGCTGTTTTTGAGTGCGGAATGTTCGGGTTGACATAAACCGAGCTAACAATTGAGGGGAAGCCAGCATCAGGTGACTAGATCTCGGAGTCGATACCGAAATTCAATATCTGAGCTATTAAAACGTTCAGGGGTATCGTAATTGCATCAACAAGACCAATTCAACAATGTTTGAAGAAAAGTTCGTCGACTTCAAACCCTCAGCTGGGTCAATCCCGTTGGTCGGTGCATCAATCGTGGTGGACCAATCAGATTACCCTGGGGTTATCCGCGCCGCAAGGGACTTGGCCCAAGACTTTGCTCGCGTGACGAAAGGGGATGCAAGTCCGCTGATTGTGATATCGTCTGAGTCGGACTACGATAAGATACAGACTGAAACAGCTATCATTGTGGGGAGTGTTGCTTCAAGTGGAATCATCAAGACGCTTGCGCAACAGGGCAAGCTTGATACCCAGGCAATTGAGAGGAAATGGGAGACATTCAGTACAGACACTGTCGATCAGTCTCTCGGAAAGTGTGGAAGTGCTTTGGTTATAGCTGGAAGCGATAAGCGAGGAACAATCTTTGGCATCTACACGCTCTCTGAACAGATTGGTGTCTCGCCGTAAGTTAATCCAAGCCAGCCCAATTGCAGGGGAGCTGCTAACACCGAGGAGGTGGTACTGGTGGGCCGACGTGCCACCAAAGCACCATGAAGAGATCTATGCCATCGAGAAACAGACGGTCCACCGCAAGCCATCAGTCCGACACCGAGGCATTTTCCTCAACGATGAGGCTCCTGCCTTGACTGGTTGGGTGAGAGAGAAGTTCGGAGGATACAACTCCAAGTTTTATGTCAAAGTCTTTGAGCTTCTTCTTAGGCTCAAGGTACAGCACACCACGTCTCATTCCACACAATCGCTCACAAGTTCAGGCCAACTTCCTCTGGCCCGCTATGTGGCCAGGCTACCCCAACCCCGGCGCATCATTCTTCACAGACGATCCACTCAATCAGAAGCTCGCAGACGAATATGGTATCGTCATATCTACATCACACCACGAACCCATGCAGCGGCTCTCAAATGAGTGGTTCGCCGAGAACCCGGATGGGAGCTGGAATTGGTTGACCAACAAGCAGAAAATCACTGAGTTCTTTGAGCATGGCGCTAGTCGAGCCCAGGGCTGTGATTCATACTTCACTCTTGGTATACGAGGAGAGTATGATAAGAAGATGTTGGCTGAAGATCCTGCTGCTGTGGTGCAGGATGCTATTGAGACGCAGAGACAGGTTGTTAAGAAGGTTTATGGCAGTGAAGATGCTGTACCACGTGAGTGTTGCGCGATTGCGGGTTGTGAAGTAGCTAACTGGCGCAGAACTCTTCGCTATCTATAAAGAGGTCCAGTCGATGTTCGAGACAGGTCGACTGAATGTTCCCGAGGATGTCACGCTGTTGTTCCAGGATGATAATTTCGGCACAATTCGCCGACTTCCTACGAAGGAAGAGGCTAAGAGGAAGGGTGGGGCTGGTGTAAGTTACCCATTCTGAGTTTCGGCGTTCGCTGACAATCGGTAAGGTTTACTATCATCTCCAATATGTCGGAGACCCTCGCAGCTACAAGTGGATCAACACGAACTCACTCGTAAGTCTCAAGTCTTTCATTCACGATCAAGTGCTGATGCGCTGCAAGGGGAAAGTATGGCATCAGCTTCAGCAAGCTTATCACCACAACGCTCGCCAAATCTGGGTCTTCAACGTCGGCGATTTGAAGCCTCAGGAGATCCCAATCTCCTTCGCTATGGCACTTGCTTGGGACATCAACAGTATCAAACAAGATACTCTCCCAGAGTTCTTCCGTGAGGCAGCTGCCCGAGAGTTCGGAGGCGACCTGGCAGACGAAGTCGGTTCAATATGGCATCGACATGATCGACTACTGGCCCTGAGAAAGCATGAGCATATTGGGCCTGATACGTTCTCGGTTCTTCATCATAGAGAAGCCGATACCGTCTATGGTCGATGGAAGGAGCTTCTCGATGATGCCGAGAGGACACATGCCCGTGTTTCTGAAGCACAGAAAGCAGCGTCTTTTCAGATTATTCTTCATCCCACCAAAGCATCATATATCTACAACAAAGTACGGTGGAGTCAGGCGCTGAACAAACTGTACGCCCGCCAGAGACGGAACTCAGCAAATACGTACGCCCAAATCGCTCTGGGTGCCTTTGACCAAGACTTCACTCTCTCTGAAGAGTATCATAACCTCCTTGATGGAAAGTGGAACCATATCTTGATGCAGCCTCATTATGGGTACGAAGATACATGGCATGCTCCTTCACGCGACATGATTGGTGGCTTATGCTTTGTTCAGAAACGCCAGGACTCCAACCCTATCGTTGGACAGATGGGTGTTGCAGTTGAAGGCCATGAAGGTGTGAGGGCCGGTCGGATCAATGAAGAATCGGAGCGAACGCATCCAAGTCGACGAGATCTTGTTCCTGGTTTGACTCTGCGGCCTATGAGTCGGTATGGACCGGAGGCTCGATACTTCGATATCTTCACCCGGGGAGTTCCAAAGATCAACTGGTCTGCTTCAGCGCCTCAGCCTTGGATCAAGCTGTCACAAGTGTCTGGTATCTTGGTTCCCGGTGAAGATGATGCCCGGGTTGAGATCTCGATCGACTGGAATCAAGTTCATGATGACTTCAAAGAAGAAGTACTCATTGACGTTCGGTCGGAAGAAGGAGACTTTGAGCAGGTCCATCTACCGATCGATGGCAGACGAGTTCCAGACTCTTTCAAAGGGTTTGTGGAACAGGACGGCTTCGTCTCTATTCCTGCCACCGACTGTTACCTCGAGGCTTCGTACATGGTTCTGCCCGATGCAGGTAGACTTGAAACCGGGTCTCTGACTCTGGTCCCCGGAACAAAGAGCACTGAATCAATTCCCTACATCTCTTACCCTTTCTATCTCTTCACAGAGACCTCCAAGGCTACTTTGGTGCTTTCCTTTGGCACAACTCTTGATCTTTCTTCAGAGGATATCCTCAGGTATGACATCCGTCTCGATGAGGGACAAAGCCAAAGCTATGCTCTGCAGAAGAGAACTCCAGAGAGCGAGAAGAATGCTGCTGATAAGGGATGGGCGTCGGCTGATGGCTGGTTCTTTGCTGCGTCGGATAACGTTTGGATTAGAGAGCAAGCGCTAACGTTGGGACCCGGAGCACATACGCTACATGTCAAGCTAGATCACGCGAACATGTTGCTTGAGAAGATTGTGATTGACTGTGGGGGTGTAGCAAAGAGCTACTTGGGTCCTCCCTTTGGCATCAAGGCTTGAGACTTGGCCAGATAAAAATAGAAGCATGTCTCAAGATGGAAACGTTGGATGAATTACAATGCCATTGTATTGATTACTCCGATGGCTTTTAAAGGAAGTTGTCTATCAGTGAATGTATATATGCAGATGAGTCTCCAGCGCCTATTTCCCAGCCAGATCCTATGTTTAAAATAAATAGATACGACGAAATCATACACGCTCCATCTAGCAAGTAAGGCTGAACTTCAGCTTGCGGTCCTTGTTGGCAATACCGAAGTACTTCTCAACTTCGGGGGTAGCCAGAGGCGCGTCGAAAGCAGTGAACCAGAAACCACTAGCATCCTTCTGCTGCCAGAGCCAGCATCCAACATTGTTGTAGTAGCTCTGCAGGCTAGCAGTAGTAGCAGCGGCCTTCTGGTAGTTAGGTCCCTTGGTAGGCCAGCCAGTCTCTCCAACCCAGACAGCAGCCTTAGAGTTGACAGCCTTGACGTGCTTCTGAACATTCCAGTACGAGTTCTGGAAGGTCTTGAGGCGGAGAGCATCCTTGATGGGAACGCCCTGCCAGTAGGGGAATCCGTTGGTGATGGCAATGTCGCAGGCCTTGGTGACGACGTCGTTGCGGCCGTCGACCCAGGCAGTCCATGTGTCGGTGTGGCCGACCTTGAGGTTCTTGTTGAACTGGCGGACCATACCGCGGACGTCGTAGATCTGCTGGGCGAGCTTCTGGGGGGAAATGTCCTTGCGGTACAGATCCTCGGAACCGACGGAGATAGCGGCGATCCAGTCGGTGCCGTATTGCTTGATGACCTTGAGAAGAGCAGCCTTGTCACGGCCGAAGTGAGCATCGTCGGTGGCCCAGACGCCAACAAGGATCTTCATGCCAGTTTGCTTGGCGGCGGGGACAGCCTTGACCAATGCTGAGAAAAGTCAGTATGAGCGATCTTATCGTATACAGGGGGTAACTTACTGTTGCAGTCATCGGCGGAGTAGAGGCGAACTGCGTTGAAACCCTTGTTCCAGCTCTTGATAGTCTGGAAATCCTTCTTCCAGTCCGCAGTGTACTTGCAAGCTCCATCGGCCCTGTTGGCACCCATACTGAAACCCTTGTACTGCCCAGCCAAAGCCTGACCCGGCAGAAGCATCAAGGCCGCCGCAACGGCGCCAATAGATCCGAAAAGCTTCATATTGAAAAAGGTAGTAAAACGAAAGTGATGAATAAGCGAGTGACGGGTATAACAGCCAAGAGATGGACAAGAAAAAAAGTTTGGGGAAGGAAGTCTGTTTATTATGGACGATGGAAATTAAATGACCCCCTTTTCTTTACAGGGGGTGACTGGTTTTTTGCCGCTTAATCCTCGTATTGATCCATGTTCGTCGAGGCGTTCTAGACCGATTATTCGTAAGCGTGATGCTATTTTTGTAGATGGGCCGGTAATTCCGTGGCGCTAGGGTCGGGTTTTATGGGCAAGGGAGAGTTTCCGGTCATTTTAAAGATCAGATGAACCTCAATGCTTGATTTGTGTTTCGCATGAATTCATGTCGTTTACGTCATTGCCGAGATGGGAGGGTTAGAGATGTGGCGACACGGGGTGATCTGCTGTGCCGTGGTTATGTAGATAACATAACTCACTACGCGTTGAGAGGTTTTGCTTGTGACGTGACGGGTCAACACATTTATCTTATCAGTTTATCTTACCGGATCAACATTTTTGCCGACTGGTATCGCCTCGTACCCTAAACATCCATCGCTCTGAGCTAAAGTCCGGTAATAAATTCCAAAGACTTGATCTTTTAATAAATATAATTATATATATTTATTCTCACTACTAGAGTAGTTAGTTAGATGACTGTAATCAATCTGTCGGGGCTGGGACACTTCACACGTTAGCCATTTAAGCAATCGTGTGATGCTGCTACAACTTACATGACTGTTCAATTAGGGTCATAGTTGTGAAGAGCAAACATTATTTCCTCACGTTTGGGTCCAAATCGTAGTACAACATCAAGAAGATCACAATAGATCTACGCTGTCGTAAAAAAAACTTGCTTTATGCTCTGGAGTATGACAATCATGGTCATTCGACACCCAGACAGAGTAAATATCAAGTTCCGAATTCTAGCTTGACGCAAGCACTATATCTCATGATTCCTCTGTCTTGTGATATTGGATTTACTGTTACTGGGCCTGTAGTTTTATCCGAATTTTGTCTTCAGCTTGGTGCTGCTCATGTTCTCATTGAAGGCCTGCTGTCAGACTTATCGCCATCAGATAAGACCCATGCTGCCAGTCATGGGGCTCTGCACTAGCGTCATTGGGCGTAGAAGTTGCCAAGTATGACGCAAAAATATCGCTTCAGTATAGAGAATTGATGTTCAGACGTTGAAGCTAGATGAGTATTTCGAGAAAACCAGAGAGTGAATTTGCTGATTATTTCGTGATGAAGTGTTCAATTGAAGCATAAACTTCACTGGACCAATAACTTCAACACAGAGATAGTGGGGCATCTGCCAAGGTTCAGCCCAGTGCTCAGCGTCATACAGATGTGCAAATGATTTCTCAGCTTTCCTGATTTATTAAAGCATACTAAGATTGTAATATCATCAAATAATTAAAAGGATCAGGTGAGAGGCCTGCAGGATCAAAGTGGACTGATTTATTCAGCTGTTCATATTGTACACTGCCATGCACTGATGCGCGGTTTAAGGGAAAGCTTACCCACTAAAGACGCACACCCAACCAATCATAGAACATACTTTTCAACAACTGGCATGAGATGTGCTGCGTGGTGCACAACAACAAACGGCTAGAGAATAATCCGGGCCAAAGGCTAAAATTTTCTTTCTCCGCGTTCACGTCAAAAAAGATCCCCCGCCCTGCCAGCCTTGTTCACCTTGTCATACGTAAAAGTGAATTGATCTCCAAAATGGCCGCCTACGACACTTATCAAACAACCCTCACGGGCCGCTACTGCAGCCAGGAGCTGTCGCACCTGTTCAGTCAACGATCTCGTCACTCCACCTGGCGCAAGTTATGGCTGTACCTCGCTGAGAGTGAGAAGGAGTTGGGTATCAACACTATCACCGATGAAGCGCTTGAGCAGATGAGGACTCATCTTACTGTCACTGATGAGGACTTTGAGGTTGCGCGTCACGAGGAGAAGATTCGTCGACATGTGAGTATCGCTAAAGGATTGTTGGGATAAGCGAGCTGACTAGCGTACCAGGATGTCATGGCTGTAAGAAACATGGTATAATGACAATTTTCGCAAGACTGACAAGAAGTATAGCACGTTCATGCTTTTGGTCAAGCTGCCCCTGCTGCTGCCGGTATCATCCACTACGGCGCAACAAGCTGCTACGTCACCGATAACACAGAACTCATCCTCATGAGAGACGCCCTCGACCTCCTCATTCCCAAGCTCGCCAAAGTTCTGTACAACCTCCAGAAATTTGCCCTCGAGTGGAAGAATGAGCCAACTCTGTCTTTCACACATCTCCAACCTGCGCAGATCAGCACCGTCGGCAAGCGAGGTTAGTGGTTTCTGTTTGGTGGAGTTATCATGTTCTGACTTTATCTAGCTGCTGGCTGGGCCCAGGATCTCTTGATGGATCTGAATGAGTTTGAGCGCGTGCGAGCTGAGCTCAAGTTCCGTGGTGCTCAGGGTACTACCGGTACTCAAGCTAGTTTCCTCGAAATGTCAGTTCTTCATCTTGTCCTACTGATCAATATCTGACATTTTCAGTTTCGGCGGTGATCACGAGAAGTGCGACAAGCTCAACGAGCTGCTCTGCGCAAAGGCTGGATTTGAGGAGTGCTATGACGTAAGTGGATGATGTTCTTGTTATGGTACCTGTCTAACACATTTCAGATCTCAACCCAGACATAGTAAGTCAAAAAGCGCAGTCACCCCCTTCTTGCTGATACTCATGCCGTATAGTACTCGAAAGGTCGATTGTCTCGTTGCCAACGCCGTCACTGGCCTGGGAACAACTGTCACCAAGATCGCATCGGATCTGCGACATCTCGCCTTCATGAAGGAAGTTGGTGAGCCTAGAGAGGCTGGTCAGATCGGAAGCAGTGCCATGGTTAGTCATATTCTTTCTCAACCCGGTTTTTGGGGTTGAGCTTGAAAATTTGCTAATTCTTTATTAGGCCTACAAGCAGAACCCCATGCGATCTGAGCGAATTGCCAGTCTCGCACGAGTCCTTCAGTCAAAGGCAGCTACCTACATGAGCACCCATTCGGCTCAGTGGATGGAGAGATCATTGGATGATTCCGCCTGCGTAAGTATTCTTGACTTCTCTGTTCTTTATTTTTCGCACATTGGAAGCCCTTCGGCTTCGGACGCCTTGAAACCGAAAATGTCTATTGATCCCGACGACTAACTCGATAATAGCGAAGAATTGACGTCCCTGAGATGTTCCTCCTCGCCGACGCCATCGCCATCACCCTGCAGAACGTGACAGAGGGTTTCGTCGTCTTCCCTCTCAAGATCCACTCCAACATCATGGCCGAGCTTCCCTTCATGATCACCGAGAACATCATCATGCGCCTGGTAGCAATGGGCGTGTCCCGACAAGAGTAAGTCTCAACCCTATCACAATTAACACCTACTAACCAACTCAGGGCTCACGAGCAAATTCGCGTTCTGTCTTTCGAGGCATCCCATCAGGTTCAAAGCCTCGGAAAATCCAACGATCTCGTTGAGAGAATCAAGAAGACCGAGTTCTTCAAGCCAATCTGGGCTGATCTCGATGGCATGATGAAGCCTGAGCTGTACATTGGTCGCAGTGCGCAGTTGGTCGATAAGTTCTGTGGGCCGGGAGGTAAGCTGGAGAAGAAGCTTGCGCCTTATCAGTCTTCCATCCAGAAGGCCAAGGCTGCTGAGTTGAATGTTTAAAAAAATTCGAAGCTAGATAGCTTAACTAAAAGAAAGAACAATTGCCTGAACAGTTTATGGGAAGTTTGATACCAAGCTCGGGGTATCAAGACCCGAGCAGCACTGCCGATGCGTACGTTGTACCAATCGGCTGCCCCAGTAAAACGGAGCGTGGAGATCCGCACTAACCGCAACGGCTCAACAATATGGAGGTGACGCATTAAGCTTTGAAGATCCGGGGTGCCTTGTCGTGCCCCCAAACTTTTGTTAGGGATGCGATCATTGGCGGAATTATTTCATCTGTTTGAAATGCCTGCAAGGTATTAGATCATCGGACGAACTTACCAAATCTGAAGGTATATAATTCACTGAGGGGACGCATCAGGTACCGTGGCTTCATCTGTTCATTTTTATTGCTTGTCTTTCTGAGTTCTGTGATTATCCTTCACTCACTATGAAGTTCTTACCTCTTGCCGCTACTGTCCTAACCCTCTTCGGAGGTGTTCAGGCCAAGAAGTCACCCTTCTTCATCTTGACGGGCGACTCTACCGTTGCCACTGGCGGAGGTTGGGGTGATGCTCTTCTTAACAATACCAAGAAACCTGCAGGCGGTATCAACATCGCTAAGAACGGCGCCACAACTGTATCTTTCCGATCCCAAGGATTGTGGGATACTGCCCTCAACAACGTGAAGAGCCATAAGAAAGATCACGAAGCTATCGTCACGATTCAGTTTGGTCACAATGATCAGAAGACTCTTACGTTGGAGCAGTACTCGGATAACCTTGCTACTATGATTGGTGAGGTTAAAGAGGCTGGAGGCACTGCGGTAAGCTTTACTCTCGGAGTTCCGGTGCAGTGACTGACAATGGCAGATTATCATTACATCTCTCACCCGTCGTACTTTCAAGGACGGAAAAGTGGTTGAGAATCTCAGTAACGAGCGCGATGCCGCAATTGCTGTTGCGAATAAAGCTGGTGTCAAATACCTTGATCTCAATACCGCAAGCACCAAGTATGTCAATGCCATTGGACAGGAGAATGCCGACAAGTATAATGAGATCGAGGGAGATCGAACTCATCTCAATTTCTCTGGAAAACTGGTATTTGGAAGGATTGTTATGGATCTGTTGGTTGAGAAGAGACGTGACCTGGCCCGTTACATTAAAACAAACAAGAAACTGAGCCAGCTCATTGCGAATGGAGTTTATGCTACCGGAGCGGAGTGATTCTATAGAAGATAGTTGTATCCTACATCTTGCATCTCGACGAGCAGAGATTGTTTGTAGGATGGTATTTAAATACAATGAGCTTTATGAAAGCCATGCTAAAGACTGGAACACCAATATAGCTTGAGGTGGAGCAGTCTTCCCAAACCTGTGCAACCTTTACCAGATTGGCGCCCGCTGCCCCTTCGTAGCCGTCTTGGGAGGGTAAGAAGCAACCACAGTCGTCAACCATACAGAATATGCTAGCAAGATAAATCCTGCGACATACATAATAGTCTTATCAAAAACCTCAGGTAAGACCACGGCTCCCATACTGAAAGGCGCAAATGTCCATATGACACAAGCCACATTAGTAAGACAGTATCCAATGGATAATCCGTTTCGTGAGCCACGGGAGAGATACTCGTGCGTCGGTCCCAGGATCAAAAGAACATTGGTTAGCGCTCCTGTGAGCATGAAGCTACCAGGACCGAGGAACTCGATCAAAATCCAGACTAGCGCAAACATAGCGAGCTGCAGAAAGAAAGTGTAGGTCAAGATAGACGAAGTAGCCGGCTGTCGTCCAAAGAGGGGCGAAAATGTGGCGATGCGGTCTTTTGGGGATTGTATGGTATACCACATACAGAATATCTCAAGGACTGCCCAAACAGCTAGCGAAAACGAGGTGGACGCGAAGAACCAGTGGTAATCGTAGCGTGGTGCAGCTTCGGCGAAGAGGTAAACAAATGTCAACTCGTGAGCGACGTAGAAAGTTTGCATCCAGAAGGGGATGGGGCCTTGGCCTTCTCCGACAAGAAGTCTTATGGCGTAGGTGTATTGTAGGAAGCCGATTGCGAAGCATGCGATGGATCCGATCATGACAGGAGTGTTGTCGAACTGGAGGTTCTCCGCGATGCGTCCATAGTAGTCGATACCCATGATGATCTGAAACACAAGAACGTGGTGAAGTCTTTCCTATATAATTCGCAATAGATGGCCTTGAATAATTCGCAAGTCAATTTATGTTTAATATTTCTCGTATTAAATACCGGATAGGATACAGCTTTATATTCACAGTGTACTCCACTAGCGTTCCAGAACATCGGGTCTTGAGATCAAAGCAAGATCAATTGCCGAAAACGGTCTTAAACTATGACCCGACTGTCCTGATCCCGGAATCCTCCAAGGCCCCGGCATCCCGTTATACTTAATCCAAGAATTTAATACAAGTTAAAGTTTCGATCATGGCAGAAGCTTTATGCTCAATGCGGTGAAAATGTACGAGCTATGAGTTTAGTTCGGGTAATGCTGGAGACTTCTCGGCAGTTCTCATTGGTTACCTCCTCGTATTGTTTTCGGGATCCGCAATATATAACGATAATAAAACGGGAAAAGTTGATCATTTGATGAGCGAAATTCTAGACAGTGAAATGATAGAAACAAGTCTCTTGGCAATTTCGATTGACCTAGTATACAACGCACTTCATTCTGACTTCAACCCTCACTGTTTCGACTCTCTCCTGGCCTAAGCCCGCTCTCGATAGAGCCACCAAAAGATGCATGAAACGAGAACCGCGTTCCTATGAGCTCGAAAGAGAACCAATATCCAATTCTTCAGTGCGACGTCTAACCAATAGGTTCGTAGAAGGGTCGCCAACGAGTTTAAACCCCGAGTGACATGGCCGCGGCTTAAAACCCTCCGGTAGCTTCCAGTCGTACTTGAGCAGCAAATGGCATAACAAGATCTTGATCTCGTTGGCGGCGAAAAAGCGTCCGGGGCATGCGTGGAAGCCATGCCCGAAACCAAGATGATCAGAGCTGGTGCTAACGAGATGGGCTTTCTTATCATCACCGGTCTGACGCATCTTGACGAAGCGATAAGGGTCGAACTCAAGTGCGTTGTCGTAGGTATCGGAATCCCACATATGCGACATGTTACCGATGATCTTGTCGCCTTTCTTGAGGATGTCGCCATTAGGGAGGGTGATATCAGCTGTGGCTACTCTCCTGAACGCTCCTGAAGTATCTGTTAGTGGAAGTTGTTGGGAATGAGTATCAGACTTACCGAGTAGAATTGGTCGCAGTCGTTGGGACTCCTTGACCACGCTGTCCATCAACTTCAGGTTATACAGCGCTCCTTTAGTCAATCCGCCCTCCGCAGTCAGAACCGTAACAATCTCTTCCCGAAGTTCCTGGAATAGCTCAGGATGTTGACAAAGTTTAAGAAGTGTCTCAGCAAGTAGATCCGATGTAGTATGATAAGCCACAATTGAAACCGCAATCTGCTCTTTAGCCGGATCATGCTTCTCATACTCTTTCTCAAACCACTCAATAGAGTCATCAAAAGGACATGGCTTTCCTTCAGCGAGGGCCTTCTGCTTGATATCATTTCGGCGTTCAAGATGGGGCTTGAGGCACTGTCGTGCCTCGTTCAGCTTTGCGCGGATCGCCCAGCACTGAGGGAGGAACCAGTGGATATACGGTCGAACCCATCTGGGATATTCTCGCAAATAGCTACTGTAGCCAAAAACTAACAGAGTATACTCGCTCGAAACCCTATTCCACTCTTCGTCGCGGCAGAGCTCTTCGCCCATGAAGATTCGGGATGATACGCGGGATACGACGCGGATGAGGTCTGCCTGGGGTCGGATTGCGTGCCATTCTAAGACATGTTAGTCTTTGTCTTCTTAGCCAGATGTAGGTGGAGTTTACCTGTTGAGTCAGTGAGACAGTCGCGGATTGCTAAAGATGATTCTTCGGAGATGGGACCAGTTAATCTGACTAGAGAACAATCGTTAATAAGAAGACTGAGAAGAGGATGCACCGAGACTAACTCAAAGTCTTTGTGATATACTTGTTGATAACAGTTGGCATCTTATTATCAAATCCAAAAGGGTCGAACCCGGGAATGTATTCATGAGCGTCCTATTCCGAATTAGTCACAAGCCATTAATCGCAATACCGGCACTCACATCTTGAACCGTTGTCTGAAAGTCCAGTTGTCGGTTACTCTTCAAAGCATCAATCCACGAAGGAGGAATAACCAGAACCTTGCCTATCTCGGTGTAGGCTCTGTATGGCTGGTCCTTATGAACAATTCTCGCATTTGCAAGTAGGGTCCTGCTGTTGGCGATGAACTCCTTCACAATACGCCTGTTGGTGAACTCAAAAGGCTTCTTGGGGATCAGAACGGGGTACTTTTCTTCTCGGGCGAAGAAAGAAAAGTTGACAACTAGGAGGGTGACGAGTGAAATTGCGGATAGGACCGCATACTGCGGATTCTGGAGTATAATATCGATATATGTCGACATCTTGAAGGAACTGCCGATGGTGTGAGGATGGATTCGAATCCTTCACGGCAGTATTGTTATACTTATACCAGCCACGAGGCATGTAACAAAGGAAGGATCGACATAAAATTCTCCTCTTCTGTTCTTTACCCCAATCTCCATTTTACCGGAGCTCTAAAACGCGAGTGCCCGACTGGGAGCCATCAAAATATTCGAGACTCAGCTAAAGCTGTCAAAAACAAGTACCACGGGCAATCACCAAGAACTATGAATCCTTGTTTCTGTCACCCCAGCTGGCGATTTTCGTTTCCCTAACACCCCGAGAGCCCGAGTCCTTTGCAAAATACAACCACATCTACAATGCGTAAACGAAATAACACATCATATCGGTTCGAAAGCGCTCAAGCCCGTGTATATCTCCGTTCCAATGTAACCATATAACGGTACAGCCATACACGAAAGGCAGTACATAAGCCAATGGGAGAATAGTTGTATACGATTATAACCGAGATTTTCGCCAAGCATTTCCTGTTTAGATGATTTTCGTTGGCCTGGGCCACACACTTGCTCACGGACCCTCACTACCCACAGTTTCATCGACGGCCTAGTATGGAGAGTCCGTGGAAAGTCCGCGGACGCAGAGCAGAAGAGATTGAGGGAGATACAGGCGAGTCATGCGATGACGAAAAGAGAGGCAGTGAAACAGGAGGACGGTAGGGAATGAACGGTTATTGAAAACCGAGAGAAAAAGGCATGAATAGTGAGACAAAATTATAGTAACCGATAGGCTTATACTAAAACTCCCCGTTTCCTGCATCATTAGTACGGACCTACACTTCGAGAAGAACTTTATCAAGACCGGCGCAAACTATGAGCCGTCTCCAATGTATGATAAACTTCAATAACTCGAAGTATATCGACGACAGATCATCACGGGGATAATATTGTGATAGTGGTGCGGCACTGCAGCTGACCATTAGTCTAACCGTATTAGTTGTGCCAAGGATGATCGTCTACCCCCCTTCAGTTTCCTCGGCAGTTATTTTTTCCCCAGTGCTGAGCGGGTCTTTGCATGTAATACGGGCCGCACCGAGTCGATAATCGGATTTCGGCACTGGAAAATGTTGGTGGGGGAATTGTTTGCGCGACAGGAGAGTGTTACGTGGGGGTTTAGCCAAGCCGCGGGTGGTTTCATTACCGTGTTGCTGATTGTCCAATTGTACAGTACGGTAGCACAGCCTCTGGGCCTTAGTTCCAACATATATTCGTGTATCAAGGACCGATCACGTAGCAGTTCATACATCCCGTAATTTCAGTGCTCACCGCGCGTAACGAATAGAAGAATTTGATGAACACTCAATCTAGTACTGTACCCTTCTTCCGAAATGACACCATTGCAAAACTATTCATCGAAAGGTGTTGATTTCTGAGAAATATCGCTGTATCATTGGATTCTGGAACTTAAGGCGTCATTGCAGTCATTGGATATCTTTGACGCTCTTCTCTACCAGGTGTGTACGAGCCGCGAAAGTCTGTAAGCGTCTGCTTATCTGGCACAAAGCAAACTGAAACTGCCATGCTGGACTGGTGGAACTCCTGCAACGACTTCAATCAATACGCACTGTCGAGTTTCTGTAAGTTCTCGAGGAGCAGTCCTTGACGAACAACAGTACCACGACGAGGCTTACAGACTCACAGGGACTGTTTTCACTGAAACACAAATGCTTTGTCAAGCTCCTATCAGCCAACTCACTGGTGCTGGAGAAGTCAGCCTGCAGGACATGGTCAGGATGCTTACCAGTCAGACATATTCCTAGCCTGGCTCCGAGAACGACTTTGAGTTCAAAGGTCTTGCTCAAAGCGCCAGTGATATGCTACTGAATCTAAGTTAGCTTACAAACCAGAAAGCAACCAGTTTTCAGGGCTTGACAGCCGGTATCGCGTCAGTGAGTAGCCCTTTGCGCCTGTTTGGACGCGAATAAATGAGCTTGATTCATGGTAGCAATCAAGCAAGATTCAGGCCATGAAAAAGGAGGTAGTTGCCATTCTGAAGAAGTGCAGTGGAGATTTGGGCAATGGCTATATCTTTGCACTCGATCAAGCACTTTCCATTAATCAAGCAGATCTCAACAATAGCGTTGAGGCCGCACAGGCAGCTAAGGCAACTTGGATAAGTCTTTAGTACCGGATGCAGCAAGTGCTTAACCTTTCAGCACATTCATACGATAGGCAGTGAGAGATTTGACTAATAGCCTGCTCCATAGGATCGCGAGAGTATGGAAGCCAACACTGCGGTTCTTACATCTGGATACCTGTTGCTAGATGGATCTCTGGATCGAGCGCCATCCTTACGAAGCAGAAAGATGCGAGAATGGCATGGGATGAGTACCAAGCACACATCACCAAGAAGACCACAGCAATAAGACATCATATGCTCTTGTTGGTGCCGTAAACCTACTATCACGACAGAGCAAAGCCATGTGCGATAGGCTGCAGAGTATCGGAGTGGCATTGCAAGAGATCCAGTCAACCTTTGCGACAATTGGCAATAACCTGGGACAGGCTGCAACTCTGATGGCTGCTGCGGATGGATCTGTCAGAACTTCACTGGTTATAAATCAACAGGCAATTCAAGCGGGAATCACCAAGGCCGTACAAGAGTTCCAGGATACTTTGTCTGCGGTTCAGGTACTCGTTACGATTGACTCGAGTATCCAAACTTCCGGAATCACTGCTGATATTGACCCGCCCAGCGTCTATGGAGAATAGGGCTACACGTGATACGGTGAGAGCAGGGAACATACAGGAGATGAGAGTTTGCAATAGTGATAGGTTTAGGACACTATTGTGTGATATCGCTGCTTAGGCTAAGCCCAAAATTGCACCGCAGACAACCCAGTACAGCTTTGTGTATCAGCGACCTCTAACGGCAACAATTTCCAAGATAATCGACTTGTTCCAAAAAGCCCATCCCTTCGTTCCACATGCCATTTAACCGTCCCCACTGAGCATCAAACCCAGTAACAAGCATCAACGCCTCCCTCTCAGGGGTGCGATTATGAATCGTTTCTCCATCACGCATGGTAAGTATAGGCTGTGCTACAGCAACGTATCCACTTCTGTTAATACGATTGTACGCACTGTTCATTTCGATGACGATGGTTTTCATAGCCCTGCGATGTCCCAGGATATTATTCCTTAGTGCGTATATGTCTTGAGCGAGTCTTGTGTTTCTCGGGGCTTTGATACCGTAGGAAGAGAGTCTGTCGGCTAAACCAGCTAGTTCTTGCTTGAAGACGTCAAAGCGCTGGGAAAGATCGGGAAACTGGCTTACGTGGTGAAGAGATGTACGGAGGGACTCTTTCAAGGGAGGTGTGACTTTCATGTTCGCGACAGGAAAAAGCTTTTTTCACTGGTATTAAGTTTCAGATTTGCCTGTTTTTTGTGTTGGGAAGTAGGAGTTAAGGAAAGTAGGGGGATCCAGCCATGTATTTATAGGCCAGATAATGGCGCTTGAATGGGTTTGAAGCCTTTTCAGGGCTTGAGAAATATTGCTAATAGCTGCTAGACTTTAACTTATGCATTATTAATGTTTTTAATACAAGAGACTTGTTGACTGAGCACAGCTTGGCACTGAGTCTGCAGTCAGATAAGAGCAAGCTATGACTTCCCTAATCACGGGCTATTTAGACAGCCATTGAACAAATTACATGGTAATAGAAGGAATAAAAACATAATTCAAATCTGTGAATTATATTATCAGATTGCCAAATCCATCATTGCGCTTATTCCGTTTTCCTCATTCCGATTCTGGAGTGGATCAGCTTATGGAGGCTGATGACCCATGTCAACCGGACCTGCACAGGAAAGAAAGTCGGTGGGGACTTAAGGCGGAATAATCCCAAGACAAACACCGTTTAACCAACTTCAAAATGGGCACACAAACTTGTGAATCGTTTCCGTATCAACCTCTTGAATCCGACGAGCTACGCTTATTGAATGTCGAGGCTGGCGACAACGACTTGATATGCGTTGAGCTCAAGACTGTTAAATCCCGCACACCCCAAAACTTCTGGGCCTTGTCTTACGTCTGGGGGGCAAGAGAAAACCCTGCCACTATCCTTCTCAATGGGCAGCCATTCAGCATCACGAGAAATCTATACAATGCTCTCTATCAGTATCGGCGTCATGTGTTTGACGGCTACGACAGTGACGCTAGGGCATTGCTTTGGGTCGATGCCATTTGCATCAACCAGAATGATCAAGTTGAAAAGTCAATTCAAGTTCCCCGCATGTCAGAGATCTACGGCCAATGTGAGCGTGTGTTGGCTTGGTTGGGCCCGGTAGAGAGTGATGAGGAAAGTAACGTCTGCAGATTGGCTGAGTGTCTGAAGCAGTTTCAGTCACCTGCAGATTCTGTCAGTCAAGACCTTACCGAGGATGATCGAATCACAGCATTTATGAAGTCTGGGCGTTCTGACGAAACAGCCGCAGCCGAGGTTGAGTCTGCCCGGAAGGCTTTGAAATCCATCGGCCATCGTCCATGGTTTCGACGCATTTGGATTCTTCAAGAGGCCGTCTTAGCCCAGAAACAGCCGATTTTGCTTTGCGGCTCGTATGAGCTAGGATACGAGATCTTCTTCAAGACTTGGGTCTTGATGTTGAATCCATCTGAGGATGGACAGCTGCTTTACTCATTCATGGCGGAGAACCCAGTTAGGTTCAAAGCCATTGAGCTGGTATACAAGAATATTCTACAGGCCAGAAGTGAAAAGGCTATAGAAAAAGCAAAACCTACAGTGGATCAGGAAAAGCAGTGTGCTCTCGACATAGTGAAGCTGTTGAATGAGACGACAGAATTGGAAGCTACGGTTGCTCATGACCGTTTATATGCCCTCATTGGACTCTTGGCATGCGACCCCTTACCGAAGGCACTCCAACCAGATTACACCCAATCCTTTGAAGAACTATGCTATAAATTCACAATGTTCATTCTCGAACAGACTCAAGATATCCGCGTGTTGAACTTGGGAACTGTCGGCACCTTTTCGACCGTACCATCGTGGGCGCCAGATCTACGAAATAGCTGGACAGCAAGGTCCAATCTGACCCATAGCCCTGGGAAGTGCTTCAATGTTTCCGAGGATGGCAAGATTCTAACCATGCCGGCAATTGTTCTTGGTCAATGTGTGTCTGTTTGCAAGCCTGTCACGCCGGATCCCGGCACGGGCATTGCCTCGCCATCAGCACTACTGCATTTCGACGAGGCTATAGTCAAAGTAGCGGCAGCTATCAGAAGGGTTACACGTATGGAAGTCATGAATGAATGGCTCAAGTTCCATCTCGCAGACATCTACACAGAGGAGCGATTAACTCAAAACCCTATCATTGTGCAGAGAGTCATGATGGCTTATGTATGCATGGTGCACAATCAACCACTCTCTTCACTTGGCACAAGATTTGGAACAGAAGAACAGTTGCAAGGTGCTTATGGAATGGTAACAGATCCCATCATTCAACGAAGCATGGTTGGCTGTAGCAACTTTGTGCTACAAGATGGAACGGCAGGACAGTTACTTCACGGTGACGCTGGGGCAGCTGTTGGGGATGCGATCTGTGTTTTTCCAGGCCTTTCGACTCTTTTTCTTATACGAAAGAACGATGATGGAAAGTGTAAAATCGTTGGGCAGGTTTCTAAATGGGAGAATATTGGGGCAGGTTTACCTGTGGATCAGCTGGAGAGGTATCGTCGGTCATTTGAAGGAGCGCACGTGGGAAGAGAAACTGAGCATGGCGCTAGAATGATAAGCCTTGTCTAAAAGCAAAGAGAGGAAGATCATGACATGACGGTTCAGGGAATTCCTGCTGCAGCATAGCGACAAGAGCCGATGGTCGGAGGGGTTTGAAGTGACTCAAAAACGTTGTTGTAAGGTTGTGCTGTTGCAGCAGGCTCTGAGGCAACGTTCCTGCAGCAATACCCAAGTGTTCCGTCAAGTAGTCGACCAGCATAATTCGTCCGAGTTCACCCAGGTAACGGCCTGCCGTCATGAACTCGAGTGGCTGGAAGCCATTATGGGTTAGCTCGAGACCTTTCTTGTAATTACAAAGCGGTGCAGCCTACCTTTTGAAATAGTCCAAATCCAGAGCTGATTGACTCGCACTACTGTCCATTGATTAGGCTCCCTCGTTCTACTAGTACCCCTTGTCTGTGGGTTCTCTTTCAGATACTTGCTTACTACCTGACTCTCGTTCCTACTGTTCTGATCGACTTTTGCTTCACCATCCTCCTGTGCGAATTGGTAGTACCATTCATCAAGTGTCGGCGAGTCATGATGTTGTTTATCCTTGCCTTTGTAATTCTCTTGTAGTTCCTCGTAATGGTCATGTGACTCTTTCAGCTCTCGGTTCTCCGGGACTAGTCTGTTGTCCCAATGTCGACAGTGAGTTGAGTAACTAAGGTAGGGCATCTAGTACCAGTGGTTAGTCTCAATAGGCCATAGTGAAAGTTGGACAAACATAGATAGCAGATGCAGGTACAAATCCATGCGGCTTCTTAACAGGCTGAAGAGACTTGGAGTTCCAATCATCGTAGACCTTTTGTTCATCTTCCTCTGAGTCCGCGACTGCGGCCTCGATCTTTGTTGAGTCTTTCTCCTTCTCCTCCCTTGCTTCTGAACCTCCTCTATCAGCCTCTTGTTTCTCTTTTTCACCGTTCTTGAGTGATTCCAAAGCTACACCTTCTTCCCACCCAAAGTCGGTCGTATTATTCATTAGTCTGATTACAGACCGGGGCCTCATCATTCTGGATCGAGATTCTTTATCAGGTACTTCCACCCAGCTGTCTCGAAAGAAATACCCGACTTCATAGTATTCGCGAGTGCGGTAACGTTCGTATGACATAATTCTTGTCAATAAATCCTGTGAAAAGAGCGAGTATATTGTTAGCTCGCCGATCATTGTCTCTCGATTCATTAAGATGGATTAAAGTACGAATATTCATCCAAACCATCTGTTCCAAGTCAGCGTTATTTCTCTAGTTACAGGTGCGCGTTTTACCTACATTAGTCGACGGCAAATGAACCCAGGCGAGTCTGAAGTTCTCCTTGGCGTAGAGCTTGCTGTTGAAGCGCATTGATCCTCTCCTAGTCATGTCAATCAGATTCCTGATGGCTGTTCCAACGACATCCGTAGGTCCTGGATCGTAGACAATCTCCTGTATCGGCCGATTCCTTCGAATTCTACCCGACTCGCCCTTTTCTTTGAAGAATCCCACAACTGTGGCTTCGGCCTTTTCGACTATCTGTTTGTGGTTTGGCCCAGGTACTGGGGGCTTGTAGTCCACCTCATCTTTGTGCGTTTGAGATATCTGTGCAAAGGGTGGATCCTTGAGAATATCTTGCAAAGTACTCAAGATAGTAAGACTTTTGACTTGTTTGCTTGTATCGAACTCTAAATCCTTTCCGAAACAACTCTCAAATCTTTCTATCGTATCCCAAAGTTCACGATCGCTCGGATCTAGGCCTGCCTTTAACTTGCCATTGTCCTCGATGAGACTGAACTCTTTATATCGACGAAACAGTTTGTTTGAGCCTTTCTTGAGATCTTGAAGTCCTAATAGTTGCATTCGCATTATGGCGCAAAGTCCTGCTATGTTAGATGGAATTGCGCCTGCGTGACTAGCTGAAGAGCTCTTGAGTCGTACAAGGCTCCAGTGTTCTTGAGGGTTCGCTGAGAGGTCGTGATAAGAATCCACATGACTTGGACAAGTCGTTCGTACAATGACTCGGACTCGAGTTCCTTCGAGCTAATTGACTTTAAGTCGTCTGCAGGGCTTCATGAACCATCTTATCGAAGTTTTCAGCACGTCCAGACTTATCGATAAGTTCGGACAAGACATCTGGAAGTCTTTCGTGTGCTATCCATTGAATTGGGCCCCAGTTTTCGTATCCTTCAGGTCGGTTCTCGCCATCTCTTGGCACTTCACGAAATATCAGACCCAGTACGTCTTGGAGCCTGACATCTTTCACAGCCTCTTTGATGACTTGAATTCGTCCACCATTTTCCCAAAAAGGCGCTCCCTTCACTTCTTGCTTAGAAAGCAATGATTCCATGGCAGTCTGTGGATCACCACCATGAAGGGCTGAGTAAATTGGGCTTTCCTTCCAGTCACCCCAAGAAAAGTCCTCTGATTTCATGCTCTTCAAGAGGATGTCAATTCTTCCTTTGTCTCCGAGTGCCGCAGCACGATGCAGAGCAGTGTCGCCGTTTTCATTTTTGATGCCTGGATTGGCTCCATTTCGCAATAGAAGCTCAAGAACAGTTAAATATCGCCCTGAAAGCGCTTCTTCATTCCTTTTCGACCAATCTGAATCGTTTTCGCCTTTCGGGTCAGGTAAAATAGGGTCTGGTTCCAACAGACGCCTCTCCCCTGCTCCGGCACCGCTAGCAAGATGCAATGGAGTCATTCCTTCACTGTCTGTAGCATCACAATTTGCGCCGGCGCTGATCAGCTGAGATGCAATCTCGTGAGATCCTTTCATGCTGGCTACATGGAGAGGAGTACGGTTCTTCTCGTTGGGTATCTCGAGATAATCCTCCTTCCATGCCGTTATGTGGCAAAGGATCAAGCTGACAATGTCTGCGTCTTGTATTATAGTGGCCGTCATCAAAGGCGTCCATTTTGAAGAATCCATGATATAGAAATTCGCATTCTTGACAAGAAGTAGAGCAACGGCCTTCTTGTGGCCGCTATAAATAGCTGCGTGGAGGAGGGTCCAACTTTCGCGCATCTCAATAGCATTGATATTTGACGTATCCGCTTGAAGAAGGCGCTCCACAATCTTTCCACTATTTCCCCAACAGGCCCAGTGCAGTGGAGTCCAGCCATCTATATTAGAGACATTGGTGTTGGCTTGTATTTCCAACAGCAGATCGACGATATCGAGGTGGCCCATTCGACAGGCCGCAGCAAGTGGGGTATCCCCGTTGTTCAATGCTGCGTCGATGTTTGCGCCTTTATTGAAAAGTAGGATGGCCAGCTCACTATTTCCCTCAAGACAAGCTTGGTGGAAAGGGTGACGCCCGTCACAGTCACCTATAGTGACATCCGCTCCACCACGAATGAGACTTTGGGCTTCAATTTCGTGGCCATATGCGATGGCGATGTGGAGGGCTGTCTGGCCAGATGCGTCTTGCGCATCGATCTTACACTTCTTCTCACATAATAAAGAATCGAACTCTGCCAAGGTGGCTGCATCAGCTGTCCGTCGAGCTTCTGCTGTAGCGTGCAATGTCTTATGCAAGGGGAGAGGTTCAGATCCACCATTCTCTCCCATCTCAAGGCTAGGGTTATCTTCCTTGGAAGAACGGGACACTATGCTCGGTCCGGGGTCTCGGGTGGCCGTTGAAGCCTTCTCCTGAGACACAGCCTTGTCACTTTCGATTGGGAGGGTGGGTTCAGCTGTCATGATAGTGGTCAAGAAAAAAAAGGGAACGAAATAATCAAAAGTTCGATACAAGGGAATAAACTGCCCTCTGACGATGTGGACAGATTTAAAGCAGCTCTTGAGATTGAGCAGATGTTACAGCCTGCACATCCCATGTAGCTGTTCATCTTCTGATTGTTGGCAACATAAATTCCATGAGGGACTCGTGCAACGTCGGTTCCTTTTGTCGTAAGTTGGTTCGAATTCGATCATCTCCACATCACTGCAGGAGTTAAGCTGTTGTGTCACCATGACCCTCGAATGCCTATTGGGCGTCGGTTGTGCTACCCTTTTCAAAGGCGAGACAATGAAACAAAGAATAGAATGTCTGCCTATCGAGTTGGATGGTGCTGAACGCATTTGACGAACCTGGTTTCAGAAACAAGGCCATCTAATCTCACCTGCATGAACCGACTACGAGTCGGGCCACTGTGCCACTCCTTCAGGTCACGGTGTAAAATGCTTGCCTTTCACCTAAGTAAAGCAGCCTCTATCTCAGACCCACTAGTCTGCGACTTACTCCGTACCCAGGAAGCTGAAGGAGTGACACAATGACCCAACTCGTGGTCGCATAACACTATTGAATCTATACTTATGCGCGTGAGCTGCTTAGGATATAACGCTGAACCAAGCATAACTTCAATTTATTATCCGCAAGTGGCTAGCTCCAGTACTACTAACGTGGTTTAGCCTCTCTAATCCCTACTCCTTGTAGATACCCCCTAGAATACCCGCTAGAGCCCTAATCCGCCGCCGGGCGACATGTCTTGGCATGACACTAGCTTTAGACGGCGTTAGGTTATCATGAGTTCTCTTTTAAAGCGGCTCAAAAATCCTCAACCTCGCTCCTCTTCTGCCTCCCTGCAGTATCTTCATTATCTACTCGCAGAAATACCCCAATATGTCTCAGACTCATCCTCTCATTCCTCTCTCAGTTGACGAGACCAATCTAGCCCGCGACGTTATTCGGGCCGCTCATCCTCAGAATGTCTTGAAGTTCCGTGTCATTTACCTTGAAGAGCCGGCGAAGGAGGTCTTGGCACCTTACCTGGATCTAGAGCATGGTGGAAAGATCACCAGTTCTACGCCCAGACCTGCTCGTGAAGCTCGAGTTCACTTTGACACAGCTCATGGCGGCAAGCCACCTCAATCGCATGAGGCTATCGTTGACCTCAACACAAGAAAGATAAAGCAAATTGAGTCAATCCGCGCGGATGCTCAAGCAGCTTTCACAAGGTATGCCAAATCCATACTCAGCGTCTGTTGCGATCAGGGACTAATTTAATGGTATAGCGAAGAGCTTGATGACGTGCGAATTATCTGCCGAGACTCCCCCGTTTTCAAGGAGCGCATCACCAAGTTCAACCTTCCCCAAGGCTTTGAAGTCGTTGTTGAGCCATGGCCATATGGTGGTCTGGATGCAGCTGATGACCCCAATCGCCGGCATATGCAAGCTCTGATCTACGCTGCTGACAGCAAGAACCGCGAATGTAACTTCTGGGGCTACCCTCTACCCATCATTCCTGTCATCGACGCCGAGACACGCGAAGTCATCCGTATCCATGAAGTTGCCACAGGCGGAGGTAACGACCCTCACACTTTCGCTGAGGGTGACTACGCCCAAGTCAATATCGATCATATGACACCATCTGAATACGTCCCTGAGCTTTTGCCAGGTGGTCTGCGAAGAGATCTGAAGGAGCTCAACGTTGTTCAACCATCCGGACCCAGCTTCAATGTTGAGGACTCGAATGTGATCAATTGGCAGAAGTGGAGCATGAGGGCGACATTCAACCCTCGTGAGGGTGCTGTCCTGCATGATGTCCGTTTTGACGGCCGAAGTGTTCTGTACAGACTGTCCATCAGCGACATGACGGTTCCTTATGCGGACCCTCGACCTCCGTTCCACCGTAAGCAGGCTTTCGACTTTGGCGACGGGACACTTGGCGATGCTTGCAATAATCTGCAGCTTGGATGCGACTGCTTGGGTGTTATTAAGGTGAGCAAGGTCATTCTCACTATGTAGTCTTAGTATACTAACAGGGTTCCAGTACTTTGATGGTGTATTGGTTGATCACAGCGGTACCGCACGCACGACCAAAAATGTTATTTGTTTACATGAGCAGGATAACGGGATTAACTGGAAGCATACGAACTGGCGCACTGGTCGAGCTGTCGTAACACGCAGGCGAGAGCTTGTGGTTCAGTTCATCATCACGCTGGCCAACTACGAATACATCTTCAACGTAAGTTATCTCTCCTCTCATTATGATGAACCGACTAACACAACACAAGTATATCTTCGATCAAGCAGGAGCCATTACCGTACAAGCCCGCGCCACCGGCATCGTCTCCTCCGTTCTCATCGAAGAGGGCAAGACTGCTCCCTGGGGCAACGTCGTGAGCCCCGGCATTCTCGCCCAAAACCACCAACACATCTTCTGCGTACGCATCGACCCCGCCATCGACGGCCACAAGAACACCCTCGTCCAAACAGAATCTCTCCCCATGCGCATCGACGCTCGCACCAACCCCAACGGCAACGCCTACCAAGTCGTCACAACTCCAGTTACAGCCTCAGCAGGTCTTGACGCGAATCCGTTCACAGATCGTACTTTCAAGGTGCAGAATATGGATAAGCTTAATCCTATTAGTGGACAGCCTGTTGGATATAAGATTCTTGCGCCGGTGACGAGGCCGTTGCTTGCTGATCCGAATTCTACGCAGGCTAAGAGGGCTAGGTTTGCGCAGAGACATTTGTGGGTTACTAAGCATCGTGATAATGAATTTTATGCTGGTGGTCGATATACCCTGCAATCGGTCTCGGAGGTTGAGGGTGTTGCAGATGCTGCTGATAGGAACGATGATGTTTTCCAGCAGGATATTGTGTTATGGAGTGTATTTGGTCTTACTCATAACCCCAGAGTAGAGGACTGGCCAGTCATGTAAGTGTCAGAAGACGTCGCATTTGAGAGCAGCTTTACTAACCAATACCAGGCCCGTCGAGATTCTTGATCTCCATATTAAGCCTGCCGATTTCTTTACAGCAAACCCGGCTATTGATGTGCCTGGCAGGAAGAACTTTACTTCCCAGCTCACAAATGCAGAAAAGGCCGAGGAGTCATCATGTTGCTCAGACAGTAAGCCTCGCCTATGAAATATCTATTCTGAGAATGTTTGGGAGTTATTGCAAGCACTGAGGATGAATCGAGAGTACTGGTAGACTAGTATTATAAGAATTTACAATGTCTTTATTACACACATTCAAAAGAGATAAGTACTATTTAAGTTACTCTATATGCTGTGAAAATATCTATGTTTGTTTGAGCAGCAATGACTTTGTCTCAAGCATAACGCAACACAAGCCCTGAGAAATTTTCGGATATTGAAGGGATTAGGATTACATCTTCAACTCTCAGATCGTAGAGCAGTAGTAAGTGGACTTGAAACTAAAGCAGGGACTGTATTTATGGGTCATCTGAACTTTCTCCATCATAGCAGCTTCCTAGTGTTTATCGTGGCGAAGATAATGAAGCCGTTGTCCAGGTTGGTCTCGATCCCTTGGCTCAGGAAACGGCCGACGGCCGACGGGCAAGACTTTTCTATTTTTGGCATGGGTTCACGGCGAATGCGGGGGGACTAAGCTCGATTCAGCATTTCCAAGCGATCGGCGTACTCAGAATACTGGGTCATTCTGTCGGTTCCCCACGGGGTATGACTTGACATCTGTATCTTCAAACGACGAATACTGGGGATTGCTTGTTATTACCTGACATGGTTCCAGAGCATCGGGAATGTCCGGCGGTCTGGTACAAGGCTCACCAAGGTGGCTAATCATGAGTCGCTGCCCTCGTTTATTGTCATTACAGATTCCAAGCCTTGTTTATGTTAATGACCTCCCAAGCGTTACACCGTTTGAAGCGTTGGAGGCCGTTAAATCGCCTAGTCGGAATGAGCCGATGCATGGCCATATTAATTCAAAAGCACTCATAAAAAGAAGTAAGGCTCTTATAGAGTAAGCTTTTGAACTATGATCAAATATAGAACAAGCAGTACCAGTTCACAGCGCTTCTGCAGTAGAAATAGCAAAGACATATTTCTTTAATAAACTAACATAATATATTTACAGTTCGCTTCACATGTCGTCTACACCTCTGCATCTATCTTGTTGACCTTGGAGTCATTGTCGTGTTCTCCAATCTTCACCCCGCTGGTTTCCTCGACTCCACTAACAAAGAGCGCGTCTTCCTCAAAGGTAGGGCCCTTGAAGTGATGCCTTCCATCGACGAACCACTGAATCGAAGAAACAATTATGATGGCTGCAAATGCAACTACGGCGTAGTTCATGTTCGAGGCTGTAACATCGCTAACGGGAGGGAATAGAAGGAAGATAGAGATGACGATCGTGTAGGCAATGCCAACCTGCATGGAATAGTCAGTAAGAGAATTAACACGCTAAGCGACTCAGTAATTGTACTCACGAGATTGCAGATCCAACCGAGCCATTCTGGCAGCACAAACGGTCGGTTGTCCAACAGCCCCTTTCGTCCTTGGAGACAGTTGATGGCAGGAGTGACGGCATATGAGATGGAGAGAGCGATAACAGCAGCTGATAAAATGGCGTTTAGTGCACTGGTTGATCCGAGATAGACGAGTCCAAAAATGATGACGATTCCGTTAGTGAGCAAGAGGGCGTTAACTGGAATGCCCCATCGCTGGTCAACCTTGGCAAACACTCTGGAGAAGGGCAGGCCTCCATCGCGAGCGAAAGCGTAAAGGATACGGGTGCTCGTAGCCATGATACCAAGGGTACCAAATACGAGACAGATCATGGGGAAAAGTAACAGACAAACAGTGCCAGCTTTGCTGTTCGTCGCTTGAAGGTAGATCTCAACGAGAGGACCAGTTGGGGAGGCGACGACTGCGTCTACATCCTTGATGACGAATAGAAGGCAGACCAGGAAGGCGAAGCCTGTGACAAGACCCATAGCAACACAAGCAACCATGATGCGAGGTCCACGAATGCAGGGCTGGGGAATCTCCTCGATCATATGCGCAACAGCATCGAAGCCCGTAAGACCAAGACCACCCTGCAACAGACCCAAAAGGAATGCGACACCACCAGGCCAACCAGTAGAGTTGATGAATTCTCCAAAGACAAAGCTAGCTGGCTGGAAGTCGGGAGCGCTGGTAGCCAAGACAGTGATGGTAGTAGCGAGGAGACCGCAGACAGACCAAATCAAAGCAACCTTTGTCATGAAGGGCAATCCCGAAGCCAGGAAAAGGTTAAGGAAGAATCCGAGGAATGTGTATAAGAGGAACAGCAAGAAATACTGCCATCGTGTCGGTGCGAATTCGGGGTCGTACATGGTGATGATACCGAGAAATAATTGGCCGCCCAAGACACCACCAGAAGCAGACAGAGCAACCCATCCACTAACATTGACCCAACCTGTAACCCAAGAGACAATGGCTACCCATTTTGGAGGCGATATGATAGCAGCCCACTGATACTGGCCAGCGCTGGTAGGATAACACGAAAGGAATTCAGCGTTAGAAACAGCAAGAGACAAACTGCCTACTCCAGCTGTGACCAATCCCCAAATAACAGCCGTAGGACCACCGCTAGGAAGACCAACAGATAAACTCGACGCAAGCGCAGTCCAAGAATTGAGGATAGAAAAGGCAAGGCCAAGCATGGAGACGAAGGAGAAATTTCTCTCCAACTCCTGCTTGTGGCCTAGTGCTGCAAGTTGAGCGGCATCGCGTGCTAAATCAGCTTCGTGATTCTTCATATTGCTGATAGGGTTTTAGAAAGGAAGAAGGGTGATGAGTTCGACATGGAGAGAACGGGGTGAGGGTGGATTTTGTGGTGTTGGATAATAGATGAGTTGATCTAAAGACGGCGGATGGAGATATGCGATTGGTTGGTTGAGGTTGTATGATTGGTTGGTGGTAATCGGCCGTCGGGGGACGATAAGAGTGATAGCGATTGTGAGATGTTCCACTGAGTTATCGGAGATTGCGGGGGAGCTACAGGGGCTAGGCTGGATGTCTAGGGTATTTACGTTGATCTGATTCAGAGAGCTTTATTCTTTTTTAGACACCACATTCTAGGCATAATAAAGTGAATGCGTTCAATTACTGGACTGAACTACGGTTCTGTGGCATCGCCCTGACATTATGCTTAAATGTGGTGACGTTTAATAGTCGCGGTGCATTTCTTTTCCGAAGTTGAAGAGATTTTCCTTCACTTGAGGTAGCCCGATTTCTGGTAACATATACTGCCAACGAGACACCATCACAGCATTAATCATCAGTATTAACATCAGTATTCAAATATGTCTCCCACATTTTTCCTAAAGCATGATTTATCGAACTACTTCTCCCAGTATAGTAAGAGTCTTTCTCAACACGCAATTGGCCTCTTACGATTCCTCCCATCGTATATCCTTCTTCACCGCAATCGTACCCAACGGAATCTCATCCACAGCAACCGCCTTCGAGTGCTCCACTACCGTGTTGTGCTGATTATGATACGTCTCTGGCCACAAAACAGGTTCCTCGGCCGAATCATTATCATGTAGTCGGCGAAATGGACCATCCTTGACAGGACCCTTTTGTCTGTCCGCTGACTTGGGGCCGCTGCCACCAATGGTGATGATTCCTTCTTTACTGCGATCTTGCGTCGTTTTCGTAATGAAGCGACCGAAGAGGACGTATAGGAGCGGTTGCATCGTCGGTAGACAGGCGCAGAGAAGTCCAACTGATGGTTCGATAACTGTCCAGATCCAGGGGGTCGAGATGAGTTCTGTTCAAGTTCGTTAATGCCCCTTCATGCCACCTTAGATAGGAGAATGGGTGCTTACTAGTGAAGTCTGCCTCTTGCCCGGCTTGCAGGAGATTGACGATGTACTTCAAGCGAATACAACTGATGATCACGATCCTATTTGAGGTGAGCACATACCTTCTTTCAGATTCGTCAAGGCACTTACAATCCTCCGAGGAGAAATATTCCAGCGATAGCAATCTTTTGCGACCTCGGCACCTGGACCTTTGACACCTCAAAAACCGGCAGCGCAATAATCATGGCATCCATAACAATATTCGGGATCGAGTTCCCAATGAAGAAGCGATTCTTATCCAGGCAAGTACCTTCTTTCATAAACGGCTTCCAAGCTTTATCGACGGGCGAGCACTGGAAGATGGATGCAAAGATGATGCCTATCCACCAGGAAAAGGTCATTCCTCCGAGAATATAGCCACCGATTCGCATGGATTTTGTCGGGAAGATTCGATAGTACATTAGGAGGATGCCGACTTTTATGGTGCAGAGAACTGTGCCGTATACGAATTCGGTTAAAACTAGACACTTTTAGGGGAAAAGCTGTTAGGTGATTCGGACTGCAGTGATGAAGGGGATAGCCTGCTTACCAGCTGAGCTCTTCCGAGACGATTCGGGTCTTGCATCATGTTGACTGCCAATGGTTTTCCGACTCCTCCATAGGTCACAGCTGGTTCTGAGATCAGGATAACCAAGACATACACTGCAGGTTGGCGATAACTTACATGCAATAGCAACTCCGGCAGTGGCCCATAGTAACGGCTGGAAAGTTCTGTTATCATCTCGCTCCCATGGGGAAAGGAGAAAGTTCAGACTCACTAGTGATAGCAATATCATAAAATCGTCACGTTCAAGTGCCATCCGCTTTCGATGTCGAGCCCATACCCTAATAGCCACAACGCCGAGGGCGAAGGGTATGGAGACTGCGCTTACTATGATGAGTGAAGGTCCCTCATTATGGTTCAAGACTTCAGGTGGAAGGGTCGGAGCAGAGTTATTGACAGACATATTGCCGGCGGTTATAATGAAGCTATTGCAAAGACACCAATTCACCAAATCCGCTAGGAACGAACGTGGGGATAGGAACGTGAAATATGGTTTGAACTCATGACCAAAACCGGAGTAGAATAGGAAAAGGATTGAAACAGCTGATTCCTGACTCGCTCATCCCTCAGTGGAACAGAACGCGGCATACGCGGGTCAACGGCATTCACAAGAACAAACCCACAAAGAATGCAACCCTATAAGGCGCAATCAAGGTTCTCGTACCAAACTCGCGGTGTTAGTGTGCGGAAGAAACAGGGGTGTTTTCTTACCTAAACTCTAAATCGAATGTTGGCCCACTGGAGGATTTTCAGCCGCCGAACCTCACCTCACTTCCCCTGAGCTAAGAAAGTATGCGATGTTCTGGATCAGTGAACCTTTTCTTTCTATGGAGAAGAATACAGGGATTGATTATGAGGTTATGCATGGTGGTCTAGGGATCCACGTGGACTGCTTCATCAGCTGTTTTCTGCAATGCGACGATAGCGTGCATCATGATATTGTGGCTAATTATAAGAACGGCGGTTGGTCCCGTTCGTGAATAATGTGAAACATGCAGCTACATAAGCTTTGAAAGATCAACAGACCAGTGAAGAATATCTACCATGAGCGAGAAACCAGTTTTACTCTTCGTCCACGGAGCATGGCATCCCCCAAAATGCTACGACGCCATCAAAACCGCACTCACCAACCTCGGATACGAATGCGTCATTCCCAAATTACCTTCAGTAGGCCCTGAGAGTCACGGCATTACATGGGAAGCAGACAAAGCCAAGATCATCGAAACAGCGGAACCATTCTTCAGCCAAGGTCGTGAAGTCGTTCTGATCGCTCATTCCTATGGTGGCATTCCCGCGACTGCCGCGACGCAAGACCAAGGCACAGAAGAGCGGGCGAAACGCGGCTTGAAAGGTGGATTCCACTCGATTATTTTCTTAGCTGCTTTTGCTATCCCGGTCAAGGGCTGGGATCTTATCACCACTTTTGGTGGGGCTTATCCTCCCTGGCTGCAGGCAGGCGAGAAGTACACAAAGGTGAGAAAGATCAAATCGTTTGCATCATGTCGCTAATACTCTTTAGAAACAAATTACCAGGATGGCCGAGGGAGCTAGAGCGAGTGTTTACAGTGGTTGCAGCGAAGAAGCGATAGACAAAGCTTTGGAGTCTACGGAGCCGCATTCTCAAGATGCATTCGAGACGAGTCTGGACTTTATCGCATCGGATATCACCATCCCCAAGACATACATCATTTGCGAAAACGATCAGCTTATCCAGTTGCCTCTGCAAGAAAAACTTGTTGAGTCAACGCCTGGGATGAAATCTGCAAGGCTGGCAGCCGGTCATAGTCCGTTTGTGGAGAAGACGCAGGAGACTGCTGCTTTGATCGTGAAGATCGTCGAAGGTCGGGTGTAAATAGATTATACTAGCATGACTCATGAGATAGAAACGAGACTATCGGTCCTAATTGATGAAGGATTGAGCTCGCCCTTGCAGGGCTGGAGTGCGTGACACATCGGCCAACATCCGTGCGGCTCCGCAGATTTGTCCCGCAATATATCGGTCCCGCAGATGGGTTCCGCAGCCACGATTCATTAACACTGAGCCCAACCAGGAGAAACAATAGGCTTATTTTCCTGGCTATCCAAAAGCACTCGAATCGTCTAATTGTGACCCGTTGCAGCTCCCCAGATCCAGGCTGCCCAACTGCCCAACACATACACAAACAGCGCAACGAAACAGATCTTGCTAATCATTCTAGCATTCTTACCAGTTGGCCCTTGACTCTTCGTCTTGCGATCATTGATCATATCTCCACGCAAGATTCTTTGCTTTCGTGAGAATTGCAAGATTCGCAGGTCAGGAGCCCAGAAGGTGCCGATCAGCATTGCCAACGAAACGACGGTAGATGCAGTAGCGAGGAAGACGTAGACGATGGTGACTCGGTCGTAAGAGCCGTCGTCAGCGTCTTGTATGACGCCGGTAATGATCCGGATGATGATATTCGTCCTGGGTTGGAATCAGTTTACATGGCTTTTGTTAAGGATTGGTGTTGTCTTACGCGTTATTCATGGTCACCTTGGCAGCATAAGCAGTACCAAAAACGTCTTGGTGCCACATACTGGTTCGGATCCCTTCAATAATGGTCACGGGACCGAACGTCTTGAAGATGGCGTAGAATGCATATGAAGCCGCAGCGCTGCTGGCTGTAGAGCCCCAGTTGATAAGCCCCATCGATAACAGCATGCCAGAGCCACAGATAGCCATCTGTGTTACACGATGGCCATAAGTATCGATGACAGCTCCGATCAAAGGACTGAGGAAAAAGCCTTGGGTGATGTGTTAGCTTTTTGTGCCTATTCACATTCGGCGATTACTGTTGACTTACCCGCATATTGCGACAAAGAGGCATACCAACCAGCAGCCACGGCATCTACTCCAAAACGATGCTCAGCGAGCTCAGTGGCGTTTTGAGAGTAGATATTGGAACAGCTCGTTTGCACCATTGAGAATAGCATAATCGCCCAGAAGACCCACGGCAATTGGATGATTTTGTCAAGGTCGAACTTCTTGTTCTTCTCAACAAGCGGCTCACCCGTCGCCGGATCAGGAGGGGGACGAAAACGCCTGTGTGCAATTTTCGTGAAGAAGAAGAATACGAGAGTGCACAGGTTCGTGAAGAAGGCAACACATGCTCCAATCCAAAAGACCCAAGCGAAGTTTCCAGTATTCTAGGAATCATGAAAGTCAGTTCCCAACTTTGATTTGCTAGACAATTAGGTATCTCATACCTTGGAAATGACGTTGGCGGTGGAACTTCCAACAAAGCCACCAATTCTGGCAATACCAATCTGAAGGCCTATAGTAGTGCCAAAGCCTCCACCAGGAGCAAACCATCCCGCAAATACTCTGTAATACGCGATTTGAGTGGCAATGTCTCCCAACGCTGCTGCGACTTTGCCAAAGATCATAAGTGGAAAGGATCTGCATGTTGCGGCACCTGCGATGATGAGAGCACCTGCAGTCATGATCAAGTTTCCGTAAAGCATGGCACCTACATGGATCAGTCAAAGATGTTAGAGTGGAGAGCATACCAGCAGAACTTACCAGCACCGCCGATCCGATCCGTCAGAATGCCGGAAGCCATCATCAATAGTGTAACCAAGAACTCTTCACTAGCCTCAAGTAGTGCAAATTGTGTGTTGTTGATGTCTAGTTCCTTCTTGATTGTGCTCTTTAGTGATGATGTCAGTCGAGCAGACCAAGAAGCTCCGAAGCTGATCAGACAGATGAGCAGGACAGACCCAAGCCTCCAGGTCATTGGGACAATGGGCCGGTCATCTGCATCTTCAACAATTGAGTCAGAAACATCATCCTCATGCTTGACGGTATTGTGAGCTGTTTCAGGAGGGACTTCTGTCAAAGCTGAAGATGCTTCATGCTTCGCAGGATTTAGTTCACTCATAGTGAAACAACTTATCTATCAAGGCCAAGCAGCTCAATCTTAGGGATGAAAAACGATCTGGTCACAATCGTTTTACAAAGAGCCAAGCTTCCTACCTTATATGCTTGAATTTTCATGGCTATTGTGCATTTCCGCTGTGGCATGGTTAATTTGTGCCCTGGGGCTTCTGACAGCTCTGCACTAAAGTAGCTAATATTTAAGCTTGTTTCTCAGCCTCTCTTGGCAGGCTAGCAAAGTTTTTAAGCGTCATCACTGTGCTACAATAGGGCGGGAAAGGTTCCAGCTGGGGTCCTTTGCGCGAATTTATACGCGCTAAGGGATCAAGGTTTAACTAGTCTTGAGTTTGTTAAACGTCAGATGGATTCATCTGATAAGAAACATCTTATCCGATGGATCAGATAAGCATTGTGACATTTTTTGCAAGGGTTCGCGTGTGGTTAGTCGTCTTGGCAAAGAGGATAGAACGAGAAGAAGTCGGGTCAATGACCAGCCTAAACCAAATTGATGTCAAAGCGAACAGATTTTTGTTCTAGAACCACAGGAAAGGTCGCTTATATGCTAGCCGAAGTTATGGGTACATGTAACTCGTCTTTATCCCGCTCTCCGCCAGTAGACATCGATAAACAACTCGAAAAGAAACTTCCGCTATCGGAGCATAATTAATCACCAGCTTCTTCCGAACCTGGCTCGCCCTTAAAAGAGACCAACCAACCCTCGTACGTAAGTTCACTACCCGTATAAAGCATACAACGATCAATCTCTGAAGCATCCCTGGCCAACTGCAGCGAAACCATGGATGGTAGTAACTCTTGGCTGACTGCGTCGCGATACTTGCAGTAGATAGTTATGCTGTGTTAGCCATGACTGGGCCATTTAGCCAAGAGTTGAATATATGCATCCAATCTATAATTCATCGTGGTTCCCAAGATCTGGGATGTTATGTGTAGCTTTGTCAAGCTTAAAACCGCCCAGCCGGAGTTTCTGAAACACACCAGCTGGATCGTACTGCAAGGCGACCCCCTTCAAGAACGCTTTGTTCTCCTGACCGTAACCTGCGATGATATCTTGCTCAGTGTGCCCGTAGTTCATATACTTGAAGTCGCGGTGCTTTCCACGCAGGTTCAAGAGTTTGTCGATGGCTGCGTCAAGCTCTCGAACAATCTTGACGGCTTCCTCATCATCAGCTTCATCCTCCCAGATGATACTAAGCACAATCAGCTGTAGAACGTCATCGGAGTCGTCGAGTCCAAAAAGGGTTCCAGTGCTCGAGTCTTTGCGCATTTTGGGGTAAATGAGCTGAGCGTCCAGGGCAGCCGTTAATCGATCTGCATAAGATTCACTTGTCTTGACCCAGAGTCTATAGATAGACTTAAGCAGTTCAATGTCGAAGCCGAATGTCCGCGTCCAGTAAAGGTTGCGTTTTCCTCTCGTGTCAGTGATTTGCTCCATCTCCTTGGCAAATTCCGAGTGGTTGGCCAGCCGTAAAGTATCAACCACAGCCGGAATAGAACGAAAGTCATCATAGATCTTTGGGTTCTTGACAGGCTCGGTGTAGTACATATACTGAGCGACAATCAATGTGCCGTTGACCCTGGCAAAATCCATGAACATATGCGCCTTTCCATCCTCAGGTATCTTTTTAGCAAAGTTGTCATAAGCTTTGAAAACATGTTCAAAGTTGTCTGCGGTGGTAACCTTTATCCCACCCCACATTCCACCAAATTGGAAGGCATTCAAAGTCAAGCTTGTTGCGATACCGAAGTTTTGAGCACCACCACCTTGGAGAGCTTTATGGAGGTCAGGATGGGATGTGCTGTCAACGGTTATCAAAGTACCATTTGCCAGCACTAGGTCGGTCGATGTCAGATGGTCCACACCCCATCCGCGGTGACCCGCAAAGAAGGATATACCGCCTAGTCCATGGCCTTTTCATCAGTCACCTGTCTTTCAAACCTTCCAAGAACCTTGTATGACTTACCACCAAATATGAAACCAGACACGCCAACACCAGAATCGCGCCCACCAGCAACCGTCAACCCATGCTCTTCGAGGAAAGAGAAGAGAGGCCCCCATCGACTACCTGGTCCGATCTTTACAGACCGGCCATCGTTTACGATTTCATGATGTGCAATGTTGACAAGATCGAACTGGAATCCGCCTTGGATGCTTGAACCACCAAAGTTGGAAGAATGTCCGCTACCCTTGATGGAAAAAGGACATTTGGCTTGTGTAACTTCCTTGATGGCGACCTGGACTTGGTCTGCGCTCGTGGGCTGAAAGAAACAGGCCGGTGCAGTATTTCTTTGTGGACCGTTCCAATATTCTAGCTGGGCACTTTGGAAAGTTGACGAGGACGGAGTAATAATATGATCAGGATACAGTTTGGCAACGGCGTCGCACTAACACAACTCTCAGATATGCCTGACTAGGCGTGGTTTGAGTTACTGACCGCTTTAACACATGTCGTAGTGCTGGAAGCCTGGGCAAAAACCTTTCCAGCGGACGCAGCAGCGAGGAGACTTTCAAACTTCATTGTAGGTATATCAAAGTCAGTATGTTTTCTTGAAAAGACAAGTTTCAGTATTATTTAGTAGATCTTGTTAGTATGGCATCTCCTACAGATTAAGTATGTATACTTCTATTTGGGTTACGCATGCAGATAGGAAACTGATGATGCTATTGTCACCGAAGGCCACCGAGGTCTCGGATTGCGCTAGAGTCTCTCGAAGCTAGCAATGATGGGTCGGCGGACTCCGCGGCAGCCGCCTGTAGCCAAAGCAGCGAACAGGGACATAAAAGCCCACGGAAAATCGAGGCCACTTCGGACTTTCCGAGTCCAAGCGGGGTAGACCGAACAATGTTGGCCGCTTGTGAAGACGACTTGCTCTATTGAAACCTACCGAAATTCTCGGAATTCCGTAGTCATTTTGGACACCTTGGTCGAGGTTTACCTAGCCATCCAGATTACTTCCCGACTTGGCTAGGAGAATCATTCCAGCTGTCCCTGAGATGGACGACGAAACGTCAACGGCCGTTCAATTGATCTAAATCTTCTCTTGATAAGGCAACCTTAGTTTGTAGGCCCTTAGCAGGTTTTGGTTGAGTGAGGAAGGGCTGATCACTAGAGCCACGGTGCAGCTTCCCCTCATCTTTGATCGCAACTGTAGGTTGGCGAAGTTAGGCTTAGAAACTATCATCCTACCTTTAAAACGCCATGTTTTACGTAGTATAAATTGTAGTCCAAGTAACACCTTGTGACTGATATGATTCAACACTTCGCACTTGTACTTGTGAGAATCAGTCTGAATACTTTGACCATTTCTGTTAGCTGTCTACCTCCTGATTCATTTCCGAGCCAACAGCTGCTTCAAGTAGCTGATATCGCTCGAGCCTTAGTCTCGTTCTTCAACATGGCTAATAATTTAACTACCGACGACCGTAAGAATGAGGATGTCAAGACCCTTCATCATTTGGAGAGATATCCCTCTATCAGCCACGGTACGATGCTAGGGAGCGACATGGATCCGCCAAAGACCTACAAGCGGAGATTCATCGGAATGGCGCAGCTTTTCATCCTCAATCTTTGCTTCACTATAGCCTGGATTGACTTGGCTCCCGTTGTCGACTCTGCAGCTGAGCACTTTGGAACCTCAGTGCCCGCGATCAACTGGTTTTCCACATCCTTCTTCCTCGCTGCCCTCGTGGCCAACTACCCAGCATCCTTTGTCGCGCGCCGAGGTTTAAAGCTTTCCATGATTGTCTCCGGCGCTCTTATGGTCGGAGGCACGTGGCTGATGTATGGAGGTACTCGAATCAAAAGCTTCAGCATGGCATTGATAGGACATTGTGTTATTGCCGTAGGACAGCCCTTCTCGCTCATCCTCGCCGCTCCCTTCTCAGATGCATGGTTTCGATCAGGGAGTAGAGCCACAGCGACAGCTGTCTCCGGATTAGCCACTATCTTGGGCAGTACAATCGGCCAGTTCATCATGGCGGCATGGATAAAGTCTAAAGATGAGGTGACACAAGGAATCTTGTACCAGAGCATTTTGTTGTCGGCTGTTTGCTTCACGATACCCTTCATTCCCGCCAAACCTCCCACCCCTCCGGCGTGGAATACTGTGCACCAAACACCTATTTCTCACACACAGGAGGTTAAGGCGCTCCTCTCAAGGCCTGAAATTTACCTTGCTGGTATCCCGTTTGCACTTTTATCAGGAGTCTTCAACGCGCTTTCTTTTCTTCTTTTCCAGATTTGTATGCCATATGGATTCACCGTCGACCAATGCGTTGTTGCTGGGCTACTTCTCATCGTCCCAGGACTGGTGGCCTCTCTTGTCGCGGGGAGGGTTGCAGATATATTTAGATGTCATCTTTCATTGCTGAAAGGAATTGCGTTAGTTAACGGTGCAGGTTTATTCGCTTTTATCTGGGTTGCCCCTTCTGGAAACGTCGGATTCCTCTATAGTATCAGTACTATCCTCGGTATCGGAGTGATTTCACCGAGTAGCGTGGCCGTGGAGTTTATCACGGAAATCATATATCCGCTTGGGCCGGAGCTTGCCATTGCGGCCATGTGGGGTACAGGACAACTGTTAGGGGCTGTTTTAACTATCGGCTGTGGGTATATGAAGGACGATCGTGGGGGTCTACAGCCAGGTGTCTATCTCATGGTTGCGCTGGGCTTGGTAGCCGTCCCGTTGACCTGGTCGCTTGGGCTTTGGGGTAGACGAGAGTTTGTACGACTTCGGCGAACTGCAATTCAAGGTCATTTGTAGATCTCCAACGACTTCAAGCTTAAAATGGAAATGACACCACTTATCAGATTACATGAATAATCATAGGAAACAGACCAGTCAAGTGATGCATTTCTTCTTTCTTGCTTCACGACAAATTCGTGGCACAACATCATTGCCACCTCCATGGGACTACAGGCAAAGTACAGTCAAAGGTACCGGTCATCAAAGCCATGAGAAATACGTGTATGTGCGTACCTAAGGTACCTAGTACTACTCCACTCCAAGCCAGCTGATATAAATTCCCCAGCCAACACTAGCCAATGCGACAAATAGGTTTCTCCCCTCAGCAGTTCTGAGAAAGATGAAGCTAATCAAACTAACCGCCGGCCACAGCTTCCAACCCGCCACGAGGAGGGGGTAGAAATCCTCCTGCGCCTTGTTGAGGATGAACAACCAGTCGACGCGCGCATAGTTGATTTCCCACCCTGAAGAGACTGAACCAACCACGACTGATTTCATGAAGTTTATAAACGCACACAAGAGAAACGTATTGACAACTGCCCCAACTGTTTGGTCCAGTATGGTCTTGACAAGCGTGTTGAACACATTGAGTGTGTCATTGGCAGCCTCACCATGTTTCCCGGAGCCATCTTTTTGCCTGGAGTTATAGCCAGGGAACTTCTTCTCGAGGTAATCCTGCCTGTAGCGGGTTAGCGGAGCTGATTGAATGTGTAACTTTTCTCATGGACAATCGCTTACCATAGGTAATTTGGAGGCGTAGACACAGCAGTCCATACGATGAATTGCGAGACGGGCATCCAATCCACCGCGACGGGTTCCTGTCATTCCAGGGTCAACAATGTCTTAACCATAACGCAACATGCCTTACGAAGTTAACACTTACGTTGAGACGATACGCCATTAGCACCTGTGCTAACAAATTTGAAGTCGCTGCTAAGACAACACTCTGCAGGGTAACTGATACCAGCGGCGAGCTTTTCAAGTCGGAGGAAGCCATTTTGACACTTGTCTCAACTTTAAGCACTCAGTATATCAGCTAACTATGAGAATAGTAAACTTACAGCCTATGTTTTCTTAAAGTTCAAGTTATTATAAACGTACTTTTGCTAGATCTAGCCGCTTCTTAGGGTAGTAGGAATGGGTAACTCGGTAGGTACTACAAGAGACGGAGCATGAACCAGCACACGCTTTAAATCGTATGCATAGCTACGTTGAAATACTTATTGCACTGATCATCCGATCTTATCAAGTGCATCCTTCCAAAGTTTGTCGCAAGTGCTAGCACCTGGAACTGCTGTATTCTCTTCTTAGCGTGGTTGCGAAGCCTCTCGGTCCTCGGAACCTCCGAGCGTAGATCTTAGGTCTACCGCCTCAAGCTCCGGAGTCTCCGACCAAATGACAGTCTAGAATTAGCTTTAAGAAGCATAGCTGTATAAACAATTCGGTAAAACAAAAGCCGTGAGCACCGCGGTTACGTACATTGCCATGGAAATCCGTCTGATTGCAAGGTGCAAACTCCGATGCCACCGATATTGACGCTTTTGACTTAACATGCTAATACTGCAGCCTTAGCGTGTAGTGCTTTCCTGTCCCTCCCCCACCAAAGAACCCTCAGATATTGGATTTGGCAAACCAAAATCTCTATTTGATTCTAGAAACGACAAAACTCCACTTTCCGTCAGCCAAAAATCCGTATCTTGAAACTCAAATCCATTGTGGATGGGAAACTGGAGGCCCTTGTACAATATCAGCATGAGCGGCTCACATATCTTGTTCATGTCACATCTCACCTGAAAACCCATCGACTCCTCAAACTCACTCGTCCCTATACCACTATCACGACTCTGCCAAAGTTCTGAACGTTGTGGATTTCCGGAAGCCCCTGGATGAGTTATGTTTGAGATGTCTGCATCTTCCACAAACTTGGTAGCTATCTGGAGAAACTGTGTCGGAATCGTGCCAAAGACCTTATTTCCGGTCGCATATTGCAGCCGCATGAAGTATGATGTGGCTATTTGCATATATGACAAGTTCTTTCTCGTTTCGTCATGACAGGGATGTTCAATGATAAAGTCAAACAACACAAACAATGCAGCCTGCGGCACGTTGTATTGTACCCTAATATCGTGTTAAGCATATAAATGTGCAGGAGTCTTGCAACGCGTAGTACTTACCATGGCAAGACGAATGGCTCAAGGTCTATCAAGTGTACGAGGTCTATAGTGGATCTTGCAGACTCGGTGAGAAGTAACTTATAGCGCATTTGCTCCTGGAGATCTTGTGCCCACGCAAGAATACAGACTCGCTCAAGGGCAATACGCACGTTGTAGTAGGAGAAATGAATTTGAACCGCTAAATAAACTGCTTGTGGCTGCCCTAGTCGGTGAGATCGCAGTCGAAGCCCAGGACGAAGATTCTCTGGAACTGATAGCTTCCAAGTTTCTAGTTCTTCTAAGCATCGACTCGCCTCTAGTTGACGTGATTCTTGGCAAAGAGACCTGGCCTTGACTGAGAATAGCCGTTGGTAGATATCGCAGGCCATCTGGGCGTGTGTTGACTTGCACTGAAGCCAGTTGAAGCCTGACAAAAACGGCAAGTTGGTCTGAGGAATAGGGCATGATATGTCGTGGCTCGGTATTATCTGGAGATTTGAAGATGAGTACAGGTAGAAGACGCGAATGGCATAAACGTAGGGAACTTACCGATGATCGGCCTGTATTCAAACAGTATTCACTCTCCAGCGAATAGATGACCCAAAAGGTTCTCTGAAACTCAGAGTTGGCCTGACAGGCCTCAGCCTTATTCATTTGGAAATAGCTCACAATCCTTGCAGCCTCAGTAATTAGGATACCCTCAATAGGAAGAGCTGCATAAGTGGTACCAAAGATAGTCTGAATTAGTGTTCAAGTCAGCCTTAGATCTGTTAATCATGGCTTCGCACTAACCATAGCAGCCATCGCCTAAAGTGACAGTCAGGACAGGTGTCTGGAAAGGCCAATCAAAGAAATTTTATACCTGGACTGTAACTAAACTTCTTTGACCAAAGATAATTCGAGGAAACAAGGCTAGAGAGATTCGGAAAATGTCCCAAGCAGTCCCTGAGAAGGCATTGAAGCTACCGCACTCATGGTAAAGACTGCCCAGGGCAAGGACGGCATGGTACAAGGCGCACCAAGCAGCGTCCACAGATAGAATATCCTCAACCCGAGATGAGCGCGCTCTATTCTCGAAACAGGCGCGGTCAAGGAATGGATATAGCGGGTGCACTTTATCGAAGTAGGCTGCGACACTGTTAGTATAGGTCAACGAAGTGGCCACGGGCCACAGACACTCAATATAATCCAGTCTACTCTGTTGGGACAAGGATATAGACCGAGTCTCCTTTTCCAAATCACTCGGGTAGGGAATTACTCCAACGGGACTTCCTGTAGTTGATTTAACAACTGCTTCAATCTTTGCTAATAAATCTGCGACTTGGGTGTTGCCGATGCGTCTCGACAAGGCGATCAACTTGCTGTTGGAGAAATAGGCAAGACTTGAAATAGACACTGCAACCAGCTCATGTCAACCATATATCTGCAATATATTGTTAAGTCACTCACCATCTTGTTCATTGGCCTATAAAGCGATTGAATTAGCGGGTGGAGCAAGATGGGCAAGGTTACACTACCATGATTACAGGATGATCCACTGAGGTGGGGGAAACCTCTTGATTGGCGGCGTTCAGAGTTTCAGTACCCGAAGGCTCGAATTGAACTTCTGCGTCGGAGTTCTCGACGATTGATCTACAAGACGGTAATGCCAAAAAGTTGTCAGGCTGAGCTTGAACACCAGGGGAAGATGGCGCCCCTGACAAAGGCGTAATGTGGTCCACAGCGCCAGAATTCATAGTCTGGCGACGTGGCTGTGGTTTGGCCGTCCGGGTCTTACGAACTTTGGTACGAGAAAAGCGGCAATCTTCCGATCGCCTCTGCTAGGGAGGAGTGAGGTTAGATAGCTTCGCGATCAAGGCAGAGATGCTTAACCTACACGGCAATTGATACATACAATGTCTGACTCACGTTCCTCTAGAAAGGTCATGATTAGCTTAGCATCAGGTTAAGGCTGGGCGGCCTGTTAGATGACGAACTAATACACCGAACCTTGCGGGCTCGACAGCCGTTGCAGGAATTGAGAAACCTCGACCGAAATTGCTCTGGCTGTCCCATGGCTTGATTCTGTTGAGATTCAGTCTCCATATTGCGATCAGAACTAGGCAAGGTAGTTCAAGATGATATAGTGTAGGAGAACAAAATAACGACTGCATGGGTAGCCTTGCCATTCAAGAATTCACTTAGCAGTACCAAGTAATCCTTATGTTGATTGTCATCGCCTGGCGTAGACCGAGGCAACGGATACATCCCCGCATTTCGGATGTGTCGGCCTCTTGAGCCTCGATTGGATTGTTCCCAGTTTCGGGGTCCGCGGGCAGATGATAGATACGGCAACCATCAGTGGACATTCACCCTATTGGCGGCCATCTCTTCCACAGAGATCAATTAATGTCATGGAACGCTTATCAGTGGCTCGATCAGTTTTAGCTAGTATACTAGCTCTATAGCTTGGAAGAACAAAAGTAAAACTGCATTTACATAAAGACGCCCAACCCCACTCTCGTCGTATTTAGTACAAGCTTTATTGTGGCTTTTGCTTTGACATGCTTCGAAACTAATCTTAAGCCCATTCCACCTCTCAGACACAATTTACCGACGCAACTGTGATAGCACATGTTGAAACCCATCCAGAAGATGCTTTCTATAGCAACCTGCAGAAAAGTAATCCATGGCGAATATCAGACCACTGAACATCCCTATCACTAGGAACAGTCGCCGCCAAATATTTCGCCCTGGAGCCTTGGCCGAGCCCTAAAGACATTAGCATTTCATGTATATAGCCCGATAGTGAAAAAATGCTAGTCTTACAGAAAAGTCAAAGTCTTTCCAGACGGGAAAGAGGCTCCTTCTCCAGAAACTCGCCTGGGAGTAAGGGTAAACTGTGGCGTTCCACCGTTTGCCGTTCTTTTTCGCCTCGAGAAACCAGTTGGTGCAGCCAGAGTAGAAGACGGTCGACTTGACGCCAGCCTGCATACTGTCTGTCCATTGACTCTCGGCGTCCAGCTTCACATCGACTATACTGGCTTTGCCATCTAATATGGGCTTGATGACGCGCAGTGAATAGTTGATCCCATTCTCCAGAGCTATGATGGCCGAAGTGTGGCCAACGCCGGAGTTGGGTCCTACAATTGCATTTAATCAGTATCGACTTCTTTACCTACGCAGAGTGATCTTCCAACTCACCGTAGAGAAGAAAAAGGTTTGGAAACCCGCTGACAGATGTCGTGTTGTATGCTTCTGCGCCACCATACCGCTCCCAGTGTTCATGCAGATTTTTATTTTGTCTGCCTATCACTTCGATGCCATTAAGGAAGCTTCCCGTCTCGAAGCCATTGGCAAGGACAATGACGTCTGCTTCGATGACTTGATCTCCAACCCGAACCCCATCTGGCGTGATTTCAGTAGCTGGTTTATCCGTCAGGCTGAAGTTCTCAGCATGAATGCTCTCAAGATAACCGGAGTCATAAATACGCCTCTTGCATCCAAATTCGAAGTCGGGGATGAGTAGATCGTGATACTTAGCAGGTGCTGTCTTTTTCATGTAGGCCAAGGCTGTCTCTCTAAACTTTGCGCGCACACGTGCTCCCGCGTCCGTCATCTCAAAAAGTTTATATTGGCGCTCTGTCTCGAGAAAAACGAGGACACGGAGTAATCTCTGTACTCCAGGAATGTTCTTCATCACCCAGCGTAGCAAGTCCAAGGTCGGCCCATCAATTGGAGGGAGGATCCAGTGTTTTGATCGAATGATCTGCGTGAGGCTCTTTGTTTTAGCAATGATATTTGGTACGATCTGCGCCGCTGTACAGCCGTTACCGAATAGCACTACCCGCTTTCCTGTGAGATCAACATCGTGACGCCATCTTGCTGAGTGAATAACAGGCCCTTTAAAAGACTCGCCACCAGGTATATCCAGTTCTCGTGGGTTGGAGAATAAGCCTGTTGCTGAGAAGAGAAACTGGCATTCGTGGAAAAAGAGAGATCCTGTTTCCAGATTCCGAATAGTTAATCGCCATCGAGCATGCTCCTCGGACCATTCACACTTCTCAACCTGGGCCCCAAAGGTCATCTTATCGAGAAGATGGTACTTTTTGGCGATTCCCATTATGTACTCATATAGCTCCTCTCGTTTAGCCAGGATACGTGTCCAGTCCGGATTCGGTTCGAACGAGAAGCTATAGAGCACATTAGGGACGTCGCACGCGCAGCCTTTGTCATCGCGTCCTCAATTAGCACTATTTCTTGACTGAAATGATGATAGGATCTATTGACGTACCAGGATACTGATTCTGTAACCAGGTACCACCAGGTTGGCTCTGGCGTTCAAAATAATGAATGTCGTCGAGGTCATACCATCGCTTGAGTGTTGCACCTAGACCAATACCGGAAAGACCAGTTCCGATACAGGCAAACCGGCTATAACTCGTTTTTTGGTTATGTGGAGACATTTTTGCGCTTTTCTTCCAATATTTGCGAATGAAACAAAATGCGATTATGTGTTGGGCTCGAGTAAAGGAGCTATTTGTTTAAAGCGGAATGGATGGAATTTATGTGGTGGAATTTATCAAGGTCGGCGACTCAAAACTCTCATACTTGCACCTCGGCTACAATCCACATGTCTTTTTCAATTTGTTGCTAAGCACAGGCTTTGTACCGAGTAAGAACACAAGGTCCAGCCCTTGAATGCATGGATGATGACGTCCTCGGACTTCTTCCTTCTGTGGTTCAGGGTAAGGTTGACTCGGTTCGTTCGTCCGCGGGCGCCGAACTAATTCAGCAGAGACCATCGTAGAGTCCGAAGAACCCAAGAATTTGTACTACTACATCCGTTCGGATGTTCCGAGGTACAATGTTTGCGAAAATCCGAACGGCTATTGCTGGCAACGAGCGCCATGTGTGAGTTTTTGAACTAGCCCAGTAGTAAAAGGGATGAAAAGGGCTTGATTTGAGTTGAGAGATCGATCGTGACCACCTGCATTACTGAGTAGGCTGAATTTAGTAGATATAAGAGATGTGCTGGTACGTCCTTTGTTAACAACGATCAGGCGCTTTCGCAACCTGTGTTTACTATAGTGTCATTGAAGGCCTATCGGATTTCTCCTGCATCTTGTCTAGTTTTCAAGTCTACCTTTACACCTGGTTCAACACAGACTCACTACCATGACTCCCAATTCCGCGAGCGACAAATCCTCCCTCAACACTTCATTAGATGTTCTCATAATTGGAGCTGGGATTTCCGGGATCAACTTGGCATACCACATCCAGACAAAAGCCCCAGAACCAGCACCGTCATCATACGCCATTCTTGAGTCAAGGAGTAATTTGGGTGGCACATGGGACCTATTCAAATACCCAGGTCTCAGGTCTGACTCAGATATGTTTACTTTCGGCTTGCCCTGGTACCCTTGGCGAAAGAACAAAACTATAGCCTCGGGTGCTGAGATCCGTTCTTATCTAGAGGCCGCGGCTACACACGCTGGGATCGATAAAAATATCAAGTATCAACACAGAGTACTTTCAGCGCGTTGGTCATCCCAGAAGTCACGGTGGACTCTGGCTGTCGAGGTCAATGGCGTTCCCGGGCATATTTATGAGGCGCGTTTCCTTATACTGGGCACCGGTTACTACGACTATGATGAGCCGTTAGCTACCCAAATCCCAGGCCTTGACAACTTCGCTGGAACCATAGTCCATCCCCAATTTTGGCCCGAGGATTTGGACTATGTCGAGAAAGATGTTGTTATCATTGGGAGTGGCGCAACTGCCGTTACCCTGCTACCAAATCTGACGGAAAAGGCAAATCATACGACCATGTTGCAAAGAAGCCCAACTTACATCTCGCCGTTGCCCGTGGTTGACAAGCTCGCGGTGGTTGAGCGCGCCATATTGCCAGCTCGCCTTGCCGGACGAGTGACTCGACTCCGCCGCGCTATACGATTCTTCGGCTTCTACTGGTTTTGCAAGTTCTTCCCCAACACTGCAAAACGACTCCTTCGCAACATGTGCATGAAACTCCTTCCCCCTGATCTTCCTGTTGACCCGCATTTCACTCCTCGCTATAACCCCATGGACCAGCGGCTCTGTGTCTGTCCAGATGGTGACTTTTTTTCCAGCCTGCGTTCTGGAAAAGCGAGCATAGTGACCGACACTATCAAGAAGGTTACTGAAGATGAGATAATCCTGGCTTCAGGTACAAAGTTGCGGCCTGACATTATCGTCACGGCGACTGGCCTCAAGCTACGTATTGGCGGTGGTATTCAATTCTTTGTCGACGATGACCCAATCAATATTGTTGATGGGTTTGCTTGGAAAGGTTTCATGCTACAAAATGTGCCTAACTTAGCTTTTGTAGCCGGGTACTACAACGCTGCATGGACTTTAGGTGCAGAGGTGACAGGTATAGCTGTTGTTAGGTTATTACGCCAGATGAAGTCCAAAGGGGTTTCTTGTGTTGTGCCACGCCTTGGGGAATTGGATCAAAATATGGAGCCGCAGTCGTTCTTCAAAATCTCGTCTACCTATGTTAGGGATGCCATTATGTATACCCCTAAGGGAGGAACGGGACAGTGGGCACATAGGTGGAATTACTTTTTTGATCTCGCAAAAGCCTATTGGGGTGATTTTAATTCTGGCCTGGAGTTTATCTAGAATCCATTGGAGTATAGAGCTTAAGCTATATATATGAATGCATCCGTTGTACGATATAGTCCAAAGTCAACTAACCAAACATCTTAACCGGTAACAGGACGGGCGGGTTTTATCCTAGCCGCACTACTGAGAGCCTTTTATCAATAGCCCCGTGTTACCCTCCTTTGTCATCTCACTTTCTTGGCACACGAGTGTTAGGAAAGTGGCCCTGTCGACACCTAAATCCTTAACCTTATGGCCAGCAAGTCTCTCCAGAGCGGACCTTAACAAGTGCACAATAAACGTCTCAATCTGAGGCGATGACTCTGCCTACGACGAACCCTTCGGCTCCTCCCACACCCCGCCAATTTGCACTGAGGAGCCCGTGCAGCCTGCCTGTACCTCCGCCAAAAACCCTGCCCTCAACAGCAAGGGGGCATCTCCAGACTCGCTGCCGCGATCGTTGCGGCCGTCATGTAATTCAGTCCTAGACCAGTGTCGCAGCGCCTTGAGAGACGACGGCGATCCTGCCAACAAGGTCACAGACGAGACGGGGCGCGACGTGATCGAAATAGCCCAGGGGCAATATGGCAAGCTGACTGGGCTAACTCCCCAATCTAATCTAAGACGTCATCTTGCGACAAAATGGCATCCTCCGGCCTTTATTCCGCCCTCTGCTAGAACGTCAACAGATAATTAGAAAAGAGATTGCTGCTATCAGAGGAAGACTAATCATCTTATTCTTCCGAACCTGGCTCACTCTCACAAGTGACTGGCTAACTCTCGTACGAAAGTTCAATTCCCGCCTTAAGCATGGCCTGATGAACCGTTTCATCCACCCCCTCCGCATAGTCAATACCAATATGCTTCAGATGTTGAAAGCGGCTAGCTTTTGCATCAACAAGCCCCAGCAAGCCCTGTTCGAGGCGATCAATCTCTGGAGCGTCCCAGGCCAAGTGCAGCGATACTATCGACGGTGGTAATAGCCGGGTAATTGCGTCGCGATCCTCCACCGTCGGGTTTTCAATACCCTCGAGATTGTGTGAAATGTAAAAAACAAGCCGTGTGTTCAGAAAGACGTGTTCAGGCTTCTCAAAGTCCTGAAACGTGAAGTCTAGACGGTAATAGGGAGGTTTTGCAACCACGTCGCGAAGGTCCAAGTGTAACGTCTCCAAACTGTGCCGGTAATTTCGTGCTTCTTCAATAACATCTCTAGAGAACCTGGGCATTGAGAAGTCAAAGAATTTTATTCCATGTTTTACACATGACTCAAGAACCAACGACCGAAGGTCCTTTGCGACGAATGATAATGATTCTCCAACCTTCCAGGGCGATGATATGTTTGCCAATCGCAGGGTTCTGATCTGAGACCTGTCGCTGTATGAGTCTCCAGCGCTCCTATAAAAGCGAGAGTTGATAATGTCAAGCTTCTCCAAGTTCGGTGCTCTTTCAAGAATGGAAAATAGATCAAAATCTATCTCCAATGTCCGAAGATACGGGAGCTCTGTCACTCCTAGGGCTTCAAGAGCGGCATTTTTGAACCGGTCAAAGATGGAGTTGGATTTGTAAATGATGTGACCCAGCTTGGGGAGTAATGCAATCAGCATTGGGATGAGCTCATGGTGCAAACCCCTGTAGAAATCTTTCGTCTTCACGCAATAATGTTCTGGATATTCCAGGATTTCATCGGTGAACGCTGAAGTGAGCGTGAAGCTGTATTCATCTTCTCCCCACTGTGTTCTCCGTGCACCCTTGAGAGTGTTTATGAAGTGTTCTGCCCGGTACTTCCAGGCTTCCTCAATATCGATGCCCAGATCAGCGGCACCCTGCTTTAAGGACAGTACAGTCTGTTTCGCATCCGTGTTTGAGTGTTTTGGATGAACGTAGATGATGCGGACTTTCTCTGCGAGGTCTTTGCGTCTTCCAACGGTGCGCATGAATTGGTTGAGTCTGAGGCCATAGGTATAAAGCTCGGATAGTTCGGAGTCGCCATAGCCGGGTGCGAAGTCATGGTATAGAATATCCTCTGCAACAGAGTGGAGCGTTTTGCAAGAGGCAGCGAGGGAGAATAAGGCATATTTATCGATGGAATACCATGACTTTTGGTCGGGTTGCTGAGGCTCACGGCGTTGCTTATGCTGATGCGGGGTTCCGAGGCCTTTAACAGGTCGTAAGTCGCCTCGACAGTGCAGGCAAAAGTAGGAGAAGATTTCGACTAGAACATCTCGAGGGAGATAGACTAGACCGGTTGTCTTGGGGTTTATAAGCGTCATGTTGGTAGATGATCTTATTATGATAGGAATTGTAAAAAAGAGATTGTTGGAAATGATGTGATGTTTTGATGAGCGGGGTTAGAGTGAGACATCACTCCTAGGGCTTGGTAGGACTTCTGTGTAACCACACAAACTCGGTACGCAAGGTTCGCACAGATTTATGATTTCTATATGTGCTTTATTTCTAGTCAAGTGTGAGCTGACCAATCGCATCCACAGCTCAACCCCGAATTTCACTGATGGAACTCCTTTGCAAGTCTTCCAAATCACATAGTTTAATAAATGAATAGCCCATGACCTTTGAAAGAGTAGTTTATCTAGATTGTCATCTTTAGTTTTGTCTGTAAAAACAGACAACCATCGCTACAGACGTTGTCCTTGATTGTATGGCCCAGTAATAATCAGCTTACAAATTTGAAAGCCATGAAAGCCAGAATAACCATCTCGTATATAAAGGCGCGGTTATCTCTGAGATTGATAGTGAATAGGAATTAGCACTTAAGTTTCTATATAGCCATAATAAAAGCTGTCATTTTAAATATATCCCTAAGAAGGCGACTATAGAGGATATTAGTTGCCTAACTCCAGGCTTTAACAACATTCTTATTAATATACATACAGTAGCACTGAATCTAGTAGATGCTGTCATAAGACCTTAAGAGGCGACTGTCCTTCTATTTAAGTAAAAGGTTGATAGGCAGTTAGGAATTACTCTTTATAATTATTCACTAACTTTATCTATTAGACACCCGAGCTATATCCCTGTTTCTAACTATTAGCTGTTAGAATACCGTTCTCCTTTAAACCACTAACAAGTCGATAAATAGCCTGACAAGCAAGCCTGGCTACTGTATCTCCTCCTTCTAAGCGCGGATTGAAGGAGCACACAACTAGCGAAGTTGGGTTGATCTTGGTGGGTATCATACCCATCAACCCCATAACATCCTCAGGTAGAAAACCGCCAGGCGAAGGGAACTCATTAACACGACCTAGAGAGTCATCAAGAACATCCAAATCGAAGTGGACGTGTGCTTCCTGAATGTCATCCCTTCTATCTAGAGTCTCAGCGAGAGCAGATGTAAAATCTACCTTCTTGTGCGCATCGCCCCAGATGATATCAACTCCAGCATCTTTAACTGTCTTAAGTTGAATCTCCGAAACGTCTCGCAGTCCACAATATACCACACGCTTCACATCAACAGGCTGGTGACCAGGCACAGTCTTCATCAAAGTATGCCAGCTCGTGCCGGTCATCATCGAAGCGGCCATGGCGTCGAGGTAGCCATTTTCGTGTGTTGAGGGAGTATCAAGGTCGTCGTGGGCGTCGAGCCATAATACCCCAGTATTCGTGGTGGATGAAGCAGGTTTTGCTTGGTTAAGGCCAGCCATTGTAGCCGTACTGGTGTAGCAGTTTCCAGAAAGAACCAAGGGGAATGAGTTATTGGACACGGCTTTAGACACGGCTTTCGAGATACGACGGAGGATCTCAAAAGTTCGACCAATCTCGCCCTCAAACTCGTCGACGGGGCCAATGTTGATAAAGGATACAGGCGCCAATTTGGAGAGCTCTTTATCAATGCCATGGGACATGATGCGGAGAGGACCGCCGCCAACACGGTGGTCGTAGAGTCCTACATGGTAGGGAGCGATGATAATAGTAATAGAGGTGAGCGGCATGATGGTTCGGCGCGCCGAGTAATGATGTGGAACGCCGTGGTAACGGGTGGTTCATATAGGCGTTGCGAGAGAAATAAAACAAGTCAGACGAGAGAAGATGAACCACCTTAAATACGTCAAGAAGGGTTTGGTTAATTGGGGTAGATTTACACCTTTCAGTAAGTGGATTTTCAAAATCCACCTTTGGCGCCACAGATAACGTTACAACTGACATCTAAGGAATATACTTGTAAGTCTTGAGAATAGAATCCTTCGTTCTCTAAACAGCCTAACACCTTTCAATGAGCTGTTTCTCTACATTGCGGCCTTGGTTCGTCATAACTGAAGGTAGGTTCAGCCATCGGCATATATGGAGAGTGAGTGTTGTGTTGGTTGTAGGGTTAAGTTACAGAGACACCGGGCCTTGCGAGTCGGATAAACCTTGATCCGGATCTCAACAACATGAATGTTGTTTTTGATTGAATGGCATATTAGTAATCAGTTGCTAGCTTATAAATCCGTGCTTTGAAAGCCAGAATAAGCATATAAAAGCACTATACTTGTATCGATTATAAATAAACCAATATTAAACCTTGAATCTCTACCTAGCCATAATGAAAGCACTTGTTTTGAATACATCCCTGAAAAAGGCAACTGTGGAGGAGGATGTGGATCGCCCAACTCCAGGTTTCAACGAAATTCTTGTCAACGTTCGCGCAGTAGCGCTGAATCCAGTAGATGAGCTTTACGTTTCCTCACCGATTGCAGCTCAACAGAAACGAATTGTCGGCACTGACTTTGCTGGAGTTGTTGTTGAAGTTGGATCAGAGATCAGCGATTTGTCTGACCCCAGAGTCAAGACTGGGGCGCGAGTCGCTGGTTTTCTCCAAGGCGGTACGTCCTTTTATCAGTGACTACTTGATATGAGACTGACAACTCTAGCTTCCTCCGTGAATGATCGACCTGGAGCTTTTGCAGAATACATCGCCGTTTCTTATGATCTTGTATGGAACGTACCTGATGATCTGACTTTGGAAGAGGCTTCGACGATCAGCATGTGCGGCTTGACCGCTGCCCAGGCTTTATTCGGTCGGCTCGGCTTACCAAGTCCCTTTTCCCCAGGCCGTTCAGTACCGCTCGGATACAAGGACATAATCATCAATCTTTTCATCTATGGATCTTCGACTTCGGTTGGACTATATGGTGCACAGCTCGCTCGTATCGCTGCCAGGGTATCGGGAATAGCTATTCGATTGATAGGCGCGGCTGGTTCATCTAAGCACCAAATGCTTCGAGATGAGCCCTACAACTATGATGTCGTTGTGGACTATAGAGATGAAGACTGGGTTCAAAAGGTGAAAGACGCTACAAATGGGAGTGGTGTGGATCTTGCACTGGACTGTATCTCGGAGGGTCAGACAGTATACAATACCCACGAGACTTTGGCTCCTTCGGCAAAATTCGCTGTCATTCGCGGCCCAGTCGGTGGGAAGTATGACCCAGCACTCTTAAATGTCAAACCTACCTATGGCGCTGTCTGGGAAGGTCTCGGTGTTGAAGTTGGATATAATGGTAAGTGAATCACCAATCTACTCCAAATCGATACAAAGTTCGGCCATAAGCTAACTATCTGGAACCAGACGCAGTTATCCCGGCGAATCCAGATGCCCATGCGTTCGCAAAGGAGTTTTACAACTTCTTGAGTCAGCCACTGCCATCATGCAGGGCACAGCTCGAGCCAAATCCAGTGAGATTGATGCCTGGCGGTCTTGAAAGAGTAGTCCAGGACGGCTTTACTCTTCTTGGTACGGGTTTAGTCAGTGAGAGGTCAAAGGTTGAGAGATCAGAAGAGTACATGCGCCCAATTAGTGCTGAGAAGTTGGTGTATAGTCTTTGATTTTAAAGTAAAAAGAAGAGTTCAACGCCATGTTTCCCTGGATTCAGAAGCCAGCTCCCCGAGAAACTAAACCTGATAATTTTGCGGTAGTGAATGCTCTGTACAAACGCTGTACCTGCCAGATTCGGGTGTTGTCCTAGTGTTTAGGAACAGTACAGTAACTTTCAAGTACTGCTATAGTTCGATTCACACACTTCATATATTTCTCGACTTGTACTCCCATTTTCCCTTCACGGTCAACAGCAGCCCGTACAGCCCGCAATATATGCAGGCCAGTATATCCTTGACTGTTTTGCATATGTCGGTCAACACCCAAGTCCAGAAGGCTTTCTGCCGCTTCTGGCACAAAAGGTAGAGACCCGTCATCAAGTCTGCCATTTGCTGGCATGGCCAAGACGCCCACTATGAGGTAGTGCAGTACTGTCTGCCCATTCAAGCACACTTGGTTAATACCCCGATGGCTTTTACGGACTAGAAGCTCGATGACCTTTGAGAAGTCTGGAGAAACAGTGTTAAAAGTATACATTGCGAGGCAATGCATAGGTGTTCGGCCGAGGCGGTCGGGCTGGTCGGGATTGCAGCCAAACTGTAATAATATCCTTAGGGTGGAAAGGGCCCAGACCCTTCTAAACGTGGAACATATGGCACTCTGCCCTTCTCCGTCTGTGGCATTGATGTCAACGGAGCAGTGGCCGACTAGGAGCCGCATAATTGGTTCGAAAGCATGTTCGGATGCAAACGAGGAGCAGGCTATTTTCAGTATGTCCCAGTGATCCTCAATGAGGACATTCCACTCTTTGATAAAACAGCTAACAAGTTTGACGTTGCCACCTTCTACGGCAGAAGCTAGGGCTGAGTAACCAACTCTTCCGTTTTGCCACTTGAGATCCCATCCAAGATCCTCGATTAAGAAGCGGCATGCATCCTCGTTTCCACTGAAGGCAGCTTCATTGAATAAACTGCCATCTTCGTTAGAAGCCTGCTCAGTTAAAAAGTTCCTGCAGGATTCTGTTCGTGCCATAAGCTGCAAAATATGCCTGTTGCAGTGGGTTACAGCCGCTTCAAGAGCATTGATGTCAGAACAACCGCGAGCGGCGGCATTGGCGCCTGCATCGAGAAGCAAAGTTATGATGTATTCCTCTTGTCCTTTGCTGGCGATTACAAGTGCTGTGTGTTCCAAGATACCCCATTCGGTGTCAACGTCGTGTTCTCCATCACGTCTCAAGCACCACTCAGCCAAGCGTTTTAGACCGCAATGGGCAGACAAATGAAGCAAGGGTATCGGTGAGGAATTTGGTGCGTTTCCAGGGAAATGGTAAATACTTTGCCACGCGAGTCTGACTTTTGAATCTTTGTCGAAGAAGTTCGTGCCTTGCTGCATTACTTGAGTGATATCTTCCAATTCCTTGAAGTGAAAGTGCCAATTGTTCAAAGCATAATGGAACAATGGTAAATCAATCTCTATATCACGTGATGTTGCGGAGTTAATAGCAGGGTGGCAGCTAATCTTTTCGAGGTACTGAATCAAAGTAATCGTAGCGTGCTCGTGGAGCTGGGTTTGTGCGAGTCCTGGCATTTGTAAACCGAACCTGCGATCGAATTTCATCAGGTAATCCTTTGCACTTTGGTGAAGAAATCTCGCTGTCTGTTTCAAACACCTTGCTTGTCTCACATAGTATCGAATGCGTTCATCTGTTATTTGAAGCAAATGGCCACAAGACTTGATTAGCTCAATGCAGACCTCTTCGCGTGTCAAGAACCCTGTAGGTTTTATATCAACTGCCTCGCACAACTCAGGTATCGTAAAAGGGTGTTTGGCGACGAGGATCCAATAGAGGATGCGTTGTATCATTTCCCGTTTTTCGAAGTCAATATTCTGCAGAATTCTTTCGTAAACTGCATCCAGCCCAGCTGGTAGCATCTCGAGGGCCGCCTCAAAATCAAGTAATCTCTGTTTCTGCAAGTCTTGAGCCATGAAGCTAACCCAAAGGAAGGTCCCTTCAGATTTCCGCTGGAAAGTCTCTTCCAAACGAGAGCGCATCTCACGATTGAGCTTCTTCTTCTGAGCAAGTTCCTGGACTTGAGACGAGATGAATCGACCGATGTCCTCTTCTCTAGCAGTCATCGTATCAAATTCCATCTTTGCAAAGAGCAAAAGGGCTTCGGGTATGTTCTCTGGATACCTCCTGCTGAGGCATACGAGCTTCATTTTGGGAGATGAGCCCAAATGTCCTTGACTAAGTCTCTCGAACTTTCGGAGCAGAAGGGACAGGGAGTTTGCTTCGCATTCATCAAGGGCATCGATGATGCAGTATATGGTATTGACGTCTGACTTCGCAATCATGTCTTCAAAGAGCTTCCATAGAGTATTGAACGAGGTCTCTTCGAACAGCCGCTGAGATTGCTGTTTCCACCGGGGTATAATTGTGTTGATGAGGCTTGGCTGGTGAGAGATGAGTTGATATATGAGGCTTCTGAGAATGTTCACTGCCGTGTTTCTTGTTTCAGCATTGTTATCACAGAAGAAGAAAATAGTCATAATTCCAGACCCTTCCTTAGAAACATCCTCAAAATGCTTAGAAAGATAAATAGACATGAATGTCTTGCCCATACCTGGTGGTGCAGAAATCCATAGCAGGTGAGGAGGATTCTGATCCCAAGTCTGGAATTCGTCTGTGGATATAATCCATTCACAAGTTCCCTCACAGATATCGCCCTTGGCATCGAGAATGCCCTCACGATCTAGTGAAGAGTCTGTGACAAACATCGCACGCAGACACTCGTCAGCTTCAGGGCTAATAGGGTCTGGGACTTTGAGTTGCTGTACCCTTTCTCGCTTCCATGGCTGCAACAATTCAGGAGGCATGGAGATGAGAAGCTCTTTGGCATACGCCGCGGCAACCAAAGCTGCGTACTCCTGCCAACCCTTGTTCTTGTGCGAATCCGAGTAGTCGCAAATACCGCGAATCACAAGACAAGGAAAGCTATCCATAACACCTCCTGCCTCCATCTCGAAGCAGATATTATTGATCTTGTTCGATAGAGCGTCTCGAGTTTGTGCATCTTTGATGACTTGGTTTCCTGACGCAACACGGCCATAGTGAATGACCGGGCTGCTGTTTTGACGTATCTCCCTTGAGATGAGCTGAGATCGATCACAATCATTGCAGTTTGCACCTGATGATGTATGGGTGAAATCGCTGTGAAAGAGACAATCTTCAAGCATTGGATGAGCGTACCGAGGCAGGCGAGCTGTAGTATCGAACAGAACCTCGAGCATTTGCACTTGTCCTCCGTTGTGTCTCGCTTCGACTTTTGAAACCGCAGTCAGAAGCGCCTGGGGAGGCCTGATCGCTTCTGCAATGTGCTGAAAGTGGTTGTTGGGCATCGCTTTTCCCAGATCGTATTGTATGGCATATGTACTGACCACGACATCTCCAAGGCGAACGTCCACTGCTCCGGGTGCCCCGCCCGCGATACCGACCAGAAAACGATGTAGAAGGTGAGGGAAAGTCCGATTCATATTGTTCGCAACGATGGCTGCATTATTGTTCCCATACTGCGCTTTAGGCAGACAAGCGATGACTACGTTGTGTCCGTTGATACTTCCAAATTCGTAGCAGTTGCTGTCCTGCAGATTTTGAGGTAGTGACTCGTGTCTTTCATCCAGCATAGCTTGAGCAGCTGTCATCTCTAGCGGAAGGGCGGAGATCCATCCAACTGTATAGTCATCGTACTGCAAGGAATGGGCGCCATCCCCGCTATCGTTGGCCCCACGTCGCTCAGGCAGCCAGGAGTGGGAACTCTCATATGAGGCCATCCCTACACTGTGGAAGCACTGCAGTCAGATATACTCACTGGCTGACAACAAGGGAAGGGGATGTTGATCATACGATAAGCACAAGAGATGAGGGGCAGACCTGAGATTTTCGATTTGCACAGCCTGATTCTTTACTCAGCCGCACGCAAGGCTGTGAATATCCATATATGCCAGGATTATGCCCTCACTACATGCATATTCGGGAATCAATGCAATTACGAGAAACAAGGTCCAAGGAATAATCGCGTCTCAATATGCTATAATACATATGTCATTTACTGAGATTAGGCAATGAGTAAATATGCTCAAGCTCTCATGAGAGATTGACTGCTTAGTTGACTTTAGCACGGAATCAGAAGGACTATGGCTAACGGCTTTAGGTACCGGACATGCTGAATCTCCAATTATCACTTCTTTCTATGTCCTGTTGTTTAGTGTCACTTCAGAAAGGGCAAATAGGAAGAATGAATATTCAATAATGAACAGAAGTCAATGCCACTCGATCGCAATAAGTGTAGTACTATGAGATTGAAATAACGATATTTTCAACAAGCTGAGCAAATTTCCAACCTTGTAGATGAGAATTCCTTTTTTGAAAGTGATCCTTGCGACAAAAGTAAACGGAACAAGTAATACCATGTATTTACACCTCGGTTCTTCGGGTTAGTTCACAGCGACATAGTGAGGTTATTTTGCAACATCTAACCAATTCAGGAAGTTAATTCAAGCTTAAAAAAAAGATGTCCGACAGACTTCTTGTCAAGAACTGCCGAGCTCCAGGCCAATGTGCTTTATTTCCGGCAAGTCTCATATTCCTACATGCTAATAGGTGGGAGAATACCCCAGAATATGTATCACAGCATCCCCTGCGGAGGTTAAACTTCCGCGTGACCCGAATCGGCATCTCGTTATTGACATGGAACATCACGTACCCCTCTATGCCAAGACTTCCATCCTTGTGCTATTTCGTGGAATTTAGCTATTATCGGCGGTTTGGGGGATCATCCTGGTCGAAAAGCGCACGAATGATTGATCACCACTATGCCTTTGCTTCAGATATATAAAGGCGGCAATGGATCAGCTTCAAGATAGCGATTCCCCGTCTGAGATTGTCAACCTCGAAGACTCTTCAGGATGTTTCACCTCTCTTCCATCCTCACAGCCGGCCTCGCCCTCGTCACCGCCGTCAACGCAGCCTGCGGCGATGGCTCACCGCAAGGCGTAGTCTCCGGCTCCGGCACCTTCACCGCCACCGTCAACGGCGCAAACGTCTATACCGGCACCGACTACCGTCTCGCCATCCAAACCGCCCTCGACCGCATCAGCAGCGGTCAACGCGTCACGGTCAGAGCATCAGGTAGCATCGGCGCCAACACCATCAGCATCACCAGTGGAAAAACGTTTGAAGTCTGCGGTACTTTGAACGTTGGCAACAAATCTGGTCGTGGTGCTATTGAAGCTATTAACCAGAACGATGTCAAGATTCCTTATCTTAAGATGACGGGTAATCCATACTTTGGTTTGAGATTCTCGGGTACGAGAAACTTGGCGCTTGGCGACATTACATTGAATCTTAGTGGCGGACTTGGAATTCGTTTTGATCGCGATGCGAACTGGAACTATGATGTTTCTATGGGCAACATTGTGGTTACTGGTGCTGGGAGCCATGCTGTTGAGACTTTCAAGATTGACGGTCTTACTATCACGTCCGTCAAGGCCAAGGACGTTGGTGAATGTGGATTACTCATCCAGGAGTCTCGAAACGTCCGAGTTGGTTACGTCGAGGGTGTCAACGTTGCAACTGGCACTGGCTATGCTACCCTTCGCTTCGCCAACAACAACGGACAACTCGCCAACGGTCAATACACCACCACCAATGTCTTCGTCGACAAAGTCTACTCCCGAGGCGGTGGTCGCGGTATCTTCTGTGTTTCCATGTCTGGTGCCACTGAGATCAAGAACATTGACCTCGCTGACAATGGAAACAACGCTATTCTCATTGAGAACTGCTACAACTTTGCTATTCGAGATGGAGTCATCAACAGAGGAGGCGAGGTCCGCGTTTCAGCACGAAGCGAGTTCCCCAACACTAGTGGCATCTACGTCAAGGCCCAGGTCAATAGCAACACTGTTCGGGAGTCTCCTTGTGCTGACAACATTTACTGGGGTATTACTGGTAACGCCCAGAAGAACATTTGCTGAGCGATTAAACACTGTTTATGACTGAATGATGCTGGGTCAACACGTTCGTTTGCGACGATGGCTTGGAGGCTCTTTTGTATATAGCTTGGGAATAACATATATAACACAAATTGTCATTTTGACGGGTAACAAGGATCTTTTAGTGTGAACTCTGGTAACCCAGCTCCTAGCATCCCGCACCACCAGACTCGCGCTCTATACTCAACGCCCCTCATTCCCAGCAGAGTGTCCGCAGGATATCCGTAATCGATACCATCATCTACCTGCAGATTCTGGAGAAATCTCCCAACAAAACTCCCCAGAAACGGTCGAGTAAATATCTTTACCAACAATAACCTCTCATTGCTCATGATGTTATGGCCACCATGGGTCTCTATCATGATCAGATATCGTAGGGCAGTTCCAAGGAGGAAGAACGAAGCCACTGAGCTATAAGTCCCGGCTGGCGTTTCGAATAGCAAGTGTATGGCGTGCGCGATTTTGTAAGCGTAGGACATTGCAATTCGTTGGCTCGGGCAGCTCAGTATTGGACCCCCTTCATAACCATCAGGGTATTCCAGCTCGCAGAAGCCCATTGTGGAGTATATGAAAAGGCAAGTCTTCCAGTAGCAGCAAGTCAAATAAATGACCGCAAGATCATCATCGTTTGTAGGAAGTGGTAAGGGCTCCCTGGTATAGGTATAGTCATATGTAGTCAGTGACTCGCCAAACTCCAATCCCAGAGCCAGTATCTCGGCTTCGCAGGAGCGACATCTTGTCAGAATTGAGTTATGCAGTTCTTTATTCAGTGTTTTCCGGAAGATATCTATGTCTTCGAGGAGCGATGGGACTTCCACCAAGATATCGATGAGCTGGTTCAGAGGTGAGTTCGTGACTGAGCGCCAGAGTTGTGATTGCTTCCAGCCCTTACTGTAGGGGGATCTTTTCCGCCGTGAGATGTAAGCGTTGATCTGATCTGTTAACTAATTTGTCCATGAATGGGAAGGTGGGAAACTTACCAAGGTTAGACGACCGTCTGCCAGCAGCTGTCTTCCCATGGAAGACCAGGAATCCTCGGGGCCGCGACTCAATATCAGGGCAGTCTCCCCATCTATGTGTTTTCTGAAGCCCTTGATCTGTGACACAGGCGAGTTTCGTTGAGCTGCGGAAATTCCGGTACCGAATAATTGCTATCAAGCCGTCAGTACTGCCGTTACAATGGCAAACCTGTGATCTTACCTCATACACACGCATCAGTTGGATAGCTGCAAGAATACCATCCTTGTTTCGCGTTGGAGAGACAAATGAGATCGCCATCTGTTGCATTGCCAGCCCATACGCTTGTTGACTCTTGCTCATGAGCTGGACATCATCATTGCTGGCGCCGAGTGTAGCTGTACTTAGTGCCATAGCAACATATTGAAGACTAACTTCAACTTCACTAAGGGCTTCGTAGAGTGCCATCCGTCTGGTACTAGTTATGCCAGAGGCTTTGGGTGAGAAACCACTTCCTCCAGAGAGATAGTCTGACCAGAAGAGGCCAGTGAATTTCTGGGTTCTGGCTGTCCTTGTGAGCGAGTCGTGAAGTATGACTACCGAGCCGGGTGGACTGGAATGAGAAGGAGATGTAGGGGGACTTTTGGATGGAGATTTAGAATAGGACTTTTGCGTAGAACCTTCACTGTTGAGCCATATCTGCTGGCGTTCGTATCCTTCGCATGGGATGCCTATGGCGAGACATTGACCGCAAAGGGGGACTTTCTTATCGCACTTAGCCAATTGTCAGCAGTGACCGTTGAATTAGAGAGGTCGATCGACTTACACCCTTCTTGCGCTTCCGACATGTGACGCATGCCTTGGATCTGCCGGGTACACCAACCATTTTGGGCTATTGGCTGTTTCACTGCCGTCAGCTCAGAGATTACGTTCTGACATACGAAGGATAAAGATGAAGGTGGCAACATCAGACCGAACGGACAATTAAAAGCCGCAGAATTCCCCTTCCAAAGCGAATCCTTCCCTAATCCTTCGTTCGCTACCGTTACTCCAGAGATTACTTACCGAATCAGCTCAGCCCTGTCACGACGTGGCTGATGACGGCATTGACTTTTTTCCGCGCAGATTGACTCTCGATGTGGTTTAGCGTCAAGAGCCCACGATGCATTTTCGTAAACGAGGGTTCGCATTCGCTTTGGCTGGGTTCTGTACGGGCTTGGCATCATGAATCCGAGAGATTGCCGTTCGGTTTATCCGCTTGTAGATTCAATGTGCGCCAGAGGATCGGCCATGACAGCTATGATATTGATTGCCGAGACATTGGGCTGGTCGTGTATGGAGAAGCGGTCGTGTATGGAGAAGCGGTCTTGTATATAACTTTGTTAACTTCTCAATGGGGATATGTCTTCAATTTGCTCATCGTCGCAATTACTGGTATTAACTCGACGAACACCAAATACACTCAACACAATGGCAGCTCCGACACGGCCGCCAGCGAACGTCTTCGTCGCCAAGGCCCGCAAGGTCTACAACCCCATCGGCTTCTCCAAAGGCTACAACTTCGTCCTATGGTTCATCTTCGCTGGCGCAATATTCGGCTTCGCCCTTGCTCGAATGATGTTCCTCGATTACAACGGCATTTACTGCAATCCCAACAGCACTGGTAACGGTGCAGGCCCAGGCGAATGCTGGTCTTACAACAGAAAGGACCTTTACAAAATCGGCATCAAAATGCATTTGTACACCATCATTCCAGCTGCATTCCTTGTCGTCTTTCAATTCGTCCCTTTCATTCGATACAAGGCGCTTCTATTCCACCGTATGAATGGGTATATCGTCGTTGTCCTGGCTATCATCGGAACCGTCGGGGCCATTATTATTGCACCCGTCGCCTTCGGTGGCTCGTTGTCTGTGAGAGCCGCTGTAGGCCTCATGTCGATCATGTTCCTTGGGTCACTCTTTCTGGCGATATGGAACATCAAGACACTGCAGCTTGAGCAACATCGCGCTTGGATGCTTCGAGCATGGTTCTATGTAAGTCTACCGTTAACTCCGCTGTGTACATCAGCAACTAACGATACCAGGCTGGTTCAATTATCACCTTGCGAATAATTCTAATCATCTCTGCTATGGTCATGTCCAAGAACCCTAGCTTCCGACTCCCAATGCAATGCGCCAAGGTTGCTTCCTTCTACGACGACACCGAGTCTTTGATCGCCAAGTATCCTACCTGCAATGATCCAGAGGCCTGGGTTGCCGTCCAGGGTGACATGTCAGGCGAGAGTACCGAGAACATTGAATCCGCTCTATCTCTAGGTTTCTCCATGGGAATCTGGCTAGCACTAGCCATCCACGCCATTGGCATTGAAGTCTATGTAAGTTGATCGCCAAGCTGTTCCCCAATGACGATCTAAGAAGCATGTACAGCTTCACCTAACGCCCGCAGAGACCGAACGTCTACGGAAAATCTCTTACCAACGACAACAAGAACGTGGTTTCAAGAACCCCGGAAGCAGCGGACTTACGTCTGATCGTTTGGGTGACGCCGAGACGTGGCGTCCGGGTATCGATGCGACTGCATATCCGCCTAGCAAGGGGAGTAACAGTGCCATTTCGGATGTAGGAGCGACTTAGAGTTCAGGTGATGTAACATTGGATGATATGTTGTTCTTGTTAGTCGGATTGGAGGGCTGGAAGGTCCGCTTGGCTCCGGAAATTGTGTCAGCCCATTTTTAGCCGTTGCCTAACTTTGACATGACATGTTGACAGACGGCAGATGACATTTATGAAATGAGGGCAAGGGTCTTGCGTTTCGGCATTGTTCGCTGGTTTGTTTCTTGAGACGTCATATCATTGCATGACGAGTTGTTTATCCCAATAGAATATGATCATGAAAGACATGGATGATCATAAAGGCAGTAACTAGTGAGGTAGCGTTTAAATAAAGTAGAAGATCAATTCGTAATCTATACCAGACATAAGAGATATCATAACTTAAGCAGCTCTAACAAAGCACAACGCAGTCCGTAAATCATCCAATCATCATCGTATCATGACTCATCATCATTGATCCTTCCTATCCAGCTTTCCAATCAATTTTCCTCCATCAAGAATGCTGCCAAACATAGCAGCTTCAAATAAATAGTTGACCTGCCAAGCATGGTGGTTCGCATGGGCAATCAACCAGACCATCTCCAATACCCGACCCTTGGAGAAAAGCTTGGCCATTCTTAACCTTGACCCCTCGGCCAACTCCAGTTCCCGAGCCTCGTCTACCTTGCCACCCCGGACGTATTCAAGAGGGCCAGTGACAAGGTACCACCAGAGCTCTTTGAGAAGAGGCTCTTCTTGGTGACGTGCAAGATGTTCGTGAACGTGATCGCAGGTGTCCTCGCCGTTGCACGCGTACTTGGCATCCAGAGGTCGAGAAAATCCAGTAAGGCGGAATTGCTTGTCAAACACCTCATCAAAGTCGCCCTCACGCTGAGGCTGAGCAGGAGTCTTTCTCGCTTTCGACCAGCCCAACAAAGCGCGACGGAAGAACATATGTCGATCATTCTGAATATGCCATGTATACAGCGCAGCACACATCCTAGCAACAGGCTCGTGCCATCGCTGAGTGAGCATCCTTGCGCCCATCACAGCATACGCATCATAAACCCTCCTCAAAACATCCTCGCTTACAATACCGGTGTCCGTGATATCAGTCACATTCAGGAACGAGTTCATGACCTCGGAGTTAACAAGATCGCAACCAACGTCAACGACATCGGTACCTGGTGAACTGAAGACAAGATCGGCCATGACAGCGCCAGGGTCGAAGCCTCGTGCTGTTGCTTCAGCTGCCATGCCAAGAAGACTACTCTCAGAGAGGGAAACGATCTGAGCGGTTCGTCGATCAAGGCGAGCAGATCGGTTCAGAAGATGGCCCTTGTGTTTCTTCTCAAGCGCGATCTTGCCCTGGATGTATCGCTTGCCAATAGCGACGGCATCGCGACGCTCCCGACCGCCAGGGGTTCGTAGCGCATGAGGATCATTAACACCCTTCTCCAAGAGCGGTTCAAGGTTGGGAAAAACATAGTTGTATCCGTGTTCGTAATAGAAAGCCATGTCTGTGACATAGTTCGAAAACATGGTCTGCGAGTCAGCAGCACCCATGAGAAGACTAGCGATACCACATCCAAACAAGGCGTTCGTGGTCTTGAGAGCTTCAGGCCAATCCTCTGCGCCAAGGATGTGAAGGATCTCTTGAGAAACAGGGCTCAACCCGGCGCCTTTGGGCGGCAAGACATTGCCGATCGCATGTTGGGAAGATTTCCATGCCTCTAGCTCAGGGGAGAGTTTTAGCTGAGTTACTCTGGGCCCTGAACCAGGCGACGACAAGGATTCAGCCGACGAGGCCCCTGAAGCATCTTCAATGTCTTCAAACACTTCGATAACGAAAGTGCTGGCGTGATACGACAGTCTCTGAAGGTCATCAACAGTGCCGCGTCCGATTAGACTTCTAGCTTCTGTGTACCCAGGATGTCTGGGCTTGGCTGTCCTTCGGGCAAGGAATCTCCCGAGACTACGGCCCCGGAGACCCTTGCCCCAGAAGTGCTGGGGAATATCGGCGGTGGAACTTGAATCGCAGAGGGCACGGTCTTTGGGTTTTATCTTGAGCCCGTTGAGGTTAAACTCGCCCCAGTAGGCTTGCTGAGGCCAGGGTAGACATGAGGGGAAAGACATTTCGATCGACAAGGGGAGATTAAGGTGAGTTGATAGTTTACGAGGGTAAGTGAGTCTGAGCGTTCTTAGATCCCTACTAGGGCGGTTCACGAGCTTCTTTTATAACTTCACTTTCATCACAGGGAGACTGCGGATTAAAAAGCGCAGTTGCGAATACCGAGGGATATCTGTACATGAGGTGAAAGAATTCTCAATTTGTCTTGCAGTAGATTATCATGTGGTTTGTTGGTTCTGCAATTCTTTCAGGTTGATTTGTTTGTTGGCGAGGCATATCAACTAGGGTCTAGATCCAGAAAACAGGGATGGTCAAATTGAACTGGTGGTTCAGATCCACTTGCCCCCTCCTTGATTACCGGGGACTTGTCTTGGATCGAGAATTTTGTTTTGCAGATCATCGTGAAGGTGTGGTGGGTTTCGTAGCCAACACCAAGGGAGTTCGGCCAAGGGTTGTGATGCAGGTTTTTGTAAAAATGTCTCAGTGAGCATCCTTGACGGACAAGCCCGTAATCTAGAAGTATTCCAGTATCAGAGACCTTCGGTGTCTCTGTTGTGATAGTAGACGCGAAGACGCGAGGCTTCATATGAGAATGGCAAGATACAGGATCATATCAGATGTTTTGACAGTTCGTCTACGTTGCATCGTAATGTTGCATCCAACATGCAGATTTAAGTGATTTACGCTAAAATCCCATAGGAAATAAGCCGTTCGGCGGAATCTTCGCGTGTGCGATTCCCGGCGCTAGCACCAAACGTAGCATAACTCGGCACTTAGCAGATCCACGCTATCAAGCAACAAGCCATTCTCCTGTCTACACGTGAACAGATCGAGCTCCACTCCTGTTACCAAAGAATGCGGGTTCTTGACAGAGAACACTTGCCGAGTTTGGAAGGGAACAGTTATGGTTACGTCTTCTTGCCAAGGAGGGCGGTGAGACACAGCACCTAAAGCACGTACATAAATGGAGTGGAAGTCCACATACCGAGGTCGGAGACAGAAGAAAAAAGTGGCATAATCTAGAAGCTCTACAAGGTTTTTGTTCCTTCTGGATTAATTGACAGAAATGTGATAAGTCGAAGGCGTTGTCTCGGGCGTAAAGCCAGCAGTCTTCATCACGAGCAATACACCATCGTGACATCAGATTCATATTCCGCGTTCAGCTGCGCTAAGACTGAGACTAGACAAGGGTCAATCATGTCCACGCTAGCATTTTCCATCGACTGGCCAAGAATTGAAACCGGGCCGGGCCTCACCACGCCTCACTTCTCCTCCTCCGCAAATGTCAATTGCCACGAGTGAGCGATTATCTTGGAGTTTCAATGACAAGCATTTTACTCCTCTGCATATGGTCTGGTTCTAAAGTTTATATGGCTAGACTAGAAAGATCTCGATCAATGACTAACGGGATGGGCTTGGGACGGCTGATTTGCTAGTGTATGCATACTAATCACTATCTGGATTCAGGTCATGTTATCTGCTGCAGCAACGGCAGAGGATTGCCTATTAGGCTGTTAGCTTGTGCAAATCCTTGCCGTGATCTTCTCATTCCTGACATGTCCAAACCCGGCAGACGAGTGGGAACATTCTCTCGTTGCGCCACATTCCAGGGTCTTGGCAGGTTTTTGTTTTTTTTTCACTCAGGTGCTAAAAACGCACAAACCCATTATGGTGAATGCCGATTAAAACAAGTACCTTGTTTCTCCCACTTTCTGGCCCCTCCCTTCTTGACTGCAACCCTTCGATCCATACATATCATATCACTGTACACTGCCCCTCCCCTCCTTGCATGATATGCTGCATATGAGAGGGACCAACCAACACACATACGAGCCCACCCAAACCCGATCGCTAAGACACGATTGACTAATGGCACCGCCGTCAGACGGTTTGTCCTCGATTCACTACCAACCGCTAGATTTGGCGGCGCGTGAAGTGAGGATACTGGAGCTGCAGCCTTCGCCGAATAACGACCTCAACGACCGAATCGTATGTCGCCTCGTTCATGAGAAGTTGAGCGAGGCGTCTGATTTCATAGGCCTTTCTGCCCTTTACGGCGACATTACAAACACCGAGACTATCCTACTCAATGGCCAAAAAGTAGCCATACCGTCCGATCTCGCCGAGGCGATTCGCTACACCCGCGAAGTCTTTCTAGGGCCCCGTGCCCAATCCGTCATCAACAACGCCTCCTCCTCAAGGGTCGATCTTGAGACACAAAGGACAATCAGTAATCAGCAACAGCAACCCTCCCCGCCACCATCACCGACAAAGAAACCCCCCGGATGGCTACGCTCATTCCTCAGAAAACTCGTCGACCCCGGCGCAGCGAGATGCGACAAGCCTCCTCTTCGAATCTGGATCGATCTATTATGCATCAACCGGCGAGACAGGAAGGAAGAGGCTGAGCGCCGTGCACATATGGCTCGTGCGTATCGTGAGGCTAGGTTGGTTGTTGGATGGTTGGGACCGAAGGATGCGACGTCTGATCTTGCGATTGAGATTATCAGGGCGTGGGATAAGTGCATGCCGGCCAATTTCGGAGAACCAGGTGATCGTGAGGCCAATCCTGCGAACTATGCGCCGATTTTGCAGTGGATGGGGCCTGTGGCTCATCTCAGTGACATTCCTGAGGGGATCACGGACCCGACCGAGGTACCCAGCTACAAGGCCATCTCTGGCTTTCTAAACAGGCCGTATTTCCGAAATACTTGGATTCTGGATGATATTGCCCAGGCGCAATTTCCGACATTCATGGTTGGCGATGGTATTGTGTCTTGGATGCAGATTCTTCGCCTCAATCGCGTCAATGAGGACATTAAGGATCACGGGGCCGAAATGTTTCCTAGCGAATTGCGACCTCTACTGGAGTACATGCCTCTAGGCAGTGTCTACACGTTTCTTAAGGAGTTTGATCGTCGACAGAAGCTAGAAGAATGTCGCCCTGTGTTCTCGAATACACCAGCAAGTTCTATTAGGAGTTCGGTGTCAATGACGGGTCTAAAGGCGAGGGGCAGATAAGATTACGGATTTTCTTTTCTTTTAGCACGTAATGTTTGGGTAATTGTTAGACGTACGCTATGGAGAGTGAATGGTTCGTCATGTTTACGAGTTCTTTGTATTGATGTTCAAGCTTAGAGGCTTAGACAGCGGCGCGAGGTATACCCTATCGTGAGTAATGCCAACTCACCAAATCAATTCACATCCCTTGTCCAGGTACCTGTTCTAGAAGTGTCTTGTGCCGTGAAGATATAACATGTGCCATCCTTGCGTAATGCCTGTGTAAGCCATGAATAATCAGCCCTCTTCTTTCGACGTCTAGAATAATCCACAGTGATGCCGCTCTCCCGATGGACCAGACCGAAACTTCCAGCCCTACTCAATGGTGGTGAGAATGTCACCTCCCGGCCCGGTAAGCCCATCTAGAATCAGCCATGAGCTGATACCGGTTCTGGTACCCGATATAGCCAAGCCACGAGCGTCATGGAATGCCAAGAATCAAAGAGGTCATCATCCAGGTTTCAGCCACACAGAACTTGCTCGTTCATCTACCGAATGGGAATGCGACTGACGGTTGCGGTCGTTGGAATGTTGATTGGACAACGGTACGATTCTAGAAAGAACCGGTCTAGACTGGTATGCGGCGGGAGCCACTGTCTCATAAATAATCGGTGGTAAGCTCACGCTTCGGGTTCGGTGTTAGACTTTTTGATAGCCTATCATTGATAATGGAACGTGTGAGATCTGATTAATCAGGTCAGTAGTGGATAATCTGGAAAACTCAATATGGTTCTATTATGATGGAAGTCGAACGGTGAGACACGTAAGGGTCCCGGTGCATCTAGAAAGCTACAGACGATTGCCTGAATAGGATGCCCCATTGTTCCGAGGAACGCTCCGCTATCAGACGGAGGTTCATGCAACCGTTCTCAGCTGGGCATTGTTATGAACGAAGGTTTACCTTGAAGTGTCAGCTGGTTTGTTAGACGCGAGTGTCCGCCGGGCTCTTCTCTTTGGACATCTGGAGGCTTCTGCCTGTTTCAGAGCCCGCTTGTATCGATGTAAGCACCGTGTAAGCATCCAGGAATTCGGTTGAGCTGATTGTTGCATTGGTAGAGCTTGGCTCTCCCGGGCCAACGGCCGTTTCACATTGTGACTGCATTCGTTTCCAAGGAACGTGAACAGAATTAAATTAGTAACTAAAATCCAAATTCGCCATACGAGTCGTCGATCCCTGTGCATTATCCGACCGTATCGACCCCGTCTCATGAATCTCATCGTCTGTCGTTGAGTTGACGTTCGATGTTGAATGTATATCGCCAGCCTGTTGTCCTGGCTGCCCGTTCGCTGTCCATCCCGCATGCTGCATCTGTTGAAAGCTCCATGTAGGGTTGAACCCTGGACTCTCCCATGCATATCTCACTCTCTCGTACATCTCGTCAATCTGCTCCAGCGTCATCCTACTCGTTTCATATACCATCAGCCAAACGAAAGCAATGGCAAGAAGACAACACGTCCCCCATATGAAGAAGATTTTGAGTCCGAATGCGTTTGCGCCTCTGCCTAGGATATATGGGGGTGCGTATGCTACTGCGAAGTTGAGCAGCCAGTTTGCGGTTGTTGATAACGACATGGCTTTCGCGCGTACTTTCAGTGGGAAGATCTCTGAAGTAACGACCCAGGCAACAGGTCCCCAAGATGACGCGTAGAAGAACACGTTGATAGCACAACAGACGACAAGGACCATATTTGAAGCCCCACCATGAGACTTATTCATCTTGTCGTTGGTTGCTGAGTATACAGCTGCAATGAGCAACTGAGAAACGCCCATGCCCAGAGCGCCAGCCATGAGGAGCTTGCGCCTCCCCCAGGATTCGATAACAATAAGGCCGGGTATTGTGCAAACGCAGTTGATGATGATCATGATTAGGTTGGTGATGAAAGGGCTGTTGATCCCGGCATTGCTGAAGAAGGTGGTTCCGTAATACATGACGAAATTGATGCCGGTTAGTTGTTGCAACATCTGTAGCCCACAACCCGTCATAGTCCTTCGGCCAAGGGAAGAGTTTCTTGCGAAAAGAGCCTTATATGTATCGTGGCCGAGTGTTAATTCATATTGATGATTTGCGACAATCTCTTGTAGCTCATTGACGAGGGCAGGATGCGTGATATCCAGCCTGCGGAATCGACTCAGAGACACTCCTGCATCCCCGATACGGCCCTTCTTTACCAGAAAGCGAGGAGTCTCTGGAAGAGCAACAATACCAGCCGCCAAGATGAGACCAGGAACGAGTTGGAGGCCAAGGGGTATACGGTATGCGGCATCGCTGTTGATACCGGATGTGATGACATTAATAATAGTCGCGCTTAATATCCCCACCGTGATGGAGAATTGATACGCGCAAATGATGGTCCCGCGTATCCATTTTGGTGCAGTCTCGGACTGGTAAAGAGGGACGAGAACGGAAATAGCTCCGACTGCAACACCAGCAAGTAACCTTTTCCCATCAGCCATCTATCGCATAAATGTAAAACAAAACTTACCTTCCGACTAACAACATCGGTGTTGCTTCAGCGCATATTTGAAAAATAGCTCCGATACAAAATGTGCTGATAGCCACGAGCAATGTCTTCCGTCGCCCGATGCTATCACCGGATGGAGCTGCGACTATGGCGCCGATGACGGCTCCACCGCTGAGAATAGCGACGATGAGGGAGGAGTCTTCGGGACAGAGATCGATGTGGCCTTCGTCGTCTTTGCAGGATTGGTTGGTGCTGAAGTGGCTTTTGAAGACGTTCATGGCGAGAATACCGTTGATGACGCTATGAGTGAGATGAGTGGTTAGTCGGGGTTATAGTGTTGTCGATCAATGTCAATAAGGAGAGACCTTTGACGCTATCTCGCGATAGCCATACTCGATGCGCAGGGCAACATTTATCTGGCGATAGAACACAAGAGAGTGGAGAGAATGGTAATGTCGCATGCAGGCACAAGGCGATGCTCACCGCACCGCATAATCAAAAAACCAACGAGACATTTTAACAAACTCACCCCAGATCATAGCCAAACAACAAACCTCCCGACGCAACAAACAGCCCAATCATGATCGCCCTAATCGACGAACCGGCAAAGTTCCTAGGCTTATGCCAGCCCATGCCGAGCACCATCATGTCACTACCATCGACCGCGATGACGAGGAAATCGTGATATTGTTTTTCAGGAGGAAGAGAGACAGAGCCAATAAGGAAGATGCGGAGAAACGAATGGTCTGGTGACGTGAGACTAGGCTGTTATAAGCATGGCGTTTCTGACTTTCGTGCTGGTTGGTGCGGGTTCTCCAGGTTGGCTCCACTTGTGATGACATGGAAAAGCTGGGGTTGGACCCTTGATGGTGTGAGGCGTATGTCGACGCGTCAGTGAGATTCCGAGACGGTGATAGATATGGTCAGGGGAGAGGAAGTGGACTGGGACAAAAAATGATGGATATGACACGCGATGAGAAAAAATGAGGTCCTACCCGGGTTCGAACCGGGGTCTTTGGAAGACTTTGAGGGTGATCAAAATCCAACGTCATGACCACTAGACTATAGGACCGTGCCATTTAAGATCGATGACCATTTTGATTGCAATTGGCAAATATGTAGGTGGTAAGTTTCCAAATCAAAATTACACCAGTGCAAAACCACTCTAGGGTATTACACAAACAGAACAGTCTCAACATTAGAAGTCCGTACTCGAGAGCGCACACGTGTATTGAGGATCAACTGATGAAGGGGCAATATGGGCCATCTACTCGAGTTTTTCTAAGCGCAATTGCAGGGAGCTGAGATGTATAATTGCGGACACTGGTGGGGAAAAATAGCAAGATCACGTTGTTAAATGTCTAGGCTGCCGCAGACCCAAGTAAGTCTTCGGCGTCAAAGTATAATTTTCCTACAATTTGAAGCAGGTAAAAAACATCGGTTGTATTTTATGTCTTAATTTGAAGCGGCGCAAGGATTATAATCCACAGTCTATGATACAGGCTTAGTAAAATTGCCGATCGTCAAAGCTCTCAAACTTGTCGCTGATAACCTTCCTCGTCAACTCCATCAACCGATCACCAAGTTGCTCATTCTGCGAAAGCTCATTACCAGGCTCTGGCACAGCAGGAGGGCAGATATACTGTCCCGACTTGTCGGTAATAGTCGCAGCGAATACCGAACTAGTAGCGCCCTGGAATTGATCCTTCTTGAAAGGGTCCATACCAGTCGACATGGCGTAGCCAGCAAGAGGATACCTTTGATGTGTCAGTGACTGTGCGGAGGGGGGAGAAGGTGTACATACGCTTCGTGGATATGCTCGACGCTCTGTCTGGTGCTGACGAACCCAGGATGCGTGGCGTTCATCAAGATCTTGGGGTTTCCAGCCTTGGTGACATGCCGATCGAAGTATCGAGTGTACAGAAGGGCGGCTAGTTTGGATCGTCCGTACTGAGGGTTCGGTCCAAGATCCTGGTTCAGCTCATCAAGACTCTCAAACTTGACATCGCTAGGCGCTCCCTGATGAGCGTTAGAGGCAAGGTTAACGATCCTCACAGTCCCATGCTCATCAGCCGTCTTTTTCAAAAGCTCAAGTAAATAAGATGTAAGAAGAGCATGACCGAAGTGGTTCACAGCCATGTGCTGATCAACACCATACTTCGAAAGTTGATACGTCATGATTCCTCTTCCCGCATTATTGACGAGAATATCCAGGCGATCAGTGGAGTTCTTGATCTGCTCAGCTGCTTTCTTTACTTCAGCCCAGTTACTCAGATCGCACTGGATCCATTCCGTGCGACCAGCTTTCTCTTGACCGAGTTCTTCAGCGACGGACTTTTTGGCGCCGTTGACGACTTCTTCGGAGATGGAGAGGATAAAGAGCTTGCTGATGTTGTGGGCGAGGAGAGTGTGTGTGACGCCGTAGCCGATACCTTCGCTGCCGCCGGTGACGACGGCGACTTTGTTGGAGAGGTCGGGGGTTTCTGAGAGGGAGAATTGATGGGTCGCGAGTTTTTCGGCTGGACCACCAAAGTTCTCGGCGATGGTGTTCTGACAAGTCAACGACTGATGGTTGGAGAAGAAGAACGTGTAAATACCTTGACGCTATCTACGATGGATAACATGGTGCTTATTTGAGCTCTTCTACAAATGAGGTTATTGTTGCTTTGGTGTTGCGCAAATGGGATTCTTGTTGAAGACGATCTGTAACTGCGGTATAATAACCCTGTAGATACTCTTTTTACCACAGACAGGTTTAAAGTTTTCATTTAGAGCATGAACGAACGAAAAGCTCAATAACGAATGCATGCTGTTCACTTCTTCTCATATAGTGGCTCAAAAAGCTATGAATCACCACTCTCCACTGAGTCAATGACGTACATCTTACAGCAACGACACACGCAGAAATGATATGCAGTGAGACAAAGACCGTCATAAATATGCACTGGCCATTTTACTTATGTTTGACCAGTAATCGAGAATAATTTCCGACTCTTGTGCTACTCCTCCGACTCCTTGGTCATCATCGCCACGAGAGAGTTATACAGATGAAATAGCCTCATAGGTCTTCTCTAGTTCATCGAAGAACATATTCTCCACCGCCTTTCTCATAATATTTCCCTTTGCTGTTCTGGGCAATCTTCCTTGAGGTACAACAAAGACCAAACGTGGGTCGTCAATTCGCTCATGCAAATACTTGCGCCCGTGAAACGGCGATATTCTGCGCAGAATCTCTTTCTTGAAATCCAGTAGCTTGCCATCGCCCGACTGTAACATTTCGTCATTCTTGGGCTCAACAACAATGGCGGGGCTGGGACGCCCAGATCCAATGACAGATACAGCGGATATAATATCAGCCTCGCAGACTTGCATCGCTTCTGCCTCAAGTGAACCCGCATCACAGACCAGAGACAGCTGCATCTTGATCCTATCATCGACTCGCCCTCTGTACATGTACTTATCGGCATCGACTCGTTGAAAGAGGTCACCAGTATGGAATTTGCCATCTTCGTTATTCCTGAGTGACGGATGAGGACAGTCATCCGCATCGGCGGGAATAACAAGTTCAAGTAGCTGATCAGATGAAGACGAACCTCCGCCCAGAGGAATAAATTCGCAGCCAGACTCTGGAAATGGAGTGAGATATTGAGAACTGGCAGATGCGCGCATCGACAGTCCAATCTCTGAAGAACCGTAGGTATCGATAAGCTTGAGCCCTTGTTGATGAGCCCAAGCTTGATCCGATGGTTCGAGAACTTGTCCAGCGTGAAAGATGTGATGCAAGCTCTGAAGTTGCCCAAGTAAGACGGCATTGGTGCGTGCTTCCCGGATGAAGAGAGACAGAAGAGCTGGGAAGATGTTGAGGGCCGTCAGTCCACCATGGGCAATCATACTCTGTAGCTCTGAAGTAGGATATGGAATGGTTTTGGGTGGAATTAGGCAACCTCCATTGGATAATGCTTCCACGAGATTGATGGTGTTTCCCAGATGGGCATGGGAACCCCTGTAACAGGTCAGTCTTGGAATATGATGAGCTGCGAAGAGCTAACATGAGGCAGTAAACAGGCTGCGGCCCGTTGTGAGTATATGGTTTGTTCTTGCGAATCAAACAGTCCATCCACCTGACAGTAGCTGGGACCAGTTTTGGCATTCCTGAAGTCGAGCCTGATGTATGAAAGATAACCGAAAATTGGTCACCATTCAAAGTAGTAGTCACTTTGTCGAGCTCAACATCCTGCGATACGGGTCTGTTCAAAGCGTCTTCGCTGGAAAATGTTGGACGAGGGCAATCTTGCACCAAAGCTTCGCAAATTGAGTCATAAATCAATGCTGCAGCATTACTCTTGCCCAAAAGCTCATATACAACGGAAGGATTCGTCATGCGGAGCGAGAAGAGCTGCGGGATGAAGCCAGCCCTTTGAAGAGACAGATAGTGGAGGAGGTCTTGGTAGGACCATCCTCTCATCCTGCAAAATGTCAGACCAGCGTACATGGTTGGAAAGACGACATACCAAATTCCCACTACAGCACCTCTCGCAATGCCTGCCTGAGATAATGCAGATAACCAGGTCTTTGCGGCATTGCCAACATCATTGCAGTATTCCGCATAAGTGATGGTCTTGTATTCAGTGGACGACTCTGGCAACAGATATCTCACTGCTGCAGAATCCCCACGAGACTTGGAGAGCGTCTCGATGATCGTAAGAGGTGTATGAAACGTCCGCATTTTGAACAACTGTACAAGGCAGAATTTTCCAAGGTTAAAACCAGGAATCTATTCAATTTATACATCTTTACGCAGAATTCTTCTACTGGGATAGTCTCACTCAGCACCAACCAAGAGAGGGAATCATCAGATGAGTAAGAATTTAGACCAAGAAACGGGACCCGAAAATGAGGAGAAGTAACGGTTACACGGCATCTCGAGCACTACAACTTCTACTTACCAATTATTTTAATGTTCTGTTACAAAGAATCGCCGGTTACTAAAGCTTATTGTAAATTATGGTTGCGGCGTGGTATTAAGCTTACCTTTTCAGGCTTATCTGTAACATCGTAGGCGTTTAGATAGTCGCGTCACCACATGATCGCTGGCCAATGGTAAGAAGTCTCCAAGTGAGAGTGGACACACCTTGGCTGCAAATGGAACATGCTGAAGATTTTAGTTGGTCAGATGGTGTAGCGAATGATGTGGAAGCCATAACCTAATTCGCATGCCGTCCATTATACATACCACCGTTTCTTCAGGGCTGACTTGTTTAATAAGTGGCTAGACTTTAAATTTCAGGACATAAATAAAAATAAAACCTTTATAGAATTTTATATTTTAAGTAATATAAGCATTATTTCTTTATAAATTATATTTATACGCCATTTAAAATATATTAATACTATATATATATATATAATTTATTTATATATAACTTATAGTTTTTATGTTTTTAATATTTATTATTTAATAATAAAATAGATATTTTTATTTTTTAAGTATTTTAAAGAATTCTTTATAAGTTTATATAAATATTATAAGTATAAGTTATAATTATATTATTAATATAAAAGGTAAATATTAATTATATAAGTATCTTTTATATAAATGTTTTTAAATTTTACTATTCAAAGTAGGCTTCTATATCCTGTAAAAATTACTCCAAGCCTTCTATAGTTTTCTCTAAAACCTCAAGCAGTAATAAAATAGTCTCTTTTCTAGGTTGAGGACAAGCATGTATAGAAGGTAGCCCACCCTTCTGTCGCGCACCATTCTTATTATCCACCACGTCTAAAGCCTTAGTCAGACTAAGAAACTGTGCGCTGGTGCCGTCCATCTCACCAGAAAATGCACCAGTAGGTCTGACGATGCATCCCCTAACATGCTGCAACGCGGCAATAATATTCCGCATCGCACGCCCAACGGCAAGATTAAGGATCTCGCTCCTCGCCTCGCCTGTCAATCTGATTGTTCCTATTGAGACAGCAAGCTCGCTCGAAGGCTCATCGAGAGTTGGGACGTTGGGGCAGATAGTCCTGTTGAGCACCTTTCGAATACTGATGGCGAAAAGGAGGAGGGCGGCCTTGTGATCGTCTTGGGTTTTATGGGCACTGCAGTGCATGAAGCCTTTCCATGGCAGCTCAGCGGTCTGAAAACCTCTCAGCAAAGAGTCGACCGAGACATCTGTTGAGCTTGGTCCATCGGGGTAGCGTAGACCTTCGAGCTGATAAAGTAATCTAGCCAGTTGTGAGAGGCATGAGCAGCCTGGTAACGGCGCGATAGGAGAGACCGGGCCTGTAGAGGGCGAGGACCCAGGGCCGTGATCGCTATCTAGATCGAGGATTTCATCACGGCTGGACAATCTCTCTGCATCTTCACGCTGAGTGGTGTCCATCTGGTCCAGGCCTGAAGGATCGGTGTTGAGGGACATTGGATCTATGAGGCTCAGAGTTGAATCAACAAAATCAGAGTGTTCGTTGCAGAGGGAATCATTCGGGTTCAAGAAGCCTTCGATGGACATGAACCGAGTGATGCTATCGCACCCATGATCCAGGTCTAGATTGAAGCTGTTGGTATCGAGTGGCAGCTGCTGGCCGGTAACCCACAGCACGGGACCAGTGTTGCCCAGCACGGCACCATCCTGCCGATCCTCGTCGATGCCTGCTCCTGTATCCTGCTGTAACAGTGTGCGTTTGTTCTTACTACCTTTAGGGCGACCAAGTCTTCGGCCGGGGGTATAGTGGCAGCAAGTCTGTGACCAGCGACAGGTCGAGCAAGGGTTGCCTCCGGAACACTTGATCTTGGAGCGGCGACATGCATCACAGGCCGACCGAGACCTACTGGCTGTCTTGGCCTCGTGACGTGCCGGCTTGAACCCAGTCTCAGGCTGCTTCTCCGAATTGGGGCTCGGGAGAGACATTGCAGACGGGGCTAACGTAGTAGTCCGACGCGGATAGACTAGCTCGGCCCTTACTGAACCCGACACGAAGCTATTTAGCTAAGGTCCGTTAGATTGAGTTCATTCCCCAAGAGATGGTGCCAAGGACCGAAGAGCACAACTGTTGTGTTAGGGTATCACCGACAGTGAAGTTACTCCAAGATTGGATTCTCGGAGATAAGCGGTTGGTGTGACTTGCTGGATGTACGGAATTTTTGTTGACTGAAATCAAAGGGCCAAGCTTGAGAATCAATATGTCGGAAAGAAATGAGCTTTCAATGATGACTTTCGACCCATTCAGGGCTGAGGTTGGGGGCACATCTATGTATTGTGACACTTGGTCCTGGAAACAGAGAAGCTGTTATCTACAGACGGAGCGTAGCACGTAGCCTCTTTAATCACATAATCTCACGCCTCACCAGAACCTTGCATGCGGCTGACTATGTACGGCGCAGGACAGACTGCGCGCTCCTACGGTTCTCGTATGTTTGTGCTTACCACCCACTAGCTATTTGCCTGAAATCATATTGGTGCACCAATCGAAGGATGGAGGGGGAAGAGGGGAGATATGGAAGGGACGGAACCGGAGGGGCAGGGTGAGAGTGCGTTTGAACTTTACCGTTTGGTGGCGGGGTCTAGAACTTGGGGTATTAGAGATCAATGGCTGGCTCCTTGTCAATAATTTTACGAGGTACGCTTTTTGGAAGGTCTTTTGCAGCAGAGGTGGAGCTTGGCGCCAAGAGATGATCGAATTGGAATTATCCATTACATCACGCTATGTGCTATTTGCGGCATATCTGTGTCAATCATGAGTAAATTATAAGCTTATAGCAGCAAAGAAAGATAAGGTACGTGCTCACATGCAGGGCCGAGGAGCGATCCGGTAGGTCCGGCCCCTGGTTTTGACCCTTTCTACCCGGGCGCGGCCCGCTTTTAAGTGCATGCAAGATGCCGTCCCTACCGATGGCGCTATGCTCCTAGTCCGTCAGGTCAACTCAGGAGCGGCGAGTCGGGCCAATTCTTCTGTCAGATTATGTATGGGGCTTGGTATCTCCGTGTGGAGGGATGGACCCACTGTCCGTCCGTAGGGCTGCTTCGGCCGAAGTTGAGGTGGCGGGCGGAGATAGTGAAGACCGAATGATGGCTCGGACAATTAGACTGTCAACCACATTTGCATCTCGGCCGAAGTGTCTGAGAGTCAGTCAATGACCGAAATTGGATGGGAATGAGGTTTTTGAGGTATCACCGTCAGGGGTATCACGTTACTCGTGTCTCGCGTTATATCAAGATTCAACCATCCTTCCATCCATCTTGGTTGGTTTCACTGCAGCTACGTCCCGGATCTGAGACTCAACGATACGAAAAATAGCACAGCAAGTCCGACCATGACGACTGGACCGGATATGGGCTCGACCATCATCCAAGGCGATGACCGGTTGCCATCGAAAAGCCTCAGTAGCGATACCGAGAGAGAAATCCAGCCCGCCTCTGACCTGCAAAACTCGGAAGTCAAGCAACTCGCTCGCCAGTTCTCACGAGACAGCCTCGATGACCTCAGAAGCAAGCCCTTGTTTGGAAGCAACGACCCCGACTCTCCGCTCAACCCGTCCGGCAATAACTTCAATGCTCGCGCCTGGGCTACTAACCTCGCCCGAGCAGCCGCAGAACAGGGCCAGGGATTCCGCCAGGTCGGACTGTGCTTCCAAGACGTCAATGTTTTTGGCTACGGTACACCGGCAGACTTTCAAAAGACTATGGCCAACATCTGGCTTGCCGCACCGAGCATGGTTGTACGGCGTCTTTTGCCAAAGTCCAGCTCTTGGGGACGCAAGCGAGTCAACATTCTGAACCAGTTCAACGGCATTATTCGCGCTGGGGAGATGTGTGCTGTTCTCGGACCTCCTGGCTCTGGGTGCTCGACTTTTCTCAAGACGATCTCGGGAGACCGCAATGGCATCTACTTGGACGAGAATTCGTACCTCAACTATCAGGGTATCTCGGATAGGGACATGCACTCTGCGCACAAAGGAGATGCCATATATACTGCCGAACAGGATGTCCATTTTCCCATGTTGACGGTCAATGAGACATTGACGTTTGCTGCTCGTGCACGTTGCCAGAGGGAGCTTCCAGAGGGAATCAGTCGTACACAGTGAGTATTTTCTGTCCAGACTGTTGCTACCTGAGAAGATACTAAACACATATAACCTCGCTATAGATACTGCGATCATCTTCGAGACGTCGTAATGGCCATGTATGGCATCAGTCACACCAACAACACCAAAGTAGGGAATGACTTCGTTCGTGGTGTTTCTGGTGGAGAGCGGAAGCGCGTCAGCATCGCCGAGGCTACATTGTCCAATGCACCCTTCCAATGCTGGGACAAGTAAGTCATACACGAATCAGTCTTGATCATTAATCACGCTAACTTGTCTTGAAGCTCAACCCGCGGTTTAGATGCAGCCAACGCCGTCGAATTCTGCAAGACGCTCCGTCTTCAGTCCCAGCTCTTTGGTCAAGCATGTGTCGTGTCCATGTACCAGGCCCCCCAAACCGCTTACGATCTCTTCGACAAGGCCATGGTCCTCTACGAGGGCCGGCAGATCTTCTTCGGTCCAGCTTCTGAGGCCAAAGCCTACTTCATCAACCTCGGTTTCGAGTGTCCCGCCCGTCAGACCACTCCCGACTTCCTCACTTCCATGACATTTCCTGCAGAGCGCACCGCACGACCTGGATGCAATCCCCCGCGCACACCCGATGAGTTCGCCGCGGCGTGGCGCTCGAGCAATGAGTACAATGCCTTGTGTGCGGAGATCGAAGAGTACAAGTCCTGTCATGTCATCGGCGGCGAGGATTCGCAGAAGTACCTGGATCTGAAGCGGGCGCATCAAGCACGAGGCCAACGTCCCAGCTCCCCCTTCATCCTGACGTATTCTCAGCAGGTTCAGCTCTGTATGTGGCGCGGCTGGAGACGTTTCTGGGCAGACCCGGGCCCGGCGGTCTTCACTATGGTGGGAAATGCTGTCATGGCACTCATCACTTCGTCTCTGTTCTATAACCTGCAAGAAACCACTGGCAGCTTTCGTGGTCGAGCAGTCGTTCTTTTCATGGCGATTCTCTTCAATGCGTTTGCGTCGATTCTCGAAGTCATGACATTGTATGCAGAGCGACCCATCGTGGAGAAGCAGGCCCGCTATGCGTTTTATCGCCCGTCGGCTGAAGCATACGCTGCTGTCTTGGTTGACCTACCTATGAAGATCACAGCGGCTATTGGTTTCAACCTTGTTTTCTATTTCATGACCAATCTCAACCGACATCCAGGCAACTTCTTCTTCTATCTAATGGTAGTCCTTCTCGTTATCCTCTCTATGTCAGGCATCTTTCGCTTCATGTAAGTTATTTCCATTTCGGCTCACCACACACCCAAAACTGACTGAATCTCCAGTGGCGCTGTATCACGCACAGAGACACAGGCTATGGTACCCGCCTCCATCATGATGCTGGCATTGCTCATTGTCACCGGCTTCGTCGTCCCTATCGGCTATATGCCTGCCTGGTGCCGGTGGATCAACTACCTGAATCCAGTTGCTTATGGCTATGAGTCGCTCATGGCTAATGAGTACAGCGGTCGCAACTTTACCTGCTCTTCCTACATTCCCAGCTACGGTACCCCAGGCACAGAAAATGTGGCATGCGATGCCATTGGTGCTGTTCCTGGCCAGTTGTCCGTCAATGGAGACGCTTACATCAACTCGGCATACAACTACTTCGCCAGCCACAAATGGCGCAATGTGGGCATCATCATCGCCATGGTCGTCTTCAACCATATCGTCTACTTTGTGGCGAGCGACTATGTCACAGCCAAAAAGTCAAAAGGCGAGGTCATGATCTTTCGCAGGGGCTACGTTCCAAAGCTCCACTCCAGGAACCATGACGTTGAGAGCCCAGCCTCTGGTACAGTTGCTCCGATACTGAGTCAGCCACGCGACATGCCCGGCTTTGGGACTGAGAAGGGCTTTCAAGGCTCTACGAGTGTCTTTCACTGGAAGAATGTCTGCTATGACATCAAGATCAAGAAGAAGCCCCGGCGCATTCTCGACAACATCGACGGCTGGGTCAAGCCTGGTACCCTGACGGCCTTGATGGGAGTCTCAGGCGCTGGAAAGACAACACTTCTTGACTGCTTGGCTGATCGTCGTGGTGGCGTTGGCGTCTTGACTGGCGAGATGCTGGTGGATGGGAAACTCCGCGATGAGAGTTTTCAGCGCAACACAGGTTACGCACAGCAGCAAGACTTGCACCTCGAAACGAGTACTGTTCGAGAGGTATGCATCGTGTCACTTCCCGAGTTTATGTCCTAACATTTCCTTATAGGCTTTGAACTTCTCCGCCCTTCTTCGACAACCAGACCATATCCCCGACACGGAAAAGCTCGACTACGTCAACAGAGTCATTGAACTCCTCGATATGCAAGAGTGGGCTGACGTAGTGGTTGGGGTGCTTGGAGAGGGCCTCAATGTTGAGCAAAGGAAGCGATTGACTATTGGGGTCGAGCTGGCTGCGAAACCCCCTGTCTTGCTTTTCGTTGATGAGCCTACGTCAGGCCTCGACTCCCAGACCAGTTGGGCCATTCTGAGTTTACTGGATAAACTGTCCAAAGCAGGCCAGTCTATCCTCTGCACTATCCATCAGCCTTCGGCTGTGCTGTTTGAGCGATTCGATCGTCTTCTGCTGCTTAGTGAAGGGGGCAAGACGGCTTATTTCGGTGAGTAAACAAAACACCTTATCCGGCTTGACGAAAAGCCACTAATAGACCATTGATGCAGGCGACGTTGGTGATAATGCCCATGCTCTCATTAGCTATTTTGAGAGAAATGGAGCTATTCCTTGCCCTCCTGGTGCAAACCCAGCCGAATGGATGCTCGAGGCCATAGGCGCCGCCCCTGGTAGTCATTCAGACATTGACTGGCACCAGGTCTGGCGTTCAAGCCCCGAGTACGACCAAGTCCAACAGGAATTGACTCGTCTCCGATCAGACGGCGAAGCTCGAAGTTCCTCCGAAAAGGCACACGATCCAACTTCGTACAACGAGTTTGCGACGCCGCTCTGGTACCAGTTCCTCCTGGTGACGCAGCGTGTCTTTCAGCAGACATGGCGGTCCCCCTCATACATCTACTCCAAGCTTCTTCTCTGCATAGCCTCCAGTCTCTTCATCGGGCTCGTCTTTATCAACTCACCCCTGAGTATCCGCGGGCTGCAGAACCAGATGTTTGCCATTTTCGAACTGACCAGTATCGTAACGCAGCTGGTGAACCAGCAGATGCCGCAGTTCATCACGCAACGCTCGCTCTACGAAGTCCGCGAGAGGCCCGCGAAGGTATATAGTTGGAAGGTCTTCATGCTCGCTCAGATCGTGTCCGAACTTCCATGGTATACGCTGGCTTCGCTTCTTATGTGGACTGCATTCTACTTCCCCGTTGGATTCTACTCCAACGCCCAAGAAGCCGGGCAGTCTCACGAGAGGGCCATATTGATGCTGCTCCTCTTCTGGGTCTTCTTTCTATGGGTATCTACCTTTGCACATCTTTGCGTCTCATTCAATCCTGGCACAGAGGAGGGCGCCAACACCGCCAGCCTTTTCTTCTTCCTGGCTTTCTTCTTTTGCGGTGTGTTGGCATCACCGGATGAAATGCCAGGCTTCTGGAAATTTGTCTACTATGCTTCACCACTGTCGTACTTTGTCTCGGCCACCTTATCAACAGGACTGGCCAACGTCAACGTGACGTGCGCAAGCAACGAGTTCACCTTCTTCCATCCGCCCAAGGGCCAGACATGTGGCGAGTACATGGGCGATTACATCTCTCAAGCTGGGGGATATCTTCTGGATTCACTGTCAACCGAGAGTTGCCACTATTGCCAGATCAAGGAGACCAATATCTATCTTGAAGCGGTCAGCTCCAGTTACAGCATCAGGTGGCGAAACTTCGGCATTCTGTGGATATACGTAGTGTTCAACATTGTAGCAGCACTGGGATTGTACTGGCTTGCGAGGATACCTAAGGGAAAGAAGAAGTAGATCCAAGAGAGGGGGTTTGCCGAAGATCTGTGAACGTCGGTGAATTTGTACGCGTTTAGCACTTGGATTGTTGGTCATGATGGACAAAGCTCCGCAAGAACATTAACATTTACGTTCTCTGCCTGATTATTTTAACCTTATTAGTATTAATTGACCGAACCACTCTGCTCTATTCGATCCTCGTTACATAGCCTCATGTTGACCGGCTTGCTGAAGACTCATTCCCCTCTTATCGCTCTACATATGAAGCTGTGACTTGCCTCCAGCCAGAAAAAAACCGGATAACAGGTAACTATCACGATTATAGAATACAAGACTTATTCTGTGATTATCAACGTCGATGAGACTCAAGATAAATACATAGACTAGCATTACAAATGGGTATCCTTATTCACCAAAAGAGCAATTTTATTCTCGTTTCCTGAACAGGCTGAAGAACAAGCATAAGCCTACACCCGTACTCACTCGAACAAACCACTCAGCTATCCCATTAGAAAGGTTTCATCGGGTAAGAATGATTCCCAGTCCAAGTCCAAGTCCATGCCATAATCGTTCGATACCTGGCCCCCGAGATCCGTGCTACCCATAGGGAGATCAGCATAAGGAACCGAGGCTGACGACGCCTTGTCCGCTCTCATCTTCAGCATGCTATAACTGGATTCCAGGCTATCTCTCGCGCTCCGTGCAACTTGCAATGGAATAAACGACTCCGTTTCGATAGCTTCAGCCTGGCCGAGGATCATGCTGAGGAACATGTGGCTTTTCACATTTGTCTCTCCCTGACGGATGCGCTCTTCTGATAGTGCAATCATATCGCGGATAGACTGTTTCAAGAGGTGGCGGTACTGGCTGGTCCTGTGCAGCGTACCGTCGAGGCGCTGTGCCTGCACGTGTATGAGAAGCTCAAGACCAACCGCCATACTAGCGACTCGGATGCCCTCGCGGAATAACCCGCCGCCTGACGCCATCAACCTTGAAAAGCCAGCATCAGGCTCAGGTGACATGAGGGCAGTTGCAGCATCGAGACTTAGCTTGAGCGAGTAATAGTAAATTGGGTTGGTGCGGGCCCGGTTGCTGAAAAAGAAGTGTAGTGGGATCATGAAACGACGGACCAAGTAGTCAAGAAGGTTTCGATGGAAGGGAGTCGAGCCTTGGCCGGGTTTCATCAAACTGCTGTGCAGAGCGTTTGTCAACTCCGAACTGAGTGCAAGGATTTCCTGATAGGAGGATTCATCATCGGGTTTGTTTAGTACATTGATGATGCGAAGGCGGACAGGGAATGACGCCAGGAGTGCAAGCTGTACTGAAGTTGAGGTGAAGTAGCCTGGAGGGTGAGATGGGATAACTGTGGTTGAGTTACCCATCTCATCGTCGTTGAGGTTGGAGGGTTGCTGCGTGTCAAACTCGTCCAGAGATATCCTCGGTGGCATTCTAGAGTCCAGTGAAGCCTGTATAACTAGCTCGAGGATAGTGGCCCAAAGCCTGCGACGGATCTCGGCTTGAAGCATTGGCATCGATTTGCCAAGGTAAGCAGGGTCGCGGTGCAGGCCGATCTGCATAGCTCGGTGGATAAGCGAACCTGTCGACATCCACACCGTGTCACCGCCAATGGAGAATATCTGCCGGGCCAACAGCGTAAGGCAGTAGATTTGCAAGCCAGTAAGGTCTACGCGATCCTTCTCGAGCGGTCCAGCGAGCCATGTCTCGGAAGCATAAATCCAGTGATGCACCAGCTCCGCGTTGCGAAGTGCTTCCTCTGGAGTTGCATGATCGAATAGGCTTGAGCCTGTCGCGATGACGAGAAGAACGGTCAAACGCAGAGAATCTGTGACAGACTCGGGGTGGTCCCAGTATCTCTTGTAATCGGCCATGAAAGTCGGGCAATGGAGGATGCGGTGGGAAGACTCGAATGACTTGAAGTAGATATCGACCATGACATCGCATGTTTCACGGGAAGGGGGGACAAGGAAATCAGTGGATGACGAGAGACCCCTCGTAGGACGACTGAGTTTGATGGTCTTGGCCATGGTCTTGCACTTGGCAAGGAAGTCGCCAGCTTGTACAACGACGGATGCTACCCCAGGTTCTTGAAATGCATAGCTGCTGCTGCTGGACTTGCCCATTATCTCGACCCAGCAGGCAAGGACGTAGTGAAACTCCTTTGTGATCTCGGCCCAGCTACCCCTCCCCATGTCCCTGGACTTATTAAGTACAGCTTGCCAATCCTGGGAGCCGTGGGCGGGTTCATTTTGGTGCTTGTCGCTACCAATCACAGATGGCGGCGAAGGGGCTCTGGTGCTGTGACCTCCAGCTTGGCTCTGGTATCTAGCAGAATCATCAAGTCTCTGCAGTACCTTGTGCAGTAAATCTTGAACATTGTCATCATGGCATTGAACCTGGCTCTTGTTGGTGTTATGGTCATTACCGTGCCTGGGGATGCTCGAGGCTGGTGTTGGAAATCCGTGGCCAGCTGCTATCGTTGCTGTCGCCGAATGAGGCGGTGCGACATCCTGGTCATGAGGGGTGAGTGCACTATCGCGACGTGACACTTCAATAGTGGATTGAGCTGGGTGACAACCTTCTATGGCAGTGGCAGTGGCAGTGGCAGTGGCAGTGGCAGTCTCTAGGGGTGCTGGGCTGGCTGTTGATGGTTGTGCTGATACCCTGTCCCTCACCCGTGAGCCTCGTACGAGAACAGACGGCGAGCCATCGCGGTAGGGCTGATAGATGCATTCAGTGTTATGGCGAATACAGTGAGCACAGGGGCTCCTTTGGTCGCACTTGATCTTGCGACGCCGGCATTCGTGGCACGCGAGTGCCGGACGTCTCCGCCGATGGGGTTGAGACGATTGCGCCAGGCCCTGCTGAGGCGGAGATTGTGGCTGCTGCTGCTGCTGAGGCGAAGTCCTGTCCATGGCGCATTGAACGACGGAATTGCTTGTTGGATCTGGGGGCTAAGCCTGCTTCCTTCTCGGCCGTACGCGAGTGGGTGATAGGGAACTGACTGAAGCAAGCACGTAACGCACTCGGTGGTACAGTCTCACTCAGGACAAGACGGAGTTGAAGAAGAAGCGTCGCACGGAGATAACAGGGTTGGTGGGGGTCCAAGTTTCAGTCCGAGATGACGGACCGGACTTCGGAGATATGGGCTTATTCGCTTGAGCGGTATATTATGTAATGCAGCCAGCCCTCCCTCAATCAGTCTGTGCCGCTGACAGTGCGTCATGTCACATGTCACTTTTGAAGTCAGTGGCACAAAAGTAAGTGAGTGACAAGACAAGACGGTTGGAAAGCTGGCCATCATCTTATTAACAGACGAGATAGTCTACATTCGCGATAACATGGCCATGACATATTTATTACTGGCAGATCGGCTGGGAATTTAGTACTATCTATATCATAAAACACTGCTAACTCAAGTGCAACCAACGTCGAGTCCTTACAAGTACTACCCTACAGAGACAGTCAAATTGGCTTGTGAAAGAGCACGCCTTTGTACCGACCAACCAACAATCTTACTTGCATATACCATCGTTCCACTGATGACATGAAAAAAAAAAAAATAGCCGACTTTACCGGACCTTGAACAGTTCCTTCGGAGAATATTCCGGTTCCTTACCTCGCCAGCCTGGAAAGGAAAAGCAGCCGTCTTCGAAGATGCGCAATAGGCATCAACCAGTGAGAAGGATCATGATTAATCAATATACAAACCGTAAAGTATGCGATAGGTAGGTCCGGCAATTTTCTGTCTTATGCAGCTACAAACTACAGCGCAATGGAGTTCATTCCGGCAATTCGCAAGTGACCGACAGAGTCGAGTATAATTAGAGACATCGAACGTATCATGTGTTCCAACATTGACTCTTTGCAACGTCACACACACACCACCTACTGCTTGCATTTCTCCGTCAGAACCTTACCACATTCCTCATGTCTTCACTCGTCACCTCTCTCCTCGGGGTTTTGGCCTTGGTCGCCCCGGTCTTTTCCGCCCACGTCAAACGTCCCGGACACCACCCGGGGTCCATCCCTCTGCCGTCGCGGGATCTCCATTTCCTCCCCATTGGCACTTGGGCTGAGAATCTCGCCGTTCGGCCCAATGGCAACGTTCTTATCTCAACATCCACCCTCAACGGCACTGTATGGCAAGTCACGAAGCCTTGGGAGAAAGAACCCAAGACTGAACTTGTATACAACTTTGATGAGTGGGTGGACCGTCTGATCGGTATCGGCGAGAGTACACCTGACAAGTACATCGTCGTCGGCTCTCGCTTCTATGCGCGAACCGAGATCTCGTCTCATGTCGGGAGGACGTTTTGCGCCATGGAGCTGGACTTTACCAAGACTCCAAATGCCCCAACTGCTCGCGTGGTAGCATGGATGCCCGAGGCCAATCTGCTGCAGGGCGTTGCAGCCTTGCCGTGGGATCGCTCCATCGTCCTCATCTCGGACCAATACGTGCTTCGCCCACGAGAGGTTCAGGTTGACTGGACACCCAGCCCCGGTCAGATCTGGCGTCTCGACACCAAGACTGGAGAGTACGATCTGATCATGACCAACTACACTGAGATGAACACGGTGTACTGGCACGGTAACAAGCCCACCCACGATGTCGGCATCAACGGCATTCGCATCCAGGGAGATACCCTGTACTGGGTCAATGCCGACGACGGTGGTATCTACAGCATCAAGCTGAAGAAGGACGGACGGCCACAAACCCCTCACGCGCCAAAGACCGTTTCAAAGACGGACTGGCTGTGGGATGATTTCGATTTCGGCCCCGGCAAATCGGACTTGATCTGGGCTACTGCCAACAACTCCATCGTAGCTGTATCGCGCAAAAACGGAACTGATAAGATCGTTTCCGGGTACGGAACCACGGACAACGAGACTTTCTGGTCACCCACTTCCGCTCAGTTTGGGAGAACCAAGCGAGATTCTAATATTCTCTACGTCACCGGCAACTATCCTAATGCAAGCTCTCCGATTATTTCCGGTTGGATCAAGGCTCTGGATACTACGGGCTTTCACTTTTAATTTCCCTTGTGCATCAGCGCCAATGCTTTACCTCATTGCATGGGCGCTGATTGATGACATAGGATGCTCATCAACATCATTGCAATCAGGAACGTATCTCGTCTTGTCAATCCATGGATCCTTGAGACAACGAGATACTTAATTGAGGGTTTCGTAGTTTATCTTCTTCAGAACAGCTAAGGTCGTTCAACTACGCTTCATTGCCATTGCAGCGTCTAGATACTATAGCTTTCATTGGACCAAATACATTTGATAGCAGAAGCACTGATCACTCTTGTAGTCCACCGTGAGACTTTCGTATCTATCCACATCTCTCTTGCGTGATGCGATCGCCGTGCGTTGCTAAGACACTGTTGAGCCTCATTCGATGGGTGACCTCGTCGAGTGTGCTTTGCGCGTATGAAGAGACGTGAGACACAAGTTTCGTATTTATATGGAGGACATGACTGTGAGAATTGAAAATGCCAACATCCAAAGTCGTGAGTAATATGGAAGCTTGCATCGAGAAATGATGACTTATTGCAAATGAAGCACTGAACAGCATTCTATCATCTGTCTATGAAACAGCCCGATAACAAAAAGATCCCATTCGCCTCAGAAAACTATACCATCCCCCAACCCGTCTTTACTCACGCCTCGCTTGGTTCTATAAACTCTGCCACAGTCGTCGAAAGCGCTCTGATGGTCATTTTAGGCGCCAAGAGATGCTGGAAAGACATTTCAAGCCCAAATTGCTTGAACAGCCAGTTCCGCAGGTCCGCCCCAATCATACTATCCAGTCCGTAAACCGCTATGGAAGTACCGTCAAGCTCAAACGCTTCAGTCGGAATGAGCAGCATGCTGGATAACTTAGCTATGATGTGGTTGGCGATGGCTGCAAGCACGGCATCCTCGCCTTGAGCGCGAGCCGCGTGGAGGACAGCTTTGAAGTCTCCGTTGCTGCTGGTCGAACCGCCTCCGTCTTGTAAAAGAAGGCTGACGGTCGCTCGTAGGTCGCTAAACCGTGCATCGTGGTACCAGTATGCATCCTCCCTGCTAGCACCGGACTGTTTGATGGCCGACGCTAGAGCAGCGGGCTCCAGACCGAGGATAAGCTGCGAGTTCCCCGGAGAGATGCCATTGGAATCCCACGTACGCTTCTGCATGGCTGTCTCGAAACCTCGAAGCATTTCTCGCTCATCGATACCGTACATGGCTTTGCGAAGAAGAGCCGTCTCGATAGCCTCGTTCTCCGCTACAACACCAACGTCCAGCACCATTGGCAAGATTAGCGATGTTGCCGGCTTGCCTGCGAGGCGGCATTGATGGGCTAGCGCATCGAGGAAGCTGTTGGCTGCGGAGTAGTTCGCCTGGCCCGGGTTACCCATTGTCGCTGAGATGGAGCTCGTCATGACGAAGAAGTCGAGGTCAGCTTTTCCATCTAGGGCGTCAACAAGGTTTTGGGCACCAAGGACTTTTGGTGCCATGGTTCGTTGCCACTGGTTGAAAGTCATGCTGTCGAACATGACATCCTACCGACCGAGTCAATAACTGTTCTACGATTCATGTGAGAGGCACTGGGGATCATACCTGTAGAACCATTGCAGCATGGATAACGCCACATATGGGGCGAGTAGCTGTTACGTCTGCCACAAGATGCTCAACGTCGGACTTGATGCAGACGTCTCCTCGATAGACCTGAACCTGTGCCCCGGCATCTAATAGATGATTCACCACCTGTACGACATTGTTGTCAGTGTTGAGCACTGGATCATCAGCGATAGATAACTTACCACAGCGGCATCGGACTTGTCGGTACCCGATCTTGACAAGAACACAAAGTCTCGTGCACCACGATCGTACATGAACCTTGTCAGACTGCGACCGAGGCCACCTAAGCCTCCGACCAAGAGATAGGCAGCGTCTGGCCGGAAATGAAGGTCGTTCGTAGTCGGTTGGATCTACAGATGATTAGTATTGGTGTGAGAGAGGATGATACGTGAATGAAGCTACGAACCTTGACCAAAGACCGTTCATGATCAAACCTGACGACCAAGTTCCGATCCTTTCCGCCAATAACTGAATTAGCGCCCTTGAGGTCATCGATGGTATATACGTCTGGCGTCTGAAAAGTCGTGTGTTGTTGGATGAACTCTACTGCCTCTCGCAAAAGCCCCCCAAGTCGATGTGGTTGCTGCTTGTGTATTGTCTTGAGACTCGTAGTCTGGAACGTAGCACCCCTTGAGAACGGCAGACAGTCCAGACTTCCTTCGACCACAGAATCATTCAGGACAAAGCGAGCGTTTGTGGGCAGATGTCTCCAGACTTCGCTGCTTAATGCTGCAAAGTCATGAGACACCACAGCGCTAGGAGCGTGGTCTGTGTCGTCGAGAAGAGCCATGATGCCTTGAAAGTCCGAGGCCAGCAACGAAGTACATCCTTCCATGTCTTGCGAGTCTCCTTCGGCAATGGCCAGCGTGAGGCGAAATCCCCAGGCTTTGCTTAAAGCGATGACTGCACGGGTGAAGGCAATCGGTGCCGGGAGCAGTAAAACATGGTCATTGGTCTGCACTCCTGCTGCGTGCTTGATTGCATTTATGGCGTTGGTAAGTCCTGGGAGAGTGGTTGCCTGATGTTCAGGGTTTGAGTCTGGGCATAAAGTAGCCAACGCTTGAGTGGTTCTGAGGCATGTAATGAATGGGCTGGGAGCAAATGCCACCATACTTTGTCCGTACAAGCTCTCGTCAACGCCGGATCCTATTGCCATCACGGTTCCGACCACAACCCGTGGCGCCATTGTTTGTTGAGTTTGAATATCTGCTGCCTCAAAGCTTGCACACTCGACTCGAAGTACAATCTCGCCATCAGCAACAGGACTCTGGGGAACCCTTTGGAACACTAATTCGCCTTGTTCAATGATGCCCTGCAATGGCGTATCCCTTGGTAATGGTAGCTCCTTCACAGAGCCAAGGTTTGCACCGTAAGCATCATTGAGAACTGTGTTTGGTACAACTCTTGGAACGTGCAGAGTACCATCTCTGAGCCAGTATTCCGTGTCTGACCCTGATTCCTTTGTATCAATCCTGTCAAGCAGTGTAAGGACAGCATTTCGAATGGCGGCACCGTTTTCCATGGTGTGAATGTCGAGCAGGATAATTTTGGCCGACGCATCTTCTGATCGGATTGATCGCAGGAATCCCGCAGTTGTGCCCTCCAGAGTGTTCATTCCTTCTTGAACACCGGTTGTTAACCAGAGAACGGGTGCTCCCGATGTTAGGATATGCTTTAATGAGGTGAACCTGTCTTGATCTATCTCGCACAAGTTCCATGCTTTGCCGTCGATGATGAGTTTATCAGAAGTCGAGATCTCTGCCGAGGCATCGCTAGTGCTTCTCACGTTAACTTGGCACTTTGAAGTTTCCGCAATACCCGTCCAGAGAGAGCCGTTTGGAGCGGATGTATTATCATTGGTATAAATGGTGATACGCAGGGAATCGTGCAAGTCACCGTTGGCGTGACCATTGTGATGACTATTGCCGTTTCCGTTGGCGTGACCATTTGTGTAGCCGTTCGCGTAGCCGTTGTTGGCGCCTTCAACAGACAGATGGGCTTTTCCATTAGTAAGAATATTGGAATGACCATTTGTTAGTCCGTTACTGTAACCATTGGTATGACTGCTATCAGGCTGGGAGCCAGTAACAGTGTAGCCGGAGACAGAACTGCCGGGAAGACCAAGGCGAAGGACAGGGTCCGTCAAACCACAATCCGATGCAAATTCGTCAAGTTTGCTATCGACGACATGCGGTACTGAGAATATAATCTTGCCCTTCTCAGAAACACGAGGCTTGATGTCTTGGAGAAATATCTCTGCCAAACTCGGTTCCTCGAAGCTGACAGCACCGACGACGACAAGGTCGAGCGGGCTCGTCGACTCCAACTCGGACTTAATGGCTTCAATCTCAAATACGAAGGCCGACACGTTCTTGGGGAGGTTTCCCCCGGCGATGATACCCTCGAGATGTGCCGGCGAAGGATCCGCAAGCAAAATGAGAGTGTCCTTGGAGGTTCCCTTGGCTATGGACGTCAACACTTCCATCTCCCACTGGCCAATGAACAAAATACTATTCGCAGCTCTCTTGTGCTGCTCGAGCTCTACTATTGCAGCCAAGGCATCTTGATCCGTGTTGTTCACAGAGAGGAGTTGGAGAGCAGATTGGTTTGAGAGAAGGTCGATATCAGGCTTCCACACAGTTTGCATGTATGGTTCGCGTAGTCTTTCAGTCCGAGCATTCTGAGGGACTGCGGCCTCATACGAAACGAGCCCCAGGTTAGACAGATCCATGAGCAATCGGCCAGTCGGCGTTTCCAATCTCGCATGCGTGGTAGCGTATCGACCGTTCAGCTCGCTGACCCACGCCACTGAATCACCCAGAGAGTTGTCAACGTCAGCAGTGGCTGGCCACAGGGACATCTCATCAAACTCTATGGGCACTGCACCACTCTTCATCTCAGCATGAAGACCGCTGTTGAGGGCGACGAGAATGAGTTGTAGGCATCCATCAATCGTCGACGGATGCACAAGATAACGGGACTCGCCCGGGACCAGCTCTGATTTGGTCGAGATGGCAATCTTGCCCGCTGCCTGATGATACCGACTGTCTGATTGAACACTAGCCAACGGCTGGAAACTAGGCCCGTATTCAAACCCAACACGGTGGAATGCATCGTACCAACGCTTGCCAGTTACTCTCTGCATGAGCTTCGATGTATCGACAGGATGTTTGCTTCCGCTTGCGAGGTTATCCGTACGGTGGTTGGCTGCAATCAAACCTTGACAGTGCATTCTCCATTCCCCTTCGGACAGAGACTCGATAGAAAAGCTGAACCATTTTCCATCTGTCTTGTTGAGATGTAGCTGAATGTCGATACCGCCATCAGTCTCAGGGACAACTAATGCTAGCTTGATTGCGACGTTTCGGAAGGTGACGCTCTCAACCTTGAGTCCAGAGTTGTCACTGGTCTGTAACAGAGCTTCGCAGGCTAGAGAAAGGTGGGCTGCCGCAGGAAAGACGACTTCCTTTCCAAGCTGGGATGGGTTAGTTGGTAGCTACTCGGGGGTGAAGCAATGATGGGGACTGAAGAATGGGCTTTTACTTACACGATGGTCTTTGATCCATGGAACATCTTGAAGACGGATAGTATTCTTCCAGGCAAAGGCGCCACCAGAAAGACCGTAGATCCTACTTCCGAGCAGGTCGTGTCGTAAGTGCGTCAACGATCTCTGCTCTTGGCTTGTCCTCGCCTCAGCCCAATACTTCTTCTCATAACTCCATTGATACGGAGGCAAGTCAACTAGTAGGAATGGTCCCTGGCTCTTCTTCATGCCAATAGCCGTGGACTCTTCAGCAATCGAGTTGACTTGTTCGGTGTTGACAGGGTAATTCTGCAAGAGAAGAGCACCCGCAGTGACCAGAAGTTTCTTGGCACAATCATGATTCCGGACAAGCGTTGGGATGTAGGTGAGTCGATCAATGCCTTCCCCTTGGCAGATTTGCTTGAAAGGGCCAGCTAAGGCGGAATGAGGACCGATTTCGAGCATCACCTTGACGTTGCCTAGTGTGGGGTCTGATGCAAGTGATACGACTGCTTGGTCGAAAAGAACTCTGCTGCGCAGGTTGTCGCTCCAGTAGGTTAAAGGGATTAAATCACCCGTAAACTCTTTGCCAGTCACACTGGAAAACCAGGCAGCACGAGGGCGTCGCCAGGATCGAGTGTCCTGCCCAGAGAGTGCATGGCCAAGAAGCTCGTCGTAAACGTCAGCGACATTTTCCATTTGCGGAGAATGATACGCTTTCCCCGTGTTTAGCTCCCGGGCAAAGATACCCTCTGCTTGAAGACGCTCTCGCATCGAGACGATGGCTGTTTGCGTACCACTAAGTGTCGTGCTCCTCGGTGAGTTCTGGCAAGCCACAACTACATCAGCCGACGATATGTATGAAGCTGCTTCTTCGGCCCCGAGGCCTACAGCAAGCATGGAGCCGAACGGGGCATGCCGCTGGACAGCATATCCTCGCAAGAAGGCAGTGATGATAGCCTGGGGCGCGGACAAGAGGCCAGCAGCATAAGCAGCAGCAATCTCACCGGAGGAGTGACCGACTGTAACCTTGGGGATAATGTCCCACCTAGCGAAAAGGTCGACAATGGCGATTTGGACAGCAGTGCAAATGGGTTGAGCAATCTCAGGCTGGCTGATCTTACTTGTCTCAGCTGGCTCCCTCAACACGGCTTCGAGAGACCACGACGGGCGCAAGTGATCATCCAGGCACTGAAGGATATCATCGAGGGCTCGGATAGTGTTGAGGAAGGATGGGAAGCATTCCATGGCTGTAGCTCCCACACGAGGCCACTGGGCTCCCTGGCCGGTGAATATGAAACCAAGCTCTGGTACAGCTCCTGGGGCAGTCCCAATCGTAAACTCCGAGAAATTGAAGTCTTGCTCAATTGTTGAGGGCGATGCGACGGTGAATCCTCTGACAGGAAATCTCGTACGGTGAGAGAGGAGTGTGTAAGCCAGGTCCGGCAGATAGTATTTCGACGCTACAGCAGCGTGAGCCGAGATGTTACGCTCCAACGTCGTTCTGTCATGAGCCGAAAGAAGCATAAGGTAGGGGCGAGAGGCTGCAATGCCACTGTAAGAGTATGAAGACCCTTCTCGTCGCTGACCGTGTCGATACAGGGGATAGAGATTATCCACCGACTCAACAACAAGATGACCGTTGGTGCCCCCGTACCCAAAGGAAGACACACCCGCGCGTCGCAGTCTTGAGTGCTCAGGCCAATTATCGGTCTCTCTAGCAACTCTGATGTTCCAGTCTTTCTCTGGGATGGCAGGATTTACCGTCTTGAGGCCGGCGACACCAGGGATAATGCCAGACTCGGTCATGAGAGCAGCTTTCATCACGGCAAAGATACCGCTCGCGGCTTCACTGTGTCCGATATTTGCCTTGATCGCGCCAACTATCAAAGGGTTATTGATGGATCTCGAATCATTCATGGCTTTGGCAACAGCGTGAGCCTCAATTGGATCGCCAACGGGCGTTCCAGTTCCATGGCACTCCACGTAGGGCGTAAGAGAGGGATCTAGACCAGATTTGGCGTAAGCTGCGCGAATTGCGCTTTCTTGTCCAAAAGCACTTGGGAATGTAATACCCATTCCCGAGACTTTGCCGTTTGAATTGACCGCTGATGTGCGGATGACACCACGGACTGGATCGCCGTCGCGAATCGCATCAGCTAAGCGCTTAAGGTACAGCGCACCAGCGCCTTCGGCACGACCGTAACCATCGGCGGAGACATCAAACGTATGACAAGTAGACGTGGGAGAGAGAACACCAAGTTTAGCGGTATTCATATGCTGGTCGACAGTGAGCACAAGGTTGACTCCTCCGGCAATGGCTGCTGTACAGTCTCGCGCCCTCAACGCCAGACAGGCATTGTGTATCGCATACATAGAAGACGAGCAAGCCGTATTGACTGTAAAAGAAGGTCCGTGAAGGTCAAAAACGTTGGCGAGGCGAGCACTGATGATGCCTGGGTCGACACCTGTTGCGGCGTAGTTATGTCGAAAGTCTTCCTCCTTCAACGACATCTGCTGGAAGTCACTAGTGAAGCTTCCCACGTAAACAGCTGTATTGGAGCCAGCTACTTTATCAAGCGTCAAGCCCGCTGACTCCAAACACTCGTAAGTGACTTCGAGCATCCTCCGCTGCTGCGGATCTAGCCACATGGCTTCTATCGGTGAAATGTTGAAGAAGGTGGGGTCGAAGTCTTCGGGTGTGCCCTCGAGAAAATAACCCCCAGCGACATTGAAGCTACCAGGGCGCTCTAGGTTCTCGTGCAGGTATCCGTCGATGTTGAAGCGTGAGCCTGGGACTTTTGAGGTCCGTACAGACTTTTTACTCTTCAGGGCCTCCCATAGAGAGGATGAAGATCTGATACCTCCGGGTAATTGGCATGCTTCATTTTGACGAGTTAGTAAATCCGACGTGACCAGAACACTTGATGCAACGTGGGCTTGTTCAGGTGGACTTACACATGCCAACAATGGCAATTGGCTCCAATCCCACCCCTTCCATTTCAGTTCTCTCGCTAAAATGAGGCATCTTGAATGGCAGGCAACGTAATAGTTGATAGTAAAAGTATTGTGAGCCGATTCTTTAGATATAGAGAATGTTCCGGTGTAGATATCATGCCAAGAGAAAGGATAATTTACTTATAAGAGCAATGCACGAGATCTCATATGAGAACAGGCAGACAGAGACTGATTACTTTCAGCTAAGCTTTAGTGATATTTGCCTCGTGTCACATGCTGTCCCGTGGCTATGAGTCTCAAGATGGTATTAATTTTCTTATCTCATCGGCCTTCCAGAGGTTGATTTCTTTCGGTGTTTTTTCTTTGACACTTCTTGTTTCCGTGCTAATATTACAGCCGATCAGATATCCTGAGATGCGTATCAGCACAAGTCTCACCCAACCGAAATTCCCTCGGGCACTAAAACCGGACGGTTGTTAAAGCCCACCTATCCTAGTCCATCAAACAATGATTAAGGTTTGATTGGCCGGCGACATTTACGATATTACCATGGTTTTTAATGGCGACTTGAGTCTCTCTACATGCTTTAGTGCCCGGTCTCTCACATGTTACGGTGTTTTACTCGATGGGGCGGTGCGTCAGTAGCATACGGTATCTGATGCGGAGACTTGTTCATGGCACTGCTCTTAGCTAACCGCAGCATCATCAACCTTTGCATACTGGTTTTACGTCCGAGTCTCTGTTTGCACAGACACCAAACCTAAGTCACAAAGATTCTTGTTGACTCACAAATTAATGAAAGTACAAAGCTTCTATGGTGTATTGCGTATTCATGTGGCAAGCAACGCAACACGCTTGGACTTGTACTTGAGGCCAAGTGCGCTATTTGGTGGTCACGCTAGAGGGTAGATAGATACTTATAATGGAGTAGAGTAGTAGTTTTGACTGGCTTGCGAAAAACCACAAATTGAAAGATCGTGTGTACATGTGCCCCTCCAACATATAGACATGGGCATTGGTGCTACAAGGCGCCCAGTTGACCTCTACATAGCTTCAATTTCCTCTCGTTCAAGCAACTTTCCAGTAGATCCCATGGTCTCAATCAAGCGTCCACGGATATGTTCTCCCACGACAGTCTCTGCCCCAGAACCATCAAGTGCCTTTGCATTCAGCTTGAGGTTTCCGTTAAGGAAAAAGGCCACGCTATGGCGGTGCTTGTCTGTGTTGGTTAGCACGCGGTGACGAGCACTACGATAGTAGCCCCCGGTGTATTTCTGCATCATGTCGCCCATGTTGATGACATAGGCGTTCTCCTTGACGGGAACGGGGACCCATGAGTTGGATGGCGGATAGTACACTTCCAGGCCCGTCGTGCCCGGTTCCTGTGCGAGGATGGTCACACATCCAAAGTCAGTATGGTCGGCGACTTTAAACCACGTGTTAGCATCTCATAGTCATGAATGTTGCAATGGTGGCCTTACCTCCGAACTGACGGCTGTCCTGTGCTGGCACTGGAGCGTAGTGAAGGAACCGCATGGGGATAGACGGCTTCTCGAGCAATGACTCGAAGACATTGGGTGGGCAATTCCACTCTTTAGGCAGTCCCTGAGCAAGGATCTCAAGAAGCTTGCCTACCAACTCCACCATTCTTTCCTGGTATCCCATGATCACGTCTCGGAACTTCTCCTTGGGCAAGCTTGAGGGCCAGAGATTAGGGCCAGTCGAGAAAGAGCCACAATCCGGGTCCTCCAGTGGAACTTCTCGTCCCACCATAAAAGTCTAGAGAGTATTGTATCAGCATCCAAGTTGAATAAATGCCAAAACGTGACGTTTTACCTCCTTGGTATCAGGAAGAAGGCCTTTGTGGTGTGTCTGGATCAGAGGCGGCTCGTAACCTCTGAAAGAACGACCAACTGATTTGTTGATCCAGACTTCCATCTTCTTGTCCTCGGGCAAAGCAAAGAACGTCTTGTTTGCGTCAAAGGCTTCTTTAATGGCATGTTCAGGAATGCCGTGGCCGACAAGATTGAAGAAGCCGTAGATGTGACAAGCGTCGCTCATGTTCTTGACGACGGCCTCACGAGCCTCGGCTGATGCATCAGCATCTAGAAAGGCACTGATGTCAACCGTAGGTATGGTTGCGAGAGCCTCGATATTAGCCATGATGTGATGGGATGTCAAGAAGATTTCTGTTTATCTCAGTGCTATAGTTTAGTGAAAGATCTACCTGGTATTCTAGCTTAAAAAGGTCTCATGAGGTAGATAACCCTATTTGATAGTCAAGTGCTACACGAATCATCGTATGATTTCAACCAAGCTCTGACAATAATTCATCACTGACCCGGAACAAGGCGAAATCCGGTGCCTTGAGTAGTTAACTTCCAGGCGCTCATTTACCGAGGCCAGTCAAGAATTATGTCCCGAGGGTAATCATCGCAATGATTGAACAACGGATTTATACCCCGACTAGTAATTGAATCAGATAGTCTCCGGTAATCACCAGAATTGGATCCCATGTGGTTGCGTCACCCACCTAGCCTGAGGCTTCTCGATTCCGACCGAGCGAAAGTGATACTTTCTAGTATCTCTCTTACTATCAAATCTCAACCAACTATTTTGCACGTTCTCTCAGTACCGCACTCCAAGCAAAAGATTCTAATGCTAACTGTGTGGCTCAAAATGAAGTTCACGAATGGAAGCCCAAGGGGCAACTCATAGGGAAACGATGAAGAACTGGGAAACAGTTACAAGTCTTCCGCACTTATACGTGGATTCTATACTCAAGTTGTCACGATCATAGACTAGATTCGATTTGGCTATGTGTGCTCTTCAATAAGGCTGTATCGTATCCTTCCTAACTACCTTCGTAGGCCAGGCTTGCTCGTCCCTCCTGCCTTGAATGACATCTGCGCAGAATTCCGCTCCAATAACGGGATTCAGGGCTCCCATGGCAGCCTTGTTCACCTCCTTCCCTGTAGCTCTGTCGTTACCAAGGCCCGTGTTGAGAAACCCAGGTGATACATTAAAGACAGCCACACCGTCGTCTCGCAAAAGACGAGCCCACTCAGCCACCAGCATATTCATTGCCGTTTTGCTCACTCTGTATGCATACCATGGGGTTTCAGGCTTCGGCCATCCCGCTGGGGCCTGCGCATACTTGGGGCTGGTGCCAGCTGCGTGCTCGGAAATAGATGACAAGCCGCTGGTGATAAACACCAGACGCGGCTGTTGGGCCGGTGAAGCGAGCAGCAGAGGAGCAAATGCTTGCGTAAACAGATGAGTGCCTGTGACATTCACATCATACGTCCGATTCCAACCCTCACGGGCGCAAATTTGGCCCGATTTCACAGCCATGTCTAGATCGAGGCCTGCATCATGTTGATCAGTAAATGTTGCACTTGAGGAATGTGATCCTGGCAAACGAACCGGCATTATTCACCAGCACGTCAACGCGGCCGTGCTTTTGCTCTACAAATTTGAAGGCTGAGGTGATAGACTCGTCTGACGATATGTCGATGGAAAGCGGTTCAGCGCTGGAGCTGCTGGAAGGAATGAGACTTCTCAAACGAGCAATCGCATCTTCGGCCCGAGTCAAGGAACCCCGGCAACCCATCAAGATGTGACAAGGCTCTGGACGTGAGAAGAGTGCCTTTGCCGTCTCATAACCTATCATACATTATTTTTGATTGTTCTACTAGAGATAACTAAGTTGTATTGCAGAAACTCACCTAAGCCGCTATTGGCGCCTGTGATGAGGATGATGGTCTTGGTGGTAGGAACAAGCATGTTTGTGGTGGTCAGCAGAAGATAAGTTGGATCAAGAGCAAAGATTCCTGGTTCGGCTTCCGACACGATTTAATTTTAAGCACACGCTGTCGGTCATTTTCTATGATAAGAAAAGTAGTATTCAGATGTGACAGAAAGATTTCCGGCAATGTGAGCGAATGAACCGCGATTTTCGACCGATAAATCGAAATATGGCCCGATTATGCATGTGCATCAAAATACTCTCCGAGATAATGTATAGTTAACATCTTATCAAAGACACATAAGCGTCAGCGTCTTCCGTCAGCAGCCAACTACCAACTTACCCTACACGTCATTAGTCAATTCGCACTGCCGTATGTTTCTTGTTAGGTATACTCTTCAAATAACGACGACCTACTTACCCTTCATGCAGTTACCATTGCCAATATACAAGAATGCCTCCTACGCTTGAACCTTGCTTGCTAGTTCAAGTTCCAGACAAACCCGGGAACAAAATTGCCGAGGAGCGTCGGATTCATCTAGTAGCACATATGACGGCGAATAAAACTCAGATTGACTTGGGTCGCTTGGTCATGGCTGGCCCGACAGTTGAGACGGTGTCTTCGGGATCTGACCCAGCTCCCCCAACTATCACCGGTAGTGTCATGGTTTGGAAGAGCCACAGTGAAAGTGAAGTCAGAGGGTGGCTGGACGAGAACCCTTACGCGATAATGGAGGTTTGGGATATGGAATCTGTAAAATTTACACCATTTCTATGTGCAGTTAGGAAGCCCATGTAATAGGTTTTATAGAGAGATTGCACAAGTTTGTATCCCTCAATGCGAGTTCGCAAGTTGATCTCATCTGGCGATGCCTTGAATATTGCCTCTGTAAGTACATGTAAAAGATGGAATGTCGGTAGTCTCTTGAAAAGGCTATTTAAAAACCTTAGGTGTACAACGACTATCGAATGTAATAACAACACGTCACTAATGGTTAACTATTCCAAGGACCTCTGCGCTGTACATAGAGTGCACCGTATAGTTGACAAGACTGTCTTGAACCTACAAAGTGTAGCCATCCTCTTCACTGAACCCTTCAGCAATCTCAGGCTGTCCCCGTAGTCGCTCCTCATACTTTTCAAGCGTCTGCTGAACCATACCCTCAACATCAAAATTCCAAATCTTGTACGAGCGGTCTCGGATCTCTTCAAAGCACGTATCTGCCTTGGTCCAGCGCTCGGGATCTGCCCACTCGCGCTGGTGGTACAGATCACATACCCTTCTACTGCTGTTCACTAGCCATTGAGTCCGTCGACGACGCATCTTGTCAAAGGTATCGAATGCAACCTCGACAGAATTCCTCAACTCTCCTACTGGGTGCTTGCTCACTTGCTCAAGAAGAGTGGCGAGACAAAGAGCATCCTCCGCCTAGTAATTTTAATCCCGAGTTAGCGAGATTTCGGTGTCTGGTATAGGACAATCACTTACACCTAAACAAGCACCTGCGCCATGATGTGGACTGGTTGCATGAGCGGCATCACCCGCAAGACATACAGAGCGGTCATAATATGTCGGCACCGGATAATCTCCCAGGTCGAATAATCCCCATTTGCTCAGCTTAGTAGGCATCAGGCTGACCAGATTTCGGACTTTTGGGTGCCAGTCATGCAGAGCAGCCTCAACCTCATCGCGGGAGCCTTCAGACACCATGCTGCTGTCGCCAGACCAGGGCCCTGGATCAGACAGAAAGATGACGACGTTGAGAGCTTGATGGTTTGCCACAGGGTAATGCGTGACGTGTGATCCGGGGCCGATATGGTGGTGGAAGTTGTTGGCTAGCCAAGGTCCGAGGACCTCAATGGCGGCACTCATTGGGACAAGACCCCTATAAGCAACCTTGTGCGTGTACTGGGCGTATGATGCCTTATTTTCAATACCCAGGATAGACTTTCTAACATTGGACTTGATACCGTCACACCCAATGACTTTGCATCGATGTTAGCTGTGTGAGGTCAACAATCTGAGACAAACATACCGGCATCAGCCTCAGCTGTAGTACCATCTGCAAACGTCAGGAGAATACTCCCATCTTCTCTATGCTCCAAAGTATCCATTCGTTTACTGAATTCGATTACTCCGGGTGGCAGATCCTTGGCAAGCTCCTGGAGGAACTGATCTCGTCGGCAGCCTCGGAAGCCGCCACCTCCAATCTGGGCGAGAGGTTTCTGGTAGCTGAGGTCATCCAGTCGATGCTGGTTGTACCCATCAATCCAACGCAGATAGTTGTCTTTCTCGTTCTCATCTGAGATAGGCACAGCGCCGCATCGCTTCAGGGCTTCGGTGACGGAGGGGTTCAGGAGGTCCACTGCATTTCCAGTTAGTTTCAAGGAATTTGATAAATCACTGAGTCACTTTGGTAGATGGTGGAGTTATAGTTGCGGGCTTGGACATGGTAGGATATTGTAGAATGGTTGCTACGTACTGCAATGACGGGCACATGCCGAGAAAGCAAAGCCCGCCCCAATCTCTCGAAACCCAGAAGCTTGTTCGTACACGCGTACTGGTATCTTTCGCTGGATCAGGCCAAAGGTTAAGATCATAGAAACAACGCCACCGCCGACGATGGCGATCCGCGGCTTAGTATCACCAAGCGTAGTGTCACCCATTTTGTTTAATCCTATTTGCTTTGGCAAAAGAGAATGATACTACGAAGCAAGTAACATCACACTTTAAAATCAGAGTGTTGATATGGTTCAGGGCAAGTATAAAAAAGAGCAATATGCCCGAGCTATCTAGGCCCGATTTGCTATGCGTCTGGCTTGTGATTAGCGCCAAAAGCAAAAGCAATATCGGTCTCGCCATATTTGATTTCGTAAATGTCCGAAGAATTTGCTTTAAGCCGAGTCTAATGAGGGGCGGGAGGAAGTAAGCACATCTACTGAGCAGCTTCTGTTCTTCCCAAAAAAGAATATGACATTTAATACCGACAATATTCCGGAAATTGGTCGGAGACAAAAATATGATAAAGGTAAGCAATCTTTTTATGATAAAAAGTAGCCGAAACCTCTGCGCGAGATACTGCCTCTCGGAGAAGATATCCGGAGATAGGGGACTGAGCACATGGAGGTCAAAGTACGTACACCGATCCTTCAGAGAAAACAGCAGGGTTGATAAGAACAACAAGAAGCTTGATTTAAGAGTTAGAAGGGGAGAAGGCTGCACAAGGCAGAGACAAAAAGTAATATCCAAATCCCAAATTCCCTAACGTCGTCACGCCGAATCTCAACATGTCAGCCGACGAAACTTCCCAAGACCCTAGGACGCTATTGCTGTTCGGGTCTCTCCCCCTGTCTTTTGACATCTCATCCCTCAACGATTTGCGCAAGCATCTGACCGAGGTCGAAGACAACCTCTGGATAGCAAAGATTCTCCAAAACCTGACGCACGATTGTGAAGAAGCGCTCGCTGCCACCCAATCCCTCCACCAAGCATCCGGTCGCCTGGCATGCGGACAGTTGGCCGATCTGTGCGAGTATCTCACCACAGGGCGTCCCCTAGAAACGTCATTTCCCCTTTCCAACACGTTGCTCGTCCCCCTTGCAGTCGCTGTTCAATTAGCTCAGTATGTCGACTTTATGCGGCGTAAGAGCTCAGCGGATGGCGATGGATGGGCTGAGCCTGTACCTGGTATGGAGACGATCGGTCTGTGCACAGGTATGCTCAGCGCTTTTGCCGTGTCTGCTTCACAAGATATGGCGGAGTTGCGGCAACATGGCGCTGCAGCGATACGACTGGGGCTGCTGATAGGCCTTGCAGTTGATGGCATTGATGTAGGTTCAGAAAGAGGACGTTACAAATCATTGAGTGTTGCTTGGGCTTCAGCCGAGAGACGCGAAATGATGACACGCATATTGGCAGATTTCGAGCAGGCGTACATTTCAGTCAACTACGACGAGAACCGCGCCACTGTCACAGTCTGCACTGACGATCTGTTGGATCTGCTGAGTCGACTACAAGCCGTTGGCCTCAGTGCGTCAGAAATCAGTCTACTTGGCCGCTTTCACTCCCCAGAGAACTTGAGCGTGGCAGGAGATCTGATAGCCTTCTGCGATACTCACAGTGCTTTTCAGCTCCCACAAGCAACGTCCCTGACCATACCGACACGGTCTCACGATGCTACTGGGTCCCGGCTGCAAGACGGTGCGCTACACACTCATGCAATCCGTTCAATACTCCTAGAGCCACCTCAATGGTTCAGTGCCTTTTCTACAGCATATGCCAGTAACAAGGCTTGCCAAGTACTTGACTTTGGACCTGAGCGCAGCGTGCCTCCATCGTTGTCATCCAAGATCAACCACAGCATGATCGCGCCAGGAACTAGAATGGAACCACGATCTAGCCGTAACGGGATGGACAGCGATATTGCCGTTGTCGGCATGTCGTGCAAAGTCCCGGGTGCCAATAACTTGGACGAATTTTGGGATCTACTGGTTTCCGGTCAGTCGCAGCACCAAGATATCAGCCCTGGCAGCATCGCCGGGTCTCGCTTCTCTTTCGATGACGGACCGTTCCGTACTACTTCCGATCCCAACATGAAGCGCAAGTGGTTTGCCAATCTGGTAGACGGCCACGATCAGTTCGACCACCGCTTCTTCAACAAGAGTGCGCGTGAGAGCGCGTCGATGGATCCGCAACAGCGTCATTTTCTGCAAGCCGCGTATCAAGCCGTTGAGCAGAGCGGATACTTCCAGTCGACAAATACACCTGGGAACAACATTGGTTGTTTCGTAGGCGTGTGCCTTGGCGACTACGACAACAACGTCGCTTCTCACGCAGCCAACGCCTTTACTGCCACGGGAAACCTCCAGGGTTTCATCTCTGGCAAGATTTCGCATTTCTTCGGTTGGACTGGGCCAGGGCTTACCATCAACACAGCCTGCAGTTCGTCTCTGGTGGCGGTGCACCAAGCATGTCAGTCAATCTTGTCGGGCGAGTGCGAGGCGGCGCTTGCGGGTGGATCGCATATCATGACTTCGGCTGAGTGGTTCCAGAACCTGGCTGCTGGTTCGTTCTTGAGCCCGACTGGCCAGTGCAAACCGTTCGACGAGAAAGCCGATGGATACTGCAGAGGTGAAGGCGTTGGAGCTGTCTTCCTCAAAAAGATGAGCAAGGCTATTGCAGATGGCGACCCCATCTTGGGCGTCGTCGCCGCGACTGGTGTCCAGCAGAATGAGAGTTGCACACCGATATTTGTGCCCAACGTCCCTTCGCTGAGTCATCTCTTCGTCAGGGTGTTGAACAAGGCTCGCGTGAAGCCATCGCAGATTTCAGTTGTTGAAGCTCGTTAGTATCCCTTTTCCTCCGTTGTTTTTCGGTAAGGCCTTTTACTAATACTCTTCTAGATGGCACCGGTACAGCAGTCGGCGACCCTGCAGAGTATGACAGCATCCGGCGCGTCCTCGGTGGTCCAAACCGCGGATCCGACAACCAACTGATGCTTAGCTCAGTCAAGGGGCTAGTTGGCCATATGGAATGCACCTCTGGCGTCATTGGCTTGATCAAAATCCTGCTCATGATGAACAGAGAGACGATTCCACCGCAGGCTAGCTTTGAGAAGGTGAATCCAGCCCTCAATGCAAAGCCAGCAGATGGGATCACCATACCAACCCAGACAAAGCCATGGAATACAGAGTTCCGTGCCGCTCTTCTGAACAACTATGGTGCCTCGGGGTCAAATGCCTCTGCCGTCATCCTGCAGCCTAGGAATCTGACAGGGGCACAGTCTTATGTGAAGATGCCTGCAGGAGCCAAGTACCCCTTTTGGTTTGCCGCATCTGATAAGAAGAGCATGTGTCGCTATGTGGCAGCATTCCGGGCCTATGTTTCTCGATACGGAAACGCCACTTCCTTGGCCAACATCGCTTTCAATCTTGCATATCAGAGTAACCGCACCTTGGACTCGAGGCTGCTGCTCACCGCAAGGTCCATTGGAGAACTGGACCAAGCCCTAGCTACGTACGAGAAAGCCTACAACGCCAACGTAACGACCAAGTCCTCATCCCGTTCGGTGACAACTCCAAACGTCATTCTGTGTTTTGGGGGACAGGTATCCTCGCATGTCGGCCTTTCCCGTCAAGTATACGATAGCTTCAGCGTGTTTCAAAGCCATCTCAACCACGTCGACGCTGTGGTGCAGTCCCTGGGGTGCTCTAGCATCTTTCCCGGTATCTTTCAGCAGACTCCAGTCTTGGATATAGTCGAACTGCAAACCATGCTGTTTGCTTCGCAATATGCTTGCGCGCGCAGCTGGATGGACTGCCGTGCTCGACCAGTTGCACTTTTAGGCCACAGTTTCGGCGAGCTCACAGCTCTCTGCGTATCACAGATCCTCTGTCTCGAAGATGCGCTGAGAATGATCATTCGTCGGGCAACTTTGGTCAGAGATGCTTGGGGCCCTGACAGAGGCGCTATGTTAGCAGTTGAGTCTGATCTCGATGACTTGAAACAACTGATTGCGCATTCCAACAGCACTCATTCAGACGGACCTGTGACAATTGCTTGCTATAACGGGGCAAGAAGCTTTACTCTTGCGGGGTCGACTAGTGCTATAGAGGTTATGGCTGCTCAACTCAAAGGCCGGACCAATGTCAAGAGCAAGAAGCTCAGCGTCACAAACGCATTCCACTCGGTGCTCGTTGACGATATTTACGACGAGTTGAAGCTTGCCGGGAGAGGTTTGACCTTTCGCAAGCCTATGATTCCTCTCGAATTCGCCACTGCCGAGAGCACCACAGTAAGCGAGTTATCAGCCCAATTCGTTGCCGACCACATGCGCAATCCCGTTTACTTTCATCACGCCGCTAGACGTTTGGCCACACGCTACAGCGACTCTCCCTGTATTTTCTTAGAAGCAGGGTCCAACTCTACAATAACAAACATGGCCGCTCGCGCACTCATCGACTTCAAGGACTCATTCTCGTTTCATGGTGTCAATATCTCCAACTGCGAAGACGGCTGGAACAAGTTGACCGACACCACGGAATCTCTGTGGAAGGCTGGCTTACCAGTGCAGCATTGGGCACACCATAGTTCGCAGAGGCGGCTTCAGGCAGATATATACCCTCTGTTTCTACCACCGTACCAGTTCGATCCTGACTCGCGACATTGGATGGAGCTGAGGGCCCCGCCTCGCGCCCAGACCATCAAGGACGATTCTCGCGAGGATAGTGAGAAGAGAGAAGATGATCCAGACCAACTCTTGGCATTTCACGGGTTTCGAGACGGCGTAGCTCAAAACCAAGCTCTGTTCTGTATCAACACCAATGCAGAGAAATATCAGCAACTGCTATCGGGACACGTTACACTACAGACTGCGCCGATACTGTCCGCCACTCTGCAGATTGGCTTTGTAATTGACGCTATTGGAGCCATCCATCCAGACTATCGGACGATGCAATGCCAACCACAAATTCGGGATGTAGAATATCACTCCCCAGTGTGCGCCAACTCAGGGAAATCGACCTGGGTCGAGATCACCAAGAATACATCCACGTTAGAAAGTCACGACTGGCGTTTTGAAGTATTCAGTACCGACAATGAGCGAACTAGTCAGGCACGATTCGTGCATACCACTGGCCAGGTGATCTTTAGTACACCAGACGACTCATCGGTGAAGCGCGAGCTGGTGCATTTCGAGAGGCTCTTCAGACACAGTCGTGCTACCGACCTCCTACAGACCACGCGGGCAGAAGAGGTGCTTGGAAACCGCAACATCTACCGCCTGTTCTCTGACATTGTTGCTTATGGCGACGAGTTCCGTGGTATGCAGAAGATGGCTGGCCATGGTAACGAAACGGCAGGTCATGTCATTCGTCTCAACAAAGACCCCAAGTTATGGTTTGATCCTCATCTCGCGGATACTTTCTGCCAGCTCGGTGGCTTGTGGATCAACTGCATGCAAGACCATGGTCGAGACGAGGTATATCTGGCAAATCGTATTGACCAATGGATGAGGTGGCATTCTACTGAGAACCGACCCGACAAGTTTGACGCCTTCGCCATGCATCATCGTCCCTCGGATCAGCAATCATTAACAGACGTGTTTGTTTTTGATGCCGTCACTGGCGCCCTCGTCGAGGTCATCCTCGGTATTTCATATGTTAAGATCTCAAGGCCATCTATGGAGAAGCTTTTGATCCGCATGTCCTCCTGGGAAACCAAGGTTATCCCATCGAAACCATTAGCTGTGTCGCCTACAGCGCCTGTGTTTACACCAGCATCGAGCAGTGTGCACAGCGCGGTTGAAGGCACTTCCTCGATATCGCAACCAGCGCCAGTCGATTTGCCAACAGGTCATTACGGGGCCCCAGCAGACCACAGCAAGCCCAAGTCCTCACAGCACGCGTTACTGGACCTAGCAGCGAAAGTAAAGGCCGTCATCGCCGACCTGTCAGGTTTAGAGATTGCAGAGATCCAAGACGACAGCATCCTTGCAGATCTAGGCATCGATTCACTAGCGGGTATGGAGATGGTGAATGAGATTGAGTCCACGCTTAGTGTCAAGCTTCCCGATGCTGAGATTCTCATGGTCACTGACTTGCCCGGTTTGATCGGATGCACTGCCGGAGCCATGGGTCTGGCTGCAGAGCCGATTGAGGAAGCCGACGACTCCTCTGACAGGGACACGACGAGTGCCACGACTTCTGAAGATGGCACGACACACAGCAGCTCAGTGGCGCCCACCACAGAGTCTGGAGGTAACAAGGAAGAGTGGCATGGAGATCTTGACGAGCTCAAGCTGTCCTTTTCGACTGTCATGGAGGCTTTCAATGAGATGAAGGCCGGTACAGACGACCGAATAACAGAGCTACAGCAGACTTGTTATGTGGCAGAGATACTACCGCTGCAGGAAGAGTTGACCATTTCACTGACACTCGAGACGTTTGAGGCTCTGGGCGCTGGACTACGCGATGCTCAGCCAGGCGAGCAAGTCACACGTATTCGACATGACAAAGCTCATCAACAGCTGGTGACACACCTGTATAAGATGCTGGAGAAGGAGACTCAAATTATCAAGATAGACGGGAAAGCAATCACACGAACGGCTGTGCCTCTCCCTCAACAGCATAGTGCACAATTGCAAGACGAGCTACTTCAGCGGGCACCAGACCAGCAATCGGCCACCAAGCTCCTCTATTATGCTGGAAAGAACCTGAAGCACGTTCTCCTAGGTGAGACAGACGGTGTCAAGGTTATCTTTGGCTCGAGTGAAGGCCGCGAACTCGTCAGTGACTGGTACGCAGAGTGGCCGCTGAACCGTGCGCTGATCGCGCAGATGGAGGATTTCGTCACTCGTCTGGTCCATATGCTCCAGACCACGTCTGATGAGTTCAAGCCAAACGCAAGTAGACCACTGCGTATCTTGGAAATGGGTGCCGGTACAGGCGGTACCACCAAGCGAATAGTGCCGCTACTAGCCCGACTGCAGATACCTGTTGAGTACACCTTCACTGATCTGGCACCCTCATTCGTCGCTGCAGCAAGGAAGAATATGGGCAAGCAATACCCGTGGATGAAGTTCCGCGTGCATGACATTGAAAAGGCACCAGAGTCAGACTTGGTAGGGACTCAACACCTTGTCATCGCGAGCAACGCCATCCACGCGACAAAATCCTTGACCGAAAGCGCCAAGAATGTGCGGCGAGCCCTACGCCCCGACGGGTTTCTCCTCATGATGGAGATGACGCGTACACCGTACTGGGTAGACCTTATCTTTGGTCTCTTCGAGGGATGGTGGTTGTTTGAAGATGGCCGTCAGCACGCCTTGACGCATGAGTCGAGGTGGGAGGCTGACCTACATGCTTCTGGATACGGCCATGTTGACTGGACGGACGGTGCGAGGCAGGAGACAGAGATACAGAAGCTGATATTGGCTGCGTCCAATCCGGATAATAGGTGAGTTGCAGACATTGAGTCCATTGTTCTTTTCTTTGAGGCCTGGCTGGAGATATTTACATGTACATATCGTCTTATCTTACAATGCGAGAAGAAACCCCATTTGCTCTATTTACTTCGTCCACACTCTAATTACTTGACTCGATTTTAGGTGCGAGCAATTGTTCAATGTGAGACAGACGGACCAACAGCACATCGCATCTCTCGACTGTGCAGCACGTGAACAAGTTGTCGTCAACTACGTGCGTGACCTTACCCAAGGTTTCGAAGCGTCTATAACAAACGCTCTAGCTGCCTCAGTTTCAGACCCTACGCCCAGTTCTAAATGCATCGTGATATCCGGCGGCACTGGTGGCTTGGGTGCACATCTAGTAGCCGAAGCTGCTCTCCGATCAGATACCACAAAGGTTGTGTGCTTGAACCGTCCAAACAAACGAGATGCAAGAGAGCGGCAGATTGAAGCGTTGCGAAAGAAAGGCATTCAGCTTCCGTCCGAGGCATTGGCTAAGCTTCATGTTCTGCAGACCGACCTGTCACATGCTGTGAACCTGGGGTTGTCCGATCAAGACTACTCTTCACTAATTCGCGACGCTACGCACATCATTCACAATGCTTGGTTGATGCACTCCAAGTGGCCCGTCAAGCGATTCGAGCCGCAGCTCCGCATAATGGCAAACATGCTCCGTCTGGCTCGCGACATCTCAGCCCGACGATCACGAAACTCGCTTGTGACGTTTGAGTTCATTTCTTCAATCGCTACGGTTGGGCACCACCCGCTCCTGACAGGGAAACCCGTGGTGCCAGAAGAGCGCGTTTCTATAGGCAGTGTTCTACCCACGGGATACGGAGACGCCAAGTATATCTGCGAGCGTATGCTAGACGCGACACTTCATCGCTTCCCGGACCGCTTCCGTGCAACAGCGGTGCGACTTGGTCAGATAGCTGGAAGCACGACAAACGGCCACTGGAATCCCATGGAGCACGTCTCATTCATGATCAAGTCGTCCCAGGCCTTGGGGGCCCTACCAGATCTCCCAGGAAGCGTGGGGTGGACGCCTGCCGATTGCATGGCCACTACATTACTTGAGATACTGGCCCAGCCAGATGCCGTGTCTCTGTGTCCCATCTATCACATCGAGAACCCCGTTCGACAGCCCTGGCACGACGTCACCGCCGTTCTCGCCGATGCTCTGGCTGTCTCGGGGAATGCACTAAGAATCGTTGACTTTGAGGAGTGGATCGACGCTGTGCGGAATTGGCCTGAGCGAGAGCAGAACAATCCCCATGGAGCTAATCCCGCGCACTTGCTCGTTGAGTTCTTGGAGACAAACTTTGTACGCATGAGTTGCGGGGGATTGCTGCTGGGGACAGCAAAGGCAAGAGAGCATTCGCCCACTTTTGCAAAGCAAGGCATGGTGAGCGATGACTTGATTAGGTTGTATATCAAAAGTTGGATCGAGATGGGCTTTTTGGCTTAATGCTTGTGGCTATCTCCGAGGGAAGCCTAGCTAGATTTGGCAGTGTTAGAGGTAGAATCATAGCTCCTCTCCAGAAAGAGCAAAGCGGCATCGTAGAATGGGACACGCCTTGTTATGGGTAAAGAGACTTGTCATCAACGGGTTCATCGGGGGAAAATCAATATTACTCCTCTTATCTCTGCCAGCAGACAATCATGATCGTTTATTCTGACTCAGCCAGTCGAATTAGTCTTGCCGCAGAACGGTACATGCACATGCAGCGGATGGGGCCGTGCGATTGGCGATACATGTACGACGTGCAGAAAAGGTGGTCAGCATCTGCCCATTTCGACATCCAGATGGCCTCAATTTGGGATTCACGGCAGCCCCATTACCCAAACACGTTCAATGTTTTGCAACAATTATTCATAGTAGTTATGGGGTCTCCAACGTCTTTCTTACAGTCGCTTTCACTTCTCCTATCACTGAGAAAGCGTGCCTAACACTTCTTCGTCAGCAAAGACCGGAAGAAGTTATCCCTCATTGTAACCTGACTAATTCATGCAAATGATCACGCTCGCATTTCGGTTGCAACCAAGTCCACCCGTTCCCGGTTTTAGTGGCCAATGAAGATATCACGCCACCAATGATGTCGCCGAAGAATGCGTCGCTCAACGTTGTACATCTGCAGCAAAACGCAACACGGGCAATGAAGATACAGCACTGACAGCGGGAGGACAGAGGCCAATAGTAGATGCATTCGGTTCGTAAGGCATTCTTCGTCCACGTCAGTCGTTTGCGACCTAAGGGAAAAGAGGCAACCTCAGCAGAGCCTCATCACATTTAACTTGTGGATTTTCGGCCCAGATCAAGATAAGCTCGCGGATCCTCAATTTGATACTCAGTCTCCAACAGTTCCTAATTATTGTCAGAAATCCACCCGATCTTTCTCTCAGTTCGATCTTTCCATACCCTGATTGGTTAGTCACTATGGTGTCGACACCCCCGCCATCAGATGACGCAGAGGGTCATCACCCAGAAGAGAGTCCACATGACGAGGAGGAAACCAAGAATGCTTCTTCAAGCAAGAAAGAAAGCAAACAGCCCAAAACATCACACCGTGGACACAAACTTCGGCATAAACAGCCTGCGCATTATCGAACCCATACCAACGACTTGCCTTCACAAGTCCCGGGCGATCCGCTAATGAGGGAGGCCATGCGCTACGGCGTCGACCCCAATACATTTCCTCCGCCACCGGGTGCGTATCAAACTAACACAAGCACACCTTACTATCCATCGCCAAACATCCCGACGCCGGCTGGTTATCCTAGTCCATATACCTATCCCGGAGGGGGAAGTTATTTCTCTGTCCCGAGAGCAAGTGTTCAGAACCCCCAATACTTTTCTCCATCTGGATACGATGTTCCACCTTCAGGATACTCTGACCCAGGATATAATCCCGCCGATTCTTACAGGTATAAGGAGGAAGTCCCGCCGTACCCTGAATACCCAACACGGGATCCGAAAAGACCTCCAGTTCGACCGAGACCCTCCCGGCAACCGAAGCCGCAGACAGAACCCAATCTGAGCGCCCTTCGAAGGGGTGGGCCGTGTCAAAGACCTCGGCAGAGGCGACCGTCTATATCCACCAGGGACAGAGCTTTGTCAGAAGATGGCATAACCATGACAGATATCATGGCCGAACTCAGAAACCTTCAACGACAAGTATACCAAGCTGAGATCCAATCAGACCCAGGAAGGATCCCAGGTCGCCCACGAAGAAGCCCATCAGTTACGAGTCAGTATACAAGCGACGACACAAGATCTCTCAACATCGAAAGAGAAAGGTCTCGTCAACTCACAAGTATCATCTACCGACTACTCGAAGATAGACAGAGACCAGAGTACCAAGAATCGTTAGGTCGTTCGTCAAGGCAGACTATAGTTGATCTTCTTCAAGGGAGCATAGGACAGAATGAGAGAGATATGGCGCTGGTCAGCCAAAGAGATGCTCAGGACATTGGGTCGAAGCTAGACACTATCATTGAGTATCTTCAGCTTGAGGATAGATTTGAAGATGAGCCAACACTGCAGCGATTTCCAGAAGGTCACGAGAGCAGGTCAAGGCCCCTGGTTCTGAGGGGTCAGCCTTCTGTTGCCTCAGGTTCATCGGTGCACGAGCCTACATCGCCGACTCTGAGTCGAGCGATGCCTCGTCGTCACCAGACCTTCCCATCAGGGAGCAGACCACTACGGGATGCACAGCCATCTAATCAAGGCCGAGCCCGACAAAGCCCTACCAGGTTACCTGATCCAGATGAAGAAGACGAAGCTTATGAAAAGTTCAGGCGAGAAGTCGCCACCTCAAGACCTGCCCGTACAAGGATCAGCTCAACACAGAGTGTTGCATCACAGGATAGGAGAAGGAGTCAACCAACTGTCGGCCAAAGTGACATTCGACCACCAGCAAGAAAGATTGTAGAAGGTGATCAACAGAAGGTGAGACCAAATCGGTTTGCATATGTCCAGACGGAAGATGAGCTGGATGAAGAACCTGCTCGAGCACCTGAGCCGCCGTACCCGGTGCCTGATCCACCTGGACAGTCGAGGCGGAGAAGATCTCTAAGATCAGTGAGGTTTGGCTAAAGGCAGTGTATTTTAGTAGTGGGCTTCTCGATAGGGCGATTAATGAAGTGGGCGGGGAAGTATCTGGCGCGAATGGGGAGATTGAATCTGATGGGAAAAGGATCGAATAATGTAAGACCATAAGTTCTACTAAGTTATGCGCGGTGAAGATAAACTTGGTCGGTGTTATTAAACCATAAAATAGAATTGTCTAGTCCCTACAAACAACAACGCCGATGAAGAATGATCATCATGAGATGAACCAATGAGAATGCGTTATGTAAGCACTCCGACCTTGACATGACATGATCGCAGACTATGTTGGATGTATTATTAATTCAAGGCTCTACTGGTATCGCGTGTCGCAATTCCGCAGGTCTATTGCGTCAACTCGAGGGGCACAGAGTTGAGTGTCAAAGTTCTTTTCGGTTAGACGTCTTGTAACGCATAACGTTATCGCCAAGCAAATGCGAGCGGAATTTCCGGTCGTCAGCCTTTATGGTTTCACCCTCATCATCGACAAAATGATTGGTCAAGGTTGACCCGTCGTACAACGTTATGCTAGAGTATTTAATAATAACTGAAGAACATGGCCTTTGCAGTTCATCAAACTCAATTTATCTGTTTTCTCGAAAGAAGTTATTAATATGTCTCGTCCAAACAAAGCCATCTACATGCTTGCAAATGGCAAACATGAGATCCGCACGATCGAAGAACCGTACATCCCCCAAAAGGCACAATCGCTTGTGGAAGTGCAGTACTCAGCCATCAACCCAGCTGATACTCGTCACTCATACATGGGAATGTCAGAATACGTCGCTGGTTATGAATACACCGGCACCGTTCGAGGTGTTGGGCCCGAGTCTCCTTTCAAAGTTGGGCAAGAGATCTTTGGCTTTTCGCTGCCATATGACCACCGACCCAATTATCTAGGTGCTCATCAGAGTTTCCTGTTGGCCGAGCCCTTGATGGCTTTTGACAGGCCTGAGCATCTTGATCCCATCACCGCTGTAACGCTTGTTGTTGGCGGTGCAACGTCCTTTGATGCTCTTTTCAATGTGGCTGGGTATGGCTTCCCGCTCGCTGGCATCACTGGCAACGATCCGAAGAATGAGCCAATTCTTATTTGGGGCGGTGCTGGCGCTGTAGGCCAAGCTGCTATTCAGATAGCTAAAGCTGCGGGTTTCGGTCCTATTATCACGACTGCCTCACCTCAGAACCATGACGCCTTGAAGAAGCTTGGTGCCGACGAAGTCTTTGACTATCGAAGTGCAACAATCGTGGATGATATCCGTATCTATTTAAAGTCATCTGGGAAGTCACTAAAGACTGTCTTCGACACAGTTTGTACAGGTCTCGGTGTCTTTGAAGGTCTTACGCCCGAAGAAGAAAGGGCATTAGAAGATAAATACGATCAAAGCTCGCCAGGTCTTTCCCGCCAGTGCTGTGATCCCAACGTACCTTCAGAAGAACTCCGTCTGATATCAACTCTCCTCGTGAAGAAGGATCCAACATGGAAGTTTACCTTGAGTGTCAGGACAGTTGACCAACTTGACTTTGCGGTTGAAAGCCAAGTTCGAAGCGATGAGGAGAGAAATAGAGAGGAGAATAGGATCATCCAGTGGCAGAATCGTATTGAACAGGGTATTCATTGGCTCGTCGAGAATCATGACCAGTATTGGGAGGCTCCGAGGACTACAATTGTAAAAGGAGTTGAGGAGGGGCTTCAAGGTATTCGTGATGTATGGAATGGGAAAGTCAGTCGTGAGAAGCTTGTCATTGATCATCGGGTTTGAGGAGTAAATAGTGATGGTTGCACAGCATGAAGAGAATACCTGTCAAGGAAAAAAGGTTTATCCTCGATACCTTTCAAGTTTTGTAATTGAGTAGTGAAAATAACCTTATCTGATATCCCACTGACATAGGGTTAACCCATTAAAAACAACACATTGTTTATTTTGCTCGTCAAGGTAGCGTACAAAGTGGCTGATATCGCTTCTCAGCATGATCCCCACCCTCGACTTCCTGGCCAAGGGGAAGCCAATGAATTCCTCCACTCCTCAACTCTGGTGCCGAAAGCGACCGTAAGGTCCAATATTTAGAGGCGCGGTCTCTGGTTGCATCACTGTGGCTTGGTATACTCATATCCTAACCACCAGGTGTCAAGTCAGCTCTCAAATACTCGCTAAACGGACGGAAGTCTGGCAACACACGTGGATCGAGTAAAAAGTAGGACCCTCAAATCAGGTGTTACATTAACAGTAGCCAAACACCTTGCAGAATATAATGATGGCCACCGGAATTACTATGGTCAATCCGGTGATTGCCGCGAGGATTCTATCACATTCCATGGCGTGTTCTGATGCTCGGACTCCAGTAATTCCAAGAAGAATAGCGAATTGCGTTATGGTGCTCGAACAAGGTTGAGGAGTATGTTGGTGATAGAATGTTGGGTCGAGATGGGAGAACGGAAATTTCAAAGTACTTATACCTAGGCATATCGGAGAATGTGTGATTTGCTGGTCAGGTCCGTGGCTGGAAGCTTATCTTCAATCTGAAGTGAGGGGGTCATAAGGTCTATTTGACTTTGTAAAGTGAATGGCTTACAGTCTAATCATTCAAGCAAAGAGTAGAGTTCCTATCTCTACAAGATATCATTAGACTTTAGTCTACGCATAGGTGAGTATTCTATAGCTTTTCTCCACAATCTGAGTTGTTGGCATGGCTAAAGTTTTAATAAGTTCTATGTCGTGATTATGAGCTCTTAGCCACAGGTCGCAACTGCAAATAATACATCCAGCTCCAATATAGACATTATACCACAATTTCTTAATAGTTGCTACAGCTGACGTTTTACTTCCTGCTGGTGTACAAGTGAGCAGCCTGCCGACATCTCCAATCTATTCGTCATCATATCATATTAAACTCCCCGATAGCTTGGAAATGAGACGAACTTCAGATTTTGGCACCAGAAGGATGTCCAGGCCGTAAATTTTTCACATCCGTTGGTCATTGTCCGTCGCGAACACGAAGTCTGGTACAAAGTTTCTGTCGGATGCTGGGACGGATATCAACGGATACAGCAAACGATCCATGTACTCCTCGCTCAAAGGTTCAGTGGAGCTCGGTAAACTAGAGCTCACGAGTTACCTTTCCCACGGATGAACAGCCGTCAACAGGCCAGCAGCAGCCAATAGGGGACTTCCAGCTCTCCAACTCGCTACCATAAAGGAGCACCTTGGCATTACTTACCGACTACAAGACTATGGATACCACTAAACAATGCCGCTAAACACGGTGGAGCCAATATGCCAAAACTATGATGGTCCTATGGACATGTGGAAGGTTGGGAACCATCTTTGCGAGATGTAAGTTTTGCAACGACAGATGTTCCATACCGTGGCCACGATGTTGGAAGGCTCGGCATGACTGTGCATAGAAGGAGGAAAGGTAATATTGTGATAGTTCAGGAGGATCCTTCTGCCAGGCGATACAGAACCAGCATAGTGGGCGATATCATGACCACCCAAAACAGCAATAGATAAGAGTCCGTTCCGAGACCAATTTACATCCGGTAACCATGGGATGGACAAATGGCATCTATCAGATGAATGAGGGCCCAGGCCAGGGCCATTATGGAGGATTACGACATGGTTAGGAGTGCTGTAGTCACATAGTCAAAATTTAATGGTGGATAACATTTAATCACTTGAGAGGTCTCGGTAAAGATTGGTTGACATAGCAATATTAAAAATTAAAGAAACCATGAACTATTGCTAATCCAAGTCCCGTTACCTAAGTGTTATACATAGATCCTGTAATCTTAACCGTTTATCATCTACATGAAGAAAGCAAGGGCAGCTGGGAGAGCCAGCATGAAGCCAGTGCGAACCACGCTGGCACCACTGACGGGAACTGCAGGAGGAGTTCCGACGGGAGTGGCGACAGGAGTCTCAGCAGCGGGAGGAGGAGGGACAACTCCAGGCTGGGAGACCACGGGAGGAGGGGCATAGCCAGCGGTAGGAACGGGAGCAGGAACCACAGGAACGGCGGTGGTAGGAACAGGAGCTGGGACAACGGGAACGGGGGTAGAGACGGTTCCGTTGCTAGGAGGGTAAGGGACGCTGTGAGCGGGAGGGAGGACGGGCTTGCCACCAGTGGGCTTCTCGGGAGTAGGGTACTCAGCGGTAGGCTTCTCGGGGACGGGGACCTCAGCAGTGGGCTTCTCCTCACCCTCAGTAGTAGGAGCAGCATGGCTGGGAACCTCATAAGCCTCCGTGCTGGGGGCAGCAGTGGTCACAACCTGGAAGGTAGACTGGCCCTTAGAAGGCTGAGCAGTCTTGCCTTCCTCAGGGCAGTAGGTGGTGGTGTCAACGATGGTGACGGTAGGAGCAGGAGGAGGAGTAGTAGGAGGGTGGAAGGTCTTGGTAGTTCGGGTCTTGCAGGGCACAATGGTGGTGAGAGTGTCAGTGATGGTGGTGACGGGAACAGGGACCTTGGTGGAGTGAGCAGTGGTGGTAGCGGGGACGGCACCGGTCTCGGTAGCAGGGCAGACGTAGGTGCTCTCGATGATGGTGGAGGTGACGACCTTTTGGGTGTAGCGGGCAGGGCAGTTGATGACGGAGGCAGCGCAGCTGGTCACGGTGTAGACGTGAGTGGAGGTGACGGTGCTGGTGACATCGCCGGTGGCAGTGCTGTTGCCGTGAGCAGGGACGATAGCAGCGGCGGAACCGGTGGTCTGGGGCTTAGCGAGAGCGGAAGAGGAGCCAGGGCCGGCGGGGTATGCACCTGAGCCGGAGCCAGTGGTCTCAGCACCAGCAGAAGCACCGGATCCAGAGCCAGAGCCAGGGATGGGATAGGCGCCGGAGCCAGAGCTGGTAGTCTCAGCACCTGCAGGGGAAGTCTCAGAGCCAGTGGCACCAGGAATGGGGTAAGCGTCAGAAGAATCAGCAGTGGCAGAGCCGGTAACGTCAGCGGAGCCAGTGGCATCAGCAGAACCAGTAGCGTCAGAGCCTCCAGCAGGGACAGTAGAAAGAGAAACGACCTGAGTGTGAGTGGTGGCAGGGCTGCCTTGCTTCTCAATAAAGTTACCAGGAGTACCGCGGTTGGGCTGGCAAACCTTGGCCTGAGCAGCAGTAGCAAGGGTGATGGTCAGGGTAGGGGCAAGGCTGATGTCGAGAATGTCGCCGACCTCAACGTTGAGCTCGACAGCAAGACCAAGAGTGAGAGCAATGAGCTCATCGACGGAGACAGCGCAGTTGTCGGTGGCGATGAGAACAGCAGTGTACTCGAAAAGGCTGACCCAGACAGCAATCTTGGCACCAGCCTCGATGTCGAGAACAGGAATGTCAAGCTCGGCCTCGAGATCGATCTCAGTTCGGAGACGAAGACCAAGAGTAAGAGAAACCTCAGCAGAGAGGTCGACCTCGGCAGCGACGCCAATGGGGAGAGCCTTGGCAACAAGACCCTCAAGGGAGACGTCAACGATCTCCTTGGTGACAAGAGAAACCTCAACGAAAGCCTCCTCACCGAAGGCGAGGTAGACACCGGCGGACAGGTCAATAGCAGCATCAACACCGACGACAAGGTCAAGAGCGAGAGCAGCACCGGCCTCAGCCTCAAGCAGGCCGGGGATCTCAAGCTGAAGAGCGGAAGAAGCGAAAAGTTCAATGGATTCATGAACGGCGGCGGAAGCGGAGATGTCGAGCTCGAGGTAGGCCTTGATAGCGCCAAGACCAATTCGGACACGAGGCTCCTGGAGGAAGTCCTTCACAAGCTCAAGAGTAGCATCACCCTCAATCTGAGCTTTGGGGAGGTTAAGGCCAAGCTTAATGGCGGCGGCAGCGCCAGAAGCAGGAGCAGCGATACCGTCGAAGAGAACATGGTTCTCCCAGCTGTTAGCCAAGCTGCAGGTGGAAGGAAGACCACCCTTCTGGCTCAAAGGAGCCTTGGTAGGAGCCAAGTCAAGACCCTTGGAGGCAGTGTCAGGAGCCTCAGCACCCTTTCCAAGCGAAACATCGACATCGAGACCAAGGCCAACTCCGGGGAGAAGGTGAGGCGAGGCAGTGGCAACAGCCACAAGACCTCCCAAAGCGGGAATCAAACTAGAAAAATGCATCTTTTAACAACAAAGTAAATGAGTGACTGGAGCGTGAATAACGCTTCCGAATAATAATTTTTCAAAGTAAAAGAGAGTGACTGGGAAAAGAGTGCAGAAAACTACAGAACACGAAACTAAAACTACGAGAAGAAGCAGTCCATTTTAAAGGATAGGCAGAGTTCCTCTGTCGAACCATCTCCTGTACGATGTTACCTCGTGAAGCGGGAGTTGAAAGCGGTCACAATTATATCCGGCGATCGCTATTTAACACCCCTGGTGCACGCTTTTCTAGATTGGGGAATTCTCCTGTCAGACATGTGGAGTTGGTGGCACGCGGGACGAATTAGTCTGGACCTCGGGGATTTTTAAATGGACACGTCTCCACGTGTTAGCATAGAAAGATAATGTTTCGTTTCGGGGGGTTATGGTGATCATGACCGTTGAAACAGGAGAATGGATATAAGAGGGCTTTTATCCTGGACATTGGAATTTTGATCTGTTGTACAATGATCGTCCTATATTCGCGGGTCTTGAGAGTATCGAGATGACGTCGGATGTAGGGAGTTCTGTAAGGAGTACTACTTTCTCCCGTGACAAGACATTGATTCGGTTGAAAGGGTCTGAGCGTAGATAAACTGCCGGTCGGCGAGATGACACTGAACTGAGACAAAATTTGACAAAGGGTCCAAGAGCCGATAAGCCACGGCACAACGGCAATACGCTGTCAATTGACTCTCAGTCTAAGATAAACTCGTCACCCGCTGCGTAAACTAGTCCATTCATCTCTTCCTCCTCATCAGGGCGCAAACTTCGGTTGCAACTCTAGGATTTGCAGGGGTTGGTGGATCAACGCAAATGGCACCGTAGATCCTACGCGCCAACAAGACGAGCTAGAATAACGGCTTGGAAGATCATGTCGTGGATTTGAATGCAAGCGAAAAAGGAATGTCACGGGCGAGATTTAAGTGTTTTCACTCTGCTGATCATCTTGACTCTTGACTTGCGTTGGCGTTGCGTTCAGTTGTAATGGAAGTGGCGCAGGGTTGGACCCTGAATGGTGCGAGTCGCGCAGGAAATGCCAATTTCTTTAACAAACTCTCGACAAGTTTTGCTTTTGAAGGATTTTTATATCGGACGAGTTTGGCCAATTGTTTGGTGGGAAGTAGAGTTGGTTGTTACGTAGAAGCTTTTGCGCTGCGCCTGATTGATCTGCCAGCGTTGTATTTACTGTGGCTGTGAAACTCTAGGAAATTGCATCACTCTAGAGAAATCAGTTACCCTGTAGAAGACGGTCAACTCCCGAATACTAGAACTTCCTCTCTAAAATTTAGTCTTTAAGATTTGTTATATTGGTATCGGAATCATTAAATACTGTTGGAATCATACAGTCCTTAAGTCTTTGTTTTGAACTAAGTATGCAATTCGTGATTTGAGAAGCTACGTGGATCGTTTAAGTATTTTGACGCAGTACCCAGTTCCGCATATTTCCATAGTTGATTAAACCACGTCGGATTGTCTAGTACGAATTTCTCATAGTAAAAGACTAGGAAACATTCAACTCAATAGTAACACTTCGTTTAAAACCCGCCTATTTCCAAGCATATCGACCGCATTGTAATAGAGTTGCCAAGAGATAAGCCGCTCGGTTCCTGAGCGCATTTTCCGTATATCCGATGGATTTGGTATCTTGTATTAATAATAACATCTAAAAATATCCTTCATCTATTAGTCCGCTCAATCGACTGTGCCATTATAACTCCTCATTTCTATCATCCTCCTCCTTCTTCGACCCCCCATCAAGACCCTCAAACAGATCAACGCCCCATCCCTTCCCAGGATTCAAAAACCTATACTTCTTATCCTTCTTCGCCACCTCCTTCAACTCATCCTCCGTGAATGTAATCTCCTGCGATCCAAAATTCTCATCAATGTACTTCTCATGCGTACTCTTGGGAATCACCACAGTACCCCTCTGCTGGCCCCAAGCCAACACCGTCTGCGCCACCGTCGCGTTTTTGCTAGCGGCTAGTTTGGACCAGAACTCATCGTGGAGAATGCTCGGAATGTCGGGGTTGTAGGTGGGATTTGTGTTGGCGAGTGGTGAGTATGCTATCACTTTGATGTTTTCGCTGGTGTGAAAGTCGACGAAGGATTGTTGTTGGAGATAGGGATGGGTTTCGAATTCGTGGGCGTAAGGTCGGATGGTAGCGATTTGGAGGATGTTGTTGATATCCTTTGGCGCAAAGTTGGAAATACCAATGTTGCGTGTTAACCCATCGCGGACAAGCTCTTCCATAGCCTTCCAAGTTTCGATGATGGAGGTGTCATTGTCAAGGTCCTTCGTACCAGGAACCCAAGCGACTGGCCAGTGAATGAGGTAAAGATCAAGGTACTCAACGCCAAGATTGGCGATAGACTTTTCAATGGCTTTGCGCACGAGTTCAGGTCGATGATCCGTATTCCAAAGCTTACTCGTCACCCAAATCTTATCGCGCGATACACCCGATGCCTTGATGCCCTGCCCAACCTCCTCCTCATTTCGGTAGATAGCAGCAGCGTCGACGTGGCGATAACCCGCCCTCAAAGCATATTCCACCGCATGCGCAACCTAGACTCCCATTAGTACTGCCTCTTCTCACAGAATCTCGTATTTGACTCACCTCTCCCTTCTCAGCCAACCAAGTCCCCAGTCCAAACGAGGGAATCTGGTGGGTTTCATTACCCGTCTGCACAGCGGGGGATCCGCCACTCAATGACGTGGCCACTGATAGAATCGTGTATGTAACAACGCTCACGACCGTGAGGAAAGAAAACGCCCTTACGAAGCTCATTTTTCTTTTTTGTGAGAATGAGCGTGTTTGTTGATGAAAAGGTGATGACTCGTATGAGGAAAATTATCAGTAACTTTTTTTTTTGCCGCAGCCGAGCATCCGGTTGGTTAGTGGAGTGAGCACGGAACTGCAGGGGTTCAATGATGTCATTACATAAGCGGAGATGACGATGACAATGGGGCTGGGGGGACAAGGTTTGGTGATGGCATCATGTGACTCATCAAAGACGTTATCGTGATAAATCATTATAAAAACATTTGATCTCTCGATTAAGCTCAGTTTGGTGGTGAGGATGGTGTTGTCATCACTTGAACGGCATTCCTTATCCCCATTGAGTTACTGACTTTCTTTGTAGGTCATTGTCACTTGAAAAAAAGAAATGGGTATTCTATTGTTATGTGATGTTTCAGTGTTTTACACTCTATAATGACCGTTCCATAAGTCTCTGATGTTTCAATCAACATCTCATTCAGAAATGTGTCCCGCACAGCGAACGATATCTCGTACATAAGCCGCTCACTCATAACAACACCTTCGCTTCACAGTTTCATCGAGAAACCACTCAAGAGGCCAGTCTCGAGTATAGTTCAGCCACGATCTTCGGCCCGACGTCTAGATCACAAGACCCAAGCCATCTAGTGACCAGCCGAGCCAGAGTTGGAGTTATCAGCGCAAGACCACGGGCTTGATCCCCCATTGGCCTTCATCGAGTTATTGATACCAACAATAGAGCCGTAGGTACCGGCAACCATCATAAAGGTTCCAGCCACAATGACAAAGACACTCCAACCGACCATAAAACACCACTTGAGTGACTTGTCAGTCTTACCCTTGTGCCAATTGTCATAAAGCCAGAAGCAGCCATATGGTTGAAAGCACATCAGCGTGCCAAGAAGAGCTCCGATAAGAGACACCAAGCCGCCGAAAACAGGGATAGCGCTGGCGATGATGTACGCGATTATGGTTACGCTTCCTGTACAAGCTAACCAAGTGGCCCAATGCACGATACCATTGGAGTTGAGATGCTTTGTACCGCGCAATAAGCGGATAAACATGTACTTGGCGGGAATCTTGGCAAGTTAGCATGTTTCACTGAAAAGACTAGGGGAACACTCACGTGAGTCATAAGCATGGCAGTCACGATAAGACCAGGCAGGGCAAAGCCATAGCAGACTTTCTTCATGAGAATGCCAGCTGATCCAAGAGCGGGGGACGTAACATATGAACCGCAGTAGTAGTAAACCACGATTCCGATGGTGATGTATGTGACTGTCACGATCGATTGGCAGGTTAATAGTGAGCGGGTGTAGTGTTTCGGTTCGCGCATCTCAGCTGCGATCTGGAAGAACGCAGGTGTACCAGAGAAAGCAAAGATATGCGATGACACCGCCGTGATACCGTCGACGAAGCTAGGATGGTTGAAGAGTTTCCAGTCAGACTCCCAGTGTCCTCCCTGCGGAGCAGCTGCAGGTCTGTCTTGCACGCCGACTGCGACGGTGACACAGAAGACTAATTCTCGTGTTAGTGAAGCTGGTCTCGTGAGAGGAGAGGGCTTGAACTTACTCGCAGTCATGATACATACAAGTCCAATCCACGCCAACCAACCAATCTTGCCGAGTGTGCGAATACTAGCAAAGAAGAAGCCGAGAATAGCTGCCACGGCAACGAAGACAGCCGTGCAGGCTGCGTGTGTAGAAACCGAGTTAAGACCGATTGAGATACCAAGCATCGCTGAACCGGCAACAAAGATCCAATCTGCAAGCCATCAGTACACCACCTCCCTTAACTTCTCACGGGGGAGACTTACAAAGCATAAAGACAGTCGCGAGGACTTCACGACCAATTCTCCCAAACATCAACTGTCCCGCATCATCAATACCGTAAACTTGTGGATGTCGACGTTTGAACACGCCAATCATGTAGTCTGACCATGTCGTGATAGCCGACACGACGATGAGACATATAATTCCGGGTATGAGGCCTAAAGCGTCGAAGGTTTGGGGAATCGATAAAACTCCAAGGCCGATCTGAGTTTTGGTCATGAGTGCCACGGTAGCAATCCATCCAACCTGGGTACAAAGTTAGTGTTTGTGAAGCGAGAGGACCGGGGGTCGTACGTTACGGTAGTTAGGTCCATCTTCTGAAACTTCACCAAAGACGGCATCGAGTGTCGTTCCCTCCTGCGTACATCGCGAGGGAGAGCGTTGAAGATCATCGATACCCTCGATATCACGAGGGAGTTCTTCCTTCTTAGCCATAATGAATATCTTCAACAAAATCTTCCCTTAAACAAAACCGTGTCTTGAGAAAGTAAACGTGAGAAAAGTATGGAGAAGGGCACGAGTCTGGAACGGGATACAGAATCTGGGGAACATGGATCCGGGAGCGTCATCTTCTTATAAATCCGACCCTTTTTATGACTACAAGAAACTGATTACCCCAGATTATAACTTGACTGTATCTTGTCTACTCCACTATGACTCCATGTCATTATCATCCGGCGTTTCCTTGTCTGGGGGGGTCCTGGTGGGTTCCCCGGGGCCTGGGGTTGAGATAGGTCGTCTTCGGTGAGACTTTTTGACCAATTGTGTTTTTGCGTGCTATAATCTTTGGTTTGGGATAGATTGCTGTATCCCATGCCTTACTTCAAAGATAACACTTCACGATAATATTGGAGATATGGTATGGGTACTCTCTGTAAGATCTTCTATCAACACCATGTAAACAGATAGAATAACGCCGACAACGATAAAGCCCAAACTCTATTCCTCAAACTCGCAAGGCAAAATCATTTTATCCACTCTGAGATATTTGCAAGTCTAGCCGAAGTTTTGTTATCCGTGCTTTTGTGGCCAAAGTGTCATTAATCCGTAATCATCCCACCGTTCCTTACTCGTAACCGTCCAATACGCGAAGATCACGGCGTCTCGGAGAGTGAAAACGCTGACAAAAGTTCAACAGCTCGGTGATCCACTTATACGTTACATGTCGATCTGTCTGGGTTCGGTATCACGGCGTTCTTAGCCGATCACGCTAGCGCCGGGGTCCGGAGTCGGTCGCCGTGGCGGTCATCTGATAAAAGTTGTCACTGCCACCTAAACATGAGGCATATTTGCCACGTTTTCTGTGAGGCATTTGTAAAGTTGTGCCTGACAATCCCGAACTTATTCCTCGGAAGATACGCTCCTGCGAATGCTTCTGGAAGCCTCGGCCGCTGGGTTACATATGCTTCGAGAATTTCTGTGGATCTTGGCGGGGAATTTGGGGGTTGCATATGTCTCGTTTGCAAGTCGGTAACTGTGTTTGGAAGGGTCCTCGGGGGTTGATGCCGGGTCCATAACGGACTTTAGTTGTAAGAACCGAGTGATATATTGCATAAGGACATTATGCAGCCAACAGGCTGGACAAGGTCTGGGGATGTTGTTCTTCCAGGTTCTCTTTTCCCTCAACATGCTATATCCTTTCATGAACCAATGTGCTGTTGAAATAACATACGTTGAGTGCTTAATGCCCTCGTTAAGTGATAGTCATGCAAGTAATGACATGATGGACTTCGTGATTGCGATGTAACGCTGTGCGGAATCATCTCGATGTGAAACATCGTCAGCCCCCTTGACCGTAATACGAGATACTGGCATTTCAGCTGCCATGGTTTTGCTCTGGGGTAATAGGCTTATCTCTTTGCTACCGATGATCTCATGTCGTCATCAGCCGCATAAGCTTTCGGCATTCCCGATCCCCGTAGATCGTCTATCTTATTCCCGCTCATTGGAGGGTAGCGCTGCCTGCATGAACAAGTGTCAACATGAACTCAATCTATTCGCATCCAAAATCAAAATGGCAAGATTACCCTCAGTGGGTATTAAATTCTGAGAGCGAATACGGAGCATATCATGAACCCCGGGCCCGCCGACTAATGATAAGAGCACGTTCCTCAGTGTTGCTCAAGTTCCTTCGGCTCGAGATCCGTTGCAAAAGTGAGGCGAACTTCATATGGGGTAAGGATTTTGCCGTCGAAAACGTCGAGACCAAGCGTAAGCTATTAGGTCATAACGTAACGGACATGGAAACCGCGCATCAAGAATATGGTTGAACGGAGAGGTCAAGGGTTTCACAGCCTTCAATCGGATAAGCATCCGTTAACTTCCTCCACTCAGCATTTTGCCATACAGGAAATATGCTGGACACCGTTGCGAGAAGCAAAAATACCACACAGGTCTGGTTTGGTATGTTCATAGCGATGCTGATATAGGATAGTGTTTTGACTCCGATGAGGCTCGGGTTTGGTTCCCGAATAGTGGGCGATGGAGTTTTACGGGTGCAGAAACCGATGTCAAGGAATAATGATGCAGAATGCTGCTTTCGGATTATTTCTGAAGACGGATCTGATGCCGAAGCATGTCCGGTCATGATGAACATCCCAGTAACAGGCCACAGTTTCACGGCCGCTACATGAGATCCCAGAAGCATTTCAACGATATGCCCTTTGGCTTCTTCGGCTTCTATACCCCTATGGCATGAGTGAACTCTTTCAGTTACATACCAGAGCTCGAGATACCTTGGTCTGAGCTAAGCTAAAGGCATTTCGATTGTCCAACGGATACACCCTCGATCAGGTAGTAGCCTAGACTTATATCAAGCATGTGAAAACATGCATCCATCGCGAAGATGCCATTCACCACACGATTGTTTTACCGATCGTTAAGTGTACTTTTGACCCCATCAATATCACTCTGAGATAGATCTATAGTGAAGAATTTATTTATATCATTGCGATATGACGTTGTCGAATTGATCAAGTATGGCAAGATGCAGACAGACCTAGATTGATCGATAAATGACAATGCCTATGTCGTTGAAAGCAGAGGATTCGTGTTTTGGCTATTACAAGCATATATCCATCCTAAAGCAAGTGACCTGCCATGGATGCCAAAGCCTATTGCACCTCGGCAGCAGTTATCGACAAAGGAGTAAGACGATCAGGGCTGTCAGTTCCAATATACCAATAAGAACTTTTCCCTCCAGGCCTAATTCCATTTGTGTCGGTGTAAAACTTGTTATACACGTTATTACCTGCTGGGGTAGTGCAAACCGGCATATTGTCATCGCCATCTTCACATGTAGTCCTGGGGGCATTGCATGAAAGAGCGCCACTGCTGACCTGGCATTTCAAGTACGCAAATGGTTTGTTGGGGCCAGTGTTACTGGGATCGCAGTACCCGACTGGAGGCGGAGAGGAGATGCCGCGAGAGCCTTCGTAGTATGCGCACAAGTAGGCAGCTCCGTTGGCATCTTGGAGGTGACCGGTGGTGGGTTCGATGGTGAACGTTCGAATGCCGCCGGTCTGAAGGTAGGCCGGGTCGAAAACAAGGAGGGATGTCAGTTCGATGTTTGATTGTGGCTGTTGATTGTTGAGATTTCCACCGTTGGCGAGGAGTGAGTACGTTGGGATGGCTTCTGGGGCGGTGCTGGTGCTTATGGCAGCTGTAGTTGTCTCAGCCTCTGAGGTCGTCACGACGGATGTCACCGTTGATGACTCAGAATCCGAAGTCAACGTTGTTGTATCCGAAGCAATAGTGGCGGTCGTTGAAGCCTCGAGGCTGGTTGTGACGGATAGTTCAGCAGTAGAAGACACTTCTGCAGTGGTGGGCACCTCCGATGTTGCATCCGAAGTGGCAGCAGTGGTTGTGTCCACCAGGATCGTTGTTACAGACGAATCAACAGTGCTAGTCACATCAGATGTTGTGAAGACGGAAGCTGAGCCTCATAATTAGCTTCCAATACAATTTTCTTCACGAGATTTGTACTCACTTGTGCCCTGGGGCTTGCACGGACTAGCGAAAGCCGAGCCGGCGATCAGGCCGACAGCCAAAAGAAAGATATTGCGATGCATCGCGGCGCACAAATGATTGACGAAGGTGAGATGTGAAGCGCGCGACGAGAAGGCAAAACGTCAGACCAAGGAGAATGTGGGAAATCAGTCATTGAAGGCAAATATGAAAAATTAGACCCTGTCAATTTGACTCAGCTCATCTCCTAGAATCGATAGTCTTGCTTTAGCTCATGGGATAGACCTGCCAGAGAGGGCTTTGACAAATCAAGTGCTAGATTAATTGTTAAGAATGAGGCGCTACTGCAGGGGTGACAGTTTGGCTAGATTTTGTAGCGTGGTGTACTAAAATTAGCCTTGGCTGCAGTTTGTACAGGGTAACAGGCTACGGATATTGACTTGAAGATCGAAGTCGACTGAACCTGGGAAATATATCATATTGTTCCAAGAACTTGATGTAGTCAAGCGAGCTACACGAAGTTCAGGATTCGATATGAATAGAGCCGTCAATAAGTATCAGTATGCCATTTTTTCCTAGGCTTTTATCTTCAGGAATGATGATTGTCTAACCTATTTTGATCAGAGGGAAATTGCTTAGCTGTTTATCCATCATCACCTATCAACATCAACATAGATCATGAAACCATGCAGTTAACTGTTTATAAGCAACGAAGGCAATACACAGACAGAAAGCCATTCACTGATATAGATTAACTAAGCAGGCAACTAAGGTGGGCACTCATACCCGCACAACCGGCTGTGCGTTTAGTATTACGTGTTTTTCGCATAACTGGTTATGCAGATAAGGCTAAATAGCTAACTTTAGATTAAATATATAACCGTTATTTAATAATAATACCATTTTTAATTAAAATAGCCTATTAGAGGTATTTTTTATCTTTATAACTGCTTATTACTTTATATCTTATGCTATTAATATACTATTTAGCCTTAATCTGCTATAAATAACCTAAAGGTAATATAACCTTTTATTTTATAATATTATATAAGAATAGTTAGCTTAAGAATAGTTAGCTATTTATAATATTATAAATAAGAAAAGAGTCTCCTTATATTAAAGGGATTATTAATACTAATATATAGAAGGCCTCTCTATTATAATAGCAGTATAATTAACTTAATAGTGTAATAGTTAGGTTTTCTAAACAGGTAAACTAGTCTATACTAGGTTTATGTTTACAGATTGTATAAGGCATAATACTAAGCGTTATAAAGTATTATATCTCTTAATAATTAAGTAATATATATTAGGCTTATTAATATAAAGATGCTTTATTAATAGCTAGTAAGCTAAGTTTTATAAAAGTGCTAATAAATATATTCTATATACTAAAGGTAGTTATATAGGAGTAATATAATATAAGGTTATTATTAGTCCTAGAATAATGCAGTCCTAGAGCGCCATTATTCCTATACTTATTAGTCTTTATCTAGTTAGTTATTAAGGTAGAGTTTTTATAAGGTATATATAATATAACTATTAAGGTTATAATATAATCTCTCCCCTCTAGTAATCTTATCTCTAAGGCCTATTATCTTAACTAATATTAATCTTCTTTTAGTAAGGCCTAACTTAAACCTTTTATTATTATATCTTATAATATCTAACTATATATCTAAGCAGTTATCTTATAAAGATTATAAAATCTAAATACTTGCGCTTTTTATTAAGTTTGCTAATAAAGAAGTAAATATACCTTATACTTATTACTTTTAGGTAGGTAAAAAGTTTTTAATATTTACTAACTTTACTTATTATAGTAAGTATATTTAAGCTAAAAAGTCTTATAATAGTATTTATATTATATCTTCTTATAAGTTTATATGCTATTTTGCAGATCTTTTACTAACTTTAGTAATTATAACTTTAATAAAATAAGAAAAGAAATTAAAGAATAATAAAGATAAAGTAAGTAAAGATCTTCTTAAGCTTTATAAGGAGATAGCAGTGCTATAGTCCTGTTTAGCTTTAGCTATTAGTTATTTATTAAGGATTTATAAGATTTATAATTATATAAAGGAAAAGCATTTTAAGGCTACTTGCTATAGCCTCTAGGAAGTAAATTAGCAGGATATAATCTTATTAAAGCTAAATATATATAAAGATATATTACTTTATAATCTTTAGGTAAATTATATTCCTAATAATATTAATTAGTCTGCTTTAGGTTTAGGTAATAATTTTCTTAATACTTCTCTTTTATTTAATATTAGTAAAAGTTCTTTAGGAGTTACTAGGCATTAGTAAGGTATTTTGTTAGTTCCTATATATTTTTGCTTTTTAGGTAGTTCTTTTATTTAATTAAATATATCTTTTATCTATTAATTCTTTATATATTTCTAATTTCCTTTACTTTATATACCTCTAGTCCTATAATTTATTATAGTTTATTACTGGTTTTTATATATATTATATTTACAGCTAATTTAAGTATTAAGATATAATAAATTAGGTAATATTTAATATTTAAAGGTAGATCTAGTTTATATTAATTTTCTTCTATCTTTTATTTAATCTTAACTAGTCTTAAGTACTTATAATCTAGTTTATAACTTAGTTAATCTATTTTAATATTTTTAGTAAATAAGTAGATTATATCTCCCTTTATAAAGGTTAGTCCCTTTAACCTTTTAGGGTTATAGTATCTCTATATCCTTTTCCTAATAAATTCTAGCTTAGTCTTAAGTTTATTATATATTTCTCTTAGCTTATTACTTATAATAATTACTATTAGGTTTATATTCTTAAGTTCCTGCATATTGTAATATATATTAGGTATAAATCTAATATTTGCATTAAATAGTATAAGTTTTGTACTTTTATTATAAGCAGTATTATAAGCTAGTTAAGTACTTAATAGCTTCTTAACCTAGTTATCTTATTTATAGTTAATATAATACTAAAGGTACTATTCTAGTACTTAATTTATTTATTCTATCTAGCTATCTGCCTACAGTCTAAAGGCTATTATAAGTTAGTAATTAACTCTTATAAGTATTATAAGTAATTACTAGAATTTAGAGGCAAATATTAGTCCTCTATCTAATAAAATCTCTCTTAGTAGTCCTTATTCTTTTATTACCTTATTATAAAAGGTATATGCTATAACTTCTGTATTTATTACTTCTCTATAAGGTAAGTAAATTAAGAATTTTATAAGTCTATTTATAATAACTATAATACTATTATAGTAAATTCTAGTTAAAAGATCTTTTAATAATAGTAATTTAGTTATAAAATCTATTATAATTAAGCTTTATAGTTGTTTTATAACTTCTATTAGTTATAGTGTTTTATAAGGTCTGTATTATTATACTTTTATTTTAGTATAAATATTGCATTATTTAATAACCCTTTCTATTACCTTTTATATTATTTAATAGCCTTATTATAATAGTTATTTTAAGGTTTTAGTAACTCCTTAGTGCCTATATAATAGATATACATAGAATTCTTAGATAAACTCCTATAGTTCTCTTAGGATTTCTTTAGTTACTTTTAATTATATTTATCTTAATATTATTATTTTCTAGGTAAATTAGTATTCTCCTTTATTATTTTTTTCTAATACTTATTCCTTTACTTTAATAGTACTAGTATTATAATTTAGTTATTAGCTAATTATATTTACTTTACTATTTTTAAATCCTTTATAATAAATAATTATAAAATTAAATTTATATAGGAATTCTATATAATATAATTATTATTTATTAAGTTTATAGGTTATAGTAAAGTATAAAATATTTTAGTAATTAATATAAACCTTAACCTTATACTTACTTCTTATTAAGTAGTATTTAAATTCTTTAAAATAGTTAACTATTACTAGAAATTCTTTATTATAAATTAGGTAGTTAAGCTTTACTTTATATAGTTTATATAAATAGAAAGTAATAGGATATAGCTTTCTTTCTTTATCTCTCTAACTAATTTATCCTCCTAGTATAAAGTCTAATATATTTATTTTTAGCTTAATTTCTTTTTTAGGATTAAATATTATTAAGACTAGTTTACTAAAGATTGCTCCTTTAAGTTACTTAAACGCTTCTTAGGCCTTATTGTTTTAGTTAAAAGGTTTTTCCTTCTTTATTAGTTTTATTAATAAGATTGCGGTTTTACTAAATCCTTTAATAAATCTTTAGTAGTAGTTAGTAAAGCCTAAAAAGGCTTATATTTCTTTAATATTAATAAGTACCTTTTATTTTATTACTACTAAGATTTTCTTTTTCTTTATTTAGATTTCTTTAAGTATAATAATATATCCTAAAAAGTCTACCTTTATAATATAAAAGTAACTTTTTTCTAGTTTAATTAATAGCTTAATATCCTATAATGCTTTTAAGACCTTATAGATATATTCCTTATGCTTTTCTTTATTATTTAAGAAGATTAGGATATTATTAAGGTAATATATTATAAAGATATTAAGGTATTATTAAAGTATATTATTAATTATCTATTAAAATATTATAAGTATATTAATAAGACTAAAAGGCATTACTAGGTATTTAAATAGTTTAAATCTGGTTTTAAATGCTATTTTCTATTTATCTCCTTCCTTAATATAAATAAGGTTATATACTCCCTTAAGGTCTAGAGCTATAAAGATCTTTTTGCCTTATAGCTAATCTTTAAGTTCTATTATAAGCAGAAGTAAGGTTTAGTCCTTAATAATATATATATTAACTAGTTAATAGTCTATAACTAGTTAGTCCTTTTTATTCTTTTTTAGTATAAAGAATATTACTAATACTACTAATAAACTTAATTCTTTAATATAACCCTTCTTTAGTATCTTATTAATATATTCTTATTAAACTTATAGTTCTCTTTAATTAAGTAAGTATAGTTTTTAAAATAATAGTTTTTTATCTATAAGGTTAATCTTATAGTCTTATTTATTATATTTAAAGACTTTTATTTTTAGTTTTTTTTTAAATAATTTATTATATATTTAATATTCTTTTAGAATATTCTTAAGTTAATCCTGGCTTATTATTATAGTTTTATCTTTTTATAAATCTTATTATTTAAGAAT